GAAAGGGGCAAACAAGGCATCATTGATGCCTGGGAATGGCACAGCAGTTTCTTTTCTCCTTTCTTTTCTCCTTGGTGCGTTGCTCGATGACTCGAGATGATTTTGATTTCACATCTTCTTTTGAATGTCATTGGTCTTTTGTCAATCTCCTTGGAGGGAGATGAGGTGGTCCATGACTGCTTGGGGATCGTCGATCATAACTTGATTGAGCTCTGAAATATCGACGATATGATTCTTCTTCGGCAGTGGAGCGATTTGAGAAGAATCGGTCGGCATTTTGAATTTTGTTTGTGAAGGATATCAGGTAGAGGTGGCCGTCTGGGAATTTGTTGCTGATTCTTGGCCTTGACAAGGGTTGAAGTGGGAGGGAGATACGAGGGAAACCGATGATGCGGGGCTTAAAATAAGTTCATTCTCTTGTTGGGAAAAGAATAGGGTTTCCTCGGTGCGAGCTAGGCTGGGGCTGGCTAGCTGGGCCCGTTCACGGTAGCGAGATTTTAGCGGAAGAAAAGGGGGAAGTAAGTTTCAATGTTCTGAAGCTGCATTGGACAATTCGCAAGAGTGCAAACTAGTCAGCTCTATTTGGGACGCTAAGTCTCTAATATAGCAGAAATTCCCCTTTAGTCCCAGTCGCTAATTAGAAAGTCCCATATCTTAGAGTCTAACTCACTCCCAGGAACGACTCTCTGGCAACGAAACATTACATTGAAATTTCGCCTCAAATTGATCTCGCACTATACAATTAAGTTTTAAATTATTACATTCTAATCATAAAGATCTACTGCTTCAGCTCAGAATTTTGTGATCGTTTTGTGCCAGATCCCATGTCCTAAGTATGCAAATAACAGACACTTGACGGGATCACCCGACCCTGAGAGCTTGGGGAGGGAGCAGGTACAACGAAAGCTCAGTCAATAACTGATCAATGATTAGATGCATCAATTTTAACTTTTTATGACTTCTTGAAGAGGTAAAGAGGTATGAGTATGTCGAACACTGAGCCCACCTCACCCCCAACACTTTAAGAGTTGAACACCTTCCTGTTACTAAAATTTGATCTACTCCAGCAGAATGAACTCTCTTGGGTAGTGTGCTTCCTATACTTCGCAGTAGCGGCGCAGCAACAGGTGAATTCCTTGAATCGCCTCAAGGGGTTCTTCAGCCCTGTTACTCGAAATAATCTTACATCCGACTTCCGACTTCCGACAATGGGGCATCCCTGTCCTCGAAAACGCTTATCTTTATTTTCGTTACGGCTGAATACCAGAAGAGCATTCATCAATCTAGTGGGGTATCAGATGTTGGAGTCACGAATTAGCTTTCACGTGAATCGAGATTGCGGAATCCTTGAGCACGTTTGAACCATATGGGTAGGTAGTAAACACTCCCGAAGAGAACCAAAGGAAAATTTCACTTCCGAACTTTTTAAATGCTTGAAACATCAAGCAGATGCTTTTCTAAGGTTAGATCTGATTAGAAATCGTCAATTTTAGTCACTCCAGATGGACCCCGCTGCGCGCTCTATTCCATCCAGCGTGGAGATTTCTCACAAGCAATCACCAGCTACGCCCGGCTTCTGCGAGGCTTTCAAAGTCGATATTAATAACTGATTTAAAAAAGATTTGGGAAATGGTAATCTTCCGAGACTGCCGTAGCCTCTTAGCCTTGTGTATAGGTGTTTTCCGTCAGCCGCACATCAGCTACGCCCGGCTACTACGTGACTTCCAAATCTGACGCTAACAAAAAAACCTGGAAACACTCTGGCGTCCCAGCCTTGTGTGGGAATATCCTCGTTAATCCCTCATATCACGTGGGTAGTGACGAGGGGATGGTCATATCTCTTTTCATTATATGTGATTGGGCAAGTTGTACGCAGATCGCGATATAAAGTGACGGGATTACAAGGGTATATGTGCTTCCGGTCCACTATTTGCCCTGTCTCTACGATCATTAACTACTTGATTCCCCTATATTTAAGGCCATGGCCGTAAAAGTACCATAAGCCACAAGCAAGGGGGTTGATTTTATTGTGTTATGGCGTCCAGTGAAGATCGAGAGGCAGACGATTCGGAAGTTTGGCAAGCCAGTCGGGCAAGCGTGCCGCCATGATTGGACCTGTGCTTTGTGCAACACCAGAGATCATCTCGTGGACAAAAATGCATCGGATTACCATCGATCGAGAAGCGAGGACCTCAAGATTGCGTTCCGTGGGAGGGCGACCACAAATGAACTCATACCAGAAGGGGGCACCACACATTTTCACGGCATATCCCCTGTAATCCTCTCGCTTCATGTGGTATTTTTTGTAGAGCCTCGCGTTTCATCTTGCTAATCAGGTCGAACTACTCTCTTATTCCACAAAGACCATGCATTCTCCCCCAAAAGATTCTTGAAAAGGATTTCGTTTCCACAACTTCTTCCTCCGACATCCATGAAGATCCATTAATCCAAGGGCGAAGAGCACCCAAAGTAAAGATTACTTATCCAAGTCATACACTGTCACACGCTGCATCTTCCAAGAAAATGAGTAAGTCGATAATTTGACTTCGGTTGATTCAGCGTGACTGACATAACCTTCTTGAGCAGCTTCAACGCCTAGTAGGCTATCTATCGATACAAAGATAAACCTGATTATCGGAGTGTTCACCATAGTCACTGGAGCCTTGAGTACATTGCTTGCCTGGGCAATGTGGAAACTCACTCGAGGCCGCAGACATCGACATGGCTATCAAAGTCAGTCTCTCCAAGCCCCATTTAAGATACTTATAGTACCACCACATAGGCCTTCAATGAGAACTGACAACTAGTAGGCCCAACAATAGACTCAACTCCACTTCAACACCTCCCGGAACCGAGGGCAAGGCTGGGGTATGAAGTTGCATTGAGATTTATGAGGAATGTTTAACGGGATGGAACATGCTGACACAGTGGTCGCGGGGATGAAGCCCACCCCAGCTAGATATAACTACTTCTAAGAAGAATAAAGGGCTCGTTCGCAAGACTGGCTGGAACATTGGAAAGCGTTTCCGTATTTGAAAGCTGTTATCTGCTATATTCAGCCGAAAGGAAAAGGGGAGGACCAAAGCAATACCGTTCAAACTTTCTCTTTCACATCTCGAGCCCAACTGTGGTCTTGCTCTTGCCCTCCATCTAATCTTCATGTCCTACAAAGTCATGCCAACACACCGCAACCAACCACCAGCCTTCCTCCCACATCTTTCTCCCGTCCCCCTCCAACACAAGGGTCAGACCCTGGAACCTTACTTTCTATCGACGGAATCACCCAACGGAAATGCCGTCATCGGCATGAATCCATCGAATGGAACGGCCAGGAGTGATGCAAGTTAGATCGGCGGGGTCCTCGATCTGTGCCATTGCTGCGATACATCTGGTTGCGAATAGTGTAAGCCAAACTCGATATGTTGACAGGCACCCCACAGCGTGCACGCGTATCACCAGCTGTCTGGTTATTCGGCGATGGCCATAGCTTGCAGGAGCTCCAAATGCACGAGATAACAACGGGGCGATGGCAAGCTCACCTCAGCTGAACCAACATCGAACCCTAGTCCCCCAAAACCCTGTGCACGCAGAATTTCACAAATTTGAAAACACTCGCGATTGGATCCATAATAATTTGGCGACGACCAGAAGTTTACAAGAGCTCCGAATGCACGAGACTACAACCGGGCGAGGTAATTGCCACTCGCTAGGATTCTGTTACGAGTTACGAGAACCCTTGCACATGTACGATAGCACGGACATGTGAACACGCGAGTTTCCGCTGAGCGGATATGGAGGTGATGGCAACCAGATTCAAGACTGGAGCTAAATGAGGATTGGGGAAATTGTCATATCAATCAGCGCTTCAATGTCTACTTAAGACAAGGTCCATCTTTGGTTTCCAGACAATTTATCTCTGGCTCGATCGTGGTTTATGTGTGGTCTGGGATAGTTTCACAGCCACAGCCACAACCCGAATGTTCTGGACGCCACAGAGAGCAAACGCGACGGACAGAGAATAGCAACGCGGCCGCGGGTGGAAGCAAAGGCCGGAATCTCGGTTCGTGGGGCTGCCAGTCGCTCCGACGACATCGTCTTTTGGTGAGCCCAGCTGGAGTGTTGCATAGAGTACTTTCTTGGAGGGGTGACGTCCAGCTCCGTTGGGCGGAGAGTCATTTGATGTATCTGCAAGTTGAAGTGCATGGTTTACCTCTCTTCCATAGGGAGTTCGTGAAAGCGAGCTGGGGCCCGAGCGATTTTACTAAGTATTTTACATAGTAAATTTGTATGGGGGGCGCGGATTCGGTGCGGTGTGGTCGGTCAGTTGTTCGTTCGTTCGTTATCGATTCGATGGGCCTTTCTTTGCGTGTTCTCGAAGGTGATTTGATGGCCGCAGTGATTGGCTCTATAAATGTTGATGGAGGAAAAGGAAGAACAGAGGTGAGTGGCCGGGAATGGGAGGGAGGTGGACTAGTGGTGAGTCGACTCGCTTGGGCTTTTTTGAGCCCTGGGGCTTGAGCTTGAGTTGGGGTTGGGGTAGGAGGAGACGGGCAAGGGGTGCTTCAAGCTGGCTGCGCTAGCTGATCCGTGCGGTACGAAACCTGTCTTCCGCGGCCCAAATTGTGGGCGGGGGTATGAAATGAGTGAAGCCCAAGGATGAGTCGACAATGCGATGGATTTGCAGTTTGTCCTGCAGAAATTTGCAAGGGAACCGTGTAGTAAAGGTAGTCCCTTGAACAAGAAGAATCCCATCAAAAGTCCGTAACCAGGGGATTTGCTCGATTTGGAGGATTTTGAGGATTTTGAGATGCAAAATACCCAGCAGTGGTATCGGCGGACAATAATAGTTCTCTGCCCCAATCCCAACTCAAATGGTGCGGCGCTCAGGCGGGGCGCACGCGCAGCTCATCCAGGCGCGACTGCTTGGACCTGGGCTTCTGCATACGAGAGCCGGGCCGCTTTAAAGGCTTGCCCTATCAGAGTTGTACTATGGTGTATGCGACATCCCACGGGGGTTCCGCCTCCTAGTCGGCCCACCGCTCCATCATTTTCCTTTTGCTTAATGTTGTTGGCGTTGCTCTAGGAAATGGGTTGAGCAGACGAACTACTGCGTAAGGTATAAGAACAGCAAGTGCCTCCACATCTATGGACTTTTAGACATTCTCTCACTCGTAATATAGTTCTTCCTACCATTGCTTCAATTGAAAGATCGAAGCAACTTCTGAGATGGGTAAGCCACGCACGTATCATCATCAGGTACTGTACATAAGCCACAGCCTTGCTGACCCACTGGGCTAGCAGCCTTGTCCGGGCCTTTGCCCACAACCTCGCCTTCAGTAGAGGACATCCCCTCAAGGAGCCTGTCGACTGATACGAAGATCAATCTCATCATCGGGATCTTTACAATAGTAACTGGGGCGTTGAGTACGCTATTTGCATGGGCGATGTGGAGGCTTACTGGAGACAGAAGACGGCGGCGCGGGCATGAGAGTAGGTCCGCTCGATACAACGTTTCAAGCACATCTTTTATTTTGCGTGTGCTTCTTTTCTAGTGAATATATTTGACCAACACTGACGTATGACAGGCCTAACTGTAGACTCAAATCCTCTTCAAGTCATCCCTGAGCCAAGGGGAAGAATGGGATATGAAGTTACTTTGAAGCTACTTTGAGATCTAGGAGGACACTTGACAGGCGGGATACTAGCCGAGGAGTATGTTCCTACGGACGTAAGCGCCTAGTGAATCAGAAAAGATCTTATTTCAAAGAACGCGAGAGAACAACCTTTCCCAAAGTTTGAGAAGTGCAAGCTTGCAATACGGGCCGCGGCTCCTATGATACGACAGGCATGCCGAAACCTCACATACCTCATATTAAAACGAATAAAACCAAATAAATTTGAGGATGACCAAATTGCTTCAACTTCCTCGTACAGTATTCAGAAAACTCAGAGAGTATTTCTTTTCGTCGCTTGCAAACATCAATCTCAACACACTGGCGACCAGGTATAATCGCCTGGAGAGGCGAGAAAATGATCAGTCAAAGTACTAAAAACTCGTCAATATCTCCGAAACCACCAACGCCGAGATCCCACACATAATTGCGTAGTAATATCTTTCACTTTTGGCGAGGCTGGGCTGAGCCAACATCTCTTCATGTCCGGGACAGACTTTGTTGATGAGCTTAGCGAGGGCTCCCCCTGAATTTCAACTAAGTTGATTCGCGATTTTTGGGTTTCTGGGTTTCGGTTCAAGTTTTGTGAACGCTAAGCCCGAGTCCCCGAAATTTTGGTCAACGAGAAAAGGTACTAGAGGAAGATGGAGAATCGGTGAGGTGTGCCTCTAGGGCATAGGTAGAGTATTCTGTGGTTGCCTGAGGCATTCAACTTTCCCAGCGAGCCGCGAGTCCGCGTGCCCGACCCCTCGCCAAACGCAATTTTCTCCGCTTAGTAGCCCCTTCCCAGAGACGTGCACTGCTGGAGCATGCGAGTGTCAGAACCCTGGCCAGAGCTAAGGATCCCTGCAAACCTTTATTATCCCACTTGGTGCGGGTAAGGTGACGGCGAGCTGCGAGCAACTTGCAACTCACAGACTATTCAGAGTGCAGCGGACTGGCACTGCACTGGCACTAGCACTGGCACTGGCACTGGCACTGGTGCCGGGACTGGCAAAGCGGCAGCAGGCACTGAGGCATATCTCCCATGGTCCCATCTGCTGCTGCTGCTGCTCTTTGCGGCCCGTCTAGCTGCCAGTTTACCCCCTCGGACATACCTATTCGAGCCATCGTGGGGATGAGGGGTCGGCCTCTCGGCTTGCCTGCTGCCCAATTGCCCCTCGTGGGCCCCGTCGAGTTTTATCATATCAGCAACATCCACTACTCATCTCAGCAGCTCTGCCCTGCCCCGGACACTGGACCCTCTCGCGCCACTCAAGTACAAACTACAAAAGCTACTTCCCACCAGAGCTTCAGCCCCAGCCCCCAGGCTTCGGGCCCCAGTCTAGCTCCCCCACCACCCATGCCCACAATTCCAACAACTTCTGCCCGCGTTCTGTCCCATGGGCATGGCGAGCCGGCACAACCAGCCATTCTAATCACGCACCTACTATGTGGTTGTTGCCACCTGGCTTTTCCGAGAGGACACGTGACCGACCTCCCTACCTAACACGACTTGATTGATCCAGCCATTTCGTATTCATCCAATGATCAAAATGGGTAACAATCCAATTGCATCATTTCACTTTTCTCTGAAATAACATCTCTAATTTTTCAAGTTTCCGCATCCTTCTCCCTCGTAGCCTTTCAACAGACACAAAAGTAAACCTCATTATTGGAGTTCTCACAATTGTGACTGGTGTACTTAGCACCTTGCTTGCCTGGGCAATGTGGAAACTCACTCGAGAAGGGAGACAGCGGCGTGTGCGGTGCGCATCAAAGTAAGTCGCACGACTTTCAATCCAAGTACATCATTTAGACGAATTGTGAAGCTAATAACCACTAGCTCCAACAGTTGATTCGGGGGAAATTGAATTTCTTCCTCGTCCGAGGCCGCAGTTTGGATATGAGGTTGCGTTGAGATTTGGGAGAAACGTTTGATGTGGGATGGTGGGATGGTGGGATGGAAGGCGTTTTAGGGTACGTGGTTGGATTTGGGTTTCAAAATCTTCCTTTGCTGGCTCATTAGAGGATGTTGCGTGCATTAAGTTGAGCTAATGAAAACATGACTGGAATCACGACATCGAAGTTTCGCCAATCATCTCGATCCTTTTGATTGATCAAGCAGCCTTGCTTCTGAAAAGTACTCCGAAAGCTCGGGCGTTCATCTAGAGATCATTGCACCATCGTACAGAGTCTGCCTGGCGAGTACTGGTATTGCGGCTAAGATGCGGCCTATCAGTGGTGCAGTCCAGCCGAACGTTCCTACATGCGGCATGATCTTCTGCACTCTGCAGAAAGGTTGAGGAGAGGAAGGCGAGTGTGGGTAGAAGCAGAAACCAGGTCTCGGATCTTGGGATTGCCAGCTGCAAATAGAAGCCGGGCGATGCGGCAGGTAAAATTACCTTCCCACGTATGCTTCCTGTGCTGCTGAGGGTTGGAAAAAGAGATCAAGAAAGGATGGGCATCAGTGGCCTTTTATTTGTTGGCAGTTTTGCGGCCAGTAGCAGTGTACCACTCAGAATCGAAGTGCTCGGTGAGCACTGTTTTTTTTTGGTAGAAGGGTTCCCTGGTCAACCGGCCACCCTAGTCAACCGGCCACACCAAAATATCGACTTTTTTGGCCATAATCGCAGTATCTTTTTTATCTAGGCTTTAATTCGTAATATAATTGATACTATTGATATGGAAGCTCTTCGCCTATAATTAGAAGCTATAAGAATCACTTGTAAGCTCTTTGGTCAACTTTTCTAATTAAATTACTACATAATTTATAGAAAATCAATTTTACTTCTTCTTTACAATACGCTTTGCAGTGGGCTTAATTATCCTTCCACTTGAGCTCTTGATCTCCCAAATCGCCTTGATTCTATTCGCTATCTCCTCTGTCCTCCCATACGTCAAAATCACTACTTTTGATGTTTTCTTTACTACCTTTGTAGCTTTCCCCCGAGATACTCCTGCAGTAATTACAGCTTTGGTAGCCTTTACTGGAGAAATGGCCTTCTTGATTGGCGATACTGGCTTTATAGGAGAATTGAAGAGAAGAGTGAGGTTCTCAAAGGAATCGGGAGTGGCGTATAATGAGGGTTTTGATATATGCGAAGGAACCTTCTTTTTTCGTACTTTCTTGACCTTAAAATCGAAGATTATAAGAGGGTATTTCATGAATCTAGCAAGTAGCTCTTGCTCTTGCATCTCGTGACTCCAAAGGGCTCGATTTTCCAAGGTAGAACCATTATAAGTTCGTACTTCCTCTGGTGCCAGATTGCCCCCTTTTCGATTAGATCTCTCTTTCTTTCGTACTGCAGCCTCCTGAAATTCGGTATTATGATTTTCGAAAGTAATACGTGAAGCCATATTAATTTCAGCTGCCTTGCACATCTTCTCAAGTACTACTTTAGGATCTTGGATTTGGCCAGTCCTATTGAGCTCGCAAATCCTTCTCATATCAAGGATATTAAAAGGGGTTTCTGCCTCCGATTTTGGTACTACTATGAGAGGTATAATTAGACGCGAAGTAGCCGGAAGAGGAGGCAAAGTGCTCATAATTAATAAAGGGAGGAAGGGAACAAGTCCTGCTTTTGCCCAAGCCTTTTGAATATTAATTACAGAAAAAGCCCGATCTCGTGCCTTGATATATACCTCCAAAAATATTAACTTATTAACTGAGTAATTATATCCAAACTTGCAAGTATCGCGAATAAGGCTTTTATAAAAAGATGCTAATATAGCAAAAATGCCAATATCCAAAGGTTAAAGAAGATGTGTTATATGAGGTGGTAAACAAAGGAGTATAATTTTATGAGTAATGCAAAGGCGTATAACCTTACTGCTTATATGTGAAGCATATCCATTAAAAAGTATGAGAATATACTCTCCCTTACGTCTTGCTGAAGACTCAGGAATAAAGCAATCTCTGAACCATTGTACCCCAATTGCATTATCTGTCCAACCATTATATATTATAGTAATATGAGAAAGGGGGTTGTATAATAATAATCGTTAAAGCCAGGCCTTCTTGTACTATACTCCTTTGAATATTATCCAAGGCACCATTATATATCCATCAGTTAATATATACTCAATGACAGATGTCCATTCGCGATTTCCGTCTTATATGTAATAGGACTTTCCCTTGAAGTGTTCCTCCCGAGTAATGATAACCTTGGCCTTTGTAATAACGCCTTGTATAAATCCCTTCTCGTCCATATTATACATATCCGCAGGATCAATATTATAAATCGTAACTAGCGTAGAAAACAGGTTGAAATATCGCTGAAATACTGCAGGATCTTGAGCTGTAGCACGCTCTTTATTTAAGGGAGGGACGAATTTCGATTTGAGTTCAGGGTGGCGTTCCAAAAAGTAAGCTTGCCAATTATGCCCAAGTGGTTTATTATCCTCCTTTGCGAATAATATTTTAACCATCATTCTTCGTAAAGATTCTATTCTCGCAGGGAACCCCCAAGCTTCTAATTGTTGGTACCAGTCCTTCAAAGCTAGCTCTTCCAATACCGTAAGACGCTGCCGCTCCTGTGCCTCCTGAGCCTTCGATTTGGCCCCTTTAATTCTGTCCTGCAAGCTAGACTTGCCAATCTTGTGTTCCCGAGCCAATTGTCTTTGTGATTTCGTATTTTGTGGATCCTCCTATTCGGAATATGCATTATCGAGTCGTTGCGAAGTAGGAATGTCTACTAATGAGAGGGTATCTTCGTTATCTGATATGGAGGGTACTTGGTGAGGTGTAAGAGGTTTGGTGTGGATTTTGACTGTTTTGCGCCCCGCAGGCTTCTTAGAAGCTTTCGTCATCGTGGATCAATGTCTCAAGAGGTGGATAAATGCGAATCACGGAAAGAATGCACCCAATTAAGGATAAAAATGGTGGTGTTGCTGATAAGGATCAAAAAATGGGGAATTTGGGGTGGCCGGTTGACTAGGGTGGCCGGTTGACCAAGGAACCCTTCTAAGGGGACGCGCTCGCTAGAAACAGTGAGTGCCTTACTCCCCCAACTTCAAAGCATTCCCAAGTCTGCTACGCCTCTGCGCCGATAGGCTCCTGTGTGAATCGTGGCCACGCGCAGCACGACCTCCTCTCCACCCACGAGATGCTTAGCTCCAGCCTTTAGAATTGCGCCTCGAGCTGCCGGCCGCCGCCCAAGGGCCACGAAACTCAACTTGCTTCTGCGGCTTCACGAACGCCACGGCTTTTTATTGGAGTGCGACGTCACACAGGCCGCATCATACCACGTGGGACTGCACATCACTGTACGAGTACTCTTCCCCCTCCCTGATTAAAACCAAGCCTTAGCAAGGTAAATAAAGCCACCGTCTGTCTAGAAAGACCTCATGATGGCCAGTGCTAGGTGGCTGATCAGGGTTTCAACCATTCAGAGCACTGATATCAGGGATTGGCCCCACTGTTACATTTATTTGGGGGGGGGGGGGGGGGGGGGGGGAGAGTATTGCACTCTTGAGGTAAACTCCTCTTACCGCTGCTACTGCGTAAGATTTAAAAAGCGGAAAGGCCCCTCTCATTCCACAAACACCCAGACTATTAATTACTAGATATCTAGTTGCTATCATTTTCTCAACTCGAGAACTTCCAACCAGCGTCTGAAATGTGTAAGTAATAAACGAAACACTGCCAACAAACAAGCCACAGCCTGACTGAGCTCATGACCACAGCCTTGTCCAAGCACATCCCGCACCTGCTCCCTAGAAACATCTCGACGGATACAAAAATTAACCTTGTCATCGGAATTTTCACAATAATCACTGGAATACTCAGTACATTGCTAGCTTGGGCAATGTGGCGCCTCACTCGAGACCGCCGGCACCGACATAGCTACCGACACCAAAGTAAATCATACTTATTGTGTTCCCTCGTCCATCGTCCCCCCCCTTCTCTTCTTTTGAATTTGGAAAACGAATTTTTCTAAAAGCTACTAGGTCCAAGAATTGATTCGCCGAGGACTGAATTTGAGCTCTTGCCTACTCCTAGAGCACCAAGACCACAGCTAGGATATGAAGTTGCGTTGAGGTTTGGTGGGACGTTGTGATAGGCTTTCTACTCATCACATCTAAGTGAGCAACTAGGGCTTTCCAAAATACTCCAAAATATTGCTTTCACCCTTCACACGTGCCTCATCCCCGTGCAAACATTCATTCATTCGGCTGACTCTGTCGTTTGTCTCACCACCTTCAGCCATTTGGTTTCACTACACGCGATATTTGCATTCACTGCCACCACAGCACTTCTATTTTTACCCCTGTTCGCTTCCTAGCTGGTCGGCATGTGGAGACGGACAACATCTCTCAACTAAACATAGGCGCCATTTGCTATCAACTACCACGCTGCAAGAAGACTGAATCAGCACTGTATTATATACCCTCCACCATTTACTCAAATGGGTAGGTGTTCAGTGGTTAGCCCGCAAGCCTCACTGCTGCCCCAAGAAATAGCCATTGACAAATGCAACCAATTTATTCCGTGGAGCATTATTCTCCAATCAGCTACTGACTTCAATAACGCTATATCCCCGAGGCATCTCAACTGACACGAAAGTCAACTTAATCATCGGCATCTGCACAATTGTCACAGGTGTACTTAGCACCTTGCTAGCATGGGATATGTGGAAACTCACTCGAGCTGGCAGCCGGAGACGAGCACATGAAAGTAAGTAATTCAAAACAAAAACATAGCTGGGATGAATACAAAATAACAAATGCCACTAGGCCCAACGGTTGACTCCGGAGCGATTGAACACATGCCTAGGCCAGAGCCTCGTTTGCAGGGGTACGAGGTTGCTTTGAGATTCGGGAGGACTCCATGATGGCTTCAAGCTTGTAATAGAGCATATTTGTGATGGATAAATGGTCCTTGAAAAGAAAGAGAAGATATCTCAAAGGAGTTAGGCTGAACGTGGAAAAGGGCGCGGAGGGAGCAGCAAACCTTTTCACGCGAAGAACTTTCCCGGTGGTGGGAGGTCATCGCCCAAACAGAGTAATTGATATAATCAATCCATGCACAATTAAGCCGTCTGTTGGATAGCTCGAGCTCTAATGTTAGACTATGGATCGAGTTGAACGATATGAGGTCCCACTCTGCTTCCACGTCAGCCACTAAGCGCACTGTCCATTGCAGCAGCTCTTGATGCCGAGAGAGGGTAATCCGTAGCTTGTTGCAAGGGATACTTCTGCTGATTAAAAATAACATTGCTACTAACCATTAGATGGACTTTGCGGCTATGCCGCTTTTCTGGTCAACCGAGAAGCTGGGAGGGAGCTCGAATGGGTGGTCCTCTCCTCTGGGGGTCAAGTTACTGGTGTGTCCTCTTCAAACATGGACCCGAGTGGAAGCTCGTCAGGCAGTGATGATAAAATCCTCCTCGAGGGTGAAACATGCAAATTGACGCAGAGACAAGTTAGACTTTTCCAGGTACCCGAAAGTAGAGAACACCCGAGTGAGACAAAGATCTTGGAAAGCGCTTTCTACTGGGCATAAAGTTGGATGTTCACAGAGTATGAAAATCATACGATCCAAAGCCGCGCTCTGATGTCCCTACCCTTTTTTCCAGTCGATCAAATCTTGAATCCAGAATGAAATGGGTATTTGACCGATGGTTGAGGACGAGGCTGAGAGGATTTGGCATGGCCGTGGAATCTGCCTCGCCAATTTTGCGAGACTGTTTCCAGCGCCCAGCTTCAGCCGGGCCCGATCCCATAATAATGAATCCGAGTCTCTGTTCTCCCGCCTGCCGCATTGGGTCCACTCTTCCACCTCCCCTCCACGACGGAGTTGGAACAAAGCCTCTCGGCCTAGCAGGCAGGTTGTGGTCCTCGACCGGCAGCCGGCAATGAGATCCTGGACCCGGACAGATTCACCGCTATAGCAGCAGGGAACATAACGCGCACGATAGGCGAAAGGCCGCACTCCCGCATCCGTATGCTTTTGTGTGCTCTTGTGGGTGGTCGCACGTATTTGTTGACGGCGCAGAACCAGTGAAGAATGAGGATCAATGGTCCTCCGTTTTGCCTTCCATCAGCAGGCGGGGATGATTTCATGGATCCTGATTTGATATGATTCGCGCGACAGTTCGCAGAATGTACATGTGAAGGCTGTAGGGAAACTACACGCTCTTTCTCCCCTCCAAACCCTACCTAGCTACCGTAGCGAGGACCTTTCCTCTATGGTACGAGGGGGGCTACGATGGCGACGAGGCGACAGCGGTGACGAGAAGAGTGGCTCTGCTGTATATGCAGGCCGCGATGGCGACGAGGCGAGAGCGGTTACGAGAAGAGTGGCTCTGCTGCATATGCAGGCCGCGATGCACCTGGCGTTTCTTCCGGAAGACTGGAACGTCAATCTCCATCCCTCCCTCCCACCTGGCAGCCACTCGCGCACTATTTAATTGTCTGGATGGCCTCACCCGCAGCGCTGGATCGCTGCGCACACAAAGCAGATCATCCTCGCTGAGCCCTGCCTTTGGCCAGTCTCATTTAATTTGTTTTGGATACGGGGGTTTCGAACAGATTGCATGGGCCTGAGAGGTCGCGGCCCCGGCGGCGGCGCACCAGGGGCTCAGGGGTGTACCGCCCTGGCGTGGAGGAGCGTGGTGGGTAAGACCACGACCTACTGGAAAAACCCGATATACCCTGCGCTGTTATCAGTAAATCTGATCTACCCTCTCCACCCGCCGCATTAAGCTGACCAATTAATTAATTCGATGAACCTTATGGGCTCCATAACATGTAGGAAGAGTAGGTTTAGCGATGTTTATAGGGCCTGTACGCTATATTTTGGCCCCGGAAAGCTTATAAGGCCTTGTAGTTACAGTGCTTCCTCGCTGCCGGGCAACACTTCTAGCCGCGACCTCCATAGCTATTCCCAATTCTCAAACTCTATAGAACTTTAATAAAAATCTTACTAGAAGTATATTTAAATCGTGAAAATGAAATATATAAGTAATGTATGGAAGTACATAAGTTTATAATATAGATCGCGATTTAATTAAAATTGCGATCACTAAAAAGTGGCAGCGTTGAGGGTATTTAGGGTACTTTAGGGGGCGATGGCGATAGCGATAGCGACGTTAATAAGGACATTAATGGCCTAATAATCCCCACCGACCAATTGGCCAGCTTAATGCAGCGGGTGGAGAGGGTAGATCGGATTTACTGATAACATAGCAGGGTATATCAGATTTTAGGTCGTGTCTGGGCGAAAGGTCTGACCCTGCATTAACAGGGGGTCAAGGGTCGGATTACTGTTGGAACCAATGTCTACGCGAGAAAATTGTTGTTGGACTGCAGGTGCGAACTGGTGCTGCTGCTAGTGCTGCTGGTGCTGCTGGTGCTGGTGGTGGTGGTGGTGGAGCCGTCCAGAGCTCGGGCAGAAAAGGCAGGCAAAGGTCGTCTCCACCCCTGCTCGCGGGAAGCCGTCACCTGGCGCATGCTTCGAATATGCTTCGAGATGAGCACATCTGATAATAACGCCAACGCAATATTTAAGAACAGCAAATTCCCCTCACACTTCGCAACATCCAGCCTATCATTTATATGAAATCGACTACTCAATCCATTCCCTCAGCCTTTTTAAAGGTTCCAACCAACTCCTGAAATGGGTGAGCATTGTACCAATCATAACCGAACACAGAAGCCACAGCCTTGCTGACCCCTCTGCCACAGCCTCGTCACTATCAATAGACACGAAAGTAAACCTCATAATCGGGATCTTCACCATAGTCACTGGCACACTCAGTACTTTGCTGGCATGGGCAATGTGGCGTCTCACTCGAGATCGGCGGCATAGACATGGACAGGAACATGGACGTCAAAGTACGACACCTTAATGCAAAGAAGTTTTGGAAAACAAGTACTGATAGCCACTAGGCCCAACAACAGATCCAAGGGCGATCGAACTCCTTCCTGCTCCCGCAGGGCCAAGACCAAGGCTGGGATATGAAGTTGCGTTGCGGTTCGGTGGGACATTGTGACTCCCAAGGCTTGGGAAAGGAGTTGGGCGTCTGTACTCTGCAAAACAACCTCCACATCGAACAAAACAACAAACTTCCTTCCCTCAACCACCCTTCTTCCCCCTAAAGAAACCCCCTAAGCTTCCCATCAACTCGCCAAATTTCTTCTCCCCACTCCCCTCCACAAGACCCTGCTGAATCCATCCCGGTAACTTCCCCTTCACTCTCGCCCCACTGAACCTCACATCAACCATAACAATAGCCGCATAATCCCCCTTATGCCTAATAGCCCGTCCAATACTCTGGTTAACAGCCCTCATACAACTATTCTCATAGAAGTCCCTCCCCGCTTCCTTCGCCCTCTTCTCCACCTCACCCCTCTCCACCCCCTCCCCCTGCAACCTCACTCTCGTAGATGTTTCGATATACTCCATCTTCGCTTGGATAGATGCGGAAGCGATGTTTGGATATGGCAATCCAATGATGAGGACGCAGCGGCCGAGGGCATCGGAAAAGTTGATTCCTTCGGACATTTTGCCTCCTACTACAGACAACAATAACCCGCCTTTTCCAGAATCGATGGCTTGAGCATATTCTTGCAGAACGCTCTCAGAGCTAGCTTCTTTGCTTTCTTTGAAGAGTGATTTCTTGCCTTCTAGTCTGCTTAAGATTGATGGTTGAGTAGGGCTCGGAGAAATTCCCCACCGTGAGAGAATGGTTGAGAGGTAGGCGTAAGAGGGGAAGAAGACCACGAGGCCGTCGGGAACAACGGTACATATGTTCAATAGAGCACGACCAAGCTCGTCGATCATCTCATTATCTCCTCGATTGCTGAACGTGAAGTTATATTCTTTTCCTGAAGGACCGCGAGATAGGGTCCAAGCAAGGAGGTTCGATGAAGGGATCACGTGGCCGCATGATAATGTGGTGATTTGTGAGGGTGGGAGAGAGGGGAAGAGTGTGGTGTAGTAGGGTGCGAAAGGGGACATTGTTCCGCCCGCTAGGATGACGGAGCGGCATTCGGAGACGATCTCGGAGAAGGAGGTGGAGGGGTCGAGAAGTAGGTAGGAGAGGGAGATGTTGCTGGGTGGGAGTTTGGTGAAGAAGAGGCGGCCCTCTTTACTGGGGTTAGTGAGAGCTGAAAGGAGGGACGAGATTTGGTGGAGGACGGGTGTGCTGGTCGTTTGGGAGTTCTTGGGTGCGGAAGATGGTTGGGTTCTGGTTGCTTCGGTCTCGGTGTAGATCGCGTAGCTTTCTACTTTTCGGGCGAGTTTGCTTTCTGAGAGGTAGCGGATTAGTTTGAAGAGGTTGATTTGATCGACACCATTCCCAGCTAGGAGCTCTTTTTCGGAGACTGTGCCATCTGCTTTCTATCCGGAGTCTTAGCATTGCAGCATTCTCAGAAGGACGAGCAACATACTGGCTGTGCCACCCTTCCCTCCAGATATCCAACAAGAGAATCAATCACTCGTACCGCCTGAGCAATATAAACTCGATTCTTGCCCTTTAACCGGTTTCGAAATTTTTGCAGATACACGCCCAGCTGTGTTCTTGCTCGCTTCAGTTGCTTCAGGCTGACTTCAACACCATGAATGCCTGAGATAGCATCCATCAAGTTATGCGCTTCGTCAATGATTACCACATGACCCTTTAAGCTGATACCAAGGGCCTCTCTTGCACTCTTCTGTAAGAGTAATGGATAAGGTAGGGTCACAATCTCAGCTGGCTTGATGGCCGCTCTTGAAGCGTAATATGGACAGATACCAATCTCTTTCCCGAGAGCACCCATATCCTCGATATCGCGGATACTAGCGAGAGCATGATCTCGGAAAGTGTTGACGAGAGGCTGATTCTCTTTGTTGGGAAGAAATGCACATTTATGTTCTTTAGCGGTACTTGACTGCTGAAGCTCCGAGCATCGTTCATTGATTGCTGTCAGTGAGTTGAGTTTGTTGACGGAAGGGTTGATGCAGAGGTTCTTGCGTGATCCAAGAGTGAGATGCTTTAAGTCTTCGATGTCGGTGTCTTTAGTAGACTCATCCCAAATAGCCGGTGGGAATTTCGGTCGCCGGAGTTCGTTGATGAATTGAGTGAGTTGAGAATGAGTTCGAGAACAGTAGAAGATCTGAGATGTCAAAATAATTCGGATGAGTGAAGTGTGATTGCTTACTTTGATCTCATCTTCAACCTCATCTTCTTCCTCGGCGGTATTAGTGAACCCCAGTCCGAGTTTGTTCATCAATTCTAATGTGGCCGCGGAAAAACCAGTAGAAGCCACTCCCTTCTGGACACTGCTTTGCTCTCGGTCACTATCATAATCTTCTAGAACGAACTGTTCTTCATCATCATCGCCTCCCTTTTCCGCCTCTGTTTTTCGTCTCTTGAACGCTTGGTCACCTTTCAGATACCTTTCCCGTTGAGCTTTCTCCTTGGCCCGGATCTTTGCTAATCTGGTTTCCATATCTTCGCGCTGGCGAAGTATTTCTCGCCTCTTCCGGGCTCTGGCTTGCTCGATGATCCATTCTGGTTCGTTGCTATCTATTCTGAGTCAGAATTGGAACGCTGTACCATGACGCTGCATACCATTTTGACCCCAGTTTAAGCCTTCTTCGAAAGCTTTTCCCTTAAGGTCACGAAGCCAAGTGAGAGCTCCGCATATGAGACTTAGAGATTTGCCCTATAGAGATAATGAGCTTCGATATCCATGAAGCCAAAGTCAGGAACGAATCGAGCAAAACGCAAATGCTAGGAGTTGTCTTACTGAGAGCAGCTTCAGCTATCACGTGCTGTTGAAGTAGAGTCGGCACTCACAGTTCCAGTTGGACTCTCCAAAATCCCCACTTTGCCCTCTTCCAGTACTTGATAGACCGTCTCCATGAATGTCTCCTGAATAGCATAAGGCGTGTATGGATGATGGAAATCATGTGACTTCTCCATCCTGTCTCCGATGCCCGACATGGTTGCAGAGGGCTCCCGAAATAGATATAAGCATGAAGACCGAACTGGACGCAATAAAAGCCAGTCTCTTTGGCGTTGTATCGGTGAGATTGTCTCTGGTAGAAATGATCGCGTGTTGGGGCTGTGTTCAAACGCGCTTCACGCTTCTGCTTGGGGTGAAGAAACCCTCAGCCTCACCACTTGAGACACGACGGCGTAGGCTCTCCAGCCTGTCAAGGTAGACTTCCTCCCGACGCCTCACTCACAGCATCTGTAATATTGCTGTTTGCAGCTGTCAAATCATCATCGTGTGGCAAGTTGACATTAGGACGGGGTAAATGGTCTTGTTGAAGGCGCGGCGATTAATCTTGGCCGAGCTCCTGCCGCCAGCCGTGTTCCGTTTGTGCTGTGAAGTCTGAATGTGATCTTAGGGTTTCGCCGTTTCAGGTGGGATCTTGATTGTAGTGCTGGCACGGCTGGCTCGGCTGGCTGTTTGCTCAGCGCCAGTGTTGACGTGGTGCTACAGTAAGTACTTCGTATCCTGGAGCCGAAAGCACCGGAACGTATCCGAGGAATCTCGAGAGAGCGAAAAGGGGTTCATCCCGAGTAGTGCCCGTCCACGTGGAAGTGGTTGACAGGGAAAGTACTGGGGAGTCTGGACTAATTTCTGCTTTCGAGAGGGCAATGAGCGGAAGCACAGGAGACCTGATGTCAAGGACGCGTGGAAACGGGACAAACCCACAAAATTTGGTTTCGCCAGGGGTTGTGGCTCAGCCTCGCAGCCACAGGCCGCCACGCCGCCTCGTGGTGTTTCCGTGATTGCGTTGTGCCCAAATCTTGTGTGGTCTTAGGTGGCTTCATAAACGACGAGGCGCCCCTCCTAAAGTTCTATTTCCTCGATCTTGCGATACCTCAGAATCACTTCCTGTCGTCAACTGCGTCCGGCCGCCCCACGCACCTCCATGTTCTCGGGGAAGATCAGCAACGATGTCATCCTACCAGGGGTGGTATGACCGCAGGCCGCATCCGGAGACGTATCAGGGGCGACAGGGGCAGCAGTCCCGGCCCCAAGCAGGCGAAAGCCTTCCTCAGATCAACTGTGAGTAACGTGAATCTGTCTCCCAATTTAGGCCCAATCCTTCGCCGACAACGAGCCTCAAAAGGAACGTCTCGCGCCCCAGCATCCGACACATCTTCTCACCACCGACGGGTTCTCGCCCTTGTTTGTTGCTTTTTTACGTTTCACGCGCCGCAGATTCACCCGTATTCGTTGTTCCGGCATTGACGAAGCTTGCAGGTCGTATCAGGGCTAATAATAATCTGGCAGATCCCCCAGGCCCTTACAATCAAGGCAGTCAGCAGAACCCCTCATATGCCCAGCCCGAAAGGATGGCAGACAGCAAACCGCAACTCGGTGCCACCTTTTATCCCGGCGGAATGGACGACTTTTATATGCCGGAGGTCATCTCTCCGCTTCCCCAGAGGTATGATTGAGCCTTCAACATTCCATCGATATTTTCGCGCAATATGCCGCTCAGAAAGAAAGATGCTGGTCCCCAACTGACGAATTCGAACAGGCACATGCCAGAAGTTCCATCAAACATGCAGGAAGGCCTGGCGAATCTCGAACTGAATGCGCAGAATTCCAGAATAGGCTCATCATCGGCCACATTCTCTCAGCCAGCGCAGTCGCCATACCTCGATCAACGAAATCTTGACCAGCGAAGGTCGAATCCACAGCGACCGATCCTCCCAGGCTTCACAGCGAGTTACGAACATACAAACGCTTCTGCGTATCAAAACATAAACCGGGATCAGAACGGAGGGCCACGCGCAGACCAAGAGTCGCCCAAGTTCAGCCCCTTTCCGAAGCCACGAAACCCGGGGCCCAATGTGCCACTCTCTGATGAGGACAAGGAGGAAGTGCTCGAGAGGGCGAGAACTATGGTCTTAAAGTCTACGGATCCGGAGATACAACTGGCGTGGGCGCAGGATGCATTGTCTTGGGTCGAGGTGGCTAGCCAAAGTGCTTCGCGGGACGTTGCAGAAGGGCAAACAGGAAGGCCTATTACGCCGAAGGTCGCGCATCAGTTGAGGGAGGATGCGCTGAATATTGTCAACTTTCTAGCAGACCAACACCATCCTAAAGCCGAATTCATGAAGGGAATGTGGCTCGAATTTGGAAAATTTGGCTTCCGCGTAGAGAAGAAGGAGGCATTCATGGCATATAGGAGAGCTGCGGAGAAAGGATATGCTCGAGCCGAGTACCGGATAGGCATGCAGTATGAGTCGGCGAACAACTCAGCAAAGGCCATCGAACATTACCAGAAGGGCGTGGCATTGAAGGATTCAGCTTCGAGATACAGACTGGGCATGATGACTCTGCTCGGCCAGCATGGGATGTTGCAGGATTATCAGCGCGGGACTGATCTTATTCGACTTGCTGCGGCCACTGCAGATGAGAATGCACCTCAAGGAGCTTACGTCTACGGCATGCTACTTTCGAGGGAGTTGCCAAATATCGATGTTCCGGAACAATTCCTTCCATTTGACATGAATGACGCTAGATTATTCATCGAGAAGGCAGCCTATCTGGGTTTCGCCAAAGCACAGCTGAAGATGGCACAAGCATATGAGCTTTGTCAACTCGGTTGCGAATTTGAGCCAGCTCTCTCGTTGCATTATGCTGCCCTGGCAGCCCGGCAAGGGGAATCTGATGCTGATATGGCAATCAGTAAATGGTTCTTGTGTGGATACGAAGGCATCTTTGAGAAGAATGAGGAGCTGGCTTTTACGTACGCCAAACGAGCCGCTGGAGCAAAAAACGCCACTGCAGAGTTTGCCATGGGCTACTTCTACGAAATTGGCATCTATGTGACTGCGGATCTGCGAGAATCGGAGGCTTGGTATCAGAAGGCGGCTGCGCATGGCAACACAGATGCACTGGGAAGAATTGAGAGCATCAGAAAGAACAATACATTCTCAAAGAAAGATCACGAGCAAATTGCAATTACGAGGATCAAATCACAATACGGATCTCAACGGGGAAAGAGACCTGAACGATTTAAGCAGAAGCCAGCTCCTATGCAGTCCATGGCGGAAGCGGAGGAAAGAACAGAAATGCCAGATCCAAGAGATCCAAGAAATTCATTTGGAAATGCGGCTCCTCCTAGGCGGGTTTCGCCAGCCGGCAGGCCAGCATCTACTGCACCATATCCTGAGGACGACGGACCGCCAGTGCCTAGTGCTTTCAATGCAGGACTGCGACCGAACCCTGCCTCTGGACCACAAGCAGATAGACCTTCCTCAGCATTTGGTATCCGGCCTCTAGTTCACTCTAACACAGAGACCATGAATCAAGGTTTGAGGCCTCGAGAGGCGATGAGACCTAATACCAGTATGGGCAACATGCCTCTTCCTGTAGGTCGAGGCAGCACGCCGGATGGTAGGGGTCGAGTCATCTCCGCAGGATGGGAGCCACAAATTCCACCCCAGTTCCGCCGTGACCCTTCTCCAAATCCAAACCATCAACGACTCCCCTCCCTCAATGTAGATTCTTCAAACTACGGACAGAAACCTCTCCCTTCACCAAACTTGAACAAACCTCAACCATCACCAGGCTATGACCAATACGGCAGACCGTCGCCTCAATCAGCAGGATTCTCACCTCAGCCGGCGGGATATAATTCTCCAGTCCAGAGACGAGACCCAGCTGCGAATTATGCCCAGCGACCTGAAAAAGGAAGTTCGATGACACCTACAACTGGTACTCCCACGATGCAACAGCGACCAGATCGATTCGATTCTATGCCACCTCCCCAGCAACCAGGTCGTGCAACGCAACGCCCGCCACAGATAACCATGTCTTCACAAGGAAATGGTTCAAGACCATCTCCAATCTCATCTTCGCAAGGCAGACCCTCTCCAGCCCCACTTTCACAAGCTTCTTCCGTCCCACCATCAGCTGGTGGTGGATCAAATAATTCTGCTTCATCAGGACCACCGAAAAAGCAGGGCCCAGCCACATTCGAGGAAATGGGCATTCCGGCCACGAAGAAGGACGGTGATTGTGTAAGTCTTTCCCATCCATCCCATCCCCCAGCAAGCTTACTAACGATAAATAGGCGATTATGTGATTTTATTCCAAAAAAGGTGCGATGGTTTGGTTTGGCGCCATCAGAGAGCGAGCATTGTTGGAGTTTAGGGATTGCATACATATCATGTCTGCTATGAAAAGGAAGGACGAGAAAGAAAATCAGGATTGGAATGAAACGGGGAATGGGAAGGGGATAAATATGCTCTGAGTAGAAATGATACCCTCGCGTTTTCCACGCTACTTCTATCGCTGCTTTTTGCGTGTCGAGGAGCTAAAAAGTGGCTCTCGCTTAGCATGCATTCCCGATTTGTTGACTTCACTTCTTGGCAAGGCTGCAGCTCTCCTCCTCCTAATCACCGTGGAGGTCTTCCATCAATTCCTATAATTTCCTCATCAACTCGTGCGTGTCAATTGCCTCTTAATCATTACCTACTACTGAAGTACGTCTACAGTTCGATCTATTCACCTCCGGAACTACACGTGCTGCCAACATGGCACCGCGCAAACCTAAACCCGACGACGATGCCTCCAGCAACACCTCGGAACTCCCACCTGTCCTGAAGCCCAAGAACGAGAAAGCGAAGGTTACGAAGCCTAAGGCTGAGAAGGCGAAGAGCGATAAACCCAAGGTTGAGAAGCCAAAGGCTGTCAAGAAAGAGAAGGTCGAGAAGGATGGCGAGGCTGCAGGAAAGAAGGAAGTTAAAGCTGATGGAGCAAAGAAGGAGGGCGATGGCAAGAAAGTAGGGGAGAAGGAGAAGGTGAAGGCGGTTAACGGTGAAGAGGCGATCGAGATCATGGCTCGGTATCTGAAGGAGCAGAATCGGCCGTATAGTGCTACGGAGGTCAGTGCTAATTTGCATGGGAAGGTTTGTCTCCTCTCTCTCCTTATCTTGGTGGTACCTCCGTGTAAAATTGAAATGGGTGTTAATGGGAAGACAGGTCACGAAGACGGTAGCGGACAAGCTGCTCAAGGAGATGGAGCAGAATGGGCAGATCGTGGGGAAGGCTACAAAGAAGGATGGCGGTGGACAGTGGGTTTTTTGGGGTTTGCAGGCTTGTTCTCTCCTTCTCTTCCTACCAACATCCCTTGCTAACTACGAGGCAGGACGCAGCAGATACCCTCTCCCCCGAACAACTCGCTTCAATGGACGAGCAAATCAACACCCTCAAATCCAGCATCCCTTCCCTGAAAACCACCCAACGCAATTTAACACTCAAACTGAACACGCTCCTCTCTGCTCCAACAACTGCCGCTCTGCACACCTTGATTTCTTCCATACAACAAGAAAATAAGCTCAAAGCCGAGAAATTGCGCGAATTCAAGGAGGGAGCAGTGAAGATGGTGACGAAGGAGGAGGTTAGCAAGGTTGGCAGGGAGGTCAAGGAGTGGGCGGTCAAGAGGAAGAAGAGGATGGATGCGTTTAAGGGGTTGGAAGCTATGTTGATGCAGGGGCCGTGGTCAAAGGAAGAGCTTTGGGAGAAAGCTGGGGTGGAGGAGGATTGTTACGTGCCGCCGAGTGAGAGGCAATTGCTTACTCCTAAGTACTGAGGGAATGTGAGGTGCGTGGTTTTGAGGAGAGATAAGTTGATGATTTGATGATCCGATTTGCTGGAGTGGAGTAGAGTGGCATTTGGCTTTGCATCTATGGATTGATAGAAGGGGTCCGAAGTGAGATGGATGGCGTTTATTGCTGGAGATGGGTGGATAGAGTTCGGGTATACCCACACATTGCTACCTAGACTCGCTGCTACTTTACTAGCTAGATGATACGATAATACAATACTTGCGGATGATGCCATGTTCTCCTTAATCCAAATACCCGGCAAAAAAGAACAAGAAGTTACACACTTTAGGTAGATAAAAAGGTGGAGCATTTTCAATGTCCCAGTATTTCGAATGCAAATCTTACCAAGAAAGTACGGGCATTCAGACCCGGATTCAGTAGCATCATCTTCTCACTCTCCAGAGCAAGTCCCTCCATTCTTCCCCCCCGCGCCCCCTTCTTACAAAACATACTCAAGCCTAGGTAGGTATGGCCTCGAAGTACCACCCTAGTCAGCTGACCCGTCCTACCCCTCCTTTCCCCTCCAAGGTTCCCCGTACACAAATACACAACCTTCGCACATGGCATCCACACCTCCAGACCTCCGGCACTTCCGAACCCAGGAGCTGATCAACAATACTCCGTGCCCCAAGATTTGCAAAAATAATCCGGATCTGGGTTGAACACCGGAGAGCACGTGGCAGGTAGTGCAGCCTCGAGTGAGACAGCCTTACGAATTGGTGAGGGGGTGCGGTGTTGCATGTGACACCCTACCCTTGGCTACCCCGGAAACGCCATCACAGATTCTGGAATCCTGGAATTGTGGTAGTGGGAGGGAGGGAGGGAGGGAGGGGGAGGGACCGAGCCTTTCGGTACGGCTGAGAGCGAGGACGGCCGGCAAAAGGGAGGGAGGAGAACGGGCCGGTGACCTGGCGCTCGTATCCGTGTCTCAGCGTTCGTGATACTCATGCCTCCTTTCCCACTTTCTAGATTCAAAACTGTGCGCCGAGCAGTGTATTTAGAGTCTGTGGCGGCGCGATGGCGCAAAGCTGGGGACGGCGCCGGACGTCGAAGGGGGTGCGAGGTAGGTAATATGCGTCTTGATGTGGTATTGCGAGAAAGGGGGGAGGGTGTGGACAGGTGTGGCTGAGCTTGGGCGTTGCTCCAACCAGTGAGCGTGGTACGCGGTGGAGGTGTGTGGGGGGGCGAGGCTTGTGCCGAGCGAACGGAAATGGGCGAGTCAGGCTTGGCTTCACATGCTGGATGGGAGTAAGTGCGCGCGAGTCGACGACAGGAGTCAGATGATTGATTTCGAAGATGGCGATGATGGATGTAGATCATGCTTCTAGTGCATACTTATGGCATTGTTCAAGGCATGTTTGGCCTTGCCTTGATTTTCGAAAGTGTAGGCAGAGGGGGGAGAGTGGGGGAGAGAAAAGGCGAGAGCTCGGCTACTTGCAGCAGTCCTTCAGTTGGATCGTGTTCGAAACGCGGTGCGATGTGATCGATATTCGTGTTAGTAGTGTCTTCGATTTGAGGCTAGCAAGATGCAAATGAAACAGAACACCCTCTAAAGATAGCTATATGGAGACGCTGATAATGCGGCCTTGCTTGATCGGGTATGGGGAGAGAGGATGCGTGATGTGCCGGTGAGTGTGGCTGTCATGCTGACCCGGATGGGAGCGACGACGACATGATAAGAGAAGTGTCCTCAGGGAAAGAACGGAGGGTAGATAGATACAGGAGAGGAAGATGTCGTGCTCAGATTCTGTGGGACATTTTTCGCGGTCACGAGACTGCCTCGTTGTCTGTACCTTAACAGCCTTCTCCCGCCTTTTGCTTGTCCCAAGCCCAGCTCCCAGTCCAATTCAGCCTATCAACGGTCGGCGGCCCTCTTGAATTGATTGTTACACGCGTGAAGCGCACATCTTTCCTCAGAGATAGGACGAGAAGCCGCCCCGAGCTGGACCCTTTGCTAGCCGTCTTATAGGCAAGGATCCGTCGATACACTGCAGGAGACTGGAGGAGAGGTCCGCCTCGTCCCACAGCTTCCTTATTAACCGCAGAAAAAGCACATTTGTGCTAAAGCCTCCACCGACTCTTCACCTCACCGAGCACCGACCGGACGAGAAGGAAAGAGAAGCACAATCGAAGGAAAGAGGCGGGAATCGAGCCATTAAGCTTACTACCACTTGTGATTTCCGTTAACGGGGCAAAAGTCGTCACTAGCGTTCCCGTTTCGAGGACCCGGCGGTGAATCTCGAAATTCGTCTGTGCTTGAACGTCGACCAGAGCTCGCCCTGCTCCCACAACCCAGTCTCGAACTGTGTCACAGCCCCATACCGAAATCAGCGTCGACAAGGCGATCAGCCAACCTCGAGTCTTGATCTGCGTGTCTACCTAGGACTCATTGTCTCCATTCTCTTCCTTAGGCGAGGGTTCCAAAGAGCAGCCCTCCACGCGACAGCAATCCCCCACCTCGGCGCGGGGTCGCAATACCAGCCTCATCTTTTGCACACTTCGACAATAAGAATTACTGCTCTGCGACTGTTGGGAACTATGTTGAGCCAAGGCAGCCAGAGAATGCCGACCGAGTACAGGCATATGAGTACAGGCTCTCTGAATATTCCTCCGCCAAGTGCGCTTAATGGTTCCGGCGGTCCTACAACACCAGTTGGCGGTATGGGAAGATTTGAAGGTCCTCGGAGCCCGCCTGGAAGACAGAGTGGGTTTATGGCATGATTTGGCACAGTGAGAAGTTCATGCTAACATCCAAAAGACACCTCCCACGTACCGTGCAAGTTCTTCCGGCAAGGCGCATGTCAGGCTGGAGCTGCTTGCCCTTTCAGCCATGATCTAGCAAGCACAAATGACAATGTCTGCAAGTACTTTGCAAAGGTGAGCAGCTTTCCCTCCAGCATTTCGTTAATTAACTAATTGTGAAGGGTAACTGCAAATTCGGTCCGAAATGCGCAAATATACATGTCCTGCCCGACGGTCGCCGAGTAAACTACAAACAAGGAGGAGCGATGAGTGGCGGACATCTGAATATTGGAGGGCGGTTGCACACTGAATTATACCACCCGCAAAACTCGGGCTCGGCCTTGACAAACTCTTTCATTCGTGCCAATGCGGTACCGCCCTCGCCATATGGCACCCAATATTCACCCTTCTCGAACCAGGATGAGAGTTTCCCACCTCTCGGAAGTCGTCAGCAGAGCGTCGATATTATGATCCCGACTATTGACACAACTCACCCCGGCTCGAATTATGGTTCGCCGAGAGATGAGGATTTGAATCGATTTGGTCTGGGACTATCTCCCGGTGGCCAGAAGGGTTTGAGTGTCTTGGATGCCCCATTGCCGGCTTCGTTTGATAGCAATGGTGTTTCTTGGATTGCAAGAAATGGCCCGATAGCTTCGTCTGTTCCAGCAAAATTCGGCCTCGAGTCACCACCTGGATCACTTGGAGCTGCAAAGGATGGAAGAACATCAGAAGCATTGAAGAGTCTACACAGCTCGGCATTTGGAGACGATACGAGAGACCGCTTCAACGGCATCGCAGCCTCGCCACCCGCACCTCCAGTAGAAGAATACTTCGGCAAGAGAGTCATGCATTCCCAGCGTTTCGCCAAATCAAAAGCCATGTCAGCAAGTCTGCCCAAGCAAGTCGATCACGACTGGGAGGCATCCTTCACATTTGAAGAAGACTACCTGCCCGAAACACTCAAAGACCTTATGACGCCACAAGAAAAAGCCCGCCGCGGCTCCCGCAATGCAGACGAGGAAGGCCGCCCCATCAACAGCGGCACAGGAACACCCAACAACGACACGCCCTCTAAATTCGGGTCGCCATCCAACGCAAGCCCGTCGAGATGGGGACCCCTATTCCAGCGACACCAACAGCAAAAAGAAGAGGAAGAGCGAGCGGCTGCTTCAAGAGCTTCGGCTTTTGGACACGTTGGGTCGCCGCTTCGCAATTCGAGTCTGCATCCTGGTGCTAGCCCTAAGAGCCGACCGATAGCGAGACCGAGTAATTCAGGCGATATCTCACCGTACCTCGCTTCTCCACCTCGACAATCGAGTATGAGCATCATCTCGCAACAACTCCAACGAACACGCCTCTCGAGAGCTGAATCCTCAGGTTCAGATTCCGGTCTTCATCCGAGCAGGGTGTCGAGTAACCCAATCGGTAGTGGGGCCGCGAGAACAGGCCTGATGGCTGAGCGACAGGTGAGCTCTAGTTCGATCGGTAATGGCGGAAGCGGCAGGTTCACAACGCCGATCGATGAAGAAGGCGGCGACATCATGTTCAGCATGGAAGGCATGGATGACGAAAAGAGTGGAGGCGAGAAGCGGAATAGTGGGGGTTGGACTTTCACAAATAGCGGGGGAAGAAGTCCGCATTTGGGGGTGGTGGGGAGTAGGAATGGTGTCAGTGGTGGTGCGGAGAAGAATGGGAATGGGAATGGGAATGGGGCGGTGAAGGGCGTTGAGGGGATGTTTGGCGCGCGGTGACCGCCTTCTCGACATCTCGACAGACATCTCAGCAGCACAGGAACTTTTCTTTTCGTTCATACTTTGGCCACTTTTGCACACTTGTACCATAGACAGGATTCGGCATTTCACGCATTGGGTTTAGGTAGTTGGTTTTGGCTCGGCATCAGGTTGGGAAATTTGGCGTTCAATTTTTTTTCGGACTCTTTTTTTTTTTGGCGATTATTTTGGGAGAAGTCATATCTGGGGTAGAGGGGAAGACTTGAACCGGAGATAGAATGGCATAGGGAGTGGAAATACAAGACAGTCTGATATAAACATTGCGTGTGTGCGAGTGAGTGAGTTGTGCGGTGAGAGAATGAATGGGAAAGTGGTGAGTGCTGATTACCTAGCTTGGTGAGTCAACGGCGATTGAATAGAGTATGCGAGGAGAGAGAGAGAGAGAGAGTCCTTCTTCACATCCCCGGACTAGCCAGGGAATGCAATGAAAGATAATGTGGGCATCGCTCAGAGGCAGTGTAATACTGAGGATACCCCTTTGAAAGTTTCCAAAAATTATGTTATTGGTGACCGAAGTCTGTGTTTTTTTGGGGTTTTTTTTGGTTTTTTGTGTGCGGGCGCGAAACCCGTAAGGCAGCGAGTGTGTAAGAGGGGGAGACTGCATGTGCTGATGTCTGTTTCTCAACGAAGCGGGAAAACTGCCTGGTTGGGGGAAGGCTGTAAAAATGAAAATAAGGAGGGTGTACTAGAGGGATTAGCTGGCGGAAGAGATGGTGAACGGAGGATGCGTGCGTGTGCTAGGAAGGGTTGCGAGAAGGAAGACGGGCATAGGCTGATGTCTGTTAGATTTGAAACGAAGAAACAAGAGGGCGTGATAAGGGCAAAGAATGAAGAATGCGTGCGTGGGTGTGTGCGAGTAGGGTTGGGGAAAGATTCAAAAGCAGACGCGCATAAGCAAATGTCTTATATTAGTAAAAAGGAATAAGAAGGGGTTGCGGTGAAGAAAAATATGAAGAAAGCGTGCTTGGAGGCCAGGGATAAAATGAAGAATAAACCCAGATGTGAAAAACGAAGCTGGCAAGTAAGGTTTATAAGATAGGTCTTTAGATGACAAAGATGGTGAAGATGTAATAAATGTAAATTGCGAGATATATTTGAGGCTGCAAAACGGAAGGGTGCTTGATGCTAAGGGTGCTGAAGAAACAAATTTGAGGAGATTGGAGAAGGGAAATGGAGTTCTGTGGGGAGATGGGGGGTTTTTAAAATGTGTGGATGGGGGAGGGCTAGTTCGGATGGAAATGAACTATGGATCGTTGTGACTCAGAGAATTCACGTTAGGATGATTGGGACTAGGTACCGGACTCATCAACTACTAGACCACTGGTGTGAATCACTTTGGATGAGTTTCTGGGTTCCGAATTCTAGGCTAGCTCTGTTTTGGTGGATGACTACCTGCTGTTGCCGAAGGCTATTGAGGCAGTCGCAGACGCATTCTCACCACCATGACGTGTAAAAGAAAATCGAGGAAGGTAGAGCCCTTCTCAAAAATCTCTGCGTAAACTCTTTAATCGTACGGAAAAGCTCGCACAGGATACATCCATACAATTCTCCGTATCTCCCGTCTCCATCCCTTTAATACTACTCATTCTCAACCCAACACCTCCCAGCGCACCACTTCCCAAACCCCACACTCGGACTATCAATAAACCGGGTGAACAAGTCCGCGCTCCAGATAGTCGCGCCTCCCCAAACAATAACACACTTCACAAAATCCCACCAGAACATCTCCGGCGGTTGCGAGTCCGCGTGTTTGCGCATGTAATGTCCGATGCTGTAGAGCATGGGGCCGTGCATCATGTACAGGGAGTACGAGATGTCTCCTAGGTCTTGGGCGAGGGGGGTTGTGAAGGGGAGTTGTAGCAGGCCGCTAGGGCTGGAGGAAAATGGCAATGGAGGGGAGAAAGATAGGGAGACAAGGAGGATGAGCGAGCCGACCGTGCCCCAGAATTTCGCAGTGTACCAGGGGGCTATCTCTGTGCGGTATTGAGGTGGTGTCATGGCGTGGATGCGTCGCCATCCCGGGGTGGACTCGGGTTGTTGGTCTGGGATTGAGATGAGGTAGAGCCCAGCGAAGAAGAGCGGGATTGTGAGGAGGTGGAGGAAGAGTTTAGAGTATTTGAGGAGGAAGGGTCGGGGGCGAGGAGGTGTGGATGTAGTGGATGGTGGAGAGAGGAGGCTAGTTGAGTGAGAGGGGAAGAGGTCTCGGCGGAGGAACTGGAGTTCGGCGAAGAAAGCTCCTCCGAGAAAGAGGCCAAGGTCCCATTGGCCTATCCAGAGCGTGTATAAGACGAACATGCCTAGAAAAAATGTTTTAATTGAGTTCTTTGTTTTGGCGATGGCTAGGAGCGTGAGAAAAACGACCATGGATCCACGGAATTCATAAGGGATCGTCCAGAGATGGACGTCGTAGGGTGTTTCTTGTGGGATCGGATTGCCGGGATTGATCATCTGGAATGGGTTAGTTGACGCGAGGAGGTTCAGATACCAGTCATAGAACTGGGCTGGCCATGTTGAAGCATGGATGGGCAGCTTCCCCTTATATTCTCGCGGATATACATGAGTAAGTTCGAAAATGAGGGACAAGAACGTCGAAGCCGTGATTGGGAGGAAGAGCCGGACGCCTCGTCGGAAGGCTGAAGATGCCAAGGTGTCGAAGATGGCTGAGAAGTCGCAAGGGCGAGACCGCATGAGTTGCAGCGACTTGTTGGCGAGAACGTAGCCTGATATGACGAAGAAGACGCAAACCATTCCGCTACCTGAGTACCAGCAGCGGAGGATGGGAAGTTGCATGAAGTGGTTGCTATCTGGCACTGTGTCGTATCCATGGAAGAGAATGGGAAACCAATCATGGAATAGATGATCCTGTAGAAAGCATGAGGATATTTGCAAGATAGCTAATAACCACGCTCTTACCTGTGTAACAAAAAATGCTGCCACTCCTCGAAGCCCATCAAGGTATGATGTTGGATATAATTTTCGTTTCTCTGACTTTCGAAAGAAGCTTGGTATTAATGCAAGTAGCACCGGAGAGATAATCTTGACAGGTCTAGATGTACTCCAAGATTTGCATCGTCTGGACCACCGTTTCTTCGTCGCCTGTGATACTTCCGCTCCCTTGGCGAGAAGGTCTTCTGTTTCGAGATCGCTGAATGCTGTTGAAGCCGAATCGGTGGATAATCTGCGGATCCCAATCTCGTCATATTCTGTTATTGTAGTAAGTTTCGTACTTGTAGATGATGGTGAAGGATCGGTGGTGTCTTTTTCAGGAGCATCGTGGTAAGAAGCCAAGGGAAAAGACTCTTCCAGGTGCGGCATCTTGACTTGAACAATGGATGATCAGGAAATATGGTTGGCTTTCAGGTTATTTAAATTCGGAGTGCTAATGTAAGAAAAAGTCCACAATATTGTTCGGGTGAACGCGTCGACAAGTCCTGGAATGCAGGAAGCTTCTTCATAAGTGCCGGGCAGATTTGAGACATTCTCGATAGCCCTTGAATGCTTGTCGAAAATCATCACTTTTCAACGACCTGTTAAAAAGCAGACAATCAGATGAAACTCCCGTACCTCGCCTAGCAGAGATGGAAGTAGGTTTCCATAGAGATCGGTTGAAATCTGACGTCGTGGATGGGATCGTGGGAGCCTACGTTCGAGGCCAGTACCTGCACCTCGAAACCACGTACTTAGCCCATCCCCAGAGAAAAATGATTTAACTAAAATAAAATTCCCCTTGAGCACTTGCTCTCGATCTTCATTTGGATCCGAAACAATGTGTTGTGGATTTGTTTTTGAAATGTCGAACGAAGGGAGTAGGTGACGAGGGGGTTGCCCGATTGGCGCCTGGGCTTAAATGACATGACAGTAGAAAAACGGGTTTTGTAAGACGTGCAACAAAAAGATTGAAACTGCGGGATATCATGTGCTGTTCACATGATTGAGATTTTCGTCTAGGCCTCAATATTGAGGCGTTTAAAAATGAACGTGGTGGAGATCAATAATTTTGAGAAGACTTTGGATGGTTTCCAGTCTTCGATTCTGACTTGAAAAATAATTAGTCTTTTAGATAAATCACCGATTCACTGTATTCAGGACTCTCTGTCTCCTGAGAGTTCCCTTTGAATATCCACTCAAAAATTAGGGCTTCGACCTACCCTTTCCGTGGGCTCGCCAAAAAAGCTACGCTAGTACGAAAGCGGTTTCGGCCGCTGAACAGAACTTCCAGCTCAATTTTTGAGTTGACGAGAAGATCACGACAACAACGGCATCCCGCAACACGACGTCAAGATGCCTACCCACTTGAGCAAGACCCGCAAACAGTACGTATCCCCCTATTCTCAAGTTCGCTCTCATTCTGCCAGAAGGGAGGGAGTTGGTCGTTGCGTGAGGAGTGAGGTTGTGATCAACACACTCAACATCTTCGGAAAAAATTCCCTTCTCCGCCGCGGAACCCAGGATTGCGATAGGAATTGGGACTCCGGAACTGAGCTGAGAGATTAAATGCTGATGATAGTGTGAAATAGTCGCGGACACGTCTCGGCCGGTCATGGACGAGTAGGCAAGCACCGCAAGCATCCTGGTGGACGAGGTCTCGCAGGTGGACAACATCACCACAGGACGAACATGGACAAGTACCATCCGGGTTACTTTGGGAAGGTCGGAATGCGATATTTCCATAAGCAAGGCAACCACTTCTGGAAGCCGGTTATCAACTTGGACAAGGTACGTTCGGCGGTTTACTCTGTTGAGAGCGATGGAAGATTTGCACAATTGGAGGACATATCAGGATGGCAAGAATATCAATCGGGAGGTTGAAATGCCACGGAGGATTGACATCCATATATCATGGATTGTGCAGTGGCGGAGGGATCAGGTGTCATCACGCATTCCAGAAAGAGATGCTAACACCCCTCCCAGCTCTGGTCTCTCGTACCCGCCGAGAAGCGCGACGAGTACCTCTCCAGCAGCAAGAAAGACGTTGTTCCCGTCATCGACCTCCTCCCCCTTGGTTACTCCAAGGTCCTCGGCAAGGGCAGACTCCCCGAAATCCCACTAGTTGTCCGGGCACGATGGTTCAGCAAGGAGGCAGAGCGGAAGATCACTGAGGCTGGTGGTGTCGTAGAGCTGGTCGCATGAGCGAATCTGGTTTTTTATTGCATGGATGGGGAATTGAAGATGGGCTTGAGAAATAGCGGTCATTGATGAAGGGTTGATGGCATCGCTTTGTGGCTTCTGTTATGGCATGGGAGCCCATGAATGAAAAGCACAACTTCAAACCACATGTTGCGAGCGAGATCTGATGATGTGGTTTATTATTTTTGGCTGCTATGGTATCTTGGAGCTGACTGACAGATGCCCGCACTCGATGCTACAGCGCTAACTATGTACTCGAACGCCTCTCTATGCCCCTTTCACCAACGCCACAGCGACTCCGTTCCATGCTACCTTACAACATATGCATCTCCTCGTCATCTGAATATACGTCTTCTCTCAAAAACTCATGCTCAAGCGCCTCTTCCGCACTGATACGCTTGTTGGGATCCAGCTCAAAGCACCGTTCCAAGAATCGTACTGCAGACTTCTCTTCATCTGTCAGGGGGTCCTCTTTTCCGTCCTTTCCACTGTCGTTCCTGCACGTTGACCATAAGATGATCTTCTCCAAAGTGAAACCCGCGTTGCCAATGGTCGGGATATTAGTCTCGAACATGACCCCATGCAGATACCCAGTAGCTTTCATCCTCTTAATGCCGAAGATCGTAGCGATCTCAATCATTGCCTCGACATCGTCCGCTGAATTAAAGAATGGGAATCTTTTTGATAGGATTGTCAAGAGGATGACACCAGCCGACCAGATGTCAATCTTGGTCGTCTGGTCGGTACACTTCAGCAGGACTTCAGGTGCTCGGAATCCACGCGTTCCGGCACGATTTGCGCGCCGAGAGGGCCGAGAATCGTTTTTAGGATACCCATTTGAGGGGCCCATGGCGGCTGTAACACTGTTTGCCACACGGCGACGGCGGTGATCTGCGTTCTCTGTACACATACATGGCTTTGCATCCACCCCTTGACGCTCAGCCAAACCAAAATCCACGAGGACTCCTCGGCGCTTCTCAGGTTCGTAGAGGAAGTTCGTGGGTTTTATGTCTCGATGGATGATCCCTTTTGAGTGAACAGCTGCTAGCGCTCGGAAGAGTGATCGAAAATAGATTCGCATATCATCGACAGTCATATTCCGGAAGTACTCCCGGAAATCTGTATGTTTGAAATAAGGTAGAACGGCAACAACCTGATCCGTGTGTCTGAAAGCCGTGATCAGAGGGCAGACAGAATCGAAACCTCGAAGGTCATTGAGAAGGTCCAGCTCGTTAAGAATTCGTGAAGGGCTGCTGGTAACATAAATCTTCTTGATCGCAACATACTTCGGCCGTCGTCGTTGTTGCGCGTAATCGTTCATATCCGCTAATGCTTGCATCCCCATGCGGCGTTTCTTCAAGGGTGGTGATGTCCATTTATTTTCCTTTTCCTCAATGTCCCAATCATTGTCGTAGGCTTCGTACAACAAATCCTCAGCCTTGTATACAGTGGAAAATGTGCCTATAGCGCGTCAATATGGCACCTGGAAACAAACGAGCAAGTGAATTACCCTCTCCAATTCGGTTGATCAGACGAAACCGGTCTTTAATCCCTTTGAATGTCTCCTGAAACTTGTCCATGTCTTCTTGAACCTTTGGATCAACAACATCGTCGCTATCGTCGGAATAGCCGTCGGAATATTCGTCCTCCTCGTCCTGCTCAACGTCCTCCATATCGCCTCGTGACTCGTCCATTACCTCTTCCTCTTCCTCGAGGGACTCCTGGTCGTGGTGAATTTCAAAAGGCGTTTTCGCGTTCCGAGGGCGAATTATCGCCATCTTCGAGCTTTGGAGCTTCAAGTACGAAGGTACTGGAAGAACAACTTAAGAAGCAAGAGGAGGGACTGGGGAAGCTTCGCAATTGGTTATTTAGTGTCAGGTACAGCCTGCAAGTAACGACGGCGGGGTGGTCAAAACAGCCAATTAGGAGCTAGCCGAATCGGGACGCGAACAAAACAACGCGGTTTCCCGGGACGAATGTCAACACCGAAGAAAGCATCACCACGTTGCGACAACCTCGAAATACGGCCCATTCCACCATTTGCTGATGCTTGTTGCGTTGCAGCCGACTGCTGTGCCTAAGCTCCATCATGAACTCAATTACTTTCGACATTAACGATGCCCTCAAACATTACATGAGCGATCCCGCAACAATCTCTACCCCCGAAGCCGATGTCAACCTCGTCGACTGCGAGAACGATCCTGAATCCCTCACAAACTCCCTGATCAACACAGTACTGAATCCCATTGTCGACTCAGTTGCAGAAAGCCCAGATGCGATAACAAGAAGCTCGTCATTTGACTCGTTGCAATTCTTACTAAAGTGTGCCCCAGTTTCCCTTAAATCCAGTCAGAACTACCCTACAGAGCCAGATTCTAAGCTCTTCAAACTATCTAGATCTTCCTCCGTCCTACCCACACATGCCCTAAGCAAGATTCTTGATCTTGTCGTCTCGGGGCTCTCGACGGAAGCCGACATCATCCACAACGACCTCGAATCCGACGAACAAGAACTCATTTCACACCATAAGCAGCTGCTGGAGGCCTTTGGGTTCTTATTACAATGGACTGTTGCGGCTGTCGAGACGAAAGCGGCGGAGAAATCGAGTACAGCCCCGGCTGCAAGAGGCAGAGGAAAGGCTGCGAAAGCCAAGAGCACTGGGAAGGATAAGGATGGTAACTGGGACTCATCTGCTCAGTTGCAGACTGCACTCGATATCATGTGCAAGGTTCTTAAATTGAAACTGTCGAAGATATTCCTCACCACTTCCGAAAGAGATACATTTATCAGTCTCTTCACTAGGCCGGTTTACATGGTTCTGGAAAGCGAGCAGAGGGTCAAGAGTACGGCGATCCGGATGCACGCCTTCAAGGTTCTGTGTATTGCAGTGAAGCATCACGGTCATGGATATGGTAAGAGTTTTGGTGAAGTGTGTCTTGACTTCAGTACTGACTCTGGTTCTAGCTGCCCAGATTTCCATTGTCCAGAATTTGACCTATTTTGAGCATCTTGCGGAACCTATGGCCGAATTCCTGCACATTCTCTCCGAACAATATGACTACCCACAACTCGCCGACGAGATCCTCCGAGAATTGAGCAACAAGGAATTCAACAGCAATGATACTAAAGGACCGAAGTCAGTCTCTTCGTTTATTGTCAAGCTCTCCGAACTTGCTCCTAGATTGGTCATCAAGCAAATGACAATGTTAGCAAAGCAACTGGATAGCGAATCTTATGCTTTGCGTTGTGCTCTGATCGAAGTTTGCGGCAATTTAATTGCGGACTTGAGCAAGCAGGAAGAGCGTGGAGACAATCACAAATCCCAACTCAATGCATTTTTCGATGTGCTTGAGGAGCGCTTCTTGGATGTCAACCCGTACTGTCGATGCCGGACCATTCAAGTTTACATTAAACTGTGCGATTTGGAGCAGAAATTCCCGAAACGCAGACAAAAGGCCGCCGAATTGGCAGCCAGGAGTTTGGAGGACAAGAGCAGCAATGTTCGACGAAATGCCATCAAGCTGTTGGGGACTCTGATCAAGACCCACCCTTTCAGTGTATTGCATGGATCTCAATTGTCTCAAAAGGAGTGGAATGCGCGTTTAGATGCAGTGGACGCCGAGCTGAATGCTCTAAAGCCTCCTGCGGGCACACCAGGATTGGTTGAGAGCAAATCAGATCAGACAATAGATCCAGGATTGGTGGATGATGCCACAGTCATTGAATCTAGCTCACCGGAGAAGCCAATGAGTGACGAGCAGAAGATTGCTGCAGTTCGAAAGGCTCAAGAGGATGCCGCCACATCGGAAGCCATCAACAAGTTGACTTTGACAAGGAGATACTATGTGGAGGCTCTCAAGTTTATTGAGGTCCTGCATGGTGCCACCAGCGTCATCTGTCAGCTTCTTGGATCGAAGAACAAGAGCGAAGTCATTGAAGCAATGGACTATTTTGAGATCGGAGATGCATATAATATCGAACAGAACAAGCTTGGTATTCGACGAATGCTGAGGTTGATCTGGACGAAGGGAAACAGTGACGAAGGCAAAGGAGTCCAGAATCATCTCATCGAATGTTACAAACGACTGTTCTTCGAAGCCCCAGATTCCTACAACACCAACGATGCAGCAAATTATATTGCTCGAAATATGATCAGTTTGACTTTCGGAGCAACACCTGCCGAGTTAACATCTCTTGAACAACTCCTCAGTACCATGATGAAGGCCAATCATATCACTGAACTTGTCGTCTCAAAGCTATGGCAAGTCTATGGGGTTCAAAAGAGAGAAATTTCGAAGAGTCAGCGACGAGGTGCTATCATCGTTCTTGGTATGCTCGCCACAGCAAAGCCAGAGATCGTAGTTGGAGAGATGGAGACTATGTTGCGGATTGGTCTGGGTGGTCTTGGACGATCCGACTTGCAATTGGCCAAGTACACTTGCATCGCCCTTCGAAGAATCAACCCAACTGGACGGCAAGCAAAGGAAACCAATGTGCAGACTTCCAAACTTCCAAACGACCATGCGGTTCTGGTGAAACTTGCAGCCATTATCGAGATCGAATCTGACAACAAGGAATGGTATGGTGTGGCTGAGCAAGCTATTAGTGCCATTTACACCTTGTCGAACCGCCCGGATACACTCTGCTCCGAGATCCTACGAAGAAAGACAAGGCACGTTTTTGCACAACGGACTGCAAAAACACCTGAGCCTGAGCAAGAGGCAACCCAGCTTCAATCACCACCTCCGGAGCCGACCACAGAAACCGAACCAAAGCTGAAGGGGTCCATCGCTTTGTCACAACTCCTGTTCATCGTTGGACATGTCGCCATCAAGCAGATTGTTCATCTCGAACTTTGCGAGCTCGACTTTAAGCGAAGGAAGGCCGAGTCTGAGAAGAACAAAACGTCAGACAAACCTGAAGACAAGGCTGCAAAGGAAGCTGCTGACGATCTCGATATGATTGGTGGTACGACCGAAGATGATTTTACTGAGGCCATGACTCACATTCGTGAACGAGAGCTGCTTTATGGCGAGAGCTCTCTCCTTGCGAATTTCGGGCCTTTAGTTTCTGAGATTTGTTCGAATAACACTACCTATCGAGACCGCAACCTTCAAGCAGCTGCAACTCTTTGCTTAGCAAAGCTGATGTGCGTAAGCTCTGAGTACTGCGAGGCCAATCTGCCACTTCTTATCACCATTCTCGAGCGTTCCAGGGATCCCATCACTCGATCCAACGTCGTTATCGCGCTTGGAGACATGGCCGTTTGCTTCAACCACCTTATCGACGAAAACACGGACTTCTTGTATCGCCGTCTCAATGACAAGGACGCCAGCGTGAAGCGAACATGTCTCATGACTCTCACCTTCTTGATTCTCGCCGGACAAGTAAAGGTCAAGGGCCAACTTGGAGAAATGGCCAAGTGTCTCGAAGACGAGGATAAACGAATTGCAGATCTTAGTCGCATGTTCTTTACAGAATTGAGTACGAAAGATAATGCGGTGTACAATCACTTTGTCGATATGTTCAGTTTGTTGAGTGCGGAGAAGGATTTGGAAGAAGATGCATTGAAGAGGATTATCAAGTTCTTGGCAGGATTTATTGAGAAGGTATGCTTCCGCTCCTTACCCCTTTCCGAGGAATCTTTGCTAATCTGTTCTACAGGATAAACACGCCAAGCAACTCGCAGATAAGCTCGCGGCCAGGTTACCTAGATGCGAGACCGAGAGACAGTGGAACGATGTTACGTATGCGCTCAGTTTGCTCCAGCACAAGAATGAAGAGATCACGAAGTTGGTTACTGGCGGATTTAGAGTTGTCCAGGCTAGTGCTTGAGGAAGGAAGTGAGCTGTATGATATATGAATAATGTAGAGTGGAGTTGGACTTGGGTTGGAGGCCCGGCCCTTAGGAAGCGGGTGCTGGCGTTTGTTTGCCTGTTTGTAATGCATGATGAATTGAAGACTTCAAATCGCTTATAAAATAAAAATTTGCAAACGGAGCGAGTGACACGAGACCCACGAAGACTGAAGAATAAATAGTGCTTCTCCCTCGTCCGCCCCAAAAAGATACTAAAAAAGGTCAAAAAAATGAGCTTTTTGGTTTGAAAGTATTTGTTGAAGGTGAGGTTTGAACTCACGATCTCCTGTGACCTCACATCCAGCTCTCTGGGGAGAGAGTTGTTTGTGAGACAGGCGTCTTAACCCTGATCGTCGTGTTAGTGAAATGAATTGAAGATATGGCTGCAATATGCTTACACTGGACTACTCCAACACTTGACAAATTTATTATTTTGCATTATGAAGGTAGGGGCTTTTGGAAGTGACTTTTGAATGAAAAGGGGAGAGCTAGGCTAAGCGAGGCAGGGAGCCGAAGGGCATTGCTGCTTGACCTCTTACGCTTCTTCCCCTTAATGACATAGATTCATGCAGTTTAGATTAAATAGTGATCTCTGCGTCTTGAGATAATAGGAGTCGTAAATTTCCTTTGCTAGCGCTGGGACGAAGACCTAGAAGTTGAGGCGGGCCGTGCTTGCTTACGGTTGACAATGTTTCGGGGGGAGAATTGGAGTGGCTGGCAAGAGGACACACTGGGTATTAGGGTAGAGTACTGGGTTTGGCCGTAGAACATGCAGGTAACCGGATGGCTTCCATCTGACCCCACAGGTTCGTGGAATTTACCCAGTGTGCTCGCCCTGAACTTGCTTCACGTAGGGTTGGATGACGGTCCCTCGCGCTTCCAACCCGTCAACGAGCTGCATTTGCATACGTAGGGATCAACGCAAAGAGATTTGCTACCAGGATCTGTCAGGGTACTTCAGCTGAATGGTCTGATTTTCATGTTCTCTTAAGAATCGGGCGGAATCCGATTTTCTTTTTTCTCAGCGGCGGTGGTTTGGTTTTCATCCACCGCTGTGTGGGGTCTTTCTTCAGAACTCCAAACTTGGCAACATGGACTGCAGAGTAAGTTCAGTAGGCGATATTCTTTGCGGATTCGAGTTTGGTATTGATTCCTATTTGTGCGATAGCTCGAGAGTGCTTTGAGGTAACTTTTGGCCCATTAACCCCTTTTCTTCCCACACGTGACGTCGCGACAGTGACGCGTGAGTTTAGCGCCACGCAGTTGACGACGACGACATAAACATTCTCTGTTCCTTTCCCCTTTCTCTGTGTTCAGTACATTGAATGCATACAATGTATGATCGCTACATATACAATTGAACTGGAAACTGCCTCTACCAGCCGACTTTCCAAAAGCAAAGCTAGAAATACCGCCTTGAGCCTTCGGCGCTGGAACCCTTGCAACCACATTCACTATGCCTTCAGCGACCGAAGCCGAGTGATTGAGGTCGGAGGGAAATGCTCACTACATGTCCAAAAATCTGGAAGAAGGCATGAATGATACTTCAATCTTCTTTGCGAGCAAATCTAACCTCCTGTAGCAATTCGGAAATATCGACTTGCCGCTAAACGAGACCCGAACGACCCTGCTCCCCTCCGTAATCTGTCAGCTCCATACTAAAAGATTGGAAATCACAGACAGTGTATATTAGTACCGAGCAGGCTCTAAAACTACTTGAATCAGCTGAGTAAAAAGATGTGCACATACACAAGGAGCAATTGAGGGACGAATTGAAAAAGCAAACGATATGCTTCGCCGGCCGCCTGCGGAAGAAAAGAAGAAGAGAAGGATCGAGATACTGGAAGCAATAATGAGATATTGTCCATTTATGTGCCACTAACAAACCTGCCCAGGGGACGGCTTCTACCTCTCAGCCTGTACCTCAACTGAGTTCCACTTCACCAACATCACAACCTCTATACCTGCCATCAATCCCCTCCACATAAAACTCGTCTCCATATTCCTTCACAAAGACGAGAGCACGCCGCTCCACAGCGACCAGTCGAAAGAAGCATGGTTATTCTTCCTTCACGAATCGAAAGGACCAGCAATCGTCTATTTCACCCAGATATTGTGTATGTTGGTTGTGCGAGGGGTTCAGGTTTTGGGTTAGGGTTTGGGGTAGAGTTTAGGATTATGACCTTAGTCTGACGGTTGATCGGTTGATGGGATACCACGGGAAAGGGTGCTTAGTTCGTTGGCCTAGCATCCACAGCTGAGAAGTCTCTGGGTGGGATTTTGATGATCCCGTTAACTTGATGAGCTTTGTGAGTGTATTTTTGTTTCCGGAGTGAGATTCTGCAGGGTGTTTAGGAGAGAGACATTATCGTCGATTCGTCAAACACAACGAGCATTGGAAGGGGGCAAGTGCCCCGGACTTAGCATTTCAGCACAATATATGGATCTCGAATGATGGGTTTAAAGTAGCATCACGTAAGTTCTGAGAGAGGTCTTTGGTGTTAGAGGAGACTGCAACGATAATCTCGCAACTACCAGTACCTTCTTCTTTAACCCTGCATTCTTGCCATATTGACATGCTCCGGCTTCTGATGATACATGTTGGATTCAATCTTTTTGCTCAACGAATCCGCAATGACGTGCTCATCTTTTGGCTCACGATTCAAGCCTTCCACGACGTCGAAAGTGCAATCTTTGTAACCCTGCGGTGGCAGCTCCCCGCCAAGGATCAGTCGGCACACTACTCTCAGAAAGCGTGCGCGAAGCCATGGGCCAGGTACTGCCCATAGAGCACCGTCTTTCTGGAGGCCTCTGGCCCAATCCAGACCGTCCGTTCCGTCCTGCTCTTCTTCCCTCTTTACCCAATACATGTAAGTGAGGATGAATCGAAAGTAAAGGTATCGAACTGCTGCTCTGTTCGGTCCTAAGAAATTGAGCTCCTGGCCATCGAATTGCTAGGACTCGGAAATTAGACTGGAAAGCTCAATCTAACCGCACGATCATCGCTTTGCTTACCTCGTATGTAACGCGTTGAGGGACGCCGTTCCAATTTTTATCTGCCGTAGGTTTCCAAGTCAAGACAAACTTCCACCTGATCCGAGTCCCCTCAACCGGCGTAAAAGGAACAATGACAGCTCCACCAGTCGACAGCAGTACTCCCAGATGCTGGTGCATTGTCGAAGCTGTAACTTGTCAGCTGCTCAGTCACAAGACCTCCCTTATCTCTGTGGTGGGCACTGTTTTGTGGATCTGCAAGCAAGAGCCTCCAAACCCCAAAGAGATAGCTGAGTTCCTCGCCCCCCAGACAGTCGGGGATAATTTGAAACACTTCCACCCCTGAGACTTTGAGCTCCTTGTACTCAACGCCATCCACCAAAACGGAAATTGGCTCTCCTTCCGCAGTCCACCGTGGTTCGATCCTCTCGTACTTCGATCGAGTGACCATACAGTATTCGAAAGTCTGCCCAAACCCACTGGGTACGAACACCTGTCCAAGCCACCCGAGTCTTCGGGAACTATAATGTTCAAAGACGTAAGGTCTGCGCTTGGCGAGCGATTCCTCGGCCAGAGCTAGCGCTTGGTATTTGGACCCACAAACAGATTCGTACGCCGCTTGCACGACAGGATGCACTCCATCGAACACCGTCCCACGTACATCGAATGGGTAATAAGCCCTGTGAGTTTTGTAGGGGTAGAGGTATTTGTTTTTCGCCCACCACTGCAGTCTCTCGATATGGTTCAGCAGTTGGTCGGCCATATCTTCGAGTAAGATCTTGTCGTGTTTAAGGATAAGGCTGAATTCGTCGTCGATAGGATTTTGGCTGCAATCTTGAGGAGCATCGCCAGGAACCACTTGTTGTGATCTGAACTTCTCGTGGATTTGCTTGATGTAATCGTGCAGAGAGTACCTGGCCAATCTCGAAGTCAGTACATTTGTTAAAGGAGTGTGCATACGGTTACCAGTCAGCATGATCAAGGGAGTGGATTTAATCAACTGCGTACTTCTTGATGGCCTCGTTGATTTTCGCACTGTACATATCGATACTGTGTGGCAAGGCCAGGATTATCGGCGGAAGTTAAGTTGGATCGCAATCCGAAGAGTAGGCTGTGGAAATGAAATGCGTAAAATGCCGGGAGCGGAGAAGACGGGATCGGTTGGGATTCATTGGAAACCACCTGCGCCACCTTGTTTGCTTAGATAAAGTTTTGTTTGGGAAGTCGCAATTCGGTTGTGTGGGTATGGTGGTGAGATAAGGGGAAGGAACAGCCGCACGTGACGTGCACCTTGCACATATAGGTAGAAACTGAGGGAAAACCCTAGAGTTGAGTGTAGATTCATTCTCCCTCTTTCAAGTTATAATATAAACAGTTTATCCTTCCAATGTCTTTCCCTGCGATGAGATCACCCGCAACTATTTGAGAAGCCACTGGCCAGTTTTCCGAACTAGTTAAACATGTATGGTCGAGGACTTTGCATGCTGCTGCGCTGGGCGCTTCCCCGATTTTGACGTTTACCACTATCTTGTCCTTCGGCATGTAGCTTCATATCACGTGGATATTAAGAGTGAGGATATACTTCTTAAGCTGTCTTAAGGGTAAGGGAGGGGCGTGCTTCTTGCCCGCGCGCCCGGGGCTGAAATATAGCCGAAAAAGAGGGCTTTACCTTCCAATTAAAATTATAAAATCGCCCTCTTATTGTCGTGGGAGCTTAGAAGCGATAAAACAATTATCTCTTTGCATAAGCACCCTTCCACGGCTACCCTGGAAGGGTGCTAGGTGTATATCTAAAACGGAGTTGACCTCAAGTCGTGCACAAAATTACTACTTTGGGCGGACAATCCTGGTTTGGGAATGCTACGCGAGCTGAATAGGGGGTTAGCAGGAGCACAGTCCTTTCGAATCCATATAGGGGCAAAGGTAACCAAAGATAGTCTTCAACATCATCTCCTTCCTTCTAACAATCAAACATCGAACGTGAAGAATCAGCTGTGGCATCTGGCCTGTATCACTTGAGCAGAATTGAATATGCGGTGCGTTCTCCTGAACGAAGTAATGAGGCACTATCGCCTACCCACAACCTTTGCTCGTCCGCCCCTATCTTCCTAAGGTCAAAAATCCCCGCAGGCAGAGCTGGTGCGCCCGCCTCGGCAATTGAAACACACGTCAACGTCTCTGAGCGCCCCCGCAGCCCGTTCGTCCAAATGTACTGTCAGCCTTCTCGAAGGCTCGACTCAAAATTCTGACGCGAACATTGTTTCAGATATCAGATGAACATGTTCTGTTCCCCTGGCACTCCTGCCTTAACGAGGACGAACTTCGGATTTATGATGTTTCAAAATTGTGAAACGTTTGCCAGCTGCCTATTTCGGGATGCATACGTCTCAAATTCGGCCTGGATGCAACGGCGCACTGATTAAACCCGTGATCCTCACTACTGCACATCATGGCGGCTCCCGGTCGCCATCTCCGGACGCGTTTCATGCCCATGTGATGCTGAATCACAGTGCAAAACATTGTCATTCTCCCGCGTTTGGAATTGTTATCGATATTCGCGGGACAAACATTATATGAAATGTCAAGTCCCTCCTCGTAAAACTCCTGTCGTCACAACTTGCTTACGATTATTTCAAAAAACGACTTTCTATGATTTCTTGAACCCAGGCTAACCTCGACCGTAACACAAAAGGGGGGCAGTCTCCACAACATCAAGAGAAATGGCGACCACGTTGACTGAGCACGAGTCACTAATTCTATCCTTAGCTGCAAAGAATGGTGTTTTTACAGAGGAGATGGTAGAAAGGGCCAAGCATGATGTCGTCTTTGGCTCACTTCTTAAATGCGCTCAAAATCTGAAGACGATTGCGAACAATGCTACTTTCAAGTAAGCTGATGTTTGTAGTTGCTGACCGGATTCCGCTAAATTCTTTAGACTGGCAGAAGACCTCTATTCTGTAGATACTCATTTTGTGCTGGAGTGTATTCAAAATGCAGCCGACAATCACTACAAGCCTGAGGTTGAACCGTTTCTTCGAATATGCGCACGACCAGACAAGATCCAACTAGACTGCAATGAGACAGGATTCACTCCAGCGGATGTCGAAGCGATTTGCCGTGTTGGTGGTAGTAACAAAACCTCAAAGGAAGGCTTTATTGGAGCGAAAGGGATCGGTTTCAAATCCGTGTTCAAAATTGCCCAGGAGGCCCACATCTACTCCCCTCCATACTCTTTCAAGTTTGACAAGCGCCGAGAACTCGGAATGATCATCCCAATCTGGGTGCCAGAAGAAGAGATACTGGTGGGCTCGACTAATGACTGCCAAACATCAATTCTACTCCTTCCGCCTGCCGATGAGAACTTCACCGAGTACCTCCACACCTTCAAAGCCATCTCACCCACCTTGCTATTATTTTTACCTAAGTTAAAAAGGTTGGAAATCCTCATTCACGACAAGCAAGCGCACGGTGGAGAGGTGATAACACGGCGAAACTTGAGATCTAAGGTCAACGAAGTGGACAATTTTATAACCCTCACGGTGGAAGATAGCGCCTCTCCTCATCCTGAAATCGAACATAGATACCGGAAGACTACAGCCAGATGGAAAGCCAAGGGAGGAGAGAAGCACCGAGAAGGTGTTAAAACCTCAGAAACCGCTCTAGCATTCCCTGTCACAAGTAATGGGGCTCCGCTAGGAAGCTCTCAGCCGGTTCACGCTTTTCTCCCCATTCGTGATTTTGGATTTAAGGTATTCTTCTCTTCGAAAATTCCTTGTGCGAATGTAGGCTAATGGATTCTATGTGCAGTTCGTTATACAAGCAGACTTCATTGTCGCATCCAATCGGCAAGATATTCAGGAATCAGAAGAATGGAATGTTTATCAGAGATTGTGCATCGGCCATACATTCCTGCAGGCGATACTTGAATTTCTCCTTTCGCCCCACGACCCGCTTCGATACACTTGGATGCGTTTCTTGCCTCGAGGCATAACAGATCCGTTTTGGAAGCCTGCTGTGAAGACAATTTGGGAGCTCATTCAGAAGTCTGAGGTTCTTGAATCACGTGCCAAATCGCTCCATCGACCCGGCACACTGGAGCGCCTCGAAGAGACGTTCCTGGACCGAGGTGGTGAGCCGCTTGTTGGTTCGCCCTCAGAATACCTGGCACCCTGTTATGGTGAAGAGGATTTTGAAATCTTGAAAGAGCTTGGGGTTCACCTTATAACTTGGTCGTCTTTCCTTACCCGTCTCTGCAAAATGTCAGATTCGGAGCTGAAATCAAAGGATCGGCACTGGCACGAAGATCTCGCCAAAGCACTTCGTGGAATAAAAAAAACACCAATTTGGCGGACGTTCTCATCGAGGGTCATATCAAAAGCTTTTATCCCGTTGCTCAATGGAAACAACTGGATTCCCGCAGTGGGTTTGGATCTCCATCCTGTTTATTTCCAAGAGGGTGTTGGGCGAATCAAAGTTCCGTCCGACATAAGTCTTCGGTTTGTGGAAGAAAGTGCATCCAAAAATCCATACCGAAAGAAGTTCTTCAAATTACTGGGTGTAAGAGATTATGACCAAATCGAAGCTGCCTCCGCAATACTACGGAAGCATCGGGAAAGCGTCGTGCCAACAGTCACAGAGGATGAAGCCGTTGCTCATGCTCTCTATCTCTACGATCTAGATTCCTCCATAACAAATAAGATGGATCTGACCGCGCTTTGGCTTTACGATGAGCAAGGTCGTGCGGCAAGGGGTCGGGATCTCTACGTCCGGGACACATCAGCTTATGGTCCGGCCTCCCTGTTTGACGGACACGACACAGTCGCCCGATTCTTATCTTCGAGATACTTAACACCACGGGATTCACAACCAAACAAACCGAGATTTCTTCAATGGTTAATGAGAGGCACCGGTCTCACTGATATTCCTCGGCTCAAAAGGTCCGGAACACTATCTCCCGAATTCCAATTCATTCTTCGAAACTACTCAGACAAAGTACTTTACATCTTGAAGACTTTCTGGGGGCAATATAAAAAGTTGATGGCTGAAACGACGATACTGGACGCAATAAAAAACCACCCCACTGCATGCTTTGATGGGCAATCTCGAGCGTCAATACCACTCAAAGACTGTTATGTACCGGATTCTCGAATGAAACTGGTGAGTTCGGAATTGTGTGGATCCTTGGTTGGACCTCCATTTCTCTCCATCGAACCCTTCAACACCTATGAGTGGGAATTTCTTTCCACCTTTGGGGTGGGCGTTGCACCGGATCTCTCCTTCTACCTCTGGATAGGAAGGCAGTCACAATTTCAGAAAAGCTGCACGGTAGATGGCGCGAAAAAGCTGCTCAAATACATAGCAGATTTGACGGGTTTCGATGAACCGAAACAAACCCAGGTTCGGTAGGATTTGGCCAACCTCCTTCCTAGGCACAAAAAATTGACTATTTCTAGGTCAGCTTTCAAACACGACAGATTACTTCTAGCCCCATTGAGTGGTAAATTAACTTTTACGTTTCCCAGTCTGTGTGTCTGGAAAGCTCCCCAAGGGTTTCGGAAAATGGCCTCCCTTGAATCGCTGTACGGTGGAGACCCCAGTGTGACGAGCCTTATTAGGACAACCCTCCAAGTCGAAGATGCCTCAATTGAAGTTGTCGTTCATGATTTAGCATCGAATTATCCCTCGGACTCTCATTTGAAAGAATCATTACAGTACATAGCGCTTAAGTTACATTCGCAACAGGATCATGGTCCCTTGCACCATCTCCGGTAAGTCTTTGTTTCTTAAGGTTTCTGATACAATTAGCTGATAATTACCTCAGAGATGCTTTCAGATTGAGTCCTTTAATCACAGTTCCGCTCTCAGGCTCTGGAACTACACGCGTCTGCTCCACCTCTTGTGTCTGGGGTGGCCCACGCGTGACCCACAAGTGGAATCTCCAACCTCATTATGAAACCGATATTGGGCTTCGGGTTTTACTCTGCTCTCACTTGGATATTAGACCCCCGACGTTGGATGATTTGTTGAGGGAATTGATCCTGTTGAAGACGGACCCTGAAAATGCCGTTGGTCAGACTGAGCAGATTTACTCATACATTTCTGAAAAGTTCTCGGGGCCTGAGATTCGGTAGGTGTTTCCTCAGCCCGCTCTGTCCGAAAGAAATCAACTAAACTTAATATTATAGGGAACGATTTGAACGAGATGCATTGGTATGCGTTCAAAGTCTTGATGGCATGAGGTTATGGAAACGACCATCCGCATGTGTTTGGACTGCGCCTGGCTTTCTCCGATGCAAAATCGCTATAGCCGAACGGCACGGATTCACCGAAGCGTCTGCAATCAGCTTGTTACAAAATACCCTCAGCATTGGGAATGCTAGTTTTACCGACTTTATTGCTGATTTAAGGATTCTTCGAGATCGGGAGGAGTTTGACGAGGACGGATTAGAACTCTTGTACAAAAGTATCGAACTTAGCATCGTTGGGCATGAGAATGAAGTCAGGTATGGGTCCGATGGAGATAACTTACAGTTCGTACTGACTTTGGCAGGAAAACTTTCGATGAGGAAAATCTTGTCTACGGCCACCAACTTGATCCACCCCGGTGGGTGAAGTTGGGGGATTGTGTATGGTCAGGGCCAAAGTGCCTGCAAACAATCACCAAATTGGCCCGCTGCTATCCCTCACTCGATAAACTCTTTACGAAATACCTTGGGGTCGAAGATGCCACGCCAGAAACAGTACTTGATGAATTGCGTTTCGTCGTAGCGGACTTCGAACAAAAGCGCACTTTTTTTTGCGTCGTTCCCGAGGCCTTGGCGCGAAGAGTCACAGACCTCCTCTTGGCTTTTACTTTCAAGTCATTTACATTATCGCCATCCATTCTAGAAGCCATCGGATCTGGAAAATTTTGGCCTTACCAACCCTGGACGAGCGGTCTCTGCTTCGGTCGAATAAAGGATGAGTTCATCATCCCAGACCACGAGTACTTTCTGGACTTATTTCATGCGAAGTTTCCAGTTTTAAGATTGACGTCGACAGAAGTGATGGCTCTTAAGCCATTATTTATCAAGCTTGGAGTAGAAAATAAGTTTCTGTCAAGTTGTGTGATGGAAATTGTAAGCGGAAATGATGTGTCAATGCCAGCCGAGGACTTATCTCATGATCTGAGTCAGAGAGCTCGAGCTCTCTCTTGGTATGTCTCAAACACTCCCAAGCAAATTAAACTAACAAAATACAGCTGCGTTGAACATTTTTCAAAAGACATGCAAGCCAACCGAGGGAGGGGCCTGTATCAACTACTAAAAGATATTCAAGTGTTTCGGGCATCCGACATCTCTACAACATATACGATCAATGCTCATGGAATCAACCAATCAGTCACAACTAAAGGCCTCATGCGTTTAGATGAAGAGGGAGGCCAGCTGAGACTTTTTGTTCCTCGCGATGAGAATGATCAGAAAGAAGCCTTCGCTATATGCCTTGCAAAAGAGATGATTAGTTTCCTAGGACTTCCCGAAGCTGAGTCGTGGCATATTATCACTGCTGTCCTGGCCGTGGAGCCCGAAAGACTCGATTTTTTCTTGCATCGACAAGGCATCTCGACCAACCACAGCACCGCCTCCTCGGATGCGAAGCAAACGAAGGAGATAGCTGTTTGTTCAGAGGAGGATGAAACCATCATCTTAGACCAAAAGTTCCAAACACTCAGCCTCTCATCCCAGCAGAACAAGAACAAAGACAACGAGGTTTCGGCCCATGCCCTCTCTACTTCAACTATGACTATCGTTCAGAGCGGATCTGCAAATACCAAGGCAGATATTAATCAAGATCCAACTTCTAGTGGGACCACCTCCCAGAGCCCCCTAGACTCTACCAATAGATTTGATCCCGCAAGACAAGAGCCCGAGCCGGAGCTGCTGTTAGCAGTCTCTGAACTAAACATCGAGAACGCACCTAGAGTAACCGCATCCAACAGCAGTAGCGATGCACAAAACGATTCACTTGCGGAGAATAAAGTGATTCAGAAGGGGATAAATTCGAAACATGAATCGTTATATTGGGTCTCTAGTCGGTCCCGAGGAAGAGGAAGCTCAGATATATCACATACCACAGAAATATCGACGGTATCCTCTGATGATTTTGACGCTGCATCTCATTCTTCGGCTATCACATCAAGTTCCGATGACGCCGAAATCTGGAACACACCAAGCAAGAAAACCACAAAGACCTCAAACCAACGTCAGATCGAGAAAGCCTTGAATGGGACTCATCAAGCATCCAGTTTTTCTTCGACTGGCTTGATGAAATCTGTTTATTCAACTCCACGCGCGACTCATCAAGGCCCGGATCAAGCAGTTGGTTACGCTGGCGAGCGATTCATTGTCAACATCCTGAAAACGGAGATTGAGGACTTTAACGAAATCGAACACTGGACAAGTAAACTCCGTCGACATGCAAATCTTTCTCCCTATGGCAAGGCGGAAGACACCGATCTAGAATATCAGGACAGCACGGGGTGTTTTAGCAGGCTTCTAAGAACTTGGACTGATGGCGAGGTCCCGAACTGGCTTGAAGAAGCCTGCATGCCTGGAACTACAACCCGACCGAAGTATTGGCTTGAAGTGAAAACAACGCCTGGCAACTGCGAGACAGTCTTTTTTGTCAGCGCGCATCAGTATGAGTTGGTAAGCCTCCGGGCGCTTTCTTCCGCATTCTCCTACTTCTGCACAGTCCTCCTTCTCAACTGTTACTAATATGATGCAGATGAAAGAATTTGCTATTGTTGGTAGCGATATGCCTAGCAATGTCTATGTGATACTACGCGTCTTCAACGTTAAAATTGACGGAGAGATAGGTGTGAGAGCGTACCTCGATCCTTGGTGGAAGGCCCAGGAAGGAAGGCTTAAATTCGATATTCAGTATAAGGTTACAGTGAGGGGACATTGAAATTAGCCCGTTTACTAAAACCGCACCAAAATCAGCTATTTTTCACCATTTTCACCAAGCGATAACTTTACAACCACACCCGGTGCAAACTTAGTACTTATTTTCGGTAGAGAATCAAAGCCTGGGAACCCCCCCTTTAAATATAATATAATACATTTAAAGCGCGCATTAAGTTATATAGCTTTAAAAATTTAGAGGTTTGATTTTCCTAAATTTTCGCTTAATTTTGGTATAAAATTACGAAAATCAAAGAAGTCTCTTATAATCTAATAAACTATTTCACGAGAACGACCTAAATTAAAAAGCTGAATTGAGTAATTTAAAGGGCTAGTTCGATTTAAGAGATCTGCTAATTACGATTCTTAATTAGAAGGTGGGGTTATAGTTTTCTTTTAAAGTGGTTCAGTGAGTTTTGGCTGTAAAAGAGCGTTCGGGCTAATTTCAATATTCTAGTACTATACCACTGGCCATTAACTGGGGATCCAAATTGTAAGAATAGTGCAACTTTAATGGCAATGATGAAATAACGAAATTGATATCATTCCTGACTATCTTACGAGTCATCTCCTCCGGGTCCTCATCGAAATCTCTTTTATATTACTCCGTGTATTAAGCAATTCTTGAGCTTTATGCTGCGTCTTCCCCTGAAATATTGGGAGTTAAAGTCTTCTTTATGGGGATAAATTTCTTGTAAAATATCAGAAGCTCCCTTTCCAGTTAGTATTCTTTTTCGGATCAGATAATCAACCGATATGATATATTGAGAGCTTGCAAGCTTTAACGAGGCCAAACCAACAGGCAGTGTGACGGCTGGCGTAAGGGCATAATCTGCCAAGGACAGGATATTGGAAACAGGCACAAAACGAAGCTAAGCCGGAATTACTTAGGCGGAATAATACTAAAGGTCGAGGCATCCTCCCTACTTTGTTCCATAGCTTAGTATTTTCCAATACATGAGATTCTTTAAACTTTGAGCCTTCGACTATTACATTAATCCTGCCGTTATATAATACTAAGCTTATTTGACTCGGCCTATAAAGGCAATATAATACTACCGGCAAAGGACCCGTATTTATTCTTAAAAAGCGAAAATAGAATACTACTTTTAATATTTAATAACCTTCTCGAACTATAAAGAACTAGAGAGCTTAACTAGAAGCATAACGTTCTCTATAACCTAGTTAATCTCGGAGCCTGACCCTTAACTAGAGCAGATAATATTCTCCTTTTAGTAATCGGTTCTCTACTAATATAAAAGAAGAAAGATATTATCCTTTATAATCCGGTTAATTTCGGAGCCTGACCCTTAACTAGAATAGACAATATTCCCTCGATATTAACGAGAGTAAAAGAACTAGCCTCTTCTTCTGGTATAGGAAGAATCGGTAGTAGTTTACTAATTTAAAATAAGAAAAGATAATAGTTAGTTTTAGTCTACTGACTTAAAACTAGATAAGATAATAATCGGTTATAGTTTACTAATATTAAATAAGAAGAACTTATTTAGTTCTTATCTCTATAACTAATACCTTTTCTAAAGCTACTATAAATAGCCCGAAGCTAAATACTACTACTAGAAGTATATTAGATAAGAGGCTCTAGTATAATGAAATAGAAAAGCTAGACTTTAATATTATAAACTTATATTACTAGGAAAACTATTATAATACTATTCCGGAAGAAGATATTAAGAAACGGCTAGCTAATTTGGAACTCAAAATTAGTATAAATACCCCAAAAATAGATAAGGCCTAGTAAAAACTACTTATATAGGATAACCTTATTAATAAATACTATTTTATAGCTAATAAATAAGCAGAATACTACTAGAAATTCCACTTATATATTAACCAACTTACTAAGAAAATTAATAAGCTAGAGGCAATTACCGGTCGATTTTATATAAGGAAAAGACTAGTATAAGAAGAAGTAATAAAATAAAGATCCAAATAGGCAAATATCTAGAAATACTATAGGTTCTTATTAGAAGAACTATTCGGGAGCTAATACTAAGGCTTTCTCCCGCTTTTAGTCTATAGTAATTAACTATAGCTTATTAGAATTAAGAATTCTGCCCTATTTATAAATAAGAATAATTACTAGATTAATAATTAAATATTTAATATAAGAAATAAACTAATATAGAATTCCTCTGAATTTAATAGTAAACTACTAAAAATTACTTATATAATATAACTAGTTACTAGAGATACCCGTAACTTTATTTATAATTAACTAGAATCTGAATTAGTTAGACAGATCTCGGTTATTAAATAGATCTTTAAGATTCTCTAATAAGCTTATAATAAAAGTAAAGAGATAGAATACTAGGAAGTAAAAGAAGTATACTAGTACCTGAGATAAAGAAATAAGCTATTTCTAGTATTTTAGATAGAGTTTACTTACTTAAAAATAAAACTAGGAAAGTTACTAGATAATTAATATAATAATTTAATAAATAAAATAAATCTTGAGCTACTTAAGAGCTTGAGTAATAAGAAGTTTAATATATTCAGGAATCTTACTAAGTAATATATAGAATAAAAAAATAGGCTTCTTTTAATTAAGAATAAGTAATTTCAGAAGAAATAACTAGTAGAAACTATTTATTATTAAATACTATTCCGGGCTAGAAAGCCTACCGGAATCTAAAAAGCTATAATAATTCTATATCTAATAAATTAACTTTAGTAGCTAGTATTCTTATAGCCAAAAGAAGCAGTTTATCGAGAATTTAAAAAGAGATTAGATTAGCTAGAGAGTCTTTATTATTATAGCTATAAAAAGCCTAAATATATAAAAAGTATTTATTCTGACTTTAATAAGATTATATTTATTAAAAAGAATTATTTAGAAAGAGCTAATAATTTAGAAATAGATAATAAGAATACTAATTCTTATCTATTATCTAATAAAAAATATAATATTAATAAATTAGGAAAAGTCTAATTCTAGATATAAAAATAGCCCTTCTAGAATAAGAACTTTACTAAGGACTTATAGATCTCATTTAGCTAATTAGCAGGAACTAGTTCCTTATTAATTATAAAGTAAATTAGAAAGGTAAAACTATAACCTTTTAATATTTAATAAATACTAAAGTAAATATATATATTCTAATTAATTAAAAGTATATTTGCCTTTTAATAAAAGTACTATAAATACTTTTATATAAACTCAAAACTTCTATTTCCTTATAAGGTTTTAATAAATAACCTAGTAAAGCTATTTAATATCTAGTTACTATAGATCTAGCTATTAATTAGTATTTCCAAACTTAATAATATTTACTTATTACTAATTTTGGCTCTTATAATATAATTCTGGAAAGGAAATAGCTAATAAAATATAATATTTTACTAGACTATTAATAGAATTAACTTTATTAACTAGAGAACTATAAGGTAAATTAGTCAGATCTTATTTAGAAAATCCGATATTTTAATAAGAAATATTAAAAAAATAACTGCCCTAAAGATATTCTAACTAGAATTCTAAAAAGAACTAATAAAACTAGATCTAAGAAGTAAAAGAATATACTTCTTACTTTTCTATAAAACCTTCTTATAAGGAAAGCTAAATACTAGGCAAGAAAAAAAGAGCTAGATCTTAATACTCTCGAAATAGGTAAGCTATTAGACTATTTCTACTATTTTATTAGAATAGCTATTTTCTAATTAAGTACTAAAGATTCCGGTAATTTAGTCGGATTAGTTACTATTAATAAGATTAATTATATACTTAAGAAATAGAATTATAAACTAAAGAAATACCTATTATTATTTATAGTAATTAGATAACTAATATTATAGCTTACTAGATATTATATTTAAACTAGTAATCTAATATATTTCCTAGATATAAATAAACCTAATATTTTTAGTAATATATTATTTTTTAATTCTAAAGAACTTTAAAAGCTTTAGATATTTTTTCCTATATAACTATATAATATAACTAGGGCATTTTCTAAAAAAAGTAATAAATAAGCTTCTCTAGTCTTAATTCTTTAACTATAAGCTCCGTTTTAATAGGCTAGATCTTTTAATAAAAATAGCTTATTTCTATAAGATAAGCTCTAGTAAACTCAAAAAAATAAGAGAATATCTTATTAAGAATCTAAAAAAGAATTTTATTAAGCTATCCGAATTCTTTTTTTTATTACTAGTTTTATTTATTAAAAAGAAAGATAATAGCCTATAATTTTATATTAATTATTAATAGCTAAATACTATAATAAAAAAGAACTACTACTTCCTATTACTTATTACTAAAACTCTTAATTAATTAGCTAAATTATTAGTATTTACTAAATTAGATATTTAATATACTTTTAATTAAATTTATATAGAACTAGTTTCTATAGTATAGGTAGCCTTTAGAATAAGATATAGATTCTTTAAACTAGTAGTTCTATTATTTAGATTCTATAATAGTCTAGTAACCTTTTAGTAATATATTAATACTATTCTAATAGACTATTTAAATAACTTTTATTTGGCCTATATTAATAATATATTTATTTTCTCTAAAAATAAGAAGAAATATTAATAGTATATTAGAATAGTTCTATAAAAGCTCTAGAATACCGGATTATAAATTAATATCTATAAATATAAATTTGAAATCTTTAAAATAATATTCTTAAGATTTATTATCTTAGATTAAGATATATAGGTAAACCCTATTAAAACCTTTATTATTCGAAACTAATACTAACCTATAATAAAAAGAAAAATATAGTTATTTTTAGGCTTTTATAATTTCTACTATAAGTTTATTTAAGCCTATAGATATATCTCCTGTCTTCTAAATTATCTAATTAAAAAAGATATTTTACTAAAGTTTATACTTAATAAAATCTAGCTAGATATTTTTAATTAGCTTAAAGATTTGCTTTTTTTTATCCTTATACTTTTCTATTTTAAATATAATAGGGAAACCTGCCTAAAAACTAACTATTTAGACTTAGTTACTATAGATATACTCTTTTAAAAAAGCCCGGAGAATAAATAATAGTATCCGGTCTCGTTTTACTTTAAAGCTCTTTAAGAAGCTAAAAGCTATTATGAAATTTATAATAAAGAACTTCTTATTATTATCTAAGAATTCCGGGAATAGTAAGTAGAACTAATTAGCTTACTTAATTTTCTAATTATTACTAATTATAAAGCTCTTAAATATTTTAGTACTAAGAAACTTTTAAATAAATAATAAATCTAATAAATAGGTTTTCTATTATAATTCTATTACTAGATTACCTATTAGCTAGGTAAAAATAATACTATTACTAATATCTTATCCTAAAAGAATAAGCTTATACTAATTCAGAAATAGGTTAAGGAAGCTAAAAAAACTAGATAAGTTATTTTATTAGACCTAATTCTTGCTTTTATTAAAACAAAAAATATAGCTTATATTCTTACTAAAATAGAAGAAATAGATAAGCTATTTATTATAATTAAAATCCTATAAGCTAATTAGATAGATCTAGCCTTAAAAAATAAATATAGGAAAGCCTAGAAAAATACGGATTTATAAGAAATATTAAATAGCTATATATTTTATAATAAAAGACTTATTATACTAGATAGATATAATAATCTATAAACTAGGCTTCTATAAAAAATCTATAGTATAATAACTATTATATATTCCGGTTAAAATAAGATAAAAATTCTAGCTCGAAAACTTTACTAGTAGCCTATTTTCTTTATAAATATTAAAAGTCTTATAAGCTAAGAAATAAAATACTAGGCCTATTATATCTATTACTAGTTCTCCTAAAAATATAGAATAATTTATCTATAGACTTCTATATCTCTAACTTTATAAATAAGAAATATAATAATATACTTATTATAATTAATTAATTATTTAAATAATATATAAGCCTACTAATAACTAAGAATACTATAGCTAGAATTACTACTAGCCTATTCTATTACTATATCTAGTAATTCCGAGGTTTTTCTCTTACTATTATAAGTAACTAAAAACCCTAGTTTATTTTAGACTTTATAAATAAACTATTAAGATTAATTAGAACTAAGCTAAAGCTTTTGACTATAGAATATATCTAAACTAATAGATAAATAGAAATTATTAACTAGATTATTAATACCCGATTTTACTTCTTTATTAATTACTTCTAGAATAATTAGATAAATCGATTTCTAGTATTTAATACTATAGATATTACCTGCCCATATAAATTAACTAGCTTATTTCTCTTAATAGTTAATTATAGATATAAATTCAGGCTAAACTTTAACTAGATATTACTAATAATAGAGTTTAAAATATTAAAAGAGAAATTTAATTAGAAAGAAGTATAATAATAGGCTAAAAGAATTAATACTACTATTAATTATACCCGAAAATATATAGTAATAGCTCAGGAGTATTAAGCCAAGTAAGCTAATAAGAAATAGTAAGAACTAGATTTCGGTTCAGGAAATATAGTCTATATAATTAAAAAAATATAGAAAACAGATTATCTATCTAATAAATTAGATTATTTCCTTACTAGACTATTTAAAATTAATAAAATAATTAGTTATTTATATTAATTAGACCTTTTCCTATTATATAGAATTTGGCTAATCTTCTATATAAATAGGCTTTATAAAGATCCTACTAATCTATTATCCGGCCAAACTAATAAAGAGCCTGGTTTTACTAAAATTAATAGTAAACTCGAATAGGAAGTCAAAAAGATTCTTTTTTTAAGGTACTTTATAGTAAGCTTTATTATAAGATTAAATAGAAGAGATAGAATATAGATAATAAATAATATCTTATATTAAACTTTAAGAATTTAATACTTAAATTATATAAATTCTATAAATAGAACCCCGGTAAAATAGGACCTTCTATTTAGCTAAATAAATGAATTTAGTATATTAAAAAAGATAAGTTTAATAAAAATTACCTAGATAATAATAAATCTTAATAATAAGGCTTCTATAACTAGAGAAAAAGAAGAAAAACCTAGATATTTCCCGGATTTTATTTAAATTCTAATATATTTCCTTTATTTTATTATATTAGTATTTATTCTCTTTTTTAGAAATCTAAGTAAAATATTTTCTTTTACTATACTAGATTATATTTTACTACTTAGGCGAATTATATAAAAAAGTAAATTCTTAAAGCTAAGCTAAAAATAAATACTTACTTATATTAGTTCGAAATATTATTAAAAAATTAAGAGAAACCTTTCTAATTACTTTAATTTTTATAACTTTAATTATTTATATTACTATTACTGCCTTAATAGAACTATTAATAAAGACAAAATAGATAAGAAATCCCGGTAATATATTATTTATAGCCGGACTAAGTAAGGCTATTTACTAGATCCTGAATAATTTAAATAATAATAGTAATATCTCAAGTTTAGTAGCTATAATTATTATTAATATAATTACTGGCTAAATTACCTTTATAGATAAAAATAGTAATTCCCTTACCCAAGAATAGGTTAATATATAGAATATAGCCTGTATTACTTTTGAAAATATACCTAAAATTACTATAGAGAATATCTTAGTAAAATATTCTAAGAATAATAAAATAGAGGCTTTAGTTACTAGTAATAACAAGCCTAATAGCCTAATAGGCAGAATAAATAATACTAATAAGGGCTTTCTTATTAACCTTATTAAGCTAGCTACTAAAAAGATTAATAAGAATAAGGCTAATATATCCAAAAAATATAAGATATTAGATAATAGCAAGAATTCCAATAATAAAAAGACTAAGAATAGAGAGAATTCTAGTAATAAAGGAGACTCTAACTATAGTAAAGGTAGCTAAACTAGTATTAAGATACCTATTATAACCAAGAGATATATAATACTAAGTAATAGTTATTATATAAAGTACTAGTCTGAAATCAAGAGCTAGTAAATAATCCTAAAGGCCGAGTTAAAGAAGTAATACCCTATAGATATTAATGAATTAGTATATAATACTATTTAAGAAGTTGGAAAACCCCTCAGAAATTCCTATAAGACCAGAATTATAAAGCTCAAGGCCCGGGAATTCGATAATAAAATAGCTTAAGTATCTGGCCTTAATATATAAATCTCTAAAATAGAGAATTAACTTGAGGATATATATATTAAGCTCAAAAAGGCCCAGAAGTTAATTAAGTAGCTCAGAAGCGGTATAATCAAGCCAAATATTACTATCCTAACCAAGAAAAAAGGCAAGCAAGCTACTATATTAAAGCCTGCCTCAACGGATAAACTTAATCTGCCACCCCTATTTAAAGACCGCCCGATAATAATAGTCCTAATATTGGCCATGGCCTATATAGTACTCCCAGACCACATTATTAATATGAGTATAGGCATAATACAAGTAACGGATACTAAGGACTGGCCGGAATATACTAGGAACTGGGTTATTTTGGCGGAGTCAAGATTATGCTTCGATTACAAGTAAGCTATAGGGATTGGACGGAATGGGGTCGGTGGCTATTATTTCTTTTTTTTCTTCTTTTCTATATTACGGCTAAATGATCCCCTAAATAAGGGCATTTAGACTTCTCTTTAGGGGGGGGGGTAATGTGACGGCTGGCGTAAGGGCATAATCTGCCAAGGACAGGATATCGGAAACAGGCACAAAACGAAGCTAAGCCGGAATTACTTAGGCGGAATAATACTAAAGGTCGAGGCATCCTCCCTACTTTGTTCCATAGCTTAGTATTTTCCAATACATGAGATTCTTTGAACTTTGAGCCTTCGACCATTGCATTGATCCCGCCGTCACAGGCAGACTTGTGGCTGTCTTCGCTGATGCAAAACCCAATGAGGAGTTGCCGTCATCGTGCAGACATCCAACCCAGCCCGTCACCTCAACCTCAATTTTTAACAATGCCAAAATTTCTACCAGTTCGAGGCGTTGCTATCCTACAAAGTACCGGGGATGTCGTTGGGATGGTCGGCCGTGACATTACGACAGCCGTCAAGCTGATATACAACCTCATCCACGCTCTCGACAGTTACGACGGTGCGGCGAGCGATTACCGCGAGGCTGTGGCGACGTTTGGGCTTTCCCTTGGACAAAAGAAATCGCCAGCTTATCATCACAATGTCTTCGAGAATCTGCACTAGCATATTCTGGTACCCAAGAAAGGGTGCTCAGGCTACTCAGGCGAGTTGACTGAGCCGAGGGTGAGCCGAGGGTGATTAGCGCCTGAGCAAGAGTAGGAAACTTACTAATTCTATACAGAGCCCAAGAAAAAGAAAATAGATTCACGATACCTGGGTACCATGAAGGGAAACCATCCCTCTCAACTGAGAGACTCGGATCGGCGAAGGAAAGAGAGACAAACGATTTTCATTGATAAGACTGGGCCTGGTGCCCTCAGTGAAGAGTTTAACTGGAGGCAGACCGTAATATGGCTGCGTTGTGAATGTTTTCCGATCTTGAAACATGCTCAGAACTCCCTATATTCGGTCTCTCGGGTCGGTGTCATCAGATCGCCTCGAGAGTGTAAATACACCCAGTGTGGTAAGCCGCAGACCTTCTTCGAGCCATTCTTAAATTGTTTAATCGTACGAAGCGTAGTTATGCCTTGCGGCTTCTTTGTGATGAAAGGATTGCTAAACATCACAATTTCTAGCAAAGCTTGCCAGATTTCGAGAAGCGTAAACAAGGCAACTGTTTGGCTACCGCAATTGAACAATAATTGAGGTGCAATTGTAGCTTCCTGTGTCACCCACACGCGGTAGAACCATCGCTTGTCCAGGAAGGATGAAAGAACAGTCCAATCCGGTGCTTCCTAAGGAAGTAAAACTCCAGTTCTTACCGCATCTCTGACGAGCGGAGGACGATCTTGCGCTTCGTTTGGCAAGTGCTGCTTAAATAGGCGATTTTTTGAGCCAGATCTAAAGCGAGGGTATCCTCAGGCTGAGCTTCGCCAAGCCAGACCAATGCGTGAGACAATTGAAATATGTGCGAAGCATGATCCCCACTTGATGCTCTTGCTCTTGGTATACTCTTAATTTATGCACACGGCATCAACACAGGGAACAAGGTCTTCAGCATCTTTCCGGAGATGTTGTAAGGTTGAAAACAGGTTCGGGGGAATGGGAGTCTGGAACTCGCCACATAATATGCAATAATATTCAGCAGGCTGTCCTGCCCTTTCGTCGAGGTCCCAAATATATAACAATGCCTCGTAAACGGGAGAATCGGGTAAACAGGCGCGATGAATTTCGCAGGTTATAGTGGTGCCCATAGTGCCAGGGCTGACATGAATCAAACGTACGTGCTCCGGACTTTCCAGCCGAGAGTATTGGTAAGAAGAAGACATGGTAGCACGCTCGCATTGACCAGAAAGTGATACTGCATGCCAGAGTCCCACGTAAAGCTGAACATTCAAATATTTCTGAGACTCTCCGGATGCTCCTTCGACATGTTGTACATTCAAGGTCTCTTCCCTAAGAATGCCCTGGAAGATCTAGAATATTCAAGTGGAGGACAATACGTTGGTGGAGACTTCCCACAGACAGTTGATATCAGAGGACCTCGATGTTCCAGAAGCGATAGAATAGGGGAACTGAGGACCGGAACAACATGCGGTAAATGATTGAGAAGCTGATGGAGCACTTGCTGTGGAAGAGCTAGAATCGTGCAGCGAGGATACAAATGTTCGACGGAGTTCCGGAAGTGAGGTTGAAGACACGGCACAGCCAATAGTTAAGGAGCAAAACGAACACCTACCGCGCAAGAGCTAGAATGTTAGAACGAAGACCCAAATATTCCAGGAGTGCTAGAATATTGAAATTGAGGACTAGGTGCCACGGCAAATGGCGGAGAGGCTGAGGAGCACTTGCGTTGGAAGAGCTAGAACGCCGAGACCAAGACCCTGTGACCCTGTGATGGCTTTTATATTGTTCTGAGAGTTACACGAACATTTGGATTAGAGGTACTTTGACGTTGACGGGGAAGAATAGGACGAGGCCGAACGACGTGAAGTTAAGCCCCGGTCACGTGCAAGCCACGCCAAGATCAACCGCGTCCTTCGAGCTGCCTTGTGTTGCCATTCTCGCCACATTTGGAACGTTCTCTCCCCAACCACCACCCACAAACCCCTCAAAATGTCCGACCGCGATCTCCAAGACATCCTACGCAAGCTGAAGTCCTCCCGTGACTACGCCGACATCCCGTCCCTCCTCTCCAAAGCCAAAATCAACCTCCTCAAGCTCAAAGCCCTGACACCAACCCCCAGCACACCCTCCTCCACGCTCCTTCTCGCACGCGAAGTCTTCGAGACCGGCGCCTTGCTCTCGATTCGCGCCAAAGACCCAGCGGCATTCACACGCTACGTGCACCAACTCACACCTTTCTACGAGCTCCCCTCTTCACGATTACCGCCAACAGGATCGGAGAAAAACAAGATTACGGGGTTGTATCTACTCTTGCTATTGACACAGGGAGATTATGCCGGTTTCCATACGGAACTTGAGGGTTTGGAGTTGAGGGAAGGCAGAGTGGGTGATGTGGAGAAGGATCGGTATTTGGGGTATCCGATTAAGCTGGAGCGGTGGCTGATGGAAGGGAGCTATGATTTGGTCTGGAAGGCGATGGCGAGTCGGGAGGTACCAAGTGAGGAGTATGGTGTTTTCAGTGAGGTGAGATGCCCCCACCTCATCATCTCTTTGCTTTCATACTTTCAGACAAAGGCTAGTAGCTGACAAAACGGATTCTAGATCCTGACCTCCCAAATCCGCAGCGAAATCGCCTCTTGCAGCGAAACAGCCTACCCGTCCCTTCCAATCTCCTCAACCAAGGACCTCCTCTTCCTTGACAGCGAAGGTGCCGTGGTCTCCTTCGCCCAGAACAGAGGCTGGCTCATCAAGGACGGCCGGATATACTTCCCGAAGCAGAGTCTGAAGGCCAATGTCGATGAGGAAGGAAACGAGAAACAGGAGTTAAGCGCGATGGCTATTGAAAACACTTTAGGCTACGCGAGGGAGCTAGAGACGATTGTTTGAGCCAATCTTGCTCCTCTGCAGCGATATTGCGTCGCATGGTTAGTGCATGATGGAGATGAGGCATGGCCTGAGCATCAAAGATGTATTCTAGACGGCGCTTTGGCGTACCAAACAAGACGACAATGGACTGCATATGATATGATTCAACCCCTTCTACGTTCTTGATCAACTAACCGCCATTCGCTCGATCAAATACTCCCTACATGCAGCCTCAGAGCAGTCAATCAGATCTACTTTTTCCGAACTCCATTTTCTTTGCCGCGCAAAAGATTCTCACGCAACAAGCTTCAGCCCACTCCCGTTTTTCCCCACCTCGCAAACACCACAAACAGCACAGACAGTACCCTTGTACTTGGAGTGATATTTGCTTCCGTCAAAGGCACAGACTTCGAATGCTGAGCCGGAGTAGATAGGTGTATGTGATGCAGCACAGATATCAAATTCAGCGAACTGATCAAACTCAATTTCGATAGCATCGTTGGGATTCCGTTCGCACTGGGCCTTGATCTTTTTTGCCTATATAGTTGGTCAGTAAATGGTTGATATACCAGCGAAATGATAGATAGCTTACGTTGTCAAGCATCTTAGCAGCCCCACCATTAGCCAACATCCTGTTCGCAAAGCTCAACGCTGAGTTGAAGTTTTTGTTCTGGTATGCAAGCTTCATGCCACTGGTCAGAGCTATTTGCCGATGTGGCACCTCAAGTTTCGGGATTGTGAAGTATGCAGCCAGTTCAAGACTTCGCTTTAACTTCTCAGGTGACTTCGCGACCTCTTCGTCTGTGCCAAGTTTCCGTCGCTCCAGCTCTATCGACATAGCAATGGCATATTCGCATGCGGTTGTGATCAGCTTCTTCGCCTCTTCGACTTCTGATGCCGTCGAGACAGCGTTTACAAGAAGAGCATGAAGGATACCCTGGAAAACGACTTCTCCATCTTGAAGTTTGTTCGTACGCATAGCAGTGTAGCCCTTTTGTAAATCATTGGTGGCGAGTGACTCGATGTCTCGGGGAATAATCGGGAGAACTTTCCGAGGATCAGTCTCGTCGACAGTTCGACGAACGTAGTTGATGAGTGGAGGAAGACAGACAGAAGCAGGGAGGTATGTCTTCGTAGCTTCGTAGATCTCCAAGAAACGTGGCTTCAATGGTGCGAAGTTGACCGCACCAAGTTGTCTGTTCAGCAGTTGCATTGCGGTCTCAAAAGAGCCTCCAGCCACGTGATCAGCAGCTATTGGTGAGTTGCGAGCCCATAAGTCGGCTTCGCTGCTTCCAGCGCCAGCCTCAGCGCTGTCGACATTGACAAAGTCGCTCTCAACTTCTGGAACAATGTCATCGCCCATGTCCCAGCCTGCTGCATCTTCGTCGTCATCAGCTTCGGCGAGACCGCCATTTCGCTTGGCACCGTCTTCCTCTCCAGCTTCATCAAATCCGAAAGCATTAGAGGCGGCTATTGGTTCGTCTTCTAACGACAAACCTTCAACTTGACCGAGTAACGCCTTCTCGAAGAAAGATTGGGAAGTGGCTTTTGTTGGCCAATTCGCTTTGAATGTAGACACGATCGGCTTTGGAGGAGATAGAGGAGAGCCGAGTGCTGGAAGAGTAATTTGATCCTCAGTAAGACCAGTTGCCTCCAAGATTGATTCGCATTCTTCTTCCAGACCATGAGATTTAGCGGTCATGTATGCTAGCGGATCTGTGAGAGGTCAGCGGGGATCCCGTCTATTGTCAGGACTGCAGAACTTACAGAGATCAATTTCCTTGAACATTGCTATCCGGTCGTTGACATCTCCGAGATACAGGGCGTTTTGGAACCGAGCAGTAAAATCGCCACGATGCTCAGCGATCTTGGCCATGCGGGTGAGTTTTGCTTCATCACCCGTAGCTAGGTAAAGGAAAGAGAGTTTGTCAAATTGCCTTAGCTTCTGATACGCCATCTCGACAATTTGGTGGTTGCCGTGGGCGAGGGCTTCGGTTGTCAATCTTGACCAGAGCTTGGGTCTGTCGAGCTGCTTTGCCATTTCTACCGCAACATCAAGGTTTCCACATTCAATGGCGAGCTCAAATCGGGTCTGTGGATCTTGAACGAACTGCAGGGCAATCTCAGGGTAACCCTTCTTTTGCAGGTAAGAGATGATGCTTTGGCCAACGAGACTTGAGTTCTTGATGATTTGCAACATTTCCTCATAGTTGCGCTTCACAAGCGCAAGCTTGAAGCGATATTCTGTCGGGTCGATATTCAGGATCTTTGGCTTTGCATTGCGGTCGAGGCAGTATACTGTGCGTGCTTTGACCCGGACGAGGTACACTGTTTGATCCAAGGTTCGAACGATTCCATTATCGCCGTTCAGAAGAGTATACTTGATGTGATTAAGGGTGGAGTAGAGGAGAACTCCGGCATCATCCCAAGTTGCGCTCTTGATTCTGATAGTCTCGTGAAGCGTGCTGACCTGCTCCAAGGTTTTCGTGACGATGGTGACATTGTGCTTGCTCAGCAGTGCAGCATAGAGCCCATCGTTTGACCAAACAACGTATTTGACACCTGCTACGGTCAACTCGGCAGTAGCTTTCTTTTGCTGGATATCGTAGAGATGAACGGCAGTTGGAGTAATTAAGAGAAGATTGCCAGTTCCACCAAAGTAAATATCAGTAGTTCCGGTTGGTGGCTTGATGGTTTTGGTCGTGGAATTTGAGAGATCTCTGATATCAATCTGTTGGCTGGCGGCGTTGAAAACAGCAAAACGATTGCGTGCCACAAACACCGCTGAAGTTCCCTGCCCTCGTTTCGTGTCTGTAGCATCCATAGAACCAGAGCCATCTCGGGGCAGATTGATCAACTCGTATGATCCGCCATCCGCTGGGGATGTAACAAGAATAGCGCGCTCAGCCGGGTTATAGGACAATGAACGAGGTGGAACCCACGGGCTGCCCAGCTTCTTGAGGGTCAAAAGAGTTGGACTTTCAACATTCTTTTGGAAATCATATGACCGAACATGCTTCTCTCGTGTGATGAAAAAGAGGTTGTTCTGATAGAATGCAGATGCAGGCCTTTCCCGCTCCAATTTGAAGACCATAACACCATTGTCGTGGCCAGCGGCGAAAAGGTTGATCTCCGGATGCGCTGCAATAACCCAAAATCTATCGTTCTCTCTCTTGAAAGACTGGACTGAAGTACGCTTATTAAGATCCCAAACCCGGATGGTCTTATCCTCACCGCAAGATAATATCAGATCTTGGTGAGGGTGGAACAGGCAGCCGGATGCATTCTGAAAGTGACCACGGCAGGTGTCGACCTCCCAGGCCTTCGTTTCGCTCATTCTCCATAATTTGACAAGTCGATCATCACCAGCGGATACGATCAAGGGTAGTGTAGGGTGGAAGGCGACCCAGTTCACGCCTCGGTCATGTCCTTCTAGGACGAATTTGACCACCGCATCCGTATTGCCAAACATATCCGCCTGGTTCTGGTTTCCCCGGGACATCTGGTCTTCGAAAGTCATCGAAGTTGGTGCAGAGTGTTTCTTTCTGAGTCCTGAAATATCCCAGACACGTACTGACTGATCGAGGGAGGCCGAAACTACCAAGTCGTCTTTAGGATGGAATTGGGCGCACATTGTGTAATGGTTGTGACCTGTCATAGTGCAAACTGGAAAACATATCAGCAAAGAGGATCCTGCCGCAATGGGCTTTGGAAATATACTCAAAGATCTATTCTGCCAATTCCAGATTCGGATGGTCTGGTCATCGGAGCTGGAGATAATCCAAGGAAGCTCATGGTGGAAGAAAACTGTGCGGACATAATCCAAATGACCGTTCAAGGTAAACAAGCATCTTCTAGTCTGGTATGACCAGACCTTGATCTTGTAATCATCTCCGCCAGAAACGAAGAGGGGTTGTGTCTTGTGGAAATCGACTCCTCGTACGGGTCCATCATGCTCCTCGAATCTGTCAATCAATGTTCCCATGCGGTAATCCCAAAGTTGAATGGTTGAAGAGTGAAGAGATACAAGAATCCATGGTCTGAAATTTGTTAGCTGTGAATGCGCCTAGGGAGTAGCGGGGGGGACCTTTTGGGATGGAAAGCAATTCCCTTGGCTCTCGAGGACTTCGACTCAAACTTCGTGGAATATTAGCACATGGCAAGTTACATCGACAGACCGATCTGGGCAATAATTACCTTCGTCAGCATGTTGGGGGAGGAGTTGGTAGCCATCTTGACCGACGCTGCAAGAAACCAGAGAGCCTAAGATTCGCGCATGAAGGACAGCGGATGGTTGCTGGTGTGGACCTTCACTTATGTATCTTGCTGCGCACGCCGTATAGACAATGGATTCGAAGAGGGCCGTGGGCAGGTAGCAGTCGGAGTCGAGAAGGGGGAATTTGTGTGCTCGTGGAAATCGAGTTACGATACGTTGCGATTCCAGTGTGGTCGGTTCTTGCCGGAACCGAAATGTCAGGCACCAATGCAGCAAGCTTCCAGCTGGTGGGCAGGAGCTCCTTGCGGACACCTTGCCAGAAAGAACGTCAACTGTGTAAATATACTCAGCCTTGTCCAAATGTTGTCGCAGACTCCTGTACAATAGAACAGCATGCATACATTCCCACTTGCTTGACTACAGCTTTTGACTCGTTCCGCTGGCGGATATTTCACCTTTCACTGCCTCCAAGATCCAGTGTTCTGCACCCATCTGGACCTTGCCCCCTGAAAGGACAGCTGTCGAGAAATTCCGACAACTTCAACACAACGCAAATATGGGAGTTTTGAGACTGCCATGGGGTCTTACTGGAGCCCTTTTGGCATCTACCTATCTACACTCTTTATGCGCCTCTGCGAGCCCCTCTATAAATGTGGGGTTAAAAGCATCTTTCTCTTCAGCTCCGTACCTGCTTGAATTGCTGTGAGTTTGCCCAAGGGCTCTTCGAACACCAACTTACTCCAATTAGAGAAACTGCTGCAGACGAAAATGCTACCTCCTATTTCCCCCTTCTTGACCGAATTGCAGACGGGTATTTTTCGAAAGCTTCGACCGACCAAGAGCTGTACGACAAATTCATACAAGTTCTCAAAGATGACGGCCACATGGCAGACCCAGAAACACTGTCAACATACAAATTTGCCCTATCTATGCACTCCCTAGCACCTCGGATCGAAGCCCACTATCAGTATTACCATACAGCTGTGGAGCCATCACTGAAGGGTGAACAAGATACCTCATGCCCGGTCTGGGTCCTATTCAATGGAAAGCAGTATTGCTCTCCAACTTTAGACGAGGCACATGGTGAAATCAGTGGGGACTCGTAAGTTGGAATTCCTGAGAAGAGCTGCAGCAACTAACGGAATTTTCCAGACAAGTGCAAGAGTTACAATTTGACAGAGTTCTCGGCAATCATTCTGCACCTGCCTCGATTCTATACGCTGATATCACTTCTACCGCCTTTGGAAAATTCCATAAAACTTTGGTTAAGACTGCCCGTGAAGGGAAGAGTTCTTACCGAGTTCGACATAGAAAGTTCATGACCGCAGAGTCTAGGCCACTTATTGTTCCTGGATATGGTGTTGAACTTGCCCTCAAGAGAACGGACTACATTGTGATTGACGATCGCGAAGAGGATGAAAGCAAAACCGTTACTGCCACCCCTGAAAAGGAGGTGAAGTTTGAGGACGAAGAATTGGCAGATCTCAAGCCACTATCCTCATCGGAGCTTTTTGGTCTCGGCTTGAAAGCGTCAAGTTTTATCATGCAGAGCGAAAATCCGTTTGATACGCTTGTGAAGCTGTCCCAAGACTTTCCTAAGTATTCGAGTGCTGTAGCCTCCCACAATGCTTCAGAGGATTTCGTTGCGGAGCATGATTACAACCGAGGTCAACTTGTCCCAGGGGGCTTTAATATTTGGTGGATGAACGGTGTTCAGTTGATTGAACGTCAAATTGAGGCATTAGAAATGCTTAACATGCTTCGGAAGGAACGAAAACTCATCAACGGGGTTCGCGATCTTGGCTTATCTGGCCAAGAAGCAATTCAGTTGCTATCTCACAACGAAGTGGCAACGGCAAAGGCTGATAGTGATGCCCCAAGATTTGACTGGAGAGATGAGATCGAAGGAGGCAATGTTATCATCTGGATGAACGATATTGAGAAGGATAAGCGCTACGCGGACTGGCCTCGGGTTCTCCAGGCTGTAAGCATGAATGTGTACCGACCTGGTGAATTTGCTGACCTATCGTAGATGCTTCAGCGCACATATCCCGGCCAGTTACCCCAAATTCGAAGAGACTGCTTCCAGTTAGTCATTCCCGTTGACTTCACAGACGCTGAAGATGTTCTGCTCGTCGCAGATACACTTTTGAATTTCGTTAAACGCAAAATTGCGATTCGTATTGGGCTTGTGCCCATTACAAAGACGAAGGAATCACTGGAACAAGCGAGGGTGGTATACCACCTGGCCAATACCTACGGACTGCAAGCGGCTCTTGTCTATCTTGAAACTTCATATACTTCTAAGATGGTGACAGGACCGAGTAAGTCAGCCTTCGACACTGCAGTGAAATCACGGCACGTGCGTCAAGAGAAGGTAGCGGTGCCCATGGATGAGATGCTCAAATCCGAAGATTATCAAGACCAAATTGAAGCTTCCAAGAAATGGATGCGCAGACTTGCCGCCGACAGCAAGATTCCGCCAGTGTTTGTGGATGGAGTTGCAGTCCCTCGGGACGAGAATTGGCTTCAATTGATGAGCAACAGAGTCTCCACTGATCTCCAGTCCATTCAACAAGGCATTTTCACAGATGCATTCGAGGCGGATGCGTGGCTTCCTTCATACTTCCTCCTCCAGGCATCGCAGAAACGCAACCCGATAATCTCTCCTGAAGATGAGAAGACGCTCAAGATATTTAATGTTAACAAGCTCGCGGGCGAGAACCAAGCTCTTCTGGATACTTTGCCGCGGATCCGAGTTGATGCATCAGCTAATAAGACTCTCTGGGCTCATATGATTCTAGTTGCGAATTTGGAGTCTGAAGTTGGCTCAAAGCTACTTGCGACTGCAGCCGTCTTCTGGGAAGCAAATCCATCTGTGGAACTCATTATTGTGCACAACCCAGTGTCTAATACAATTGACACTGGATTGAGCAATGACTTGTTTTCACATATGCAGAGTAATTCAAACAAAGCCTTTGCCAACATGAACGATTTGACTGCGATCCTTGCGGGAGAAAAGACAGCTGAAAGTGCTTTGACCCAACAAGGAGCAAGCCAGTACTGGCATGGAGCGGATTCCCTCATCAGGTCACTAGCTTTGAGGCCTGGCGAAAACGCTGTTCTTCTCAATGGCCGTTTGGCTGGACCTATTCCAGCCGATACCGAGTTCGACCTCTCCGACTTTGATTCATTATTATCGTATGAGCGATCGAAACGTATTACTCCGGCATATAATGCAATGGATTCACTTGGATTGTCCGACAAGATTGCGGATCCTTTAGCAGCAGCAAAGATTTCTTCGATCGTGGCAAAGTCCACGATATCGGATACTCCTGATGGAATCTTTGAACAGGCATCAACACTTCGGATGAGTCAGTTCAATGTTTGGAACTCTTTTCACACGGTCATCGAGACTGGTGACATCTCTACTGCAACCATTCAGTTCACCATACTCTTAGATCCTGCCAGCGAGCAAGGTCAAAGATGGGTGCCAATTGTGAAAGTGCTCTCAGAACTTGATGGAGTGTATATGAAGCTCTTCCTCAATCCTAAAGAAAGACTCCAAGAGTTACCTGTCAAGCGATTCTACAGATACGTTCTGGATTCTAAGCCAACCTTTGATGAAGCTGGAGCCCTTCTGCCACTCGGAGCTACTTTCACGGGCGTCCCCCAAGAAGCACTACTCACTGTCGGGATGGATGTACCTCCAGCTTGGCTTGTTGCACCTAAGGTTTCAGTCCACGATCTTGACAACATCAAGCTTAGCTCTATCAAAACCAACGTTGAGGCTCTCTACGAACTTGAGCACATCTTGATTGAAGGCCACTCTCGTGAAATTCCTGGTGGCAGTGCTCCGCGTGGCGCCCAGCTTGTCCTTGGTACTGAACGAGATCCGCATACTGCAGACACTATTATCATGGCCAATCTGGGTTACTTTCAGTTCAAGGCCAATCCAGGATTCTACAAGATTGATTTGCAGGAGGGTAGAAGCGCTAAAATATTTACCATTGAGAGCATTGGCTCACAGGGCTGGAGCCCGGTTCCTGGCGATGAAAGCACGGAAGTTGTCTTAATGAGCTTCCAGGGCACTACGTTGTACCCTCGTCTCTCACGAAAACTTGGCATGGAACTAGAAGATGTTCTCGAAGCAAAGACCGACTCGCCGATGGACTTTGTCTCGCAAGGTCTCAAGTTCGCCCAAGGCATCCTCGGGAAAGGCAAGGCAGATGTTGCAGCAAAGCAAGAACAAGCCGAGATCAATATTTTCTCTGTTGCCAGCGGACATCTGTACGAGCGCATGCTGAACATCATGATGGTCAGTGTCATGAAGCACACCAAGCACACCGTCAAATTCTGGTTCATCGAGCAGTTTCTGTCCCCATCCTTCAAAGACTTCATTCCCTACATGGCCGCAGAATACGGCTTCCAATATGAAATGGTTACATATAAATGGCCACACTGGCTCCGACACCAGACCGAAAAGCAGCGCGAGATATGGGGTTACAAGATCCTCTTTCTCGACGTTCTCTTCCCCCTTTCTCTCGATAAAGTCATCTTCGTCGACGCCGACCAGATTGTTCGAACAGATATGATCGAACTCGTGAACCATGATCTTAAAGGTGCTCCCTACGGCTTCACACCCATGTGCGACAGCAGGACTGAGATGGAAGGCTTCCGCTTCTGGAAGCAAGGATATTGGGAGAAGTTCCTTCGCGGGTTGCCGTACCATATCTCCGCCCTCTACGTCGTGGATCTCCACCGCTTCCGCCAGATTGCAGCAGGCGACCGACTTCGTCAACAATACCACCAGCTCTCCGCTGACCCTCAAAGTCTGTCTAACCTGGATCAAGATCTTCCAAATCACATGCAAAGCGTACTTCCCATCCACAGCCTCCCGCAAGAATGGCTCTGGTGCGAAACCTGGTGTAGTGACGAAGCGCTCGCTGACGCCAAAACAATTGATCTGTGCAACAATCCTCAAACCAAGGAGCCGAAATTGGATCGAGCCAGGAGACAAGTTCCCGAATGGACGGTGTACGATGACGAGATTGCGGCTGTGGATCGAAGACGGAAGGGCTTGCCTGCAAATGGAAACGGAGAAAAGAATATGAAGAGTCGCACATTGGAGGATATCGTTAGTACGGCGGCGACGAGCGAGGTGCCGGGGGAGACGAAGAGTAAGAAGGATGAGCTTTAGATTTGTATGTAGATAGAAGGAGTTTTGGATTGTAATGAACGTAGATTGTATGTGTACAATGGCTTGAACATTTACTGTGCGTCGTACCCCTGAGTAGCATATCAACTAAGTGTACCTTCCTCCTAGGTTATCGATCGCCACACATTTTCAATGCTTCTAAAAGAGTCTGCAATTCGTGTTCATTCCACTTCTGTACTAATTGTAGGTGAGGGGTACTTACTCGCCGCCTGAAGTATTCGTTGCTGCTGCTTTAACCCCCTTTTCTCTAGACGCCACCTTTCAATAAGCGAGCACCTGTCAACAACGCCGTTTCTTAACCTCCTCGAACCTCGATTTCGAGATACTATAAATCAAGTGCCTATCGGAGAGTGTAACGAGAGGTGACTGAGTGTCGTTGCCATTGTATTTTCAAGATGGGAGAGTGAAAGAGGGAGCCAGCTGCCCATAAAAACTCCTTTTTGAGACGGATTTTTTTTTATTAAAAAAAGTCAAGCTAATCCCTTTGTCCGTATCCTTACACTATCTCCGTCAGACCACGGGGACCGTAGCATACAAGAGACGCAGACAAAGATGAGAGAAACATCGCAATATGAACAAGGAAGAGCAATATCAATACGGAAGAGGAACAACAACAAAGACTTGGTCGTGCAAACAGCGGTACACAACCTGAAGCTCAGACATAATATCAGAGCAAGGGATATAACCCTACGCCAATTTTTAGAAGGAAGAACTTCAAGGATCAAGAATTTTCAAAGCACGGTTTTAGATATCTATGGGAATGTGTGTCTTCACTGGTACAGCTTCCAAATCAACAAGGCATTGGACAAGTGAAGCACCAGTTTGGTTGGGTTAAAGGATGGTCAAGTCATCGAGTCCAAAATATGTGTGCGAATGCCCCGATTTTCGTAATTTTGAAGAGCGTTGCATCCCTTCCGATGAACTCAAGTGGATTTAAGAGTTTAGTTCATATACACAAGTTTATTTAATTCGAAGTCGGGTGCAGGTGCCTCCCTGTTTGCCTTCAGATATTTCGTCATCCTTATTCACGAAATGAGATTTTCTCTGGCGACACAGCCACTAATATCTACAAAGGCACATACTGGCTTACTCTTGTTGTTAAGTACCTAGTTCTTGCCACTCGACCTTACCGTCTAATCTTTTTCTCCTTCCTCCTTGGGTCTTTTTTCGGAGAAACTTGAGCGTCACGCCCCGAATTTCCGAAGTCTTTTTCCTCGTATCACTTCTCCGCTTTGAACACGTCGTCTCATGCTTGGCCCTTCTCGCAAAGCCAAGGAACCAAGAAGCCCTGGTACGACTCATCTCACCATTTGTCAAGCTCCCTAAGTGTATGAAGCCTGACACGTTCACTCATTTATATGTGTGCTGACTTCATGCACAGAAAGACAAGATGTCGAACAAAGATCAGAGCAGTACGAAAACCGGTGAAGGAGAATCCAAGTAAACGAGCTTCGATGGAGAGGAGCGAGGCTCTAACCATCCAACACCTTCTCCGAGCCTAACCCTCCCTCGATCTACCTTTCATCCACGAACTCCGAACGAGACTGAACGGCAGTCGCTCTCCTCCCACATGGAGAGTATGGTTGCACAACCCTCCCTTCACAAATCCCAAACAACTCGAACAGGCTATTCGCGTACGTCGACCGAGTTTGTTCCCACGCACAAGACCATGAAATGGGTGTCTTCTGCCCTTATTGCAGAGGCATCCATATGCCATGGGGCGAGGACTTGCCGAAAACCCACCAAGATAACGGCGAAAAGCTCTTGAGGGCACCTGTTGGCACGATGTTAGCTGGAGTAAATCTCAGAAGCAGAGGAGCGATCGCTACCCTCTCGACTGTAGCCTATCTCGAGGTTACACGCCAACCACATACGACCGTTGATGGTTTGGCCAGATTGGAGTCACTGTATCCAGCTTCTGCCCAAGCTGGACGCCGTGTTGCAAGACTTCAGAACACGCTTCGAAACATTGCTGGAGGAGCCTTCTTCTGTTCCCAATCATTACGATATCATCCATCGAGCACTGCTGGAACCTTTCTTGAGTGAGAGTGCTCTTGGAGATAGCCTTCTCAGTGGTGCACCCAACACAGACTACCCAATGTCCTCCGCGCCACCGATGCAGCGCCGAGGCCTCGGCGGAGCAACTCATCACGGGAAGGAATCCTACGATGACGAGCCGACCGACTCAGACAATGAAGCTCATAGCGATGGCAAACTGCGAATGGAGAAGAGAATTATGCCAAAGGAGAAACATGGATGGAATAGGCCAGCCAAACGCCGAAATTGGGAGTTTGTCCCGGGAACAGACCTCGAAGTTGCTGAAGTTGGCAAGCCAGATCCCTCTAAGTTCTTCCTCGTCCGCCAAAACAAGGACAATCCTTTGGAGAAAGACATTCGGCAGTACGCTGGCTGGGAGACCTTAGATTGGGACGATCCAAATGATATCGAAAGCCTCAACAGCGCTCGACGTCAAGTACGCAAACGTACGAGTGGGAAGATTGCCGTGTCGCGAATGCCATACACGCAGATGGAGAAGGACGTTCTCAAGAATCTGGTTCAGCAAGCCATCCAAAGCGGCAAAGACAGACTTACCATCGATTGGGACGAGATATCCAGGAACATGTCGAAGCATTTCGAGGGGATCGTTCAAGAACCTGGTCAGCCGATGGCTCGAACATCCAAGGTAGTCGCCGGACAGGAGAAAACTCCCAAGCACAAAGTGCAGACTCTGAAAACTCGGAGAAATGGCACTGCAAACCGTGCCGGCAGAGCCATCCAAGCCCAAGCCGAAAGTTATGGCGATATTTGGCTTATGTTGATTGCCTCCAAGCCTTTAGGCAAGAGAGGTCGCAGAAAGAAGGAGACCGAGGTTGCTGAGAAGGAGAAAATTGAGCTGGACAATGCTGAGGAGGAAACAGAATTACCATCGAACCCGAAGCGCCGTAGGACTGGAACAGAGGATATCGCGCCCGGTCCAAAGATGCCTCCTGGACCTCCTCCACCTCCTGGAGGAGCAGGCGGGATTGCTGGACCCATGGGAGAAGGATTTAGTCTGGCTCTGGCGCAGACCACTCTTCCGAGTCATTGATTCTGGTATTTATAGGACATTAGGGCTGAGTGAAGGACATTCAAGTTTCTTTCTGGTACTTGACAGGCGATTCTGGCATCATGTCTAGTGTTGAGACTCATCTTGGCCTCGGTTTTGACTCCATCCACCAAGGCCTGCTTAGTACAGCGCGACGAGATTAGACATGTGACTTTCACAGACTTTTGTAGGAAATGGATTCTTTTATAAACTTCGGCCTTTCTTTGCAGCCGCGATATCACCGGTAATTTGAATGACCCTATTGAACTGTTTGTAAAGGAAGCCGCAATTGCCAGCGAATATCTAGGTTGCGGCCCGAGTACCAGCACATTCCACAAATATGGGGCGGTTCAAACACTGTTCCTGCAAACTCCACTAATCGTTGAAAGAGCGACCAGCCTTAATGGAGAAGAGAGTCATGGAACAAACTATTTGTGTTTGTAAATTTTTGGAAATCAACAACGAATCTTCAAACAGGATGTCAAAGAGAGGGACGTAGTCATTCCCTTTGCCTCAAATAGGGTGAATTTCAATTACCAACATTCAGTAATTCATTATTAATTATGTATAATCTCCTTTGAGTACTTCTTTCATAAACCTGATCAAGCAACTGGAGCCCTCTGGGCAAGTAAACATAAATTCGAGGTTTGAGATCGAGCGGCAAGTATAAAATTGTTGTTGTGAATTTCTAGTCAGATAATTTTGAAGAATTATCTAACTTACCAATGAGTAGCGAGCCATACAGGCAAGACAAAAGATGCGAATTTAGCTGTGAAATTCACATATGCAAGTTTTCTTTCGCCACTGGAAGCTCGTGCCTCATTCCGCACCTACAAATATTCCCTGACCTCGCGCCTCTGCTCGAACACTCTTTCCACAACAAACATCCACTCGGAGCACTTGAGACCTTCCGAATCAACAGGACAGTCTTCTTCAAATCTCTTCAGTCTTTGTCGAACCTCGAGGACTCCACGTCAACCTGTGTTCCCATCAACCACTTTAGACCTTTCCCAGAAATTACTCTGTAAGTGCTCTCCTGTTGCTGTCAACTAGATGTTCATTGCCACTTGGACCCGTCTGAACATCCCCACTTACCGTCCTTTTTTGGGACCTCCTCTTGACTTTCGAGTTGGCCATCGCTCGCGCCTGCGAAGTTTCGAGTCCCTTCTCCTGGAAACCTTTTCCTCGACTTGGCTTTCCAACTTCAAAGCATCTGGCTCGTCCACAAAATCAAGAAGTCTTGGTGTTGAGACCTCTCCACCCCCTCCTTCTGATCTCTCCAAACGACAATTTTTGCTGTTAAGTTCTTGGCCGTAAGAACATTAACGGCCTGCCCCGAGAGTTCCGTTTCATCGTTTGTATGAGCAGAGAACTGACTCCTTCAATAGTCTTGCAACATGTCTCAACAAAACCGGTCTTCCAGTCGCGATGTTCCTGCTTCCGCAGGTCCATCTCTCGAAGGCGACGATAATCCCCAAGAACGAGGTTCTTTACCTACCACGCCAGAACGTCCTACACGTACTCCAGCAGCGTCACGGATACAAGAAGAAGAAGGAGAAGAAGAAGATTCTAGCTACGTGCAAGCTCCTCGAGGAATGCCAGTCCATCCTGGACAAGTGGAGCGCCGACCACCGTCCGACTTACAAAGAAGCATGATCCAGGAGCCTCTTCAATCGACCATTGCTAGACAGCAGGATCCAGCTAACCGCCTTCTTGCTACTGTCAGCTCCAATTGTCTCCATGGCAGAGATCATGAGATGGGGATGTTTTGCCACGAGTGTAGAGGTATCCAAATGCCTTGGGGAACATCGTTGCCTCAAGTTAGAGATGACCTTGGCGAAGATCTCCGTAGAGGCCCGAACGGATCAATCTTCCAAGGTGTCCAACTCCAAAATTTCAATGCCATCGCCACGCTCTCAGCGCGTGCATATCTCGAGTTGACCCACCAGTCGGCAATGTCAATTGACGGGTTCAACGGCTTCGAGGCGAGATATAAAGCAGCTTCAAATGCTGGACGCCTGGTTGCACGCCTCATTGACTCTCTCCGAAGGGTAGCAACAAATCTCGAACGAGTTCCAGCCTTCTACGATATTATTCATCAAGCTTTGCTGGAGCCCGATCTGAGTTACGAGAACCACCGAGAAAATATCCTCCGGATCATCGAGACGGATGAAGAGAACGAACGACCACATGGCCATGACAACGCGGCTCGAGGAGCGAGAGGAGAAGGCTTGGGAGGAATTGATTCTCGGCACGGACGGAGACAATCGCAAGCCTCTGCTTCCAGCGGTAACCTGGAAATCGGACCAGGAGGTACCACTTCTGCGCCCTCGGGATCAAGCTCTTCTCCGACAGACAACTCAGAAGAGCTGATCTTCGAGCCGATGCGAGATATATCAGGACCTCAGTCCCATCGACCACCGAAGCGGGGTGATTGGGAATTCGTTCAAGGAACTGATTTGAGCGACGCTGTTTTGGGACAGCCTGATCCATCCAAATATTTCCTCGTTCGACAGATGCATTCGAATCCCGCGGAGAAAGATGTTCGCCAGTATCCAGGCTGGGCAAAAATGGACTGGAACGACCCCACGCATATTACCGATCTGAATAGAGCAAGAAGACAGATCCGAATGCGAACAAGCGGAGCAATTGCTGAGCCTCGCCTCCCCTGGACCAAACTGGAAAAAGATGTCCTGAAGCGTCTTGTGCAAAACGCAATCAATGCTGGCCAAAAACGAACAACTATCGATTGGGAAGCCATCTCTTCTAATATGTCCAAGCACTTTGACAGCCTCGTGCAGAAGGAGGGAGAGCCTCTTGCACAGACGACGACAGTCGTCGGGGGCATAGAACAGGCACCGAAATACAAGAGGGCGCCAAAGTTGAAGACCCAACGAACGGGCTCACAGCAACGAGGTGCTAAAGCCCTTGCAAACCAAGCAGAGAAGTACGGTGACATCTGGATCATGCTGAACAATACGCAGCCAAGAAAGGACCGCAAGAAGAAGCGGACAGCTGGTGGTAGCAACAAGCAGGATAGTGAATCACCTGAGTATCAGGATGAGGACGTAGCTGAGGACGTCGACTCCGACGATGAACCAATCCAACCAAAACCAAAGCGGGTCAAGGGTCCTAAGGACATGCCGGATCGTGGTCCGAAGAAACCTCCTGGCCCCCCTCCTCCTGGTGGCGCTGGTGGTCTTGCAGGACCCATGGGAAAGAGCCGGAGCATTGCGCCAACACGAACTCCCATGGCGGCTCGATAATTTTTTCTATTCGACGTATTGGTGATGGTGAATCTGGACTGGCTTTGCTGCTTGTTTGTGAATTGTGCTCTGGTGTATTGGTTTCAGAGACTCTTATCTTGGGAGCTGCTCCTGCTTGGTTATCGGTCAATGGAGTAGGATCTAGTGTCACTGGAGATAGGGAGACTTATTTTGAGTTTGCCTCTGAGAAGGAATTGAGCACCATGCTTTTGATAAGCTTGATAGGAAATCAGGAATCAGGATCTTTCATAAACTTTTGCTGTCCTTCGAAGTTGTGAACCTATTGTGATGACTCGAACCTGGCTTGGCTTGCCATCGAAGGTGATTCCGTGCATTTCGGACAGCGGTACTTTCCTTCATCTCTATACTGGGAACTTCTATTCCGCTTCCCCCCGCCATCTTGCTTGGATGTGGCTCCTCAATTGCGCTGTCGAAGGCGAAGGAGTTGTCGGGTTGTATTCCAGAATTGCAAATAATATATCTACAATCTGTTGGTCAAGCTTGAGATTCGAACCTACCCATGCCTTTCTTCAACACTCCTACCAAAGATGCTGCTTCACTGGGTAATCGTCTGACCGCGTGGTTGGGTGACTGGTAAAGTCGATGGAATTGGGAAGGGATAATATGGGACCTCTGGGACTTGAGCAGAGCCCGGAGAAGTGTCTCTGCCTCGACATCCTCTCTTGGTATGTCCCTGGGCAGCATGGGAAACAAATCTTGGAGGCAAGCTCCAAGTGGAGCTGGGCGGGGTCTCTGCTTCTGCTACAGGAAGAAACGGTGGGAACGTAGGGAAGAGGATGAAGAAGAAGCGACTGCTATCGCTAAGGGATGAAGGAAGGGCTCGGGAAATGAGAAGGGCACGGCGCGCGCCAGTTGGTGATCTCTACAGTATATTTCTCAATTTGTCTAGGCAGACTCTTTGGGTCAATGGGTGCTCAATGCTTGCTTCAACTTTCATTTTGCCTGTGTACAATGGCAATGTCTTTGGCAAGAATGCTCTAATGGAAGTCTGTCATGCTGGCGTTCGCGCTGCGTGAATTTTAATCCGGGATCACAGAACGTATTGGGGGATCGCTTGAAGGGATGGCGCGACCTCATCACCGAACCCCTGCGGCCGCGTCGCTTACAGTGCTATGAACACTTGTGGCAGGCAGGCGAAGCGTGTTAGCAACAGGTCTCCCTATCCACTTTTCCGTCGTGTCGTTGGAAAGTCCTAGTTGTATTATTTACAGTGTTCAGCTTCTAGTTAGCGCTAATAGCCACACCTCGGATCGAGAACCATAAATTCACCGAGAGCAAGAATCCTTTGACCCGCCTGCCTCTGCTTCGTTGTCCAACGGTGGCTGTGGTTCTTCATCTTCTTCCCCAATCTCTGGGAGAGTTGCCTCTGTCTCTGTCTCTGCCCCTGCCCCTGCCCTTTCTTTGTTCTGCTTCTCGAGTCTCGCATTCTCCTCTTCTATACTCATTCTCAGTGCCAATGCCAACTCTGGGTCTACTGAAGGATCAATGCCGAATTCAAATTCCCTACCATATCTACCCTCACTTGTATCACCCATTCCACCAGGCCTGAGCCTCCATCGCCATTCAATATGGGAGATATAACAAGCTGATCACTTAACAATCCAGATTGAGGTGACATGATAGCAATATGCGATCTAGCACCACCTTCAACATTCTCGTTAAAGACGGTCAGCTTGTTCTCAACCTTGCCGTTCAGTTCTCCGAATACAACGAAGTCGATGGAAATACTATTTTTCTTTATCTTCTGCGCGAGCTTGATGAGTTTCTTCTCATCTTCGAGAACAGGGCTGCAGGTGAAGATATTAATGCGTTAGCGTTGTGCTTTGTTTTGTCTGTGTTTTAAGGCCAACTGTTACGCTATTCATTAGTATACTCGCAGCTAACAAGGTAAAACAGGGAGGGGACCGTACACCGGCAATTTGAATTGCAGTAGCCAAATGACTTTCTCCATGAATCTTGGACTTGGTGCGATGTAAATAAAGCCTCTAGGATCTTGCTATGATCGGTTGTTAAGGTGACGAGAACCTCAGGACCTCTGCCGCCCATGCTCATTAATCCGATGGCGGATTCGGGATTCGCTTGTGTGATGGCAGAGAAGATTACAGAGACTGCATCGGCTTGCGCTTCGTATCTGGTGGGTGTGTAATCGCTATTTCGACTATTTTCGCTGTTGTCCACGACGACCATAACTGCTTCGAGCCCCATCTTGTTGTGTTGTGAGGCGCTTGGGGCGATGTAGAATGTGTGGATTATTGAGGTTAAGTTTGAGGTTGAGAGTAAATATTATGGATAGGAGATGGAGAACGGAGGATAGAGGATGAGTATAAAGTTGGGGTTAATAGTAAGTATAATTTTAGGCAGATATAACCACACGTACGTGAGAATTTCCGGCCTGAGGCTTACTTGAGCTCCCACTGACATTCAGCGCCCTGTCACGTAACGGCAAAACGCATATCAAATCGCGAAAACTCACAACTTTTAAATTTTAATGTATAATTTTTTTTTTAAATAATTAACTTATAACGTATTTTTTTTAACTATAATGTCGGAAAATAGCTATATTTACAATATATAAGCTAAACAATGAGAGGTTTGAAAATATAAAACTCTAGATAAAGAATTAAATATAAAGTTTTAAAGAAAAGAAAACCTTAATAAAAAAGATATTTATATAAAAATAAGACTTTTAAAAACAAGCCTCTATATATATGAGCTTAATATTGCATTGAGTTTATATTTTTATAATAAACTTAAGAAATTAAATTTATTTAATACTTGTTATTTTAATTTTTAGAAGATATTTAAATTAACAAATTAAAATAAATCATTCAGGTTATCCCAAGTTTCTGGATTGCTGTCAAGCTACCATCTCCCAAGCTTCTCCTCAAGTATGTACACAAATGTTCGTGGCGACTACCACTTACTTATCTTCCCAATCTTCTTCTCAACCTCCAACCCTCCCACCATCTCCACCCCCAACCACTTCGTCCAAGAGTGCATGCTTCTCACAGTACTATTTCAAGCATGTAACAACAGTCACATTGTTGTTGTTGTCAGTCCCTCCTCCATCCCATGTATTCGAAATCGAGTTCGGTCAAGTCACCCAATCATTTCTTCAGAGGTCGTCTCGGGACTGCCTGCTCGTATGGCCTTATTCGGGGAGTCTCGTCTGGTAAAGATGGTCTCTTTTCGTAGGCTGTGACCACTTTGTTTCGTATGGCGTGCCAGCTCACATCGCAGGCATAATCTGCCCAAGTTAAAGATCTTGCTTTGCCTGATAGCCTGATATGTTACAGTCTTTGGGGGCAAAAAAGCCAACACACCTTCAATTTGTCTGGATTGTCGAAAAGTAGTTTGAGAAGTGTATTCCTCGAGTGTCAGGCCTCACATAGGTCTTCCTCTTTGCGAGAAACGGCTCCTGGTTCAAACCCCTGGCTCCAGCTCCAACTCCTTCTCGAACATCTCGACTTGATCTTGACTCACCCAACCCTCAACGGTTTATATGGCCTAGAGTACAGTGCTTGCGCCGGTACAATTCCTGCTGGCTTTGACAGCGGGTACGAGCGTTTTGCCTGGTTGCTCTTTATTGCTAGAGCTAGGGATAAGTGTATGGCTCAAAGGCTTTGAGCAATATCGTAATGGAGATAAACATAAAAAAAACTATGTACATCTTCAAGTCGAAAAGTGAACGGTATAAATTAGCTTGTGGACCGTGCAGGGTAGTGACGGGATTCGTCATTGAGCCCAAAGAGGGTGTTCTCAATGCGAGCCGGTAGCGACGGGACTTCACAGACAACAACCACCTTGATCGCCATCATCTCTTCGTCAACAACACAACCCAACTCCCAACTCCCAGTAACAACAACTTCCTGCATTGTGAAATACCTTGTCGAGTAAGTAAACCTCAATCCTTTTGTTGTTGTCAAGTCTCTTCATTTGTTCTTCTGGAGAGCGTCCGATCTGCTTTCAGACGACTTGGGGATCGAGAAATCGAAAGTGGTGACTCCCACTTAAATTATCTCCTCTATGCTCTTCCGCACCTTTCCTTTCATCCTCCAACACCAATCTTCTACCCCCTACTTCCTACATAACAGCCCCAACTCCACCTCAACGACTTGGTTCTCCAACATCTCCACAATTGTAACTCCACTCCTCCCTCTGGTGGACTTCGCATCTCAATACCAGTAAGGCCACCCCCCCTCTCCTTCATGCCATCGTAATCATATCGATGGCAGACGCCAGTGGTATTTCCACTGCGCTCTCCAGGAGAGATCTCCACTTCCAGCATCAAGAAGTACACCCTCGCATTCCCCATCTTCGCTCTTCGCGTTGTTCAAACTCTCTACTTTCTCATTCCCCAAACCACTTGATCATCCATCGCCACAGCTCCACCTCTCCATACCGGCATGATTCTTTCATTCTGATCCTCTGCTTCATTCGCGCGACATTAGGAAAGAAGATTCTAGTGAAATCGCTTTATCCCGAACTTTCGCGCTTTCAAGCACATTGTCGCTTTCCCACCATCACCAGAAGCACCTTCTCCTCGCATCTTTAAACTTCTCCACTTTCAACATTTCTAATTCTTTTACACATCATCACCGCAAACCACCGCTTCGGCTTCTCCGTGTTGGTGTGGTCCTTTCCCGTCTTCATGCGCGGTTCGTCGCAAATGTGGAAAGGAGGAGATGATCGCAAAACCTCGCACCGCAAATCACAGTCTGCATGTTTTCATAATCAAGATGCTCCTCTCCTTCTGTCCACCCCTCCTCTTCCGCAATACACTCCGCTCAAACCTCTCAAACCGGGGTTCGGACCGTTCTTTCGTCTTCTCGATTTCCAAGAGGCATCGCATTACTTTTGACTGAAGCTGACTGGCCCTTCTAGACAATCAAGTTGTTACTTCACAGATCTCCGTCTCGATACCATCACAATGGCCGACAAGACCATCAAGAACAAAGCGGCTCCGGCCAAGGAGGCCACAATCATGGTCAAGACCACCCAAGGTAAGCACGCATCGGTATGGTGGTCATTGACTTGGGCTGACCACTTTCGAAGCCTCGAATGACTCTCAACCACCAACACAGGGTGTTGCTCCAGCAGCGCTTGTGCCTACCGCGACCGGAGCTCAACCCCGTATGCCTACTGCGACCAAAACCACCACGAAGATCACCCTTAGAGTCAATGCCGCTACTCCAGCCACCAAGCCAGCCACTGACTATCCTGCTGCGTCTGCTTCCGGAGATAAGGTTGGCAGAAATCGTCCTAAGTTGTATCGTATCCCTCGCACCCTTCCGCGTGGCAACGTAAGTCTCCCTGAACTTCTTTCCTTCCACCTCACTAACTCTGGGATGCAGGCTGGCACACACCGCCCAGTCGGTCCCCGTGGTTCTGTCGTCCTTGTGAATGACAATAAGAACATCGATCATACCAAGGCTGTCACCAACAACCCCGAGCCCAAGAAGATGATCATTCGCTTCAAGGATGTGAAGGGAAATGTGCATCAACACCAATATCCCGATCATGCCTCGCAGAAATGGGACGATGACGCCTGGGTTGCCAGCCTCAATAAATGGCGCTACCAAACCATTTCGAGGAAGTTTAAGTATGACCCGTCCGTTGTTCGAGGTCGTCGTGGAAAGTGGACAATGGCAGAGAAGATTTTCCTGAAAGAGCAGATCACGAAGAAGATTGAGGATAACGGCGGTCGTCTGGTTGGCGAAGACTGGAAGGCCATTGCCAAAGCTCACAATGAACGTTTCGCGGGCACCGTTGTCAAGAAGGGCGAACAGCTTATCAAGGGCTTCATTGCGGTCAAAGATTATACTCTCACCGAGCGCTCTTACGTCGCGATCCGCACTCAGTTCGACAAGATGGCTGATCTTAAGCCGGAGGTGGAGGATATGGTCGCCGAATACACTGACGGCGAGAGCGAGGAGGGCAGCGAGCCAATGGAGGGAGTCGTGAAGGAGGAGGAGCATACCCATGGCGGCGAACTTGATCATCACTTGGAGGACCCATCTGATGATGAGGATGGCGGTCAACAACCAGCATCCAACCAGACCGGTGCCATTCTCGTCGAGGGTGCTTGCTAAGTCTCCTCTCATGTTCTTCATTCGGAGTACCGTTTCCACCACTCGTTTTTGCATCAAATCGCCATGCAGATTTGATCTTTCTATTCTCATGTACATACTTTCGATGGCGAGTTTGGACGGTACACACAATGGATAATGATAGGTGTTTCCTCTTGGAATGCAGGCGTTTTGGCTTCTTCCGACACATACAGGTGGATTCTTCTGGAGTTTGGTTTCCTTGGGAGTTTTTGACTTCTTTCATAAAATCTCGGTGGCCGGAGCTCTTGGCATAGCAGACACTCTGATTTCCTCTAGCCCTTACACTCTGATTTCTGGAGTGTGGAGTTTCTTGGAGGATCCGAGTTCTTTCACAAAATCTGACATAGCGAAAATGTTTCCTATTTACTAGATAGACAATTCCGGTTTCCTCTGGGAGGTACACCTTGGTTCATCAGGAGTTTGGGGCTTTTCTTCTTCCTGATTTCTTTAATAAAACGTTTTGGGATGGCTAGAGTGGGACAACGCTTTGTATCGAATCGAAACCAGTCGAATATCGACGCAGCCGGTAGATCAATTCCACAGCATTCCATGAACTCTTGGCTTTGATCTCGTGATCCTCGATGTGATATATCATAAATGAATCTGTCAATGACTTTGTGCTGGACTATGGCTATTTGAGCGGCGCCGGGTATTCGGTAGCGTTGGCATCTCAATTTGGTTGATTGCGGTTTGCTTCCTTTGTTCTTGGGGGATTCCCTGGCTATCGGACCTAAAACGTAACATTAGGGCGCTGCTACTGTTTTGCCTTTCATAAAGAGACTACACATAGGCATCAATGAAAATTAATTAAATAACTCCCATCCCTTCCGTGAGGGTGAGTGAGTATACTGAGAATAACTCGATGTTTGAATGCTTGTTGGCTCGCCGCCGTTTTCGCGTTGGGCATCGCTACAGAAGGCTGTGGAAGTCCTGGCAAACTTCCATTATGGAGAATTCATCGAAACCCGGGACTTCCAGGAGGATTGCTTGAGATTTGGAACGTGTAGTAACGGTTTTGAGGAAATTTAAGGAAACGACGGTTGGGATGTCGTTCCAAATCAGATGGGGGCTTACTCAGTGCTTACTAATTGAACTAAGGTTGTAACGTCCTTCCTTGAACTCAATTTAGTCAACTCTTCTTCAATGCATACCAACGTCTGCTGAACTTTCTATTTCTGCAATTCGAACGTTTCTGTTGAGGAGAAGAGGTTGACTTCATATGCTGGAGAAATTATTCGTCTGTTTGGACCGTCTTTACAATTGCCCAACTGTCTCGTTTCCTCTTTAGATCACTCTCTTCCAAGATGTGATCTTCCGTGAAAGAAACCTGAGCTTGGGCATCAAGACATCAGAGAGAAATCAGCTCGGCTGCGTGATACCGTACAGCGTCTTCTTATCCTCCGAATTGTAAAAGAAGCTGGGAACGAAGAAATCAGTACTTTTCGTGAAAGATGGGAGTGAAACAGAGTGTCCAGACCGAAGCATCAAGCTTTCATTTGGTATTAGCCTCCGCAGAGGTGCGAGATGTCTCCTTATCTAGGAACAGACAATAACATAACAGCAGACAGACACCCCTCTCTACCCCACTACCACCCCAACCGCAGAACAATCTAAGTAAAGCCTTTTTTACGTCTCTTGGACGATTCTTCGCCAACACCGCCACCACACCACGCACCAGGACAATCTAAATGAATTATTTGTTTAACGTCTCTTGGACCATTCACCCCCAGATCTCCAATCCCTCTCATTCCACTCCCAGCCCCGCTTGGATGCAATGAGAGCATCCTCAAAGCTCTCGTCCTCATCCTCCTCATCGCCCTCGTACTCGCCGTCGTCACTCTCCACCTTCTTCACCTTCGTCTCTGGCTTCGGCTTCGGCGCCGGCTTGCCCTTCTTGGCAGTGGCCTTTACTCTGCCTTTCCCCTTACCCTTGCCTTTGGGCTTCCCGTCCTCCTCGTCTGACGCTTGGTCTGCCTGCTTGGCAGCCGCGACGAGGGCGCGGGCGGTGGGGTCGGTGAAGTGGGTTAGCCTAGATGGGATGATAGTCAGCTTATTGCCCCAAGTTCAGAGCGAAGCAAGCAGAAGGATGGGAGCGAAGGAAGTTATAGTGTGCAGAGCTCAGATGACGATTAAATATGATAGTTTCTCGTCTTCTGAAGACCAAGGAAGTCCAGAGCGAAGCAAGTTATCGCGTGTAACCTCGGATGACGATGAAACACGTCAACCTTTTGTCATCCGAAGGCAAACGAAAATCTGTGCGCAACACGGAGTTTATCGTGTTGACCTTGAGACCGAAACATGGAACTTATGCTGAAGTCGAGATCGAAACAAGGAGATCGAAACGGGGAGGCTGAAGAAAGCAAATCATGGAGGTGAAGATACGACCGAAGCAAAACTTTAGATCGAGAGGGCACTTACTGGTTCTCAATGGCCCCAGCACTGCGCTGAAGGTGTGGACGGTCAGCCACAAGCATCCGAGACTTTGCGGTATTCTCTTTTCCTCGTTGGTTATACGAGGTTTCGGCGGTCATCTCACCCTTCAAATGAGTATGATTTTGGAAAAAGGAGTTGAAGGCACGTTCGATCTCCTGCCACTGGATGTGCGAGTATCTGCCACCAGTTGAAGGAGACTTCAAATGAGAGTCGAGGAGGGAGAGGAGCTTAGTTTGCTCATTGATAGTCCACGGAGGGCGAGATACCCGCTTCTGTCCCCAAGTGCGCTTAAATACCTGGTAACGCCAGGAATTGAGCTTACCGATTGAGGTCTTGTCGTCCCAATCGATGGGCTGGGTATACTCGAAGAGGACCGGGTCCGATGGGAGGTATGATCCGGGGTTGTTCAGGTCAGGTCGTTCGGTCTGGAGAGTGAAGGAGACTTTCGATAGATCTGGTTGACCGACGATGGCATTATCACGGCTGATAATCGGATCAGGGAGGCAACGTTCGCCGTGTTTGCGCCTGGCGCTATTCTTATGCTTCTTCTTGGCTGGATCGTCGCTGTTTCCGGTCTCTGACTTGATAAATTCGTCGGAGTCACTGCACTCGTACTTGAAGTCGTCGAGAAAACTCTCTTGCTCATCCACAGTTTCGTCATCAGACCAAGAAACACCCATTCGGCAACGCTTGTTGGATTTCTGCAGTATTTTCAGTTAGGTCTGGAACTGAATGCAGGCTGCAAGAAGGAGAGGGGAACCTACGGAGGCAGCATTGCTTGATCTGGTTCTCTTGCGGCCGGTCTGGAACCAGAATAGTCAGTAATTGATCCTTCAACAAGCTCAAACCTGGCCGGAGAAGAGCAAGGCAAGACAAGCATCAAGTATGGACTGGAGAAACTTACACTCGGATCCTTCTTATCCCTGTTATCCTTCTGCTCACTGTCACTGTCAGGCTCAATGTCACCATATTCTTCATCGGCTCCCACACCATATGTAGCAGTACCACTGGCGACGAGCTGATTGAAGAATCCCTCAACTATAACCAACTCTCTCTGGGGACGGGTATGTGGATTGAAGACAGCTTCGGTAGCAACGAGATCCAATTCTCGAGCAGCTTCGCGCACGGTGCGGGAGTTGGCATATCGGGCAGAAGCAAACCGAGTTATCATTCTGCTCAGGAGATCGTTGTGTCTGGCGTTGTACGTGAGGAATATCATTGCGCCATGTTCGTTGATATCGAGATCGTCCATCTCGGCAACACTGCCAGCTGGGACACCAGCGAGTCGGTGCATAATGGCATTCATGAGTTTTCGGAGCGATGAGACATCGTGACCATCGATGCCACGAAGAGCGGAAGTGTTGTCAAAAGGAGGCATTGCGATCTGGAATCAGACACAAGTCAGTACTTCGTCTTTACATTGGGGAAGCTGTCGATGTTGAATGCATCTACTCCAAAGACAAACAGGGAACTTTCAATAAGGAAAACGACGGGAATTCTCCCTATCAGCCCTAGGAATGGAGAGGAGGGAAAGATAGACACACGTCTGCGAGATTTGACCAAAGATTCAGAGCTTATATGACCAGTAGCTTACTCAAGTTTTTGCTTGGTCAAGGGAGATGGAAAGCGACGAGCAGCAGCCACAAAAAGGGACGGACACGCATCCGCGGGATCTCTTGACACACCTGTCCCTTCTATAGCCAATAGCTCAAGAGACTGTCTTGATGTGATGTGTACATTGGGTAGAAGAGAGTACAGCGACGAGCAAGCGTTGGGGGATAAAACAAGGCAGTTGAACTTACAGGCTGTGGGAGCTGTGGGATCTTTTCTTTTCTGAACAGAAGGGGCGATGCAAATAGCGCTGGGTTTTGGTGTCTAATTGTACAAGACACGTCTTGAATGGTTGCAGGTTGTGGGTTGTGGAGGATTTGGTGAGAACAAAGTGTCGGGTCGCCGCTGCGCTTCGTTATGGGCTGATACTTGTTTATGCCAATATTCAGGAAAACTAGAAGGGGGTTGAGTGAAATGCTTTAACCTATGACGAGGGGTAGTTTTTTGGATGATAAAGTTATCGGGGAGTGGTCGAAATCGTGGGCATTGAAGGTGGAGCTGCGTCACCTTGGCCGTGGCCGAATATTATACTCTCTGTCGTACGATAACGGAGAGCTTAATTGTAGTGAACGAGTAAACCGAGAAATATTTGAAGGGAGGGAAGCAGCTGGTGAACGATGTCCTGATGTTGTGGTATTAGAGATTGGATATTTGAATACGGGCGGAGGGTTGTGGCCTTGCAAAGCCGTCTCAGCGTTGCCTTGTTGTAGATCAAGTGTTGCAATCTCTCTTGCAAAATCTAGGGAGCTTAACCACTGTGAAGATTAGTTGAAGTAATCTTCCAGTAGCGCAAGAAGCAAGCGGTGAACGGTGTCCTGGCGTTGAGGTAGAGGAGTTCCGAAGTTGTGGTTGCGATCGGGGTGCTGCCAATTCCTCGCTGCTCGAATGGTTCTTTCTGGCTGTTCCGAGCTCTTCTTTGTAATGAAGAGCTTGAGTACGGTAAAGAGAAACAAGAACAATTCTGAGATTGGCGGAAGCAAGTTGGGGTTGGGGTTGGGGTTGCGAAGTTGCTGTTGTCTTGGAAGCCAAATGTTGTGGGTTGAAGCTTTCTGTCTCGGCTGGAGTAATGAGGTGTCTAAATATTTCAGAGGAGGCTACGAGTTGACGAGGCTGAAGTCGAATCAAGTACTTATTATCAAGGAGTGAATTGAGCTAATTTTTATTTGCATTCACAAGGCAGACAGTCGTCGGCGCGTCACTTTTGATATGGAAATTTTCCTAATTTCAGGTTGCTTGTATTTCAGTGTCTGCAAAGCCCCTACTTGCCTCTGGAAAGCAGAAGATGTGGAGAAAATGCACTGATGTGGTGCTGATTCTATTGTACAAAAGACGTTGAAGTAATGAGCACGGCTTAAACTATTGTTTATCGCCTCCCATATCAGTCATCAATTTCCTCGTCCTCATCAACGAATTTGACCTGATGAACCACTGGATCCTTAGGCTTTCCATTGGGAGACTTGATGATCGGCTTTGGAGAATCTGTCATCGGCATGGAGGTCTCGAGCATAGTCTTAAAAGTCGATGCCTTGTTCTTGGGAGTGGCCATTGTCTTGGAAGAGCTAGATCTCTTAGGAGTACTTGGTGTCTTGGCCGGAGAGGTCTTCAACTTCTTTGAAGGTTGTTGGGGAGCGAAGGCTGAGAACTGAACATTGTTAGCAACAGATCTTATCCAACAAGAGAGGCTGACATACTTCTTTGCCAGTCCGAGTCTTTCTGCCAGGGAGCTCTGTAGTGGCGAAGATGTTCTTGAACACGGATTGTTAGCAAAATCCAGCATACCAAGGTCGAACCACTTGTGCAAGCGGGCAAAACCAGGAGATCAGATAACTATGGCGTATGACCTTGAACCCAAACATTTGCATTGGCTCAAGGAAACTGCAAAGCAGAAAAAAAAAGTACTTACAACTTCCTCGTCTCTTTCATCGGGGTCAGAGTCCGTCGAGACGTCTTCATCAGCAGCAGTGAAGATGTAAGGAAGTTCGATATCTTCTTGCTTTCTCTTTTTCGTTTCAGCGAACGATGTCTCACCCCAACCACCGGTGCGATAGTGTGTTTTTGCTGACGCTGCATTCTTGAAGGTAATATCCTTTCGCCAGGTCTCAGTCTTGTAAGGGTAGGACGGTTGGAAGGTGGTTTCGACACGTGGCTTTATTCCACGGAGGGTGTTTCGAACAGATCCTCGAAGTCGGGTGGCATCACCATTGTCTCCTCCTTGTGGCTGATGAATGCTGGTAATGAATTCGGATGGTCGGGAAACGGTTGTAGACAATCGGATGCTGCTGTCCATGCCCCCCATCTCAATATCATCATCCTCTTTTCTGCCCAGAAATTCGTTCCAAAGCTTTCGTTGCTTGAAGTACCTGGAGAAATAATGAATTAGTTTTCCTGTTTGAACTTCGTTGAAGTGATTTGAGTAAGTGAAACCTCTTGTAGTGCTGAAGTTTTGAAGAGATATAGAGAAGGAAAGTGGCGCAGCCCCAAAGGCATGACAGAAGCTCTGTTTTGTAATCTGCTCACTAGAAAGGAGGGCAATAATATAGAATAATGAATGAGCGAATACGAAAAGCAGTTCCACTTACTCGACTTGGTAGCTCTTGGGCTGGCGGACTGCATTGGTGACATGCTTTCGCAGAGTTTGAGTAGCCTTCTCCACGTCCTTGTCTTCTTCCATGAACTTTGCAGAGAACCAGCGAAGCATTTCAACAAGAAGATCATTGCCATTGGATTCGTGGATCATTGTAATGACGCGCTTCCTCTCCTCGCGAGTCAGGAATACCCAATTGAGATGAGGTATGGGAAAGAGCTTCTCAGCGGGGTTGAGCTTGTGGTAGGTGAGGATCATGACACTGTTGAAAACAAAAGGATCAGTAAATTGATGAGAGAAATGCGACAATACCAACTCCAATCAATCAGGTAGATCAATCGGGGTACGAGTAGAGAGGAGATCGAGGATACGTACCGGCGCATTGTTGGGACATGTCCAAGGGGCAAGGCAGCCATGTAACGCCATGGATCTTCCGCCTCAAACTCCTCCTTCCGTAGCTTTGGAGGCATGTTAGCTGAGTTGCTCTAAAATGAGACTGAGGTTCTCAAGATCGTGGGTGATCACCGATCGGTAGTGAGAATCTCAGATTAGCGTCGGTGGCCGGAGTCGTTTACCTTCTTCTCTTCCTTGTCGTCCTCCTGGCTGAGGATCAAGTCTCCCTTCTCCTTCTCCTCCTCGTCGACCTCTATGTCCTCCCAGCCTTCCTCATCTTCGTCGTCCTCTTTGTCGTGCACCCTAGAACAACTGATATTAGCGTTGCATTGCACAGCTTTCAAGCTTTGCTCACTTCATCTTCCTCGCTGTGCTGCCACGTCCGCCACCGACAGTAGTCCAGGTGCAAGCAAGTTGCTTGCGTGTGCACCGAATGCATGGAGGTGGACCCCCGGGAGACATCTTCCTGGAGCAGGGTTTTCTACTCGCAGAACATGCGTCACAAGGGACACCACGTCCGTTCTTGACCTTCTTTCGAAGGTGAGCGTACATCATTGTGGAGGGTTGGGAGATGAAAGGAAGCTGAAGACAGAGTGGCTCAGAAGTTGATCACTTAAAAAGATTTGCGCGGCTTTTTTGGACAGAACAGTCTTAGTCTATATCTTGAGTGACGCTCGATTGGGCAGAAATTCTTAGTTCCCGCTTGTATTGTTTATTCCTCGGATTGAGACGCTGAGCTAAAGTCAGACTCTAATCCATTACACTGCTAAGGTGTTCTGCATCATTGCTATTGGTAGCTGAGCTATTGGGACTTGTTTACAACTTTTTGTCATGACTTATAGAATGTTTATTATCATTTAGACGCATTTAACGTTAATGTCATCTTATTCGAGAAGCTCTTCGTTCTGTGAAAAAGCTAACACGGATGCTCAGTTTCGTATTCCTGTTTGAATGGTTTTGGAGATATTGTGACGGTTGGTAGAAGATTTTGATGCGGAGGCTCAATTGAAAAATTCTGTTGTCAAGAAAGTCAGGCACGCCGCACGCAGGCACTGTTTTGCTGAGCCTTCTCTACTTCGAGCCAAAATCAGCAGGAAGAGAATGCACACAGCTAAGTGAGACAATGAAATTAATGCACAGTGCTGTGAATGATGAATTTTCAAAGTGGCGATTGTATAGTCTCGGTCTTGAAGAATAAAGAGCCCATTTATCGCATTTGTTGCCATTTTGGCTAAAGTAAGCATGTCATACTCGATGTCCTTGATTTATCGGGGGCGAGGTTTTAGACTCAGTCCACAATTAAGAGGGACAGTGCAGCAATCTGACTGTTTATGACTCAGATCAACAAAGAGTATCTTTAGCCTCTGATATATTCCTCGAAGTTTGCAAAATAGCTAGTGGTCACGTGATTTGACTGGAAATCCTGCTCTTTCCTCGCATTCCTTTGCAAGGGGGACTCCAATACGAATAGTCCTATAAGAATATTTTCGGATTTTGGGTAGTGGCTACAGTGGGTAGAGCGGTGCTTTAATGACGCTGAAGCAGCGGAAGAAGAGAAGGATGTCGTTGTGAAGTTTGAAAAGGGGGGTTCTTCGCTTAACTTAGCGCGGTGGGGTTCCACTGACATGGCATCATTTCACAATAGACTACCACAGAATTATAATTTGTACCTAGGACATTATATTGTATGGTGTTGAAATTCCATGGGAAATGGAATTCACCGGGATTCTCCAGGAGATTTAGATTTAGAAAGAACGATAATTCTGTCGCAAGGATTGATGGAAAGAGCAATCATTACGACCAGCCTAGGTAGTCAACCTAAATAAGATCCACTTTGTCTAAGTTAGCCTTCTCATAGAAAGGGCGATTGCTTCAGCCACCTCTCAAATAGCGCTTGCTGAGACGGTCCTTGGCAATTTGTTGTGGAGTCGTCAAAGCATCTATTTAGGCCGCTCTTCAGCAGCAGCAGCAAGACTAGCTTCTCTCTGCCGACGCTGGGCTTCTTGAGTTGCAGCGGTACTCGCCTTCGTATCATAGTTGCGCTCAGCAGTAATCCTTTCAGCTCTCCGGGTCACTCCTTGGAAGAGTTGATTGAACCGCTTTGCGACTTCTTGCCGATCGATGCTGGACCAAAGCCCACCAATCTTGACCAAGTGTTTTTGCAGAATATCGAATAGAGCATCCCACTCAGAGTTAAGCCAAACCATACGGCGGTCTCTCTTCTTTCCTAGGGACCGAAAGAGAATTTGGCTGCGCTATCTGGTCAGGGCTGCAATGCTCTTCTTATTGTGCTGGTCGACTTCGTGCGGGTAGCGAAATATAATATTAGGCCGCAAGACCGATTTTCCAGGAGTATCTAGATCACCACGTCCGACTTTGAATTCCAGGATAAGCTTATTTAGCTGGGGATTTCCGATTTTGCAGGGATTCCGTTCGTGGGTGTCGTCATCGATGGCTTGATCTCAGCCTGTCTGAAGGGCTTATTTTTGCGGTCTCCAGTCTGTTATGGTCAGGATATCATCAGAAGCATGATAGTTGGGACAAACCTCTTTGCTATCCACTTCAGCGCCCGCGGAATGATCAAATAATTCCATTGACAAGGGTGCGGTACTTAAGCCAGAGTCAGATGGAGAGCTGGCGCCAGATTACTTTCCTTTGTTCTTTGCAGTCGTCCCACCAAGAGCTTTTTGCCCAGTCTTCGCTTTCCTCTTAATACTGTTTGTTTCCTATTTCATTTGGCTGGAAACTCTCTTCATCGCTCTCGTATCCACGCTTCCTCCCTGTCCCACAAGCTGGAGAGCCATTCCTGGTACCTTGTTTCGAAATTTCTCCCGTCTGTGTGCCAACAGTCAGTTATTGCATTTACAAAATTGCGCAAATACAAACTTAAATCCTCCCAGTTCTCTCTCGGCGATTTATCATCACCCATATCTTGTAAACCGTCACGTGAAGACAGTGGCAGAAGAGGAGTTCTCAGGAACCTCTCTCCAGGAAGTGGATATTGGCATTCAAGGTCATTTCCTCTGCAACCTCAGCATGCAGGCTCCTCTCTCGTACACTTGATCGTAGCCTGTACACATCTCTTACACTATGCAACGTTCAAAGTAGGAGCTCCGAATTTCTTCGACGACTTTGACTCCAAGTTTTGCTTCAGCTCCTCGAGCTTCGCCCCATTGTGGCTGCTGTATTTTGGTTCGCCGAAGGAGCCAGGAGCCTAAAAGAAAGCCGTCAGTTCTACTCGCTCTCCAGCATAGAGAAGGGTACATACCCGTTGCTGAAGAGTTTGAGAACTTTGCTGAGCAGTCATAAAGCTGTCAGTAGCTTTTCCTCCGTTGAGCCGAGCCTCTGCTGCTGCATACTCCTCCGGGAAGGCCTGAGGTACTGTGAATACTATGCCAATGACTAAAATCTCCATATCTCTTGCTGCAGCCAAGACTTGCTGATCGCTCCCATTCGTAGCTTCGATGAAGCGTACTGTTGCTTGAAGGAGAAGAGGCTATTCGGGTTGCATGCGGATTCTGAATAGAATGATATCTGCAAGGAACCTCTCTTGGAATTTTTCTGCCTCTTGAATAGCTCTGACTCTGGGGTTGCATTGTTGAGCATTCTATTCGCGAGGCAATAGTCCAGCGCAACCATGACCCTGCGGATAGAGCCAGCATCGTCGAGATCGACACTCTTGAAGATGGAACTGGTATTGATTCTGACCATTTTGCGTATTTTATTTAGGCTAATGTTAGCATCTTCTACTTATTTATTGTCGCCCTTATACGTATACATTAAGACGAAAGTCCACTGGCACCTTGTGCGTGAAGTTAGTCGTCTCATCGAAGCGACGAGAAACGAAGCTGCATAATTGATAACAAGGAGGACCTCGACAGCAAAGAATAAGCAAGGTATCCAAAACAAGTGGTGCACAAGAATAAAAGTTGCCCGGGAGCATAGTAGAAAAGCAGCTTACTGTCAATTTTTGAAAAAGCAAAAATCGCTGATCAGCAGGGTGGCGCACAGCGGAGTTTTGCCAGAACGAGATCCCTTGGTTTCAAGGAGAAATTTGGGTATGAAATCCGAGAATGAATGAAATTCCCAGAAGGAGAGGGATAACTCCATGGGAGTATTTGTCGTGGTCAGAAGTTACAAGTTGTGAGGTGTGTTCATGAAGGAAATTTAAAAGATGCTGCGAGTCGAAGTCAGTTGAAGCCATGGGAATCAAGAAATTTAAAACATATTCAATTAACAGCACAGGCGCCAAACATAATGGGAAATTTTTTTAATTTGCCTGCAATAAGAGAAATGGAAGTAACACCCAGCCGTTTGTTAGGCTGCAGAGCCCGCGGTTCTCTCCTTCGCAGCTTCAGAAGCAATGCATTTTCTATGATCAGGATGACCTCAATACCCGATGTTCGAGAAGAGTTTGATGCAGTCTACTTCTTCTTATTGGTCTTCTTCTCCACCTTCGCATCCTCTCTCGCCTCCTTCGCCTCCTCCAGTCATATCAGCAAGCGTTTCCATGCAAAGAACTTTTGAGACTTACCGTGAGGTCCTTGGGGACGTCCTTCCAAGTTGGCGGACCCTTTCTACTTTCCTCTAACATTCTTGCTTCAAAAGCCTCAACCATCTTTCCTTGGTCCTTCTTTATGATGTTGACCGGCTCCCAAGTGGTATCTCCAGTCTTGGTATTGGTAGCCTCATCTTCTTCCCACTCGACAAGATAGCACCACCGAGGTGTGGAGAAGCCCAAGGGGGTTTGCCAGCCCTTAGCTAGGATCTTGAGAAACTGGGAACCCACTGTCACAACCTCAGAATCACTTTCAACCATGACCTTTGCCGGACGCTTCTGGGTTGACTTGCTGGAGGATGAGGCATTCTTTTTCTACAACAGCTGTCAGTCAAGGAATCCCCAAGTGAATCTACCGTCATACCGGTGCTGCTCGTCTCTTTAATTTCTTTGGCTGTTCATCAGAGTCTTCAAACGAAGATCCTTTGCGTTTGGAAGCAGCAATCGAGGACTCTGTCGAGTTGGATATGCCGAAAGCTTTCGCCCATGTAGCCTGACTTTCTGCTTTAGATTTGGCATTCATCTCAGCAAGGTATGGGCCAGGTTCGATATCCTATGCGAAAGTGAGTCTTATGTAACTGCAATTGGAATACTTCCTACCGAGTTGCCACTGCTATCTGTATTGCACCGCTCGGTGTCATATGACGGGTAGCTCTTGTAGGCCGAGACATTTGCACCTGGTACTGCTGAGCCTTTGCCAATGGATGATTCTGGGACAGCAGAGGACTCGGTAGCTGACGGGGTAGGAAGAGTCGAGGAGGACTTTTTGACGTGCTGGGCTTCAGATTTCCCGTCCGCTGGAGAAGAATTTGAGACTTTTGCTGGAAAGGTTGAGCCTGCCATCTTGATAGGCAAGGCGCAAAGCGTTTTGACTGGGAGTGAAGAAAGAGTGGTGGCTCTCCAAGGATTCTTGTCTCGATAATGTGTATCGGAGCTCAACGAGTTGAGCTGTCGGAAAGTCTTGATGAAGGGTTCTGTGACGAGGTAGTGGAACTGTGGAAGCTGCCACCATTTATACCCCGGCAACAACTTCCAGTAGACAATTTCAAAGCAAAGCTGTTGTGCCCGAGATGGGTAGAGAGAATACTGGAAGGTGCGGGTCGATTGTGCGAGATCGCTCGCTTAGGGCGAAATTGGTTCCATTATTAGCTCCTTCCTCATATTCACCGTCCATATTACATAACAAACTTCTCTCCAGACTGTGCAGTTGACTTCAAGTCTTTTCTGGAACAACGAAACAAAGGGGGGTTTCCTTGATCTGATGTTTACTGAAGACTTTGCTGAGATAATCTAGCACTTGAAGTAAAGTTCGAAAGAGTCATACTGCAAGGAAGTATCAACAAATAGATTCCACTTGAAGACAAGTGGAAAAAGCCAATGTCCAACTTCTAAGCCTTTATGACTGCTAACTTCTCTCAAAGCAATAGCCCTTGTTGTGAGATTTATAAATTCAGTTGGCAAAGCATTCACCTCTCACCCACCTCATGGAGTAACTCTTCTTGTGATAAGGGTGGCTGGGGTCATCGAAACAAACCAGAGACATTTCTCTAAATCGAATCTTCCCCAGTTTTTAGGAAAGTTCTTCAAATGGCTGGAATATGTGGTACATGCCTTTGCTCCAAGTTGTTCTTTCGAAACAGTCAAGTTGAAGGAATGACACCAAGTTTGAAAAAAAGCATCTCCTTTAATCTGACACAGCTCGAACACTTCCGCCATTCCCTGTGATAGCTTTGCAGAAAAGGAATAGACTACTCCTGGAGACTGTTTCAAAAGTCATGGGACTTTTCCCTGTGCCTCTTTGGCTTGAACTGATTTTTTCCCCTCCAGATCTCAGAGGGCACACGGTCAGTTTCGGTGTCTGGGTAAAGCTCTCAACAGATGCGGTTCTGTTAGCATCTAGTTGAAGATCGAAATACCATCTTTGAGACGCTATTTTTGGCAACCCAGAAATCCCTATTGTTCGATGTACTTCTGGAGAACCTGAAGGATGCCCTTGGGCTCGCGGAAATATAAAGGCGGTGTTTCATATTTTGTAAGATCCTTTCTCTTCTGCTCTCCTTTTTTCGTTTGGATATCCCGCATTCCCAGAACCATCGACCTTCCTTGAAACCTTTGCGCTATAGTGGCACGCCTGCCAGACTGATCACCTATTCGCAAAAGCTGATCTCATTCCTTTGAAAGCCAGTGCTGCTGTAAACGCAACCGCGAATAAATAGCCAATCAGATACTTGCACCTTCAGTCGAACTCCGAGCTCCAGAGCTCGGAGTCTAAACCTATTTCAGTTAGCGCGGCTTCGAGACCCGATTATATGCTTGGCTGGAAGCCGAAGCCGGGTCACATGCCCACGGACAAGTTCGTCGTCATGTGACGCGCCCCCTTTAATTAACTGAGCAGGAAAATCGTTTCTACGATCTTGCAGTCCTGTTACTTCAGACAGCATAGCTCTATACCACTTCGATCAGCGAGAGCAGAAAACCCCGGGGTCTACTTTGAGTCTTCGGGCAGAATGTGGGTCCTTAAGTTCCGGCAATTCGTCTTGGGGATTCCGACCCGTTTGCAGAAGAGCGTACAGACTCACAAGCTTCCATTATTACCATAGAACCAAGACTTCTAAGGATCCAAGTCCCCACGTCGAAATGTTAAAGCAGGTCGTAAGCCGGCATTAAATCATTGATCAGTATGCCAAGTCGTACCTCGGGTGCTACTATGCGTCAATTGGAGACAATGATGCAGCTAAAGGGCTTTTTTTGGACAACTTCATGTCAGCTCTCGCTTTACTTTCTGATGAGTACGAATGGAACGACTACCAAGGATATCTTTACCTCGCAGATACTATGATGCACTCCGGCGACTACCTTAACTCTTTAAGTGCGTGGTCTCTCATTATTCCTGGAGACATCGATCAAGCTGTCATACTTCTCGACGAATGGAAAGACGAGCCAATGAGAAGTATAGCCAACGATCTGAGACCCCTGATCCCAAATGAGGTTCAGATTGGTTCTGTACAACGCCAAACTTTTAGCCGTTTAATTGAAGAGGTGGACCACTAAATTTCGCAATTGGAAGCCATGAGTGAGCCCGATAACACCCAATTGGATGCTTTTGGACTTGCTCACACTCTATTGAACAGGCCGGAGCCACCGGACGGTGCACCACGAGGTGGAAACTTAGGCCTCTCCTGTGACGGAGAATGTGAGAAGTCTTGGAGCTATGCAGACGGTTTTTATGCTTGCAAGTCTTGCCCAGACGTGCAATTCTGCAAAGACTGTCGAGATAAGCTGGTCGCCGGGAAACTCCCAATATTCATGTGCAGCTCAGAGCACGACTGGCTGCATATTCCGAAATGGGACGATGAGGAATGGGCAAAATTAGGAAGGAAAATGTGAAGATAGGTGGAACGTGGGATGGCGAGGCTCGCGTGGGTGAGGTAGTAACAATTGAGGCGTGGCTGGACTCGCTCAGGGATGCATGGGGAGCTCCACGCGTGGGAACAAATGAAAACCCCACTACTGCTGAAATTACCAAGGTGTAGCGTAGGAGAAAATAATTTGAGCTCTTCATTGTGCAATCGGCTGACACAGTCCTTCTACGCTTGCTCGTATCCCCAAGTTCAAGTCCACAAGGGCTGAATCGGACTGTCTGTTGATCACACATTTGAATCCACAATCATGATCTAGTATTTATCGCGAACTTGCCATTTAATTTCCTCAAGACAGCAACTTAAACTCAAAAATCATTTGTTGACTTCAAATTCTTTCAATTGGCCAATCACGTGGCTACGGGTGAACTATACGATGTCATATGACGAAGTGTTGAAGCTCATTTCTACATTGCATCGTGACGCTTGGCACTATTTTGATTCGGGAGTGGCTTTCTCTTTGAATGAACAACAGCTTCACAAGCTTGTGGCGCGACCCCACTTTAGCCTAATGAGACAGGGGGTTCTCTCTAACGTGGTAGCTGGGCCCTTTTCACAATCTCCAACTACAACTACAAAAGCCTCAAGGCGGTACACTAGAAGCCAAACCTTCCTCACTCTTAGCTGCCAGAATGCCGGTCGACCGCCTCTTCAGCTCAGACCAGCTCATCTATCGCGCGCTAAGGAACACTTTCTCAACATGATGCTCAACGGCCCCACCACGTTTGGACAGAGCGCCAACAGGTTGTTGAAACCACTTACTTCCGCTGATGTTGACAAAAGCTTCAGCGGTGCATCTGACTCTTTTCTCTCCGCTGTAATGTATCTCAAGCAGGAAGGCGTCCAGCCCTCGTCCGGCACTACCACGCCGGGTAGAATGACTTCCCCTCGACTCGCCACCCACTTCTCGCCATCATCGCTCCTGTGTTATGGGTATCACCATCTGTTCAGATTATCAAAGAAAGGGATACGTAACGGAAGCTATCACCGGGGCTTTAGACTGGGCGTTCCGGGTTGCGGGAATGCATGCAGTGTAAGTTATTTCCCACATGGAGGGCACATTGTTGCGGAAACATACTTCCTCATCGTCTCTTTCAGGAGGTTAGGATGTTTTTCGTTTAATGAACGAGCTATGGAATTGTATGAACGGATTAGGTTTGTTCGTGGCGCCTTAATCGAGAAGTCAATAGATACAAAAACAGTGTGCCCCTGCCAATCCCTGCAACATCCCTGTTTTGCTCGCGTAGTATTCCTAAAACATGGGTATATGCCCAAAGGGGAAATAACAGGAGGCCAACTCTGATTAGAATATATAAGCACCCTCTCTGGGTAAACCCTAGAACGGGTGCTTATATAATTGAGAATTGGATTCCCTTCTAGCCCCTTCCCCCGCATATAGTAAGCTAAATTCTGTAATTTTATCGTAAAGTAAGACTTTTCTTTTTCGGCTATTTTTTAGCCCGTAGCGTGCGCACAGAAGGTGAGCAAGACGCACGTCCCTCTGTGCCTTTCTTACCTTCGCTTAAGAAGTATATCCTCAAGGTATACGCTCCTGTGAGGCGCCGAAGGCGCCAAACGCCGTGCCCCTAGCCTACTAAGCTCCTAGTATTAGTAGAGAATATACTTTAAATATGGATGTGCTTCGTACGCAGATGTGTCCCGTACGTAGATATGTCCCGTACGTAGATGTGTCCCGTGCCCCACACGCCGTGATGCGCCGAAGGCGCGGCACGGGGTGCCCCTAGCCTATTAAGGTCCTAATATTAGTAGAGATAAGCTTTAGAACTCCCAGAACTAGCGCTCTGTCTAGTTATTATGACTTCAAGTGGCATGACCCGCATTCTCTTCTCCCTTCTAGAGAGTGAGTGGGCTGCGATTAAGAAATCTTGGATACACGAAGTCTTTGAAGCATATATATGCTTGAATGGTCTTGCTGGTTTTGGTACATTCCAGCTTATATCGTTGTTCGATGCACCGTGAAGAATAGAACATTGGGGATATAAATATTTCGCATTGTTCCACCAACAGTACACCGTAGAATAATGAGGGTATGAGGATGCATCATTTTCCCACGGTTGAGGCAACAGGAAAACTGAATTGCACTAGATGGCGCGTTCACTTCACACGATACCAAAGAAGAAGTCTCAGCTACGCATTTATTATTGTCAAGAACTGCTTGACGCACTGGAACGAAAAAGAAAAATCTATCTGTCTGATCGGCCTATCTGACCAATCGTCTTCCTGCTGCTTCCTTCGCTCTGATAGTCTAGTCCATACAAGTATTAGGTGATCCAAACAACCACCAATATTCACCTTGCTTCCTCCAACAGCTCCTTCCATATGCGCCTCCCCCTAAATGCATTTCAATCCCTCAGATGACATGCGAACCTCCTATTTGAGGCCAGGGAACATTGGCCCATCGTCTTTGTCGTCCCACTTTCTGCTACCTTTGTTGCTTCCCCGCTTTTTCGCACGCTTAGAAGGACGCACTTTGGCCGGGATATCCTCCTCACTGTCATCTGACGACAGCTCGAGTTCTTCCTTCTCCTCCTCCTCGACATAGTGTCTTGTTCGCTTTCCACCACTACGTGTCATGACATTGCTACCGGCCGTATCTGCCATCGAGGTGGTGGCCTTCGAGGTAGACGTCTTGATCTGCAAGGTGATTTTCGGGGCAGTCATCGATGAAGTGTTCGAGGGAGTGTTCATGTTGGAAGTCTTGGACAGGGCACTGCGTGCTTTAGCCTTGGCTCTCCAACCGATGACATCAGATCTGGGTCCTGGTTGAGGATCAGGGATCTCCTCTTCATCATCAGAGTACAATCCAGGGGAGTTGTCATTGTCTTGGCCATTCTCATCGCCATCACTTGCGGAAGGCTGGAAGCTGGCGACAAGGTCACCATACTCCGGCCATTTGATAGACTGTCCCATGATGGCTTGCTTAGATCTAAAGGGAGCCTCCCTGTCTTCTCTCAAAACTGAAGTGTTGCGGTTTCCATGCTTGATAAACTCCTGGCCCCGGCCCTGGACCACATTAGCCAAGTGCATCTGGAGGTTGTAGCGGTTAGAAAGCCGGTTCCATTGCATGAATCCCCGCTGTTCGAGTTGCTCGCGCATCAACTTCAAGATAAGGTCCTTCTCAGACTGCAGCCATAGTTCTCTGGTCTTCCGAATCGGTGCAAAGTTGCGGCCAAAGATTTGTCGGCGCCAGGTGTTAAGGGTTCGAATTTCCTCCACATTATTCCAGTCCGGCTCGGCGTGATTTTCGAGGTAATCATACTCGACCGGATCACCAGGAATAACCCTACCCTCACGCTCGGGATCATCTCGTTCGGTATTGAATCTAATCTTCAACTTGCCTCTGTCGACGACTCCAGGGGCTGCGTTTGTGCGATCGATTCCGGCAGCAAGGGGACGATCTCCAATAGTCTTTTTGGGCGCGTTCTTGCCTCTCTTTGGCGCATTTTGTGTCTGCTGAGTGTGCTGAGTGAGTCGGATCTGTTGAATCTGCTGAATAAGTTAGCATCCGATGGAATAGTCGAGAAGGTGATTGAGCAACTGTACCTTTCTTGGATCACCGGACTCCGTGGACTCAGAGGGATTGTTGTTCATTCGCAGGTCACCTTCTCCTACAATGATCCAACCGTTCCTCAACCCTAAGAGTGCTTGAGCAACCACCAGATCCGGATCCTGCTGAGTTTCACTGCCGGAATTCAGAGACAGAGACTGTGCATGACTGCCTTTGTTCGCGCGAAGCTGGTTTTCTTGCTCTTCCTCCAAACGGCGTGCGACTTCCTCGTCGTTCTTGATCTGCTTCTTCTCTGCTGGATTCAGCTTCTTCTTTGACTCTGAAGCTCTCTGTATAGTCTGCCGAACGCGACCACTACGGCGAGGTTCAGAAGGTGCAGCAGCGGGCGCAATATACGTGTGGGAGGCTGCTGCGCTGGCTTGAGCGAGAAGTGGGTTCTTCTTGATTTTCTTGGCTGGCTGCTCGTTGGTAGTATCCTCCATGGTTCTAGAGTGCTATCAACAAAGAAGGGAGTGTTGAAGCCCAGTTGGTAGTAGAAGAGTCTTGTGTGGTTACGGTGGCGCAAAGGCGAAACGACAAACTCGCGGTGCCACCGTTTACTTTGTTTTTTTGGTTGTTCTTTCTTTGTTTTGTACAATAAGAGCTCAAAGACGATCCTCCAATGTGCCGGGACTGCGTAGTTGGGTGCTCAGTGCAAATGTTGTGTGTTGGAGAGGTTGTGTGGTGTGGTGTTGAGGAAGATCGGGAGTGCCACCCGACAAGGCTCTGCCAATAAAGCGATGCGAGACTGCTCTCGAAATTTGTCGAATTGACTGTAACTAAAAGACACGTGAGCTTCGTCATAGCGTCGGTCTGACCCAACACCGATGTAGCGTTTCAGATGAAATGGGCATCTTTATTCTGCCTCTGAAAAATATAACGCTTTAAGAGCTCACTTCACTAGAACGGTCCATCTGTGGGGAGAATATTAACTTCTCTTTCCCTCAGCTGATGCACTACTTTAAAAGGCTTTCCTTTGAAGCACCGCAGGCAGAAGCTTTAGCAGCACTGGGTGAAGTAGCTTCGGTTCTTCCCAGGAGTGACACCAATATTGCCCCTTTTCACAACTCGCTTAAATTTTTGGGTTTCTTGCTTCTCTTGCACAATGATCAACAAAGCCAACACCAATTTTTAATGTCCCCAATCAAAATTGGGCATATATCTGAACTTATAGTGGATAGCAATTTGATATATGAGGACAGATGGGATTTTCAAGGAGGCAGTAGTCAGTTGTACGAGGACTCGAGGGAGCATTCGGAGAGGAAGCAAGGAGGTCTGGACTTGGGACATGTGGTAGCGAGAATGGACTTATAAAAGATTGATACACCAAACGCCAGAATCTAAGAGGGAAGCATTGAATCGAAACACTCTTCGTAGCGGTGTGGAAGATGCTTGCTTGCTTGTTTGCTTGTTTGCTTGTTTGCTTTTTCTTTCATAGGCATTACCTACTTTACAAGTTGTTACTACAATAACTGACTTTCAAACGACAAGACAAGACAAGCATTGCAAGTAAGGCCAGACAACCAACTTCATTCTTATGAATGAAAAGTTTTTGTTGCTGCTAGAATATCGAGAGCTTGGTGGGTAGATGCGGGCACCGGATGCTAATCACACGTGATATTGGGATCAACGGCCTTTTTTGGCGACGCGAAAATGCGAGTATTTGGTACAGCTTTCAACGCCAGCTTTTGTATATTAGGAACTAAGGTGTTTGGACGATTTCGAATACCGGCGTTCGAAACTGAGTATTTGATACACAATATTCGTTCCATACTAATCTCAGTATTCTAGAACTCACCTATTATAGTAGGTGAGTTCTTAGTTGCTCAGCATCCAAAGCTGGCTTTTGCTGCCTTTATGAGCCTTCTTTTGGGGCGATACCTTAGTTATTCTAATCGCGAAATAGGTATTCCGCTTCTCGTGCGATTTATTCGCGACTGTTTTTTTAATAGAAAATTTATAAGAACGTAATTTATAAATTAATTATTTTTACTTTACGAGAAGAATAAGTATTAGTCTTTAATGCCATAACTATAGGGGGGTAATCACAATAAAGAATAGTAATCCGAAGGGTAGGCAGTGCCGGAGATTACTCTGAAACCTCCCGAGCCGAGATCGAATACTCAGTAATTAGATCCCCCAAATGCTCCTAATTAATACGAACACTGGCTTTGATTATCGAGTATAAAAGCTAGAGTCGGTTGCTAGCAATCAAAAAGCAGAATCCGTTCCAAACGGGCCCTAAGGGACTTGGGCCTTCTCCACTGAATCCTGCTGATACTTTCCTTGTAATATTGCGGATCCTACGCCAGATCCTTTCAAGTGAAACCCTCCCAAAACTTCTTATCTACACGTGACGAGCATTTGGTCCGGTGAGGTATTGCTAATCTTTGAATATCTTTCCAATTCTTACGCCTCTTGTATTTCGTTTCAATTCGAAAAATTATTCGAAAACATTCTTTATTTTGATAGCAAACAGAGATCCCAGAGCTGAAAAAAAGTCAAGTTCGAAGGTAGGAATAAGGTTAGAATACACGTGATCAAGTGTTTCAGGTGTTGGCGCTAGCTTCCAACTTTCCAACTTCTCCGCCTCCCAGCTTCCAGCTCCTAGCGTATAGTTTACAACTTTCGACGACGAATGCGGATCGCGAATCTCGGCTTTAAATGATAGACATAGCTTCTATTCCCTATCTCCCAACTTCTAGCTTGAACGACGGATAGAGACTTACATCAGCTTCCGCCTCATCGCTGCCGCTCCCAGAACATCTCGATGCCTACTGGTTCTTAGCCTCTTGTCTCTCTCTCTCTCTACTCTCACGCATTTTTCAATTTGCTTTCTCTCCTACCGCCTCTCATGTCAGACCTTTGCGATGAGGCTGAGCAGCCTCTATTGGCCCGCCGCCAAGGCGACTGTGTCTCGCAGGTTGGCGCCGTCACGGCCGACCCTGAGAAGACTGACAAGTTTCGTGCTTTAGCTCGCATCGTTGGCTGCTGTGTTTCTGCTGCTTCCGCTGGCTGGCACGATGGCTGCATAGGAGCCCTCATTCCATACCTACAAGTTTACTATGGCGGCGTCAGCGATGAGAAAGTTTCCCTTGTCTTCATCGGTTCGTTCTCGGGATACACTCTCGCATCGCTACTGAACGTCAACCTTAGCACCCGCCTTGGACTTGGACGCCTCCTTGTTCTAGGCGCTGCCATTCAAGGATTAGGATCCGCAATCATTGCGTTCCGACCACCCTTCACCGCCATCCCGGTGTGCTACGCGGTAGCTGGTTTCGGCATTGCCCTCCAGGATGCCCAGTATAATACCTACGTTGCACGCCTCCCTGGCGCTTCGACGAAATTAGGAATCGTGCATGCGCTTTATGGCGTTGGTGCGTTGGCGTCTCCAGTAGTAGCTACACTGGTCATGAGGGCGAATGCCCCACCGCCACTCTTCTACTTTACCAACCTCGCATGGTGTGTCGCAAGTATGACTGTGCTATCAGCAGGCTTCGTATTCAGCAGTAACAACTCATCGGACCGCCGATTTCGATCTACGGCAGAGAACGATGACGGAATTGCATCTCTAAGGACCGTTATTTCCTCTCGTGTGGTATGGGCAACATTACTTTTCGTCAGCTTGTACACCGGCGCCGAAACTGGCGAAGCAGGCTGGGTCGTGTCTTTCCTGATGAGGGAACGAGATGGAGGAGCGATATCTGGCTACGCCTCTGCTGCTTTCTATGGTGGTCTTACGTCTGGCCGCGTCATGCTTCTGCCTCTCACAGCTTATATTAGTGAGAAAAAAGCGGTGCCTCTATACGCCATTATTGCCCTTATTATGCAAGTAGTTATTTGGAGCTCGCCATCCTTTCTCATCGATCTTATTGCCGTCGCGGCCTGTGGATTCGTCATGGGCCCTTGTTATCCTATCACCGTAAGCCTCGTCACAAAAGCTACGCCCCATGGACATCACCCCGGAGCACTCAGTCTCATGGCTTGCCTTGCGCAGTCTGGGAGTGCCTTGTTTCCGTTTTTGGTGGGATCACTTGCCGACATTTACGGCATCAAAGTGCTGCAGCCCATGCTCGTAACGCTGTTTGGTGGTATGGTCATACTTTGGCAACTGGTGCCATTCCCCAAAGTTCAATTGCATCGATCTCCGATCCTGGCCAAGCCGGCATCCGTCGGCGAAGGTGTGGATCCCACGACCACTGATAGCTCAGCATAGCCTCAATAAAACTTTTTGGATCATTACTCAAGCGCATGACAGTCAACGACTTTGAGCAACATCATGTGCTTTCTTCCTTGGGGTTATAGCACTGGTAAACCAGACTCTGTTTGATTGAAATCAGGTACGGTTCACTCAATCGTCGCCCTGCATCCCTTTTTGTCCTCAGAGCCCTATTCCCAGTAGCCCAACGCAGCAAAACAAATTCCCGCCGTTGTAACTACATAATGCCGAAGAATTTGAGCACAGTTTCCTCTTGAAAGGGGGAAATATGCCCAGATTTCTGGACACAAAAGCCAAGGAGCTTTGATCCACCCCCATAGACCATCTCTGTCCAGCTCTGGAGTCTGGCCGGGAGTGCTGGCCATGTTCTTGGTGAAGCTCACGTCAAGAACATTGCTCCACTGGGTCAACTTCATGCCAAGGAGAGAATAAAGAACAGCAAGGTCCTGGGTTCCGTGCACGGCGGTCATGCGGGTTCGTGTGTCGTTGCGACCTGGGTAACAGCCCCGTTCAATGACATCCCATTGCTGGGCGGCCTGCCTATATAGGTGTTGTGGCTGATATGTCGATCCAAATTCAGATAAACCAGGGATTGAATACAGGCCACGACCATCTAGAGCTACACGGCATCCCGAAGGTTTGGCCAAGATCCTGAAGATGAGAATCGCCCAAAATTCGAATCGAGCCGACAGTTTTATACACCCCCGAAACCTAATAGTGGGAGAGCCTCTATATTATTAGATATAAGTGGTGTCAGTAACTCGTAAAGTGATAGATCGGCATAGTCCCAGTCTTTATCTCGAGCCAGAGGTGTTTCCAGGCGCAGGGACGCAAGTTAACCCCCCCCCCCCCCCTTCCTTTTTTTTTTTCATCGAATTGGAAGTTGCATAGAATCATCGTCGAGGTTGTATATCTCAGCCATATCCTTCCTCTAGACAGAACTTCCTGGGTCCGCGGACGGGAGTTGGAGATTGAGCTCGATCGACGTGCGAATGAAGTCCGCGACGACATACTGTTGATAACCGACCCAGAAGAACATTACGGGGATATTCTGCAGCAAATGCTGCTCTATATTCATGTCAGTCAGCTCCTGGCCCTTAAAAACCCTACTACGAGAGGCTCGCACCTGCAATCCAGAAAGTAAAACCCGTGCCGCACAAGCCATGATAATATTTCGAGAATTGAAAATCGAATCCGGAGGTGGACCCGTCTTCTACTGGCCGGTAGCTATTCTCCCTTTTGCGGTCCAAAGGGAAGAATATTTTGGCTTCGGAGGGATAAGCTCGAGGTTGTATGTTTGGCCTCGTACTGTGGTGAAGTGCAGCGAGTGAGGAATGCCGTGGAATTATTTTGGGAGAAGATGGATACCAGGATAAGGACAGTAGCCTGCTTGTTCGGTTAGTTCTACGTGGTGGATTGTTTAAGTATCCGAATCTGAAGGGAGGATTGGGGGAAACCACTCTGAGAGAACTTGTTTGGGCCAGAAGTTCAAACAGGGAATTTCCTGCATGCAATTGTGGAGACTTATAGTGTACAGCAATCTCATATTCACTAGGAAGCTTTAAGAATCTACAAAGGGAATTTGTTCTTATTATTAAAATTCTAAAAGAATTCAGGTTTACAAAACAGGCTATCCATTGCCTTACTCAACTCCGTACAATTCAAGGGGAATTTATCTTGCACCGTAGCCAGCGCCTGGCTCTCACATCTCCTCATCCCCATACTCTGAATCTGCCACGGCCTCCTGAATGATTTCACCCTTTTCATCAATATTCTTATCTGCGTCGACAGTCAGAGGGTAAGCTGCCAGCAAAGCATGATATTCCTTCCATCTGTCACTGCTTAAAAAGAGCGCTTTCTCGTTACGCACCGGCGCCACCCTAACCTCCCGCAAGAGGCCCGATCTCCAACGACCCGATGTGGCGAGCTTTTCTCCCGGACATTGCGTGACTCCTGCCATCATTTTGTTGTAAGAATTAGCAACAGCGTCCCATCCCAGATATCCATGGTTTTCCAGCTGCTCTTGTATCAAGCCAAGCACAGTCTCTTTCTCACTCTGGAGCCAAGGGTGCAGTATACGTTTTCGATTTGCTCTACCACTGGTGGCTTTTGTGGATCGGCCCTACGACAGATTAGAGTGACCCACTGAAGGAAGGAACAATGACTTACCATCTTCTTCATTTCCTCATCGACTGGTTGCGGGCGGTCCGTTGATCTTCGGCTTCCAGATGGAGATGTTTGTGTAGCAGGAGGAATGTATGTCCTGCTTCCTTGCGAGGCAGCTTCGGCCATGATTTGCTTCATGGTCATTGATACCCTCTTTCTTGGTCTCTCCTCTTCACTCGGCTCATCTTGTTGAGATGGCTGGCTTGGGATGGCGTAATGAGAACTAACTTCGGCTAGATAACTCTTCTTGCTCTTCTTATCTCCCACCTCTCCTTCGGCTGAACCGCCCTGTTAATATAAGTATCAGTACAGAGTGTGCGCAACAAGACAAATAAGACTCCTTGTACTGACACCGTCTTCTCCTTCGTCCGTAGGGTACTATTAAGACAAGTATTAGCATTGAGTGTGCGGAAACAAAACTGGTTGTACTTACATCGTCTATGACAACACCTCGAGTTTGCATTATCTCTTCATATGCTATAACTCTCTGCGTCTGTTCATAAAGAGCTGCGTGATTGGCAAGTGTATGTACATCGGGAGGCTGTAACGGCGAACGCTTTTGCCAAGCAATAGTAGCATCTTGGTATGCCGCAGCGCGTGGTTCTGCAGATCCTGGGACTGCGTAATCTCTCAAGTCTCTTCCTGCCGCAAGCAAAACTGGTGATTGGTAACGACCGCCTGGTCGAGGTGCTTGGAGGAACCGCATGATAATCTGGGTCAGTAATGGATTGTTGGCCATTCTCTGACCTAGCATCTCGACTGCACCTTGCTGAAGTTTAGTTAGATGCCCCAACTCCGCGCCCGAGTAATTCCTGCCACCGTGTATCCAATACTGGAGCGCAATTGCCAGTTTGCGCAAGGAACTGTAGCTCTCTAGATCGTAGCCTGCGAACAGGCCGGAGCCTGGGCGCGCCATTGCTGTAGAATTGGTGGGAGCTTCAATCCTTGTTTTGGAAGAGGAAGAAACAAGAAGGTCGGGCCTTGTTGTAGCAGATCTAGGGAAGGAGGTGGTGTCGGCGCGGGTGAATGTTAATCCGAAAGGTGAGCCCCTGCGGCCGCCTCGCTAAGACTGTCCAAGTGTTAATCCGAAGGGTGAGCCCCTGTGGCCGCGTCCCCTCGAGGACTGAGATCTTGTGGAAGTCAAGAGAATGTACACTGCAGATCTGTGTGGGAGGGGGGATGGCGTCAGTGCTTGTGAATGTTAATTCACAGAGTAGCCCCTGCGGCCTCGTCACTTCAACAACTCCCAGTGAACAGAAAAAGCAGCACTCATTTTCAGTGTCCTAAGTTAAGCTAAACAATGCAAATACCACCTCTCAAAATATGCGCATAGGATGTAATACATTAAAAGTCTGCTCCTTAGGGATAATCTAAAGATTCTAGGAATTAATTCCAGCTCCTCATTACTACTTTAATCAAATGTTCCCGTCGACTTGGAACATTCAAGATAAGTGCAACTTTTTCAGTCTACTGGAGGACCGCCAGGCCCTGCGGTCACGTCGCTTCGGTAGTCCGGAAATCCACCTTTGTCCAGGGGAAATGTCGGAGGTATGAGAATTGGTTATATTCAAAATGGACTTTAAAATTTCTAAAAACTTATGCGAGCTGAGGAAATTCCGTATTCTCAATCCTAAGTACGATAACTCTTCAATTTGAAAACCACTTCTTTCAAGAATAAAGAGGATATGGATGGCAAGCATCTTTAAGTCTAAGCAGCGTCTCTTTCTTGTATTGTACAGCGACCATGCTGATTAGTTCCCTTTTCGATTCGCTTCCTATTCACTTCGTGGGGAAACACCGGCCTAGATGAAAGACATTCTAAGTAGGGAAAGGAGCCCCGGAAGGTACTGGAAGGAAACACAGACCCTGGGGGGGGCATAGTGAGACTGTTGCATGGACATATAACCAGAGGAGCGGAGCGCACACAGTGTTACCAGGGAGCAATAGTTGTGGGCTAAACTCTAGGGGAGTGCAGTCAAGCAGTGTAGGAAGCAGAATTGACATATATAGTGGCAGAGTGATATTTCGGGGGATTGCAGCTTTGAAAAGACTGGGGGAGCTTGACTCCAAGGGAGGACAGAATACGCAGTCAGGAGCATGCACGTTAGTGGAGTACAGGACTGGAGGAGTGCTCTGCTGGGGGAGAGCAGGGTACTATAGAGAGATTTCAGGGCATATACCGCGGAGTGTTATGTCGTTCTGGAGACCCTTGAAAAAACTCTAAAAGAGAGGAAGAAATCAGAGAAGGCGAGGAGGAGTCTACCCTTGAAGAGGGCACAGCACGACAACAAGACAAACCAATCAGAGGCCTTCACTATTTCGATTATAGGAAATCTTTTCAGCCCTAGTCGTCGGATGCCGTAGTCATTGTAACCTAGTCTTCGACTCTTCTACCACCTTTTTGACCCTGCTATGCTAGTCTCTTGTGAGGCTATACTAGACCCAATGATCCTGCTGCAAGAGTTAACACTGAGATAAAAATTTGCAAATACCGTCTAACAAGTAAGGCTTGTGGCTGTACCTTTGAGTATCCTACAGTTGTGCTCGTTGAGATATTCATCGATTCACAAAGTGTCTAACATTACAGATTGTTTGGGAAGAAAGCATGTTTCATCGAGAGGCCCCGAATAGTCATTTTATGAGACAACGCCTGGGGATAAGGGTATTACTTCAGGTTGCTTGGGGGGGGGGGGGTCGGAGTTGAGGATATGAGGGTTCGTCTTGCAAGAAGTATAGTTTACTTTGATCTTTCCTTTCCCCATTGTCCATTCTCATTCTAGTTATCAAAGTGCATAGCAATATTGTCTTTGAACCTATTACAGCATCAGCAGAAGCCAAGATTCAATTTGTCCTCGAGTATATCAGCCACCTTAGCCCAACCAAGGAATCAGTCGACGACTGCCGTTCCAGTCTCAGACTGATGCAACAATACTTTCAGCCTAACGAAGACATACCACAAGACTCGCGGACCTCTAAGAAGCGTGGAAGAATGGCACCACAAGCACGAGTTCAAAAAACAGCGGCAGCCTTTCCACCAGTTTCAAGTACAGTGGCCGCAAGCCAACCATCTCAGGTTCAACCGCGGCAAGTACAAACGAACGACTTACCTTTTATTTCGCTTTCGGAATAACCAAGGAAGGGCAGGAGCTATAATTTGAGTCGTCATGTCTTGCCCGGATTATACGAAGTAGGTGATCCAGGGATCCTCAACCGCGGGGTGTACCAGTTGATGTGCTGACTTTCTTACGAGTAGGAGACTAGATGAGATCAAGGGTGATTAGCTTCTAGACGATGTATAGAAGGCAATTCTCATAAAAGTACATAGCACACTAATTGATATAGAAAATTATAACAAAAGGATACCAGGAACAGTGAAGGGATGGGGCAATCCTCTGGTTTTTTAGTGGAACTCTGGATCGATAACAACAGAAGCAAGATCTTGAAGATTACGAAATGAGACGTTAGCTTCGTAACTTGTCTATTGAAACAGACACCACCAGCACGGTCGGACGCATGAAGATACCTATCATCCCGAGTTCCATACCTGCCATCAACATTTTCACTCGGAGCAATCATATCAATTAAGTCAACAACCTATCACTTGATAAGGAAGTAATATTCGTCCAAAGTTCATTCACCCGAAAAGCTGAACATCCACTCAATAATCCAGTACTCTGTCACAAACATGACTTCGGGAATCTGTACCTCTCAGTACAAACTTCCCTTGCACAATTACAAATTCATAGATGGTCCAGATAGTAGAACAATGACGAACTAGAATTCGAGAGGCTCTACCTAAACAGACTATCTCAGCTCTGAGAACTCTGTATGGAGATGACGAACGACTAGAGAGTGAGACCCGTTGTCCAAGACCTTTTCCTAGGGATTAGAGAATCTGAATTGCGAGCCCTATTTGTTGCGGACCATGCTTACTATCGAAGATTAGGTCTAAAGTAGACTATCTTATTTAAGCTGACATGAGACGAGTTTTTCACCTCTTTGAAGCTTCTCTACACAGGGCATCGTGCAACATCAACCAACGTGGGTAATGACCTTGTAGTTACATCATGGGGAATATTATCCGGTATCCTCCTGAGCATTGTGAGATCTATGCAGATATAAAATTATATTACGAGAGAATTGTACTTAGGCCCTGTACTAGACGCTAAAACTATGCAAGCTTATGGAAGTTTAGATGAGTTTTGTGCCTGCTGGCTGCCGTTTTGTAGTGAAGAAATTGGCAGAAGGAGGTGACTTCGTTGCAGTGCTACCTCCGAGAAGGCGATACAAGGCAAAATCATTTTGGCGCAGCTGGGAGATTTATGTACAGCAAGCGAGTAGACCTGTATCAATGATCAGCCCGCTCGAGCGGTTGTTTTGAGAATTCTACTGACAGGCCCAAACTGATATTGAGGCAAGGGATTTTACGGCAGTCCTCATCTATTTTTTGTGGTATGGCAGTACCCTGGTATAACTAGAAGACATCCTAGAGGACGGAACTGCAGCGCTGCTTGGGCCATTTTGTTATACTGCCTAGAGTGAAATAGGTAGCATAAGAAATACTGCTCAACCTATCCTTCTGGAATACGATAGATTAGTATCCCAGGACCTATAGAGGAAGGAATTTATAACGAGATGCTCGCATCAGCCTATTACGAACCTCCTCAGCCAAAGTATACTTTCAAACGTTCATACGCGCATCCCGACCGTTTCTGTCTGCTTGCTAAGCATTCCTAGATAAGTTTGTGACCCACGGTCTCTACTTAACGTACGTAGAGACCGGTTTGGGATGGAGGAGTAGTAGTAGAAGAAGGGTAGAAGGCACAGTCTCCTTGCCATCGTTCTCGTTCTCGATTTCAAACCTTAGCCAGTGGAAACTTGGCCTGAGTTAATCTCAGAAGCGAGGGAGAGCAATTGTAAAGGCTAATAAGGGGCATTGCTAATGGCAGCGTCTATTCCATACAGCCTTTATCTACGGAAGTCATGAGCTCTTACTTTTCTCTGTAAGTTCTGATCATCATATGTCTCCTATTTAAGGATACGACTGTGATAACGGAGTGATTTTGTTCTAGAACATCTGATGCAGATTTCTTGAGGTCTGGATCCTTCGGTATGAATACTACGCCGCCGAAAGGAGCTAATACTACCTCGCGTCCGCTCAGGTCGGCCAATCGAGGAAAGAAATCGAGATCTTTGCGTAGGCAGCAAGAAACCATAGAAGCCGGGTCCAATGATGAAGAGGTTTACTGCATGGCTTCGTAGCCTTCGTTCCTCGTAAAAACAACAGCCCTATAGAATGCTGAAAGGGGTTATGCGAGACTAGAAGATTCATTAGAGGTTGAGAATGGATACGCGAGGCGAGGCAATGTAGAAGCTTTCACATGAGCCTCGCATCATCGTGCCATTCAGCTACCTGCAGCTGAACCTGATTAGGCTTTGGTGAAGGGGAGAGGTACAGATTACCAAATCCTCGTCAATCGTACAAGAGAGTTGGTGAGTGACGATGTCTACGTAAAAGATGGTGGTTCTGCTGATTCTATTCATGGGCCATTATGATAACAGAAGCTGTATGGAGACGAGACAGCTGTGACTAGCTAAAATGGCTTTGCAGGATACAAGATGGTAAGTCTATAAAGAGTCGCGTACGCTCCATTCGTCCGGAGAATTACTCCATACAATCCCGAGATTTTGAAGTTGTAACAATACCAAACTTCAAAAACATATGGTTATATCTCGCCAGCGTCTTTCTGGGCTCTCTTGTTCTTCCAGCACTTGCTCTCCCTTCTGCTTCATCTCAGAACAATCATGTCGTACATGCAAAGAGAGATATCCTCCAGCCAAAATAGGTCCAGAGTAATGCGTTGGATCCGGATTACAGTATTTCGGCTCGTATCGGTTTGGCGCAAAGTAATCTTGAATTAGGGGCAGAATATCTCTCTGAGATGTAGGTTGCTCTCGCAATCTCGAGCTTTTGTGGAAATGTCATACTAACCGAAACAACTGCAGCTCTGGTCCCAAGTTCCCAACTCACCAAAATATGGAAATCATATACTATTAACAAGGCTACAGATCTATTCGACCCATAAGTGGCGACGGTCGAAATCGCCAAATCTTGAATCGTTGATTCTGGCATACGAGAAGAGCGTGTTTCCCAATCCACAAATAAAGCTTGGCTGAAATTTGACTCTAGCATCAATGAGATTGAACGATTGTTTCAGACTAAGCACTATTACTACGAACATGCTAACGGAGGACCAAACAATATCGGCTGTGAGGACTACAAGGTTCCCGTAGAGTAGTCCGCGCATATCGATTATGTGACACCGAGAGTCAAACCATTAGCCGTAAGGGCTATGGGGGATATCATGAAAAGGAATTTGGCCTCAGTACAAAGCCCAAAACCTGTTCGAAAGCCCATTCCGGACAATGTGCTAGCTACCAGACAAGACCAAGGTAGGATTTTTCAATATTGAAGCTGAATCGCTGCCTTGGCTGGTTTATCGGAATAGGTAGTCTAACCAATTATTCATCCTTGGCCACACCTGCTTGTATCAGAGTTATGTATAACATCACAGTTGGCAAACTCTCAAATCCAAACGACTCGCTCGATATATTTTCGCAAGTTTCTACCAATGCTCAGGAAGACTTGAATATGTTTTTCGCTACTTATTCTCCATAAAGCAGATTAACCTTCTTTCAATGTCTAAAATTGCTAACGCTATCCCCGCAGGAATATCCCGAAGGGTACCCACCCTGTTTTGGCATCTATTGATGGTGCGACGGCGCCTACAGACCCAAACAGTTCCGGTTTTGAAGCAATGATTGATTTTGAAATGGCTTATCGTGAGTATCCTAGCCAATCCCTACTAGACTCGAAGTTGGCAAGGAACAGTGTCACAGCTATCGTTTATCCCCAGACTACTACCGATTACCAGATAGGACCAGAAGCTTTGAGGGTGACTGGATACAAAGCACTAGGGCTTTGACTATTCAGAGACACACGAATGGACATGAGAAGAGAAGACAACTAATAGGGCTGCTGGTGAGGCAGATTCTGTGCACATCTACCCTGTATCAAAATGGAAGCAAGCCCCAGATGAAAGATCACAAAACAGCGCCACCACTCTGCATTATATGGCGCTCTTCAGCAAGTACAGTACAAGACTACAGGAGGTGGGGATTGACGACGGGATCCCAATGGATGGGATGAGAATTCCTTCGCTCTAGGGGTGGAAGTGGAAATGACAACAGCAGGACTTGAGTTTTGAGTCAGGAGATGCTGGAAGCCTAGGACAAAAAGCCAGACTCTACGTCGCCACTCGTGCTATGGCAGAACAAAACGACACTGAGAAGCTACGAGACTCCTTCTCTCCTGGAAACTTATCCCCATAGCACTTCCCGGCACTCGCTTATTCGTTGATATGCCTCGAACGTGATGCTCTCCAGGGGTATTTTATATCTGCAACCTCTCAAATAAGGAGAATAGAGAGAGGCGACCTCGAGCTCGACTTTGAGAGCTTGAGGTAGTCCGCATTGGATTTTCAATTTAATGTACGGAAGAATAGCTAAGACAAGGAGATCACCGCGCACACAGGACTTCGGATTCAAAAGCAAATGTAGAACAACGGATTTCGTTTCAGGTCAAACTTGACTGCAATTGGGTATTGAACTCCAGAAGCCTACAACCCTTCCTCCATGCTTTCGGTGCCTCCCGCCTTATTTTACAAGTTCATTAGCACACTCGAACTCTATTTTCCCTCACTCCTCGTCTACTTCCTCCTCATCCGCTTCCTCTTCTTCGGCTTCAACCTCCTTCAGCGCGTAACCCTCCATGAACCCCTCTTCATGCACCACCCTCTCAAGCCCCAACTTCTCTTTAGCAACCCACTCCCTAACCCTCTGTTTATCAACCCTCACCCTCTCCACCGTGCCCTTTCCCCTCCCCGCTTTCTCAACAACGCCCATCTCCCTTAACACACTCAGACAATCATCCGGCGCAATCCACGTCTCTTTGCTAATGCGTTCAACATCCACCATCCCCTTACCTTTCTTGCGGTCTGTATCCCTGACGCCCAGTAACCAGCGTGCGATTTCCGCGCCCCAATACCTTTTGTATCCCTTCTTGCCGAGATCTGAAATCGGTTTCTCGGGGCCGCCCATTATGCCCTCCCTTTTCGCAATAGCATAGGAAACACCCATAAGTAAAGCACCGAGACCTTTCCGTTGCCAAGGCGGGAAGATTAATATGCAGGCGAGGTTGTTGTTATCCCAAGACATCTTTTCTTTTGAGAAGAAGCCGATGATTTGCGTTTCGAGGGTGCGGGGGGAAGTGTGTACGAGGAGGAAGTAGTTGAAGCCTGAGACGTCGAAGAAGACGGATTTGTTATCTAAAAAGAGCTTGGCGAAGAGGGAGAGGCTTTGGCAGAAGAGCTGTCCGCCGTCACATCAGTACTCGTCTCAAAATGTGATCGATGGGAAGGGAAGGGTAGTACTCACAGTCTCAACACCCCCATCGACCTCCCAAACACTCCATCCTCCTCCCTCCCCTTCTGCACCATGACTATACACTTTCGTTCCCGGCACCTCTCTCTCACAACACCTACAATGCCGAACCCATTCGACAAGCGCCTTAGAATACCCAAAGCACCGCCTGCAAATATAAAGCTCCTTCACGGTGATCCCAGGCCCCTTGCCTTCACAACTGAGTGCCTTCTCCCCAATGATTTCCTTGGGATACCAGGACGGATACCAAGCTTTGAACGTCACGTCGCCGAAGATGACGCTGTCGATATTCCTTTCGAGGTCCTTGTCTCTATCGTCCTTTTCCTTTTCCTTCTTCCCATCCCTCCCCTCTTTCGCGTTCTCCTTCAACTTCTCTACATTCTTATGATTCGTCGTCTTATCATCTCCATTGGGCATCGATATCAACATATCGCTTTTATGACTCGTCCCCCCACCATTAACTCCATTCATAAGCCTCTCCTTCTCACTCTTCAACTTGCCCTTCTTGTCATCCTTCAACCCCGAACCCGAGCCCATGCCGTTCACAAGCGCCGCCTCAAGAGAAACAACATCTTTCCTCCGCCTCCCCCTCGGTTTCACGTTTGGTAACTGCACAAACGTTTCCACTGTACTGCTTGCTCTCCTCCGTTTCCGTGTGAGCGGTGCTTCAAGACTAGGCATGGCTGCAATATCTTCCTCGGTCACGAATTCCGACACACAAATTGTTCCTTCCTTCAGCGGTGTATCCTCCTGCTTGTCGCCTTGTGTCTCCTTTTCCGTGCCTTTTTCTTTCCCGGCCGGCTTGTTGGGAGACCGAGCTGGGGTAGTGGGTAGTTTTGGTGCAGTATGAGAGAGCCCTGGAATCCGTACTGCTAGGGTGATAGGATTTTGTTTCTTGGTGACGATTAATTTGATGATGAGCTTCTTTGGGGTGGGAGTCGCAGGGAACCGAGCAACAGCTTCAGGAGCTGCTGCAACTGAAGAGGAACCGATACTTAGATTCGACAGATCTGAGACTAGATTCGAGGCTTGCGGGTGCAGAGGAGTCGTGGGGGCAGAGCGTGAGGGCGTGGGCGGAGGAATGGTTGGTGGCGGTGAAGGGTGGTGTTGGTGGTGGGGTTGCGACGTTCCTGGTGCTGCTCCCGTTCCTGCGCGTCTGGCGCGGGCGCGGCTCTTGGGGTATGATGACATTGTTGCTTCCTATCTTTGCTCCCCTTACACGTATCAAGAATGTTGTGCTCGATCACGATCTCAATTGTAGGTTGAAGATGAGGATGATGTTTGAGAAAAAATTTCTTAGTGAGATCGTATCAAGTGGTCAAGGCAGCGGACGGAGTCGTTCCTTTCCTTTCTTGAGTTCGCAAGGTGAAGTCAACAAACTCAAGGGCAAGCTGAAGCCACACGGACTCTTGCATACAGTCACATTTAATGGCGCATGGAAGAATTCTAAGGAAAAGGTAAAGGAACATCTATCAATTACTACTCGTCATGCCGACGCCCGCAACGTTCACGCAACAGGCGCGCAATCGAAACCAGTGCCAGCGCGAAAACTAATGTAGCAGTGCTTCTCTCCCTCGAATGGAAATTACATGCTCCACCGCCATGTCTATCCCATCCAAAAGAGAATGACTGTTAGGAGTGTAAGGTGCAGTAGCAAGACAATATCGTGAAGTGCCACCAAACCCCATCCCCATCCTCGTCTCCACCTCTCACTCCCATCCCCCAAGTCCATGCTACGAAAAGGCCCCATTTGTGTACATTGAGAGATTCTCACCCCACCCGGTCCAAACCCATCTTACATACCTTCGAATTCGCCACCCAGATCGTCCTCGTCCAGGTCGCCATCTTGGATTTCCTTGGCCATTTCGCGCTCGCGTTCTCGTGCTTCTTGGGCGTTCTTGAGCTCTAGTCTGTGCTGGTTCATTGGGAAACGCATTGCCTGGCAAAGTCAGTATATCTCTAAGTAGGGGATGATGTGCAAGCATACCATGACGCTCTCATCATGGAGGGCGAGACAAGCACGGATACGGTCATGGAACGCCTCTCCTGGCTCTCTCGTAGCATAAACATCCCCAACCTCCTTGCTCTTCATGAAGCCTCGCTCACGGTCCAAGGAAGCCTCAATGACACCATCCCGAATAGCCTTTGCAACGATGTACTCCGCAGACTCCTCGCTCTCCAACTTCAAGCGTATGCAGATATCTCGGAGGGAAATTCGCGAGTAGGACAGGGACATCATTCGGATACCGGTCTTGATGACGTTTTGTCGGAGGCGCAGAATGAGAGTGTATGTGCCGTCACGTCTGAAGGTATCGCCGTGTTGCTTGATGGCATGTTCGAATTCTCCCAATTGGCCTACTCGCACGGCTTGGACAAGCTCCAAATAAGGTGCCAAGGGACGTTCCATGCTTGTGAGGCGGAAAATAGCACGGTCAGGAATATCACCCATCAACAACTGTACCACAAGCAACAACTTAGTTGCAGTCTGCGTGAAACCAGCTGCGCTTGGACTTGAAGGAGCCTTTCGTGTTGCAGACGTTAAATGCTCGTGGGCCTCGGTATAACGCAGCTGGATAGCTCTGATGCGGCCTACGTAGTATAAATATCTGGCAACCTGATTATTTGATGCATCCTCTGGGAATTGCGTATGTGTGACTAGCAGATCAGCTTGGGCGATATGGGATGTTGATAGGTAGTTTCGTAACAGGAGGACGATGACGGTAGATTGAGTGTCGATATCCTTTCGGAGAACGGCTGTTCGAAGGGCAGAGAGAAGAGCGGGTCGGATAGACACAACGGGCGAAGAAGTAGATGGAGGCAAGGGAGCCATTTGTTCGCAGAATAACGAGTAGTAAAAGTACACGCGGGCAGAGAGAGCGTCCAAAGTTCGGCGGTTCTCAGAGTGTATTCGCTCAGCAAGATGTGCCGAGAAATCAGCGCCCTTTCCATTGATCTTGTTATCCAGGTAGTAGATTTGAGTGAGGATTCCAAGGAAGATTTCGATTTCAGGAATGATGTCTTTTTGCTCCTTCTTCGGCGACTTAGACTTGGAATCTCCATCAATCTCCATCTCGGCCGAAACCGGTTTTGTGAATGTAGCATTTTCTCTATCGACGGCAACCAAGAGAGATCTCGCAGCAGGGTTTGTAGATGGGTACGTTTCGGTGATGACTTGCGCAAGGATATCGGGTGTCAGGCGTTTGCGGATTGCAGAAATGGACCGAAGGGCTCGAAGGGAGAATCTGGCATCAAACATCGTAACAGCGCGCTCCAATAACGGGAAATTGCTCTTGATATCTGTGATAAGGCACCGAGCATCAGGTCTGCCGGTTCTCGAGGGGATGGATGGGATACGAACCTGATACGGCCTTGGCTACTGGATCAATCTTGACGGCGCCAGCATCCTCATCATTAAGGTCCTCTGGCCCATCCATAGCCACATCACCATCAGTGTCCTTCAAAGGAGGAGCCGACAGCTTTGAGCCTTTTGAAGGTGGCACAACAACAGTCATCTCTTCCTCCTTTTCGTTGAGCTTCTTGCCCTTGCCACCTTTCAGTGGAGCAGGCGCATCATCTTTCATCTCGACGTCTTTCGTACCGTTGACACCATTCTCGAGGGGTTCGTTGCCGTTGGTATGAGGTGTCTTGCTGGGCATATCGTCTTGTGAGCGTCCGGGAGGCGCCCTTCTGTGACGTATTCTGTTTTCTTCGTGAGCGCGTCGACGTCTTCTCGAATGAGGTGGATGAGTGTTCGGGAGGATAGTGGTGCAACCTGGGAGTACGGCAGAGTGTACTTCGTGTTCGATGAAGGTCGCTGATGGTGTTGATGGGATGCTTGGTTGAGCTGTGGCTCCCAGATTACAACTCTCGTGGAGCTCAGGCTTCATTGTACGGCAAGCGAGTTGCACTTTAGTGCAGAACAGACGCGAGGCGCGAGTCAGCCTGGAGAAAAAGCGGCGCCCATCAATGTTCCAACCTGAGTCGAACATTTCAAATTCCTTCAATCCGAATGTTCCCTCAAGTTATTATGCATTCAAATTCAGCCCACCCCCTTAGTATATCTCGATGAATACCAGCACCTCCATCCGAGCCCAGAGAATGTCCACCTGACTTATGATCTTGAAAGTCACAGGAGTGCTGCTTTTTCAGTTCATCATGAGCCCCGATTTGGTAAGCACGTCACAGGAGTCCTCCAGTGCTTCCACGTTTCCGAGAATTGCTAAGCTTCTTGCATTGACCACAGGTCTCACGGAACAACCAAACCAAAGGGGAAGTTCTCCTAAGGATGACACGGTGAGGTCAACTGCGCCGTACGCCTGATTTCGAAGACAACATTGTATCACGTGCTTGAAATGAACAATTGAATGTATGATGTATCGGTCTCGATCTCCTCAGTCAAAGTTACGTTCGGTAGGAGCCAGAAGAATTTCACATACGATGATATGCTGCTCGTGCTGATCCCAATATGGAATTCAACAGTCTTGAGTTGTATGGCCCTGTTGGATCCCACGTTCGTGGCGCTCAGCATGAGCTCCTCGACCAGAAGTATCTAGTCAAGGCCCAGTGGATGAACTTTAGGTTTTCTACCTTGCCACTCTTGGAAGAAGAAATCGTTCGCCTGTGGGGATGCTTAAAACCCATTCAACCATCTCATGGATACGTTTCTCTTTTCTTTGACATCACGATCGGCGAGAAATCAAAGACTAGGGATGGTCTGTTTCCAAGATTGCCGTCACCAGTTTCCTTTCTATAGGACTGATTCCGTTCATGGACTTTGGGGCATTCGAAGCAGTAGACTTTGGATGTCCGATGACTCAGAGAAACTACACTTTCAAGGGATGGGGATCACAATGTACGGAGGGCGGACAGGCATTCGATCCTCCAAGCAGCACTCATTTTTGCTGTCTCATGCCAAGTTCGGACACATATATATATATGCAACTCAAAGGGAACATACTTAAAAACTACACCGTAAAACTCATTTTCAACGCCCAAAGTTACCTTGGAACATTCATCCTCCCTCCCCCTTTCCCTCCCTCTCGAACCCCTCACTCCTCCCGCTCAATCCTATCACCCCTAACACACATCCCAGGCCCTCCCACCACACATCTTTCTTTAACCCCTGCGCCAAAGAATTTAACCCCACTGATGAAAAAAAACCCGAACCCGAAACGCTATGAAGGTGTATGGATATGGCCCAGAAGCCGACTGTGAAAGATTGCATTGCGGTCGAGTCAGGGACCAAGCAGGCAGCCTGAAGGGGAAACAGATAGCCAGACTCATGGTCGGGATGGTGAGACGGAATGATTTGTTTGGGCAAGGAAATGTAAATCTTAATTTATTTCGCGAGATGGGATGGGGTGGATGGATTGGAAAGACTGTTCTGAAGGTCTATGTAAATTACCAGGAAGAGAAGAGAGATGGCTATGTCAAGGCTTGCACTTGTTAGAATAGAAATGAGTTTATGACACAGATAATTTGATGACCTTGTCTCTACTTGTCCAGTACTAGTTGGAGTTTTAAGAAGATAATGCACTTACTGCTTGGGAAGTCAGTGGGAATACTGTGGAACATTTTTCCCGGAATTTTCCTAAGTGCCCTCAGGAATGGCAAGACCTTGAGGTCGGAGTTCCCTCTGGTCAAAGATGATATGTACCACGTGTAAAGGCAAACCGCATTCAGTAAAAAAGCGTTGCATTGATATCTATCCGTATCTCCAGAGCTGCCAGCTGAAAGAAGTATGTAGTGCAGAATACACCGCAATCATCAAAGTCCATGAACGCCCCATTCCATGCCATGCTCCCATATCCAGCCCTCAACGCCAGACTCAAATTGAAGACCATGCCATTGTCGCGCAGAATTACTCCAGAAGCGCGGAAGAAGTGTGTACTGCTTCTCATTAGCTTCTCCCCCTCTCCCTTCAAGGGGATGCTCACAGGCTCGCTCAATCACCCCCCTTCCCACCAGTGACCTTTGCTGCCTGTACAGCGCTCATCTTCGCAATCCACGCCGGGCTCGGCTGAATCTTGCGGACGGTACGGATCTCATCAGACGCATAGCCTGGGATGCGGATATTGTAGCCTCGTTCAAGAGTGAGCTGGATGTCGCGGATCTCGAGGACCTTGCTGCCGCGCTCCTTGGCGTTCTTGCAGGCTGCTTGGAGGACTTGGTCTACGAAGTTGTCGGCAACTTGGAGGATGGACTTGATGAGGTTAGTCAGCGTGGAAATTCATACATGTAGAGGAGTGGGTTAGGTAGATCGAGGGGACGTTGGAGATTGGGGGAAGGTGAAATGGAAACAAACCTCCTCAACATCAGGAGCCAACCCCTCGCCCTCACCCTGCCCACCACCCGTAACCTGTCTAACAAGCTCATCTAGCTTCTTCTTACTCAACACCCTATCGCCCTCGCCCTCCATATTGAAGCCCGGGGTCCTAGCCAGAACCGGTTGGGACAAGACACCATTCCCCGCATTACTCGGGCCACCAGACAACGTCGGACGCCCACCTTGAACAGCAACCTGTTGCGGCGGTGCGGCAGCACGGTCAGGTAGGTGCTTAGGAATCGGCATCTTGTTCGTGATGATGTTTTGGCTCTCTCGTGGTTGGGAGACGGACGGGTGCGAATGGCCCATAACGTTCGAAGAGGATGGTTGACCTGTGGAGTAGGAGCGAGCCGCTTGGTGAAGGGCATCCGAGTGCGAAAGCGCGGTGGGGATTTGCTGTGCTTGCGCTTGCGAGGTTGCGCTTTGTGGGGGGCCGACTCCTGCAGAACGAGGCACAGCTGATTGAGGTGAACTGAGATTTGTTCGGTCTTGGCTTCCTTGCTGCATTTGCGTTACGGCTCTGTTGCTTTGCGGTGCGACTCCCGCTTCCGTCTTTATGCTTTGAGTCTGCTGAGGCATGTTCTGGATAGAAGGAGCACTCTGGTTTGCCATGTTCTGGGGAACCTGTGGCCTTCCTCCACTCAACTGTTGGTTTCTTGCAGCTTCGATGGCTGCATTGACCGTTTGCGTGTTTTGAAGGGCAGGGTTTGGCTGCTGTGTGGACATCTGTGGCCTAACAGGAGCGGCCTGACTCGCATTGTTGCTCGCATTTCCAGCTCCTTGTTGAGCAGCATTTCCTTGTTGGTTTCCAGCAGCAGCATTCTGGGCATTCCTTTGTGCTGCTTGTTGTGCCCGGAAGTTATCCACAAACTGCTTTGCTTCTGCATGTCCCTTCTGCGCTTGTTCCCTCTTAACCGTCAACTCCTTTTCGTCTTCGGGACTCAGTGGGTTGCCTTCCTCCTTTCTTTTTTGCATGTGGCTATCCATGGCCTGAACTCGGGAAGCAGTAGTCTCCATAGCCACCAAGGCCTTCAAGTATCTGGATTTGGCATCTTGAAACCATTTCACGGCGTCCGGGGTACCAGCCGTCAGCTGGGGAGGTAGAACATAGGGGAAGTTGCTGACATGCTCCATAAGTTTTGGAGATATCTTCGGTTGGGGTCTGGGTTGTTGTGCAGCATTCTGGTTTCCACCACTGCCTTCTCCTTGTGTCTGCTGTGGTTGTCCTTGACTCGGTGGTCTCGCAGTTCCAGCTTGTTGACCAGAACGCTGGGCTCCAGCCAACTTCGCAGTCAAGGTCTTTGAAAATTCGAACAGCTTTCTTTTTGCCTCCGTGTGTTGTTGCGAGTCCTGCGGGTTCTTGTCTATTTGTCCCCATAATTGCCTCAGTCCCTGCTCCCACTTGGCTTTCTCTTCGGCGGTAAACATATCGGGGAGGGCTCGCATTTGCTCGGGTCGAAAGAGTGTAATCTGGCGTTTGGGTTGTTGGCCTTGAGCTTGCGCCTGGGCCTGGGCTTGTTGCATTTGCATCATTGCTTGCTGCTGAGCAGCAGAGGGCTGGCCCGGCTGGCTCCCCTGTGCACTGTTGTTCATGATGCTAGAATTACCGTATAGAATGTAAATATGTTGATAGAGGTATTAGAACGTGGGCCAGTACTCCCCTCAGTGTCGCACAATTGAGGAGAGACGTCGAGATTGCGAGGGTTGTGCTACAGAAAGTGAACGGTCGTCGTTGGGACCCAGACTTTGATGGAGTCTTACGGTTGTCCAGGGTGGCACGGACTATTTCCACAACCGGACTTCAGCCTGGCTTTCGAGCCTCGTACTAAAGGGTTGGCCTAAAGAATCTCTGTTGGAATCAAGGGCTGAACGGAAATATGATGTTCCTTTGACAAGGATAAAATGTTGGATTGGAGTAGGAGATGTGGACATCTTTGTGTTCTAGCAGAAGGCTTCACTAACTCAATGTATGACTCCAAGCGCTGTCACTTCCCCTCCTCAGCCTCCCGAAATCGCTCTTTCCCTTTGCAGTTTATCTTGGAGGAGCTAATTTGTTTACTATTTGTTGCCTTAGGTGCAGTACCTTCCTAGCGAAAGGTTTTGCTGAAGAAATCACCCCAAAATTCACACCCGCCTCGGTTGCACTCCTTTTTACTTTGGTTCACAAGCCCGATACTAGCTGGCTTTCAAAGGATGCATCACCTCCTTAGAACTGCTGTTGAATTTCACCGAAAGCCCGAGTTGCTTCACAATGCTTTCCATAAACCATTGGCAAAAGGCCGATCAAATGTATTCCCAAGGTATACGCTATCTATTCGCTATGCAGACCAGAACCCACTCGCTATGCAGCACAATACCCCGCTCAAGCAATGCAGTTGATGCCCAATGCCCATATTCACATCCATCTATATCATCAATCATCATCAATCGTCATCATCAATCGTCGTCATCGTAACCCATCCTCCAAAATGTGTGCCATCCCTCGGGCTCACTCTTCCTCCGAGTCAATTTCCATCTCCTCCAGGACATACCGGTAGTATGGCAGCTCCCGCATTGTCCTCCTATCAAGCTCGTCTTCGTTTTCGTTGATGTCAATCACCTCCTCACAGCCCTCATCAACCTCCTCAATCCTCGGTGGCGGATCATCAAAAATCAGACTCGACCTCTCCCCGACCTTCCTCCTCAACCTCCTCGCGCTACTGCCCGCCTCATTCGCCCCATCAAACATAACAGGCTGCAAATCCTCATCATCAGTATCACTCCCAATACTCTGGGTCAAGGTCCTCTTAGTCCCTGAACTCCTTCTCTTCCACTTCTTCCGCGCCCTCTCAGCCCTCACCCACTCCTCGCGCGCCTCCTCCTGATCCCCACAGCCCAGGTCCCTAATCCCATCCAGTATCCTCGGGTCTAGATCACTCTTCCTCCTTCCTCCAGAGGACTTCACAGATTGTGCTTTCTCGGAATCCGCGTCTTCGTATTGGTATGGCCGGATCACATCTTCGTCTCCTGACTCCCATTCCTCGTAGGCCGACTCGTTGAACTCTTCGAGCGTGAAGTTGCTTTCGGTGACTATTTTTGTTCGGCGAGGTGGTGAGGAGGTGGTGTGCACTGCGGGAGAGGAGGAGAGGGAGCGAGGCGGGCTGCCACTGGAGGAGGAGTGGGCGGAGGATGCGGGCGAGGAACTCGATCGAGGGGAGAGATCTTCGGGTCTGGCAGACGGCGTGTAGGAGAAGTGGAAGGGCCCGTTGCCGTTGGGTGTGATTGTGCCGTCTTTGGTGGGTATCGTAGGCTTGGAGAAGTGCATTCCATTCCGCCGGTTGGCTTTGGATGGGAATGCTGAGGTTGTAGGCGTCTGCGGAGGGGATGAGGGCCCTGCCTGCGGGGCAAAGTTGAAGTTGGGGGTTGTTGGCCGCATGGCTGCGGATTGCTAGGTTGTCGTTGAATGGCAGATTGGTGGTGTGTTTTGGTACACAGATAAATAGATGGATGCGTCAAGGCGTCAACGCCCGCGGTAGATATCTCCAGCAAGGAGAAAGAAGTCGAGGAGGATTGCCGTTCATGATAATCAGAATGAGGGAGCTCGGATGCCACGGGGCTTCTGGCGCTCGCAAGGTGAATCAATTCGAACCGAGGAGGACAAGGACAGCTTCAACAGGCTATTCTTGGGGGTTCGTAGAAAAGGGGGTGTCGGATCTCGAGATCTGAGGTGATGCGCAGTCGTGCGATTCCTTCTGGCTGGTCCTTGCCGTCGTTCCAACTGTCGGGACTCGCTGGCTCGCTCGTTGCGCCGGGATGCAAGGATGGGGCTTCGCTGCCAGATCAGCAACTGAAAGCAGCCAATGGGCAGACTTGCTTTTTGGGCAAATAAGAAGGACGTGAGAATTGGACGAGGGCGTTGCTTGTACGTTGGGCTCTCTCTGCCTTGCTCAAGGGGAAAAGGGGGTTACAAGCTTCCACTTGTTTCGGAGTTGAAGGTGAGCTTGTGCGAGATATATTTCTGGGATGGGAGGGGGGACGATGTGCTGTGCTGGAAAGGAAAGGTGCGGCAAGCCGAAAACTTATACTTGTGCCAATATTCTCCAGTCCAAGGCTGCAGCTTCTGCAGGCCGGGGCAGCTGCGAACTGACTGATGCTCTGGGCTCTCGCGATAAGGGAGAAGGGAAGGGAGCAGGACAGCAGGCGCCGGGTTCGGCCTGTGTCGGGCAGCAATGGCCCAGGTTGTCCCTTGCTGAGGACGTGTGTGGTTCCCAGACGCAGAGGAAGCGCAGAAATTTCTGCTTTCGTGGTCAGATTATCGCGAGTCGAGCAGCGAAAAGTGACTCGACCGAGGGACCGAGACCCCCTGGCCAGGACATTCCTGCTTTGCCTATACTTAAGTGTTTTAATTTGAAAGGGCGGTTCTGATGCGTTGTCATGAGCAAGCAAATCTCGGAAGGGCAAGGCAGAGAGAAAGGATTGAACGGCGTGCGCATGGGTACGCTGCAAGCAGAAGCCAATCCAATCTGTCATTGTATGGGAATTTGGAAAGAGATGCATTGTAAGGCTAAAAGAAGGCCCGGTGAAGGAAGTTTTTGGGTCGTGCCAGTTCGGGTTTCCTGATGCGGTGGCCTGCAGGCGGGAGATGCGCGGCATCAAATTGAAGGAGATATTAAATACACGTGATAGTGCCATAAATTGATTCTGTGAGGCTGTCATTGGCTGTTCATCCCTCACTGGATCTAGCCTTGCGCATCGCGACTCCACGCGCCAAAGTAAACATCTTCAATTCTGCAGCAATTGAACACCCCCTTTTCAGCAAACACAGCCACCCACAATGTCCCTCCTAGAACGACACCTCGAGCAGATCTCCCTCTCCTCAGAATCAATAGCAACCCTCCCGTACGTCTCCCATTTCCTCCCTGAAACCCTTCTAACCCCACCACAGGTTTCCCCCTCCCAAAATCTTTACAAATGCGCTGCTCTCGACACCAGACATAACCTCGCTAATACGAGACACCGAGCCTCACGAACGAGCCCTCTTCTCTGTCCCTCCTCCCCCTCCGCCTGTGACATCCACAACTCCATACCCAGACCCCAAATCCAGCACGCGCCGGCAGACAGTCTTCAATGTCGCGCAGGGAGAAGTAACAGCCGGGGGTGCAGTCGGAGCACGCGCACCTCGACGAAATACCGCCGTTGCAGCGGTGCTAGGAGCAGAGCTCCACTCCGAAGTTAGGAAAACGGAAGGGAAAGGAGAGGTTGATATCGAGGTCCTTTTGAGAGGAGTAGAGAAGCTGAATAATGTATACTCGGTCCCTGGTGTCCCCGAGAGGGTGCAGAGTTTAAGGACGAGGTATGTGCAGATTGTGGGTAGTGTGGAGCATTATGAGAGGAAGGTTGAGAAGCAGCAGAGGGAGTTGGAGAGGATGAATAGAGGGGAGGCTTGGGATGAGGATGAGGATGAGGAGGAGGGGGATGAGGAGTTTGCGCAGGAGGAGGAGGTTGAGGTGACGGAGGAGGATTTGAGGAGGGAGGAGGAGGAGATTAGGGAGTTAGAGAGGAAGAAGAGGGAATTAGAGGAGAGGGTTAGTGGGATGGAGAGGGATTTGGGGGGGTTGTTGAGGTGAGGAGGGTGGTGGGGTGAGAGTGTATGGCGTTTGATACCCTTGAGGATTGATTGATGATTACCCATGAGCATTGAAGGCATCTATGGCTGGGCGAAAGTTAGTTTAGAGAATGTTCCACAGGCCAATGGTACACTCAAGTCCCGTGACACGACCCCTGCTATCAGGTGATGACGTGACCTCAAAAATCATCTCAATCTCCGCCCACCAGCAACATTTCTGTCAACGCGGCAATGTTCCTTTCCCCTGTATATCACAATGTTTCGAAATATGATACGTCCAGCAGTGGATAATGTTCTGAGAGGTGGAATGATTTTAAATCTGGAGAGAGGGGTGGCAACAGGATTTGCAGACCGAAATTATTCGGGGGACACAAAGGTAAGTCAAGTCAAGGGTCACTTCTTCAAACTAAACTCAATGGGTTGCATTGATTAACAGGATACAGCTCCCTCCCAGCAGAGAAAAATCTCCCGATCCGACTGTTGAATTGCCGAAGGAGGGGGGGAAGCCTGCCTCAGTTCAGGAGGTCAAGGGGGAAATCAAGGAAATGAAAAAGACCATGGCTGAGCTGGATGAAGAATTGAGATTGAAGTTAGAGGGCGTGTCTGGGGAAGGAGGCACTGCTGGTGTCGAGTACGAAGGAGGTAAAGCTGTCGGGTTGAAGCGATCGGTAAAAGAGAACATGTTTAGGATCATTTGATGGAAACTTGTTGAACAAGCTGGTGTAGTGCACTCCAATTTACTGGGCAACCTGTCAGTCTTATCCCCAAAGGTGGTGGCAAGCAAGTGCTGAGTATGAAGAGGGCAAAGCTGTCTGGTTGAAAGGGGGGGGGGGACTTGGAAGGGCCATTGAAGCTCCATCTCCTGGGCTCAGGACCGTGCAAACTATCAATGGCCGTTGTTTGAAGCGAGGATTAAGGGGAGAGGTATGAACGTGGCAAAACCGGTGGGCTGCAAAGGGGGGGTGAAAGAAAACATGTTCAGGGTCGTCCACAAATATCTTTCAACATGCCACTGCAGCGAATTCAACTTCCCAGCCCGCAAAAATGTGCTACAGAGTCTGCTCAAGCTCCTCGAAAGCGAAAGTAGATCGTCACAGCGCTGCTCTATGGCTCACGTGAGCTGATGTCCACACTAGGCGTCATTGAGCGAGGTCGGGCAACAAAGATGCGAACCTCTCGTCTACAAAACCTCGCACGCCTCGTCTCCTTCCTTCCATCATTTGCATCTTCCTTCCACAAACCTCCAACTACCATCAACAACATCATCAGAGGATAGCCAATTCGGTCAATACATCCTTTGAGAACTCCCTCAGTACAGCGAAAGCATCAACAAAGCAAGATACTTTGATATCACAGGTACTTTCTGTGCACCAACAGGTGAGCGGTTACCGTCCCCCCATTCCCCATGCCCCGCACTTCACTGCACTTCACCGCACTTCACTACACTGCATCCTTTCCCTTCAGCAGTGCGTAAGGGTATCTCTTAGTTCAAGGGACCAATTGGTATCAGAATAGTCGATTTCCTTACCCAAAGAATCTGTTTGCTTCCCTCTCTCATACTCCTTCTGTGTACGGTTCCGCTTCGCTCCCTTGTTCAATTCTTGGACTTTAGATGGCAAGAACTTATCGTTTGGGTATCATCTAGAGGTTTGAGAATCGCCTCGGCTTCGTCTTCAATTCTTGGACTTCTGATGACGAGAATCGTAGTCCGATGCCTCTCGGGGCTAGCTCGGGTTTTGTTTACCTTCGCTCCGATCTCTATGCACAATACTTCCTTCGCTCCCATCTTTCTATTTGACTTCAGATGACGAGAATGGTTGTCTGATGTCTGACGAGCTACCTCGGTCTTTGTTTTCTTTCGTTCCGATCTTTTTACACAATGCTTCCTCCACTCGCATCTCTACTTGACTTAAGATGACGAGAAGTGGTCACCTGGGTGTCATCTGATGACTCGAGCTGGTGTCGCCTACCCTCTTTGCACGATCTCGCTTCCCCCCTTTCCACAAGATACTTCTTTTGCAGCATCGTTCAGTTGGCAGATCGTACCACAAAATCAGATCAGTGTTGCTCCTTCCCGCTCACATAACTCAACTTCACACCATCGTTCCTTTCACTTTCGATGTAACAAGCTCACCACGCTCTCAGGAAATCATGGCTACCACCCGTAGTTCCACAGGCTCTGCCAAGTCTTCCCCAGTTCCTGCAAAGAAGGCCAACAGAAAGCGTTCTGCTGAGTCTCAATCTTCTCCACCTGCCAAGCGCGGCCGTCCTGCCAAGGTAAAGAAGGCCAAGCAACAAAAGACGGCTGAGGATACCATGACTGGAGTTGGGAATGACAAGGATGTTGCCAAGCAGATCAATGATGCCTCTGAAGAACAAGCCGACGGCAATGGCAAGGATGGTGAAGTCGATTCGATGCAGGTCAATAAGAGTCAAGAGCAAGAGAATGAGGAGAGTGAGGATGCCAGTGCTGACAAGACCGACGCCAAGCCGAAGGGTGCTCAAGATGGGGAGAAGAACGCCTTTGGTGAAGTCAAGGCTGATGCCAGTGAGGTCAATGCTGATGCTCAGAAGGAGAAAGAGGAGAAGGGCGAGCCTATCACCAACAACAGCAAGTCTGTCCTCGAGGATGATGCACATGCAGCTGTAATTCCCTCCTCTATCCTAGAGCGGGGTATCATGTACTTGTTCTTCCATGCTTACGTTGGTGTTGAGAACCCTCAAGGCATCGAGGATGTTGCTCAGTCGTATATCGTTCTCCGTCCGCTTCCACTCGGAACCCAGCTTCACGAAGGCCCGCTTGAGGATTCCGGAGACGCGAGACTTTTGGCTCTGCCAAAGAATGTGCTTCCCATGAGCGGCAAGGATCGGTTCTTGTTCTTTGTCGAGAAGACGAAGACCACTGTCAAGGAAATTCGGGAGTACTTTGCTACCAATGAGTATGCCGCCAAGATTGCTGAGTATGTCTCCATCTTTTCATGTTTAGCACCTTTGTCTAATGAATATCAGCCCAAGCGTCATTCTGGCAACTCAGCCCATTGTAGAAGCTGCCTATGCAATCACATCCAATGGACGTGAATCACACCTCGCGTACTATATCACTCGGCCCTCAATATCCGATGAACTCCAAATCGAACACGGTCTCCACTACAAGGGCAGTTTTATCTGCTCAGTCAAGAATCCAAGCGCTCCAGGTCCTGCCAATGCGACATTCGACACCCCGGCTGAGTATCCGGAGGGCATCCAAAAGAAATTCAGAAACTTGAGATGGATGCCGCTTGAACCTGAGCTTCTGAATCATCAAAACACTCAATTGTTGCTTATTGGCGAAGGCGAAGGTGGCATTGGTCGTGTTCTTGTCGAGCAAAGCAAGGATGCGAAGTATGACGAGAAGGAGAAGGAGAAGCTAGATGAGGAGGTACGTTCTCTCTTTCAGTTTCCCTTCACATGCTCTTATAATTTTCTTGCTGACAAAATGTGACAGGACCATGATCGCGTCAAGCATCTCGAGCAAATGGATCCTGTCTTCGAAAGCCTAAATCTGAGCTCCGACTATCCAAAGATGCTGACGTCCTGGAAGTAACGTCTCCTTTGCTTTAGCATAGTGCGAGATTTGCATATGTGGGGTGGGAGGATCTTTGCATATGACTGCTGGCGTTCTGGGCGAGAAAATGGCGTTCATGAATTGGGGACGGGATTGCATTTGCGAACATGGGAAATGAAAATTGGGGACTGGGGTACATATGAAAAACGAGCATGTTTATTAGCTGAGCTCAGACGGATTGCATGCAGCGAACGGAACCTTTCGGGGCTGTTTAGTAGCTGATGGAAATGGTCTGGCTGCATATGATGGGACGAAGAATCAGCGAATGCGTTAGCTAGTAGTTGAATCGAAACGTCTCACTCTGTTCTTTTGCACCACTCCATGCTGACAGAATGCATAGCTGCTTCGAAGAATGGAAGGAGATACCAGGGGCCCCGCATCTCAACCAACACTTTCTGGATTTCGGACGCTTCTCTAATCTTCCGATCTTCTCCAGCATCACTTTCATGGGGTCGATGACAGCTTTAGCTGTATATCCAAGCCTTCCTTCCTTCATTGTCACAACAATGGTTCATTGTTCTTCTTCGGCCGTTCCCGCTACAGGGTTCTCTGTGACGGGCTTGGGGGGACGTGGACTTCGTTTTTACGAAGTGCCATGGCGCCTTGACTAGAATTGCCCTAGACAACAGCCCTTGAATGAAATCATTCTCGATAATAGAGGATACTTGAAACATCATATACTTAATCCCATCTACCTAAATTCGTCTCCCAAGCTGATCTTGGCAGCCGCTCGCAACTTCTAAAACAGGTTGCACAGGATCGTTTTCCAACCGATTAACTCAACACTCACAACTCTGAAGTGGACTTTCAAGCACTAACCCATACCAATAGCCATTCCAATCTGCACGCGGTGCATCTTTTCCCCGCTCTTGCAGCCTTTCTCTAGCTCTTAGTTTCCGGGTCTTCTTGGCAATGCTCAAACAAACCTCGCGCTTCACTCTGATTCGCCAACCCCTTTTCCTTTCGTCTAATCTAAATACAACATGTCATCTTGCATTGAACCTAAACTCGGTTACAACGATCTTTCATTCTCAAACGGCAAAAAGGCAACTTCATTTCGGCGTTTTTGGGGGAATAAGGGAGGTGTGGACAAATGGGTTCTATTTTCGGGATACTGGAGCGGGAAGCGGGACGATGGAGGATGGCAGTCTTGGCGTGGATAACAAGCTGCCCCTCTCGTGTGCGCTAAAATTGCAGTGGCACAGCATACAACGACTGTTACGATTGGGACAGCAGTCTTGGCTGCATAGCATGCTGCCGTTCTCGGGTGCGATAAAATTGCAGTGAGAAAGAAACAACATGGCCCAATACCTCTGCGTCTGGGGACGCATATGGAAGTTGCGATTAAAATATTCTGGAGGTATCAGGTGTCCATTGTAAACATCAAGAATATGAACGACGTGTTCCTACGACCATCCGTCATTATGCTTGCGTCGCCAGCCAGCCAGATGACCGACCCTACGTTCCAATCTACAGACAATGTCACCCCCTGAGAGTCATAGTATTTGATTCTAGGATTTCCAACTTTTACCAAATGGATTGTCACAGCTGATATCTGGTTCGGTATCCGAAAAGACTCGCCGGTAAAGACCCATGGTGTGGGTTGCCACCATGATTTGATTTTGTTTGGATCGAGGATTGCAGCGGTGGGGGAACCGGTTTGGATCTGTGAGAAAATCATTACTCGTAGCTCTAGCACTGCAAATGATACGATTTACTAACCTTGTCCAGATAACTTCATCTAAATTCCATTTGCACATCACCGCAACTGCTAGTGAAGTCAACCCTGTTTAGCCAGTTTCTCTTTGGCAGAGATCGTTTTGTCGTGTGTATCGCGGGCGGCCTTCTGAACTAGGCCCAGGAGAGTGGGTGTTGGCTGCGAAGTTATATGAGGCACCTCTCTACCAGCAGACATGGTCAGATTGCACGCCCTGTTCACAGGATTATGACAGATAATTCGATTTAGTTATGCCGTATCGCGTTCGGATTGGTTTGCGTAGATGAGGTCTTCAAATGTGGCAAGCGCGGCACGGATGGGTTCCAATTGACGAAAACCAGCTGAAGACCACGCGATATCACATCAACGGAATTGACCCCCTGGCATCTTGCCCTTTCAAAAAAGCTCACATTACGCCCTTCATGGAGAAGAGATTGGATGGCACCTTCCGTCCTTGCGGAGGAACAGTTCAAACCGGCTGCCAGACTACCGTACGCGCTCAAGTACCGCAACCTCGGCTATCACCCACTATGTAGTACATCCGGGGAGACTCCGAAGGAAAGTGTGGGACGTATTTCGTCTTCCCATTAAATAAATCCCATGCTTATCATTGTGGCCTTGAATTTGAAAAGGGTGTAATGCTGGGTATGTACTGTGTAAGAACAAATTATTGACTCCACAATAAATATACGAATAAAAACATTCGAAAGTTTGAAGTTATTACAGCATTACTCAGGACAACTACGCATGAGCAACCTTCCATCCGCCGGGCATCAAATCCGTAAACACCCTCTCGGGATCATACTTATCCCTAATCCTCTTCAATCTCTCCACATTAGCAGCCGGATACCCCCCAAACACATTCTGGTCCTGATCCGCATCGTTCAAATAATTATACGCCCTCGTAGCATTAATAGCCGCAAGCTGAGCCGTGATATTCGCATTTACCGCAACCACAAATTCCTCAATAAGAGCATTATCCGCAGCATCTCCCCAGCTAAGCGCCTCCTCCACCCAGAAGACAGGCTCTTCGTCAATACCCTGAGGACACCCGATTCCCGAGTTCGAAGCGTTGATGAATTGCGTGGTGATGGCATTCCAAGCTAATCCCACGATGAAACCAGTTTTATTTGCGAGATTGTACGAGGCTATGCCGTCGAAGAAAGTGTCATGTACGATATCCATCGCTTCTCTTGTTGCAGCGTGGGAAACGACGTGGAAGCGTTGCTGGAGACCGTAACTCTCCCCCCCTGATTGAAAGGCTGGGAGCACGGCTTCGGAGAACGCGGCCATAGTGGTGGAAGTGAAGTTTGTCAGGTCACTTCCAGGGAGCAGCCCGCCCTGGAAGTCAGAGAATATGGTGGGCGTGCTGGCGTTGCCATTGTAGAAGAGGATAGCATCGTAACGGGGCCCGATAGCAGGGTCGAAGCCAACTCCGTAACGCACCACGGGGATGATGGTTGCTTTTGGGTCGGAGGAGCCGTTGAGGACGTAGTTAAGGAGGCTGGTGAGGAATTGGTCTTTGGTTGTGCTGCCGAAGCCGTATGAGGGGTTGGCGAGCATGACGGAGGGGCTGTCGAATGTTCGGAGGTCGAAGCTGGTGAGGAGGCAGAAAGAGTTCCCTCCGCCCTGGAGAGCCCAGAAGAGATCGGCGTATTCGCCGTCTGCTGTTACTTTGGCTATTGTTCCGTCTCCTAATACGCACTGCTTACGGGTTAATCTCCGGAGATCATGAATGTACGGTCAAGGAATGCCTTACGTTGAAGGATTTTACGTTGCCGTTGGTCGATGAAAATCCATATTCGTAACTGAAGAATGACATCCCACCCCCAAGGAGATAACCAGGGACTCCGACGGGTGCATAGCGTCCACCCACAACCATTTTCCCTGTCTGCGTCTCGTTCAAGTAGATATATGCGTCACCCCATCTCTTGCCAGGTCCAATAGACAACGTGCTTTGGTCTTCAGACAGTTCCAACGTTTGAAGGTTCGTGCTTGATATCAGGATACCGGTTGAGTTGATGTTAGCTGCATCAGCGATGGGCATGTGCCCGCCTCCTCGCATGGCGAATGGTGTTTTGAGCTTCACGAGGTTCTTGACTGCGCAGGACATTTGCTCGGCATTGGATGGGACGAGGACGCAAGCAGGACCGAGCCAGGCTCCCGCATTCCATGATACTGAAAGAAGTCAATACGGTCAAGTCAGGGACAGAAGTGACTTACCCTCGTTCTCGGCAGTGTAATTGCTGTCAGATGGAAGTATTGTTATAGTTGGGAAGTTCATTTTAAAAAACTCGCAGGTGGCAGCAGGTGAAAACGTATCATTGAACCGCAGACTGGTTGGATAAGTATATGCCAAAGCGCCCGCTGCCATCCCAACGGCGAGAAAGGGGGCATTCTGGAAATTGAAGAACATCTTGATGAGACCAAACAGACGTCGGTGCTTGATAGAGATGAGATAAACTCTGCTGATTCCAGAACCACTCGAGAGCAGCCTCCATTATATACTCATCCTATCCTGCGGACCACCACATGTGGAATGGTACGCATCGTCGCATCGTCATAATTTCTGGAAATTGGTTTGCTGGACCGCAGAAAGCTTCTTTGCACCTGCCAAGTGTCATCACAGCCTATCAGATACTTGATTCGAGCATAGACAAGAAGTCAACAGCGACCGGAGCTCAGGGTCTGAGTGCAAGTTCCCTGCAAACATGTCAGCAGGCGGGCACAGCCCCACATTAGGTTCATGGAAGCCTTGAAGGAGCCCTATACGTCCGATCATGTATCTCGCATGAGGGCAGAGCTGTGAGGTTACGCAATAAAGCCAAGCCTTTTCCCGTCTGCGAATCCGAGATCTGGGTGTGTTCGAACGAGGATGCGAGTTCGAATGAAACAGCTTAAAAAATGAACAGCTCAGAGAAAAGTGGGTAAAATTGGTTCTGCGACCAAGCCACTTGATAGACGCAATCAATCTCGGTCTCTGCTTGGCTGATTCTCCTGAGCGGAGACTTTGTTGATGTCAACAAGTAAATACTTAGGTGAATGCTACACAATAAAGCTGTTCATCGGGCCTGGATACGAATACGGGGTGCAAAAATGCGAGTGCGAGTACGACACGCTGAAACACGGCGATATATCGCCCTAGGAAACGTTGCTCCGACGCTCACCCCATTTCATATGTAAAAGAGGGTGGAAGCATCGGCTTGGACTCCTGTACGTGCAGCTATATGTCGGAGACGGGTGTTGCTACAATGAACGCACGTACACACCCTAAAGCCCCTACGGCAACAGCACAGCGACATATGATCTACGTACAGGCGTCCAAGCCGATACTTCCACCCTCTTACCAATCGAGAACGAGAATGCTATGATCGACGGCCAAATTGTTCAGTCAGGCTGTGGAAGCCAGCCCGTGATCGACCATCGTCCGGGCAATCCGTCTTTGAAGATAAAAGAGAGGCCAGCTCGAGCCTGGGGACGGTGCCTCATCAACATTAACGTGTTACCGGACTCTCTCACCATCTCCTTTATATTTGATGAAGTGCTCGGAAGGAATTCTGCATTGGGGGAGGTTGGGGAGATACTGCTTGACTTTGAGCAAGACTTCATGAGAGAATGTATGATGGGGTCAGTCTGTCTTTTATCAGCAATGCAAGGGCATCTGAATCCATGAGTTGACATTACCATACTTGATAGGATCACTGACTGCCTCCTTCAAAACTGCATATAATTCATCAAAGCCTCAACCACTGCCTCCCCCCGAGTGACATTTGATGTTGTTGCTGGAATGAAAGACTGCTTCTGAGGTTTAGCGACAGCGAGATGTCTAGGCGGCCGCCCCGAAGGTTCACCCACTAGGTACTCTCCCTCTAATTAAATGTAACTGTGGGTCAAAGTGCTGGGGTTTTTTTGTATGGCTTAGAACTATGGCTTATGACTCGTGCTCACCCACCAAAAATCGCAAACGCCCACACACCACACACCACGCCCCTCTCCCTGTGCTTCTATTACTACTTAAAACATTTACTCTCACTTTAATTCTTATATATATATAATATATAGGGCTAGGAGAGAGGGGATAGGGGCGGAGGGGGAGTAAAATGGGGGAGGAGGCATAGGGAGGGCAAGCGAGTTAAAAGTTAAAAGTTAAAAGTGAGCTTTGAGGCATGTGAGTCGCGAGGAAAAGGAAGCCCTATAATTATAGGCTACTTATTGCTAAATTTTAAGGCCACGATCGCTAAATTATAGGCTACAGGTACTAAAATTTAGTGCTTGACTTTTTCGTGGGGTGAGACAGAGATTTTTAGTAAGGTCCCCTCGCCTTGCCCCCATACTCGTCGGCTAATCCTCACCCAGTTTGGGCCGCCTCGCTATGCTCGTCGGTAGCAGCAACTCCGACATACCACCAACTCCGACATTTTTAAATAACTAAGTAGCCATATTAGATATTGTAATAAATTATATATATATATATATATATATAGACCTTAATTAGCTTATTAAGTAGATTTAATATCTAAGCTATATATTGCGTAGTTATAGTACAATTAAATCCCTGAGTAAAAGTCGTAGTGTCGGGCTCGCAAACGGCAATTTTCTCTAAATTGCGGGCGAATCGCACATTGTAAAATTAATTATTAAGCTATACAATGTGCGCAAATTGAGGAATAATATATAGCGCGATTATAGATCTTAATTAGGGCTTCCATTATATAAAAACCTTATAAGCATCTAATGTGTGGTTGCTTTTTAATTTAATTAAATATATGAAAAAAGCGATGTCGGGGTTGCTAGAATGTCGGAGTTGCTGCTACCAGCGAGCTTAGCGAGCTGGCCCAAACACGGTGAGGAATGAATGGCCTGCGAGTAAAGGCGGGCTGTGACCCCCCGTTCACCAATACGAGCGATTCCCCAATCGTAGCGTCCGATTGGGGAACGGGGGTCACAGGGCGACATTAAAAATCGTCCAATTCGCTAAGCGAGGGGGGCACAACCTTGACTCTCGCAATATAAAAGTTCTCGTAATTTCGTATTATATTTAATTATTGAGAAAGTTCTACGAAACTTAGATATGCTTCTTTTTTGCCTCACAAAGCTATTTTAAAGAGTTTTAGGGGTTGCATTGAGATTTGGTGCGATTTTCCAAAGGTAGCAATCCTGGTGTTCCCCGCTTTTCAGCGGATGGACGATTTTTAATGCCGCCCCCCTCTCTTACCCCTATACTTATAGAGAGAGAGAGAGAGAGAGAGAGGAATTAAAGAGAGGGTAAATGTTTTAAGTAGTAATAGAAGCACAGGGAGAGGGGGCATGGTGCATGGTGTGTGGGCGTTTGCGATTTTTGGTGGGGTGAGCACGAGTTGTTCACGCCCGTTCGTCAATACGAGCGGTTTACCAATCGGGCGCTACGATTGGTCAATCGGCCTTCCGATTAATCAATCGTAGCTCCCATTGATTAATAGGAAATGGAATACGATTCGCAAGCCACAGTAGGTCCCGATTGATTAATAAGGGGGCCGATTGATTAATCGGGTAATATTGAGGTCTCGGGAATAGCAAAAGCTTTACTATACATGCCTCCTACTACGTCTAGGCGCTCCTATAGCTACCCTAGCCCTTTTTGGTGCCCTCCCCTCCACTTGATCACCTGATTCTCCTCCTTCTCTAGCTCCATTCTCACGTACTTGCTCCTCAGCTACTCTCTTCTTTGCTCTCTCAGATGCTCTTCCAGCCTTCTGAACTAATGCAATTGAACCACGATTATTCTCCTTTGCTACCGCTTTAGGGAGGGTGATTTTATCCCTCTTATGGGTTGCACCAGTAGTAGGTAAATCAGGATAAGTTGATTGGGAGGTGATTTTATTGAGGGTACTATGCGGCCAGAGAGTAGTAAGCTCGCCATACTTAGTAGCTAAGCAGTAGCCCTATTTTAATTAGCTTTTATTAAAAGTAAGGCTTATAAACCACATACCTTTGGAGTCTTTTCCAGAACTCTTACTGGAATTCTAGCCATTTCCGTACCGAATCTGTATTGCTTTGGGATCTGGAGGGTTGTAATCTCTTGAATATTATATTCAAGAGCTTTGGAATTCGCTCTCTTTACCATATTCTCCTTCTGTTTTCTCATATACTCCGTAACCCTCCTAGTTAGCTCAGATAAAATCATCTCCTCAGCTACTTTCTCCTGTTCTGCTTCCTTATCTACGAAAAAGCTATCCTCTCCATCCTCTCCATTCTCTCTATTCTCTCTATTCTCTCTATTCTCTCTATTCTCTCTATCCTCTCTATCCTCTCCAGAAGCGCTACTCTCAGTAGTACCTTCCATAGGCCCTATGGCCCCTAGGGCCGCACATGTGCAGCGAGTACTCTCCTTATGGTCTAGGAAATCAGTAAGTAGCTTTCGTCCAAACCAGACCTCGTATAGTGTATTTTCCTTAGGAAGAGCTAGTATAGCTGTGATATTAATTACCCATGCGATTAAAGGAAGTAACTATATCTATGATTAGATACCAGTATCCGCTCGTACGGCCCGTAGTCGTTTTTTGAAGATTCGATTAGCCACTTTAATAGAGCCCTGAGATTGAGGGTAATAAGCTCGTCTGCGAATAATCTTTATCCCTCTCTTCTTGCAAATCTCAATTACTTTCCCCTTAAACTCACCCCTATTATTATAGGCTAAAATGGAAATATATCTATTATTATTTAGCCATTTAATAAGCTCGTCCGCAGCTTTGTCTATAGTCTTAGCCTTAAGCCCACGGATCCATATGAACTTGGAAAAGTGGCATTTCAATTACCAGATCCACGTATATTCTCCGTCCCGATTATGCTATAATAGTATTAGTAATAGTAATACTATAGTATTAATGAAGTGTGAATAAAAAGGTTCGGAATTTACGAAAATCGCAGGAATCGCGAAAATCGCAGGAAAAGCTTAAAAACGCACGAAACGTACGAAATGCAGGAAATACAGGAAATACAGGAATATAGGGGTAAATCACATGACTTAAGGGATACTTATACGAAAATCCATTAAATCCAGAACCATACGCTCGCCAGGATAATGAGATTAAATAGGTATAATTCCCTTAGGATTCTTCTGAGCCTTTTCCTTATTATAGTAAGTATAGCAGGTACTTATCTAAGCGTGGTCATTACGGGATAGGCTATACCAAATACGTCTTGCATACTCAAATATAGTATTAAAGGCTATTATATAGGTTATTAGTATAAAAATTAGTAAATTCAAGGGGTACTTACCTATATGCATTAATTTCTTATAAATAGTAGTCAAAACCTCAAAGGTATTATTATAGTAAAGGATATACCGGGCTGGAATAATCTTATTACGGCGGGTATTGTGATATTCCTTATAATATACCTGATTATCCTGAAGCTCGTATAATTGGGATTCGTACTTAATATTAGCCTAGTAGCGCTTCTCTGCTTTTGTTCCACTAGGGAGTAAAGTATCAGGATTTTATAACCACTATCTAATATCTATACGCTTCCTAGTAGTAAGAATTTTCCTACTACCGCCCTTAGCAAGCCTTTGATCCCATATAGCTTCGTCTTTAGCGGACTAATTATTAGTAGGGTCTTTAGTAATAGGGGAGGGCAAAAACTGAGTACCAGAGGAATATACTCCTGGTATAGTAATATTAAAATATTACTCTGCTCAGCCATAGATACGTTAACGAGGTGTATATAGGGCTGGAGATAAACGAAGGATTAAAAGAGACATATTGGAAGTAAGGTAATTAATTAGGAGATATATAGAATCAGTAATTGTATTTGGAAAGTAGGTGCTTGTACTGTGAACTATGTGCTATGAACTGTATCTAGGTAGTAAAAAGGGAGCAGAGGCCCTATACATATCTAGAAGCTCTGGAGAAGTGTCTTTACCCCTATTACATACTGAGAACTAAAGGGTTTCAGCCATTAGTCTTAAGGATATATTATTATATACTGAGAACTAAAGGGTTTCAGCCATTAGTCTTGAGGATATATTATTATATACTGAGAACTAAAGGGTTTCAGCCTCCTCAGCCCCGAAATCCCAATATTACCCGATTAATCAATCGGCCATTCGATTGATTAATCGGCCCCCTTATTGATTAATCGGGACCCACTGTGGCTTGCGAATCGTATTCCATTTCCTATTGATCAATGGGAGCTACGATTGATTAATCGGAAGGCCGATTGACCAATCGTAGCGCCCGATTGGTAAACCGCTCGTATTGACGAACGGGCGTGAACAGAGTCATAAGTCGTAAGTTAAAAGTTCGCCTGGTCTTTTGATCCTTACGGCTTTCCGTAATTGAGGTGCATTCAAAATGCTTCATCTCACTTGTACTTATTCACCACTCATTTAAATCCCTGACTTCCACCTTTCCCGTCTTTCTTGTGCCGCTTCGAGTGCCTTGTAGGTAGTGGCACATGGTGCTTGGGTATCTCGTCAGACTCTTCTCGCGGTGGACGATGCTCATGATGTCGACCGGCCAGAGGCTCGGATTTTTCATCTTCAACCGCACTGTAACGCCTCTTGAATAATTTTGAACCAGGTTCTGCTGTTTTCCTGCGATGCCTTTGCGGTGGCTTTGGGGTATGCACATTGCTGCCTTCGGCAATTCCATGGGAAGACCCCTCGTTGTCCACCAGCACATTTCCAGAATTGCAGATTGCGTTTGCTATGGTCGTACACTCATTCTTGGCGTAATCAAATGCGCTAATATGGTCAGAATTCTCAACTTCTCCTTTTGCTCCATGGTCCAAAAGCATTAAAAAAGCGTCCCTGGCCTCATTTTTCCTGTCCTGGTCGACTTTTCCATATTGATCAACGAGCAAGTGCAGAACCGTGGTATAACGTCGTCGATCACGCAAGTAAATATTTTGATTGGGATTAGCGCCATAATTGAGCATGAGCTCAATTACTTTCTGCCATTCCTGGAGTGGGCGCGCTGACCCGATGCGCAGGAAGTGCTGCAATGTGTGTTCCCAGGTTGTCTTTCTAATTCCGTTGTAATTATAAGACTCGTTGGGCTTTGCTCCGGCCTTGAGCAATATTTCGAACAAATCCAGATCCACTTCCTCGTGAGCCCACCCTGGTGGGTTCATAGCATAAAAGAGGAGAGGGGGTTGCCGTTTCTTCCGGTGCTGGCGCTCTTTTATTTTCTTCTTTACGTAGTATTTCAGCTTCCAGCAAACAGCAAGACACAGCACGTCAGGCTGCGGGATGTCATGTAATGTCCTCCAGATGTAAAATTTGGATGCCCATCGTTGGTCTGCTTTCGTCAAGAAGCGATCGAGTTCATCGATGTAGCATGTACATGTTTCCGCATTCTTGAAGAATTGTTCTAGATTCTCTGCGTAGTTGAAGAATTTGGCGATCAAGTTGTCAGGTGCCCTCCTGCAGATCTCTTCTGTGTATTCTTCTTCGTCGTCCTCGTTCTCGACCTCGCCATCGAGAGTAGGAGTCTGGAGTCGTCCTAAAATTTCGCTCTTGGGGCTTCGAGGGACACCTTTTTCGTGCTGATTATTGTTAATATACTTGACGTCGGTCCAATGGGGGATATAACATTTCTGGGTCTTCAAGAGTAGTAGACAGGATGCCATAAGCAATAAGTCTGCTGTAGGAACAAGTGGCATCCCCCAAGGTTGAATTCTATCTTTGATTCCTTGCTGCACCGAGTCTCTACTGATGTACTCTTTGAATGAAAGGTGTATGAATGTCACGTTCTCTCGCCTGGTCGGTTCCCATCGGCGTGGAGCATTTCTTCTGGTTTGGACTTGGATCAAGTTCCCGCAACGATCTCGAAGATGATCTTTCAAAGAGGCGAGCTTTTCCAAAATCTCTTCTGGAGAAGTTTCGATTAAACCAGGCTCATCAAGATTTTGAAGACACTTCTTTGGGTTCTGGGCTGCCATTAAAAACTGAAGAAGCGTCAGTGTGCACGTTTTTCCAGGTGCTCGAAGGAGGAGCTGAAAGTATTTGAAGGCCGTGTGAAGGTCTCTGCAGGGAATTCGACTAATGATGTGGGCGTAAAGATCTTCCAGTTCCGGTGGGAGGCTTTGTAAACGAACTTCGAGATCTTCCTCATCTTCTGCAGCCTCCAGGCCAGATACAAGATCCGCGACCACCAGCTTGACCCACACAAAGACGCCTTGTGCCTTGTCAACAACGCTTTTAATAAGATTCCTAGTGATGAGTTCATGGCCATGGCTGTCGAGTGATATCGATTTGCTCTTTGTCTTCAATAATTCTTGGCTGACAAAGTTGGTGATGTCCTTTCTGGTGAAGAGGTGAAGTTCCAAGCTCTGGTGGGTGTCGAGACGCTCCCTCATCGCCGGTATGTCCCTACTGGACAGACATATCTTGACCGAAAGGCCGTTTCCTATCATTTTCTGAAGCCAAGATTTCAAGAAATCAAGGTAATTGCCACGTTCTCCTTGACATTCATCAAACCCATCAATAAATAAACACACTTTTTGAGAGACAGAACTCTGCGTCGCCAAACTCATGAGTGCTTCCTTCAAGTTTTCAATAGTCCAAATCGATGTAAGGCTTCCAGGGGCTTTGTGTGGATGGACTTTCTTTCTATACATTGGCCGTATTGTTCGAATGAGTTCAGGGAATAACTGCAATAACTGAAAAAGAATCCCATGTAGAAGTCCAGCGATTGAGCTCTCTTGTCGCGTATCAAGCTCGCTCAATTCGTGAAAGAAGTACTGGCACATTGAATATTGTCCTCCTTGGGAATTTAGATGTTCGTTAGTGCTATTATGCCTGAGGAGGAATTTCATGAGTGTTGATTTGCCTGAGGCTGGCTTCCCAAAAATCCAGAATATGCCAGAGCCAGATTTGAGCCAGGGAACAAAGTTGTGCTTGGCATCGTCCCAGATCCACTGAAAAGAGTTGGGATGGGCCAGAGGGATTGTATCTTGACGCGGGTTGGCCGCGTAGGGCCCAAGGCTTTGACAGATTTCTAAAACTGTTAGACTATTTTTCTTCATAGTGTTTATCTCACCTACCGCTATTAGAAGGGGTACCAAGGTCCAGTCCTAGCACGAAGTCAGAAAGAAGCATTTGGGGTAAAGAAGCTGCGGAGAAGAATGTCTCATTCCAAATCTAGCTAGATACATGACTACTACTAGGAAGAAGGTAGAAAACCACTAAGACCTCAACCTATCAAGCCTTTCTTGTAAGTCTGTAGCATTATTCGGAACGGGATCACTACTCGATGTCTCTGGTAGTGTTAGCTCACCTCGAGCAAGTTGTTCCGAACAACTTGTTACTTTCATTCCAACTTCTGGGTTGTTCAAAAACTTCTCGCTCGCCAGCTTGATTTGAAGAAGTTTGTCTGCTTCCTCCAAACCAATATCGCCAATGCCAGGGATATCAAATCGGAAGTAGCGCTTCGCTCGTGCGGCCTTTCCCCCTTCTCTTCTGATAAATGTATCGGCCTCCCCTTGCGTTCGAGTGGCAAGGCCAACTAGCTGATTTGTGATTGTAAAGAGATGGGGATTGTACTCTTTGTCAGAGGCAATCCCTGTGCCAAGACTAATGAGGAGAGTTTCATCGTCCCTAAACATCTCACTGCCTTCTGCATGCACATGTGATACAGGGTTGTTGTATAGAAGGCCGCCATCAGAATATCTTGTTCCGTCGATAATGAGAGGTTCGTAGAATGTTGTCGCCGCGGATGTAGCCCGGCAGGCCTGCCAGATTTTCATGGTATTTATTCTAAGCAAGTTAATTGAGGTTGCATCAAGAAATCAAACCGGGGGAGGTAACTCACGACTGTGGCGGTTTCTCAAAATTATCGTACGAACGTAAGATGGCAGTTTGATCGCTGATATTTTGGAGGTGAGAGACAACAAAACTGTAAATAGGATGAGCGAAGTCTCCGACTTCATGCAATATACGTTGGACAAGTGGAGCTTACACTTTGCAAGCAGCATCATCCTCTTTCAGCAATGCGTCGGCTGGACTAACTCCAAGGTGCTCTCGAGCCTTGTTAAGGACCTCCATGATTGCCTCCTCAAGGGGTTTTGTTTCGAACTTGGGTCCTAGTCCGGCGAATCCAGCGGCTCGAGCTAAAATGTGCCTTTCCGAAAAGGCTTTCATGGACAGCGTCATGTACGCCTCCTTGCACTCCTGAAGCGACATGTGAAGTCGCCCAAGCATAATTGCAATCAGACTACATGCTGTTAGAATACCAGTAATTACACTCGTTTGGGTTTTTTTACCCGCCTGTACTCGTCCCCCCAATCATATCAAACATTTCCCATGGTTCTTGTGGGGGTAGATTATTCTTGCGTCGTCCCTCGTTCGCGGCACCCATAATCATCTCAAGTACGACAATTGCAGCCAAACCACGAACTCCGCCTCCATCTTTAAAATAGAAAATTAGTTGCTAGTAGAGGCAATGAGCAAGGAGTCCTACCAATAGACAATAGCTTCTTCAAAGCCATATTTTCGATGATCGATTGATAGACCTGAATCAAATTAAAGTGACGTTTGGAGGATGCCTTGATCTTTGCTCAATGTTGGAAACGTTGAGTGGAGATGCTCATATAACTGCAAGGGCTGCAACAGCAGCGTCAGTGTTAATTAAGGCTGGCCCCGGGTTGTGCCTCGAAGAAAGTCTTGAGCCGCACAGCCTTCCGAATCGAGCGCCTTACGGAAACAAATGCGCTAAACCCAGTCCACTCACCGAGGGTGGACAAACCAGACAACGTCCTGGATGACACCCTACTTTGGAATGAGCCTCCACTACCTATGAGGTGTTTCAGCTGCCCCCATTGTCTCAGCGGGCGACGAATTGGCTTGGGAAGCAAGAGCGCCCGCACGGCACACCTGCGTAGAAATTCTTGTTTGTGATTGCATGACACTTGTGGTATTCAAATTGGGAACTTGCACCGTGACGTGCGTCTTTGATAATGATTTGTGTCACACCAAGCTGAAACCCTCTGCAATTGCCCAAAGATACCCATTACAACCCGAACCAATTCTCTGTGTTTGATATGTGGATGGATAATACAACAACAAGTCACACACAGAAACAAGTTTAGTCTAAGGGTGGAGGATCGTACCAAATCCTTTGCTGGGTTATTTTGTCGTCATGGTACCAATTGCCAGTCTCCTGATCCTTGGTCCAAAATTCATTGAACTCGTCAGCCCAGGATGGTTCAGTCTTTGAAATTGAGATCTTTCCCTTGGGCCCCCTTTTTCGTTTCGCTTTCTTCCCCGGTTTCTCGGCCGACGGTACTTGGTCGAAAGTTGTTGCGGGAGGAATGACGCCCTCCTGGGACTCAGGCCGAGTCCCAGGCTCTTGAGGTGAGAGTGATATGGATGAGCCATCATGCGAGATTCTATGACTTGGAGAGTACTCTCTGCTCATGCAAGAAAACAATATTTCGTCAGGAACACTGCTCATATCTTGTTCGGCCACTTGGTTCCCCTGCGAATTAGCAGTGCCGTTGCCCTCTTCTCCGGGCCAGAATAAAACATTCTTGGCAGCTCTGAAGATGTGTGACATTTTTTGAACCTGGTCATGGCGCTCGGATATGTCGTCTCGATTTATGCAAATGGCATCAACCCAGAGAGTTCTGACCTGGCTGCAAAGCCGGAAACCCCGTAGCGCAGCAAAAAGATTTGCAGTCACCGGGAAGTCCAGGTCATCGATTAGCACTCTATGAGGCCGCTCGTTCGAGCCCCAAGTGTATGACAAAGCCTCGTACTCGCAAGAAGGTTGCTGCAACTCCTCTGACAAGAAGGAAAGAGAGAGGGAACAATGTATATCCTCATTGCTCTCCCCAGGCAGCAGACTCAGTAGACGGATGTTGTCATTTCGGGGCAGCGGTTCATATTGATATCTTTTCGCTGTTTCAAGGGAAGGCTTGGTCTCTTCCAGAAGAGGTTGGCTGCTGGCGATCCCAACGGTGTGTTTCTGGGCGACGTGTGAATTCTGTTCGGTCTTCGAGGTAACTGCAAGAACATGCTTGAGTTTGTGGTCGAAGGTTGCATGAATCGACAGAGGTCTGGCTCGCACATAACGAAGTTTGGGAGATTTGGGGCAGTCGGCTGCATCTGTCGACGGTGCACTGTGCTCCCCAGAGTGAACACGTTTGTTACCCTTGAATACCGAACCGTCGGTGACATCAACAGATTCGTCTCGAACAATGGGAGTCTCCTCGAGTCTATCTTCATTGGGTGACTGAAGAGTAACAGTGTGTGTTGTCGTCTCCCCGTCTATTCTACCTAGCATTGACTCCTCTGGACTCATCATCCAACGTGGGTCGTAGATGTTGAGAGCCCGTCGCCTTTTGTGCTTCAGCTTCCGTTCGGGACTGCACCCAAACTGGGCTGCGAGTTGCTTTTTTATTTCCGCCAGCGAAGGCATTCGAGATCTTCCAGCAGGGTCGAAGGTATTTGATCGCTCTACCGGCAACAGAAATTCATCGTTGATACCACCCTGGAACGATTTTGGCGGCTCTCTCCGCGGAAATTCTTTGGATAATATTCCGCTTTGAATGCCATAGTTGAACTGGTTGCTCTCGGATTGGTTGTTGAAGTCATCTTCCCGTCCAAACAGCAAGTCAAAGTCTGCATCGGGTGCGATCCAAAAGACGGTTCGCTGTTCGTATCTGCCCAGGCCTTCACACGCCCAGACCAAGACGCAATCGCCATCATCGCTCGGTTCGTTGGTTTGAACTTGGAGTTGATCTCTAGCAAATCGCCTCGAAATATAGTTGCAAGTGCATGCTTCGTTGTAGAGTGCAAGCGCTTCTACCTCGGGAGGCTGTTGATAATCGGCACCCTTCACGATCCGAACGAGGAAAGCGTACGTGTTCTGGGTCAAATATGAGTGATAAAGGCATTGAATAGTATTGGCGATGCCTGCTGACTGGGTAACTCACGGTATTCTTGCTCTGCTGCCCACTTTTGGCTCTGTCGGGATCTCGAGGTTTGCTCCAGATCCGAGAGAGTTGTCTATACATAGGAACCACCTGCGACACCTGCAGAAGTGATAAGAAGTGCTCAATTGCGTCTCTAGTAAAAATCCGGTTGAATGCATGTAAAATAGTGTATCATCACCAGCGCTTGGTTGCTCCCATTATGTTAAGTCGGTCAGATCCAGCGATTTAGGGCGTTCGGGAGAACAGGCAACAGTAAGGGAGGCGGGACTGCAGGCAGATGATCGAGGCAGACCGTGAGAATGACTACTAAATTGAGACGCTATCCGAGGGGCGTTGCTCCATGCCTAACGCATCACATTCCCTGCGACACTGGAACTGGGTTTAGTCCATGAAACAGCCTCAAAGGACATTGTGGCTTGAACTGACGACTCCTATTTGTCCACTAATGCAGGCGCTTATCAAAAGGATGTGCACACCATATCACCGAGTACTCTCAGCTGAGGGGGGTGACGTGGTGATCAACTTGAGCCGGCGATTGGGCAGAAATCAACCCCCAGACGAATTGCCAACACTTCCAACGAAAACAACCTGTACGCTCGCAAAACTGTTTCGCATTAGCATGTGCGTGATTGTCCAGGAAAGAGGAGCAACCCACGCCGCAGTCGCCGCAAAGATCTCGATCCTTCTTGCTTTTGTCGCCAGTGCTAGAACCAAAGAAAAGAGGAGGGTGAAAACACATACAAGACCAAGCCTGATCCTCGTGCTCTGGATAACATACAGTACGATGATCGAAATCATCGGTGTCAATGATGATGCAACCGTGCCAATAATGTTAATGACCCCATTGACGTGTTCATCGGAATAGTAATACAAGGAGCTTCTATTTTCAGGTCCTAGTTGGATTTCCGGGTCGAGGGGAACAGGTTTCTGCATATAATAATAAGTCAGTGACTTGGAGCATTACTTCTGGAGTTGAATATTTCACGGACTTTGTACCGCTGCCAAAAGGTGTGAAAAAGCCGCAGAAGTGGGCCAGAGATGAAACTAGTCAGCATATCATCTTCCCCAAGCTCTTCAGAAAGCATGACGAGGTCGCCAACATGTTTGGGGTCGTACGCGGCCTCCTGTGCAAAGCCACCAAGGTCCCGCCCTAGGAATCCGCAGCCTCCCCCAAGGTGAGGACTTTCGATCCATTCACGGAGTGATTTGACCTGAGAATCCTTAGGCCGCTTCATCAGGGAAATCTCGTTGTATTGATGTAATGAGGTGTCTAGCGAATTAGAAAGTCAGACCTAAATTGCTTGATAACTCACAATACTCCCGCAGTTTCGTTCTGATTTGGAGAGCCAATGCCCATTGCTCTCCCTCAAACCCACGAGCCTCCGATTGACTGAGGTGCCACCATTCGAAAGCATATAGATGCCTCTCGTCGTCGTCTCCAGACTCTCTGTCAGCTTTCGCGACTCTTTGATATTCGGATTCTAGGTGAACAAGCTCGGCCTGTAGATATAGAAGATCTCTGGCGGCCTCCAGGCCTCCGACTCAGCATTGCTCAAGCTCGAAATCTTCAGCTCAGAGGTTACACTTACTGCCTCCTGAAATTGGCGGAAAACTGGGTAATTCTTCGTCGCCATAAACTTTGAAAGCTTGATGTATCCCATTGTAGAAGCTAGGGTCCAGTTACGAAGGCTCCAGAGAACTCCTACACCAGTTTAGGGGAACAAGAGAGCCCATAAGTTGTGGATAACCAGTAATCATCTGCAAAGACGAACTGAGATCAGCTCCTATGGTGATTCGTTTGGACTGATGCGTTGGACATCACCCCCAAGTGGGTTAGTGGCTGAAAAGAAACGAATCGCGAGGAGGAGAAGCTCGCCGCAGACCCCGACCACGGATGAACAAGTTCAAAAGCCTCGTACTCTCGTTTGCAACCGACTCCTGCTCAACAACAACACAGCGCTTTCATTCCCACAACCACATCAATAAATTATGAGCCCTCCTGAATATTCCAGACCCCTTCATTTCGTCTCGTACTTTGACTCCTGACAGCCAGGCAGCTCATTACCTATTCGGTGAGTGGCCAGAGAGCTGGATTCCCCGATGACGGCCGGAATGGAAACTTACAAAGATTCAAGATCATAGAGTCATTACATCCCATCACATCCCATCGCATCCCATATCATACCCACTCCTCCTGTCGACATGGCACGTTCACGAGATATAAACGAGAGAAAGAGAAAACCGAAAGAGGACGATGACGGGTCCAGCGATAGCGGTGACGACGGATTCGCCCATATAACTCCAACAGCCAGTACCCACGATCTCCCTAAATCCCCTCCAACCACTACCTTGCCAGTCGAATTTACCATTAGCAACAGTCGACCTCGTCGATCGACGGCCAAGTACACTGTTGACAATAACTCCCGCCATCGAGGCAAGCGCAGACAGACTGAGCGCAGACAGACCGAGCCGGCTGATCTCAAATCATCAAGACGACGTTGTTTGCAGTCGCCTGCTCTTGTGCATAACTTGCCTGCACAGACACCAGAGGTCCAACAATTAGTTAACGGCGAGACAACGATAGACGAATTGCATGTTGAGCATCCAGGTCGTAACAGTTCCTTATCTGTTGCCAACCTCGCACGACAACTGACACTGCCAATCTTTGAAGGTTCCCGTCTCATAGCTGGTGTAGTCAACAGTGTCATCCAGCATTGGAGACAACCCGACGACGGGAACGATGCTCGCCCAATTGGCGAAATTGAGCTGCCGATGACTGAGGCAGCCATAACGATACCGCCAGCTGTGGGCCGTGAGGATGGAACGGTAACACCTTATTCGAACACGAGTGGCCTTTGGGAAACGGAAAGTCCTGCTGAAGGAACGAATGAGGTGGCATCTCTCAAGGAAGGTATGAGCTCGAGTTATGTTAAATGCGAGGGCACTGTCGACAGCGCAGAAATCTATGATTCGCCGAGTGATGAAGAAAGTCAGGCATGGGACAGCGAATCCACACAATCTAATACCGAGACCACAATGGTACCATGGACACCCCCGAAAGAAGCTCGTGCACCGCCAATCCATGGTTATCCCAGAGCGAACATACCATACCAAAGAGACATTCCACCCCCAAATGCAATACGTCCTGATGATTCGGCCTTAGTCTGGGATCGGCGGGGTGACGTGAGCACTGCCCGGGTCCTTTTCGACTCAGGAGCAGAGCTCAACTTCGCTTCACGCGAGAAGGTCGAGGCCCTCCACTTCTCCCCACTACCCCTCAACGAAAATGATATGGAAATATGCGAAACGCTTGGTGGTCATGAAGGTTTGGCCACCCACTACGTCTCAATGGATATTGAAATCAAGACTCTCAATCTGGAACGCCACTCGGTATCCTTCTTCGTTGTAGACTCAAACCGGATCGAAATTATTCTGGGTCAGAATTATATGGGAAGCAGGGGAATCTGGGAGAAAAAGGTAGAAAAGAAGGGTTCGATGAGAGCCTATGCCACTTTCTCAAAGAAGCCCACTCCAGGTAAGAATCCCCTTCCTGTCCACTGTGGGAAACTCGCTGACTCGTTGTCTTGCAGAGCAGAGAAAGTCCATGCTAGAAGAGAAAGCGCGCTTAGCAAAGAAAGCACAAATGGTCGAAGCAACTGTTCGAGGAGAGGGTACCGCAGCGACAAGTGTCGGAAAGCCGACCTCCCGGGCGAACTCAACCAGTTCAACAGGAAGTACTTTGAGCGTTCAAACGACTGTGGAAATAAACTCATCTATCGGGTTGTCCATGCCAAAACTTCAGGACCGCTCATTTCCCAATCGCAGACTGGAATCGGTGACCGAGTCTACTGGAACCTCTATGTCGGACAGTTCATCCTGGCGAACTTCGTTCGATTCTTCGCAGGATCAGGGAAGCTTCTGTGTCAGCCCCGCAACGACTTTCAGCTCGAAATCAACTGCAAGCTCGAGCTTTGGCAACAATTCGGTGATAAGACTGCCTGAGAGGGTCAAGTTCAAGCGACCCGGGAAGGAGAACGGTAAAGAAATACCGTTTATATAAGAGCTAGGGAAGTGAAGGTGTGGTGTCATGGTATGTTGTCGTCACCCCACCCCACTTTTCGTTTGGTTAAGGCGGTTGAAACCCTGGAGACACGCGCCACGATCCATACTAACTGCCTCCAGTAAAGTCAGTTTCCCTTTGTTGATGCGAATCATTCACGACCCGACAAAAATACGCGAAATAATGGAGGACCAAAATAACGCCGCTTCATGGAGCAGGAATCGTCTCTGCGTGAAGGTATCTCGAATTCGCTTGTCCCTTGTATCGATTTCGAAGGTCTCACCGCGCATGCGAGGAGGAGGTGTCGATTTAATACCCATCTTTGTGTACGAATACCTCTTGCAGCCTGGGGATGTGGCCACGCCTAATTGCCTCCACATCACCCCCCCATACCTGCAAAACGCGAGATCCTATAGAGAACTAGAGAGTATGTGATGGTGGGGTACGAGGGACGACAAAAGTGATGAAATTATTTTGGGTCCATACTGGCACAGTCGTGTACTTGTGCTCTTTGAAAGCATTGGGGCGTCCTGGCATTTGATAGCATTTTATGCGTGACGGCGCGTTGCATGTAAGACCATGATTCCGATTGGTTTTGGCTTGTCTGAGACTGGGACTTGTGGGATAGAGAGGTAAACCTCGAAAGAAAAAAAAACGAGTCTTCTGCAATCTAATTGACTGTTCTACGAGAGAAAATGTGATGCTGGAAGGATGCAGGGATGCGTGCTGACTCTTTCTGCATGATTCCGTATGACTGATGATCCCCGGTGCCTGGCAACGGCAAACGGCAAGCGGCGGACGGCAAGCGGCGGGGGGCGGGGGGGCGGGGTTTATTTGAGGTGCGTGTACTTCATAGAAACTTTTATTTAGAAGATTCTATCATAGACGTCAGCAACAGAAGTAGTCATCCCGGGCAGCATGACTTTCCAAGCAAAAATATATATTATTTTATCTTCGCTGATGTCGTCAAGTCGAGGGGAGCAAAATTCGTGATGGGCGCAAACAAGCGAGAATCAAGAACACTAAAAAGACCCTCTTTTGATTTAAACACTCGGCGATGCCAACGCTACTGAACAGTTTTAAATTTAGCACTAGCAATTCAAATTACTAGCCCTTTCTTACCACCAAATTTTTTGTTGCGAAATAACTTGTGGTTGTTGAGAAATCTTTGATCAAAGTGTGGGGGATTCGTGACCTCGACTGTTTGTGCCCATCACGAATGTTGCTCGCCTCATCCCGCTGTTGCTTAGAAATCCCCAGGCGAGCAGGCCAATTTTCAGGGATTAGTGATGCGCGAGGAAGAATCGGGGAAGGAAAAGACGTTACCATCACATTGATGCAGGCTTCCGCAAAAAACTATGACGGAAGAAGTTATATAAGCTCTTTGTGGGTATCGGATAAAGGAACATCGAAGAAGTTTTGAATTCAGGACTAATGTTCGGCAACCTAGAGTTCATGATTCGAACCATACAAGCCCCCCTATACTATTTTCAACGGTAAACATGTTCCTCGACTTCTTGGAGTCGCGAGATATCCGGCCTGGCTGCTGCGTCCAACATCTACGGGACTTAAAAATGGAGCTTCTAATTTGATAGAAATGGCGGCACGACCGGAAACCCACGATACGTCGGATTCGGAAGCCGCGGTAATAAATTTATTCTCTCCTGTTGCCCAACTTGGATCTTTCGGATTGTCGGAAGCAAGGGAGACGCCACGCTACAATTGTCAACTTTACAGAATGAACTATGAGGGCATTCATGCCACATAAAAGGGTCTACTGGTGAGAAGTGCATGAAACAAGTGTTGGGTGCCTTAGGCTACCGGGTACGCTGCAACAAGTATCTGGTGGTATTTCGTTCATGCTTAGTCATAACAGCATAGCCTGAACAACCATTGGCCGGGTCTCATCGCGGTACCTCCGTAGCGAGCCGCACCTACAGCACCACCAAGAGAGCCCGCAAGTATTATTCGCGGTCAACTTGCACAGATTTTTGGCCCAAGTGAAGCGGCGCACCACATTTCATCCCTGCAATGGATAAGAAGGAATACGAATACATCGACCTGGCCTCCCACAGGCAAGAAATGCGCTTGGTACATCTTCTCCCAGGCGCATGGCAAGACAGGGTATCATGCACCCTTGAAGTAGTAACCCTGAACGACAAGCCGAGATATGAAACCCTGAGCTACGTTTGGGGAGATACAACAGGAACATCGCCAATTTTTCTTGAAGGTTGCTCATTCCCGGTAACACACAACCTCCAATCCGCTTTGCGCCGCCTCCGACACACCAATGAAGAACGGGTAATGTGGGTGGATCAGTTATGTATCAACCAGTTGAACGACAATGAAAAGACGCAGCAAGTCATGCTCATGCCAGCGATATACAGTAATTGTCAGGAAGCCTTTTGTTGGCTGGCAGAGCTGGATGCTAGGGATAAGGAGTTTGTGGTTGGAGAGCGGGAACCTGAACCTGAACCTGGGTATGAATTTTCTGAGTTTTCTGAGTTTTCTCCTTGAGAGTGCCCCATCTGACTTCCAAAAAGCAGGCACTATGGAGGTGGCACCATAAAATCAGCTTTTAATCTTTTGAGCCTCATAGCCAGTGGAGATCACATGTCCGAGCTCTCTTGCTTCCAATTTACGAAACCCTCATCACTTCATATCAAACCTGACTTTGCTCCCGCCTTCCAGGGGCTTCGAAGAATTGTGGAACAACCATACTGGGATAGAATTTGGACCATCCAAGAGCAGATCCTACCTCCAAAAGCAACAATAACTTTCGGACCCTACACACTTCCTTTAGAAGTTCTCATCGCAGCTGGAGAAAGCATCCTTCTTCATCACTGGCAGACATGCTGTGCGCTCGCGGTAGATTCCCTCGGACTGGAGGAACGAGTAACACTCCAGCAGGTTTTTTTCAAGACCACAATCATGGGTAACATCTTAAGTGGATACAACAAATCCCAGAACATCCTCATCGAGGTTTTGCAGACCGCCCGAAATAAAAATGCTACAGATAGTAGGGACAAGGTCTTCGGGGTCCTGGGATTGGTAAATAATTGGCTTACGACAACGCCGATATTGCCGGATTATACACTCACCGATATCGAGGTGTTCGCCCAAGTTACAGTGAACTGGATCACAAATAGGAGAGATTTGTTCATCCTGACAGGGAATATGTTGCGTCGGCCTCATATTCCTTCCTGGATTCAAGACTGGGCACCAGCGGCAACATTTGAGGGGACAGAGTACCACCATGAAACAGGTTGGAACGCGCTGTATTGGAAATACAGCGCATCTCTTACAAAAGGAGCACGGTCGAAACTACTTTCAAATTCCGAGTTGCAACTAGAAGGGATCTTCGTGGACAAAGTGTCAAGAGTTGCATTGCAAATGGTGACAAATGACTGGAATGATGCCAAGTTCTTCATAGACTCTTGGGAAGAGTTTGTCGATATCTCCAATAACTCGGAGAGGGAGTATGTTGGAGGAGGAAAGTTTTATGATGCATTCTGGCGCACTCTCGCGGGAAATCTCTTCTGGACTGGAGTCAAGACAAGCAATCTTATTGATGCTTACCGCAAAGCTGTTCCTGAAGATCGACGGGTTTTTGGTCTTCTAAGGGAGCAGATCAGACTTGCGAAACCTCAGCAACATGTTCTGTCGGATGAGACTGCTGGCTTCGAGAAAGTCCTTCCTGTCACGGCTAGATATCGAACACTGTTCGTCACGCAGAAAGGGTATCTTGGTATTGGTACTACAGGTATTAAGGAAGGAGATGATGTTTATATCTTCTATGGTGGGAATATTCCTTTCATTACTCGGTCCAAGGAGGAGACAGGTGATCTGTGCTCAACAGAGACGACTCACAAGCGATGTGAATTGATTGGTGACTGCTATCTTCACGGGGTTATGGAGGGAGAGTTGATGAAGGAGCCAGAAGAAGATACGGATTCAGTCATCTTGTGTTAAAGTAGGAGAGTGACGATGTTTAATGGAATTAAAATTGGTTATACCACCGTGCCGATTGTATTGCAAAGAAGCTGCCGGCTTTCTTATCCTTTCTTCCGGATTTAGAGACGACCCCTTTTTTGCGTAAGGCAAGGAAAAGGTGACTCTCGAGGTAGACTTCGAGCACACTCAAGACCGCGAAGGAGAGCACAAACGAACTTACTTGACTACTAATATGAGGCAGGTAGAGACTGTAAGTTGCAATAATGCAAACTAGCTAGGCGAAGGTTAAATTCCAGAACGATCAACGAGCGGCGTGGTCTCCTACATGAGATAGGAAAGAAAACAAATAAAGAAGTGAGTGAGAGCTTTAGTCTCGAAAGACTATAGAAATCTCATAATCGTCACTACGGCTAATGACTTCCTTGCCACCGCTGTGAAGAAGAATTGTCTGATCGAGACTCGAGAGTAGTCCCTGATCCCTCTTGTAACGTCAAATGGAGACTCACATGTTCAAATTGTGCCGTATACGAACCCCCCACATCCGCAAGCGGCTCATGAGACTCCATAATCCCATTATCCAGTATATTTCTCATCTACACTTTACAATTAGTGCTTGCAAAATGAAGGATGGGGTGATGGGTGTTGAATTGATGGTACAGTACACTAGCTTGGCTGGCTTACCATTCCTTCCAGCACCGGGTTTAATTACTAATTTAGTCTTTTCTACTCTCACTTGTAATGCGTTACTTGCAGAGCTTACTAAACGTTCACTAATATATAGTTGTTTGCTTTATTAGCTGTTTTATAATATATCGGAGAACACGTGCTTGGAATACCCATATCACCAAAGGCTAAGGGGGATAAGAACGAGGCTTTGGACTCCTTTCCCTCTCTTTTTACACTTCACTCCGCCCGTATTTTAGTCATGTAGGCCTTGTCAACCATCAATATTATCGTCTTTGGACCTCCATATTGCTCCCATTTCAATAAATACGCTACATCATATGCGCTGCCATCACGAAGGCCACTCCTGCTGCACACCTTTCCGCCACAATCCGTGGATCGGAAACGCACCATGGAGAGCACGGGGAAGCGTGCTTGCCCAAGTCGCACCGGAAGTTACAATTTCGAATTGTGTTAGGAGTTTGGCTGTTTGTATATGTCAGATCAACACCGGAACAAAGACGCTCAACTTTGCCGATTTCGTCTTGATGTTGAAGAAGTTTCAAGCGCTTGAGCAGTTGATGATTGTACCGTCAAATCTTGAGGGTCGTATACTCCAAGCAGATTGGCCAGGGTACAATCTGATAGGACCAACTGAGAAGGGACGGTGGGAACACAACGGAAGCGGTTGGTGGTTTGTTGAAGGCCCCCACAGCTAGAAACTTGATGTGTGGCTACACCCAAATCATGGAGTGCCTCAAGACGGTCTTAGATAAATTCATTTAGAAGGTGAGAAGTGTGTGGAAAGGGCCGCGGATCAAGTTTATTCTTGTCAACCAAGGACAATGACCTGGGAACAAGAAGGGGGGGTACTATCAGAGCGATGAGCTGCTCTCAACGTTGTCGACTTGGTTCGAGTTACCCGCCTATGCATAGCGCTCAACGGTGCAATAAAGGGCTCATTACCGGTGTTCGAAGTCAAAGTCGGGCATTTGTCTAGGCTCGGAGAAGTAGGAATATTCTCATCAGAATTCCTGACACAGTCGGAGAGGGAAATTTTGATTCTACCACAAGTCAAGGGAACATTTGAGGGAGGTCTCTTTAGAATGTCCCCTCTCGACTTGAAACATTGAGACTTCAAAGACGCATTTTTGTGTACCTCACAAAGCAGTTTACGATCCCTTCATTTTGCGGCTCGCCAACCTGAACCACTTCCCGAAGGGCACACTTCTCAAATATACCAACCACATCACCAACCCAATTGCGCACAACGGGAAAGTAGACACCCCAAATAAGAAATACTAACTCCAATTGCTGTTACCTGCTTCCATTGGTCAGAAGAGACGACATCAAGTAAGACGATCGAGGGGTCATTTCTTCTCAAGCTAGCATTTATACGTCGGGTTGAAATTCATCCCAAGTCATGTTTCTTGGGAATAAAGTTTATAGAATTTTGCAAATTAGATAACTGCTAAGCCTCTCTTCAGCCAGTGAGCCTCCCATTTCTATGCCCACGGAGCAGACAAGAAGGCCGAAGAAGATTGGAAGGTGCGGCAATTAAGAAGCGCCACCACTGAGTGCATATCGATTGCCTCCAGTTAGCTTCGCGGCCGACAATGTTTCGAAAGTTGTGGATTGACGCGCAACAAACTACGTAAGCGCTTACTGTACTCATCGGTCGTCAGCTCTAGGTCAAGGCTTTCAGCCTACACCGTTTCCAAGTCTACTCGGGTATCACCGAAGAGACAGTTTGACGACATTGAGAAAGATATACTAGCTGTAAGAATTCTTAGATATTAATATATCTTAAAGCGTTTGACCATGTTTTCTTGGGGGTGTCGGTTATATTTACAACAAAATCGGTCTTCTGTATAGTAAAGTCTCGAAGTTTCTCAGTGGCGGAACTAAGGTCGGAGTGAATCCCTATCTCCTTGATATTGCCGCTTGCTGCCGAAGTTGTCATCAATCTTAAAATAAAAGCGTAGAGCTTGCTCCTTCTAGCTTACGAAATGTCCAGTCGCTGACATTCTCGTAAATTGCGGGCCGATACCACAGCGCATCCGCGGACAACGCAGAACTTTATTTTCCATGGCCTTACGTAATAACGTATACGGGGCCAATGAAGGAGTAGAAGTCACGTGCGTGTGAGATTTAAATGTGGCTTAGTCTGACTTTGGTAAGTACTTTGATTTGTGGTGGCGGGGTTGCTCCAGATAAGGGGTTCGCGTAACCTTAGCATAAAACCTAAATGGGAAATTCAATTCGACGATCTTGGTCTTCGCTGCCATCCCAAAGTCGACAAGTCCTTTTGTCTCTCTCGCCAAATGGACAATACAAGAAATTGATAAAAAACCGATTCCACACAGTCATTACCAGCATTTATTGCCTGAAAATCGCCGCAGGGCTGAAGCTGGATGCTGTTTGATGCCCCCTAGATGTGGATACCCGGCTCGGCTTCTTAACGCCGACCCTCCGCAAGGTCACCGCCTGTATCGACGAGTTAGCGGTACAACAGTGAAAGTTCGGGAATGCCACATCTTCGCAAAATCTTGCATAAGCTGATACCAAGGCCAAATAAATAGAAGAGCAGATCCCCTATCTGTTCCCAACTTCCTCTCTTCATTCCGAAGAACATTCCCAGCTGCACTACATCTCCACAGATTATCTCCACAATGACAGGAACAACCATCACAATGAACGGCTTGGCAAAGAAGGGTGGAATAGCGAAAGCCAAGAAGTTTGATTTTAAGCCAGTTAACTATGCGGAATTCGCTGAGAAGGGCATGGCGATATACCGTGCACCTTCCCTACTTCAACCCCACAGAGTACGTCCTCGATTTTCTTCCAAAATACAAGTAGTTAAGATGGTACAAGCAATTTGGATCAAGTAAAACTAATACCGACAGGCTCGCGAAGCTCTCCTTGATGCTCACGAGGGTAGAATCCCCCCTCTTCTTGGCTACTACTTGGGACTGTCCTCACCTCCTCTTGCGAAAGTCGTCGCACAACTGGGATACGACGTCGTGTGGATTGATTGGGAGCATGCTTCCACCAATGTTGAGACCATGACACAGGTGAATAAGACAAGACTGGGTGAAATGCAATCAGGAGTTCTAATGAAACCTTAGATGGTGCATGACATCCAATTTGTCAGTGAGGGAAAGAGCCATGCGGTCGTTCGGTACGGAGTTGTCCAATTCTAGATAAAAAAGAATTCCATTAATACGCAACAGTGTCCCTGGCCACGACCACGCAGCCATCGGCTTCGCTCTGGACGCCGGAGCTTCCATCGTCTGCCCCCAGGTCGACACAGTCGAGCAAGCCCAGCACATTGTCTCCGCCGCAAAGTACGGCGCCATCCGAAATGGTACTCGCTCAGCACCTCCCGCCCGCCTGATACCCGGCCTCTCAGACACCCCCCTCGACCCATCCAAGACCCTCCACGAATGCGTCAACGACCAGGCAGCTATCATAATCCAAATTGAGACCTTGGAAGGTATCAAGAACCTCGACGCCATCCTGACCGAATGTGGCGAGTACATCGACAGCGTCTGGCTGGGCTCGCTCGATGCCAGAATCAGCATGGGTTTCGCTGGAATTGGCGGGATGGAACCCGAGTGGTTGGAGGCCGTTGCACTGTTCGAAAGCACCCTTACCAAGCATCATCAAGCTGCCTCCGGCTTTGCGCTTGGTACCCCGGAGGCGAAGGCTATGTTGTCGAGGGGCAAGAGCTTCTTGATGGTTGCTGCAGATTTCTTTAGCATTGTGGGAACCGGGCTGGCAGATTTGGCGAGCTCGAGGAAGGATTACAAGCAGCAAAACTTTAATGGAGTTTACAAGAGGATTGATGTCTAATTTTGGCTTCGAGGAGTTTGGAGAATTAGACGTTAAATATAAAATTCAGGAGTTTTTGGGTATTACCCTCCAATTTTCTCTCAGTTGTGCTTCGAAACAAGTTCGTGAGTTTTCTGTTTCTCTTGCTCAGACAAGAGTCATCTCAGCTCACCTGGCATTGCATCACGTGATACTACTTCTACTTCCACAGGTTCATGTTTTTGCTGACTGACGCCTTGGTTCCTTGTCAACAGAAATGACGTTCTTCTTGAATTTACCAGACGACTTTTGGCTTATGCTTTGCTAACTGTAAATGGGCCATTGAAGTCGGAGAAACCCCAAGCCAATATCGCAGAACCCCCACTACCCCTCTCCCCATCCTTGCATTCTAAATCGTAGAACGGCAACCCCGCAATCCACCAAACAGTTTCCGCATAAAATACTCGACAACAGACCCTTCTGATCTCGAATTCCCACTAACGGCACACAAATTCCGAAAAAGCAACTCCAACATTCCTGTCCAATTTCTCTTTGTAGTCTTCTCGTCAAAATCACAGTGAACAAACATTCGTCGTCCTGCATTTATTACCATCAGCCCATATCAAGCAAGCATATGTCAGAGGCAAACATGTTACCCAGTATAAAAACTATAGGCTTCGTAGGCCTAGGGAACGCCGGCTACCATCTCGCCGCCAACCTGCCACGAACTGGCTTTAATCTCGTAGTTCGAGACGCAGATCCTTCTCGCACCAAAAAATTTGTAGACGAGAATCAGAAGTCCACCATGGCAGGTGAAAGTAATGGAGATGCATGGAAAGAAGTGGATGCACTGATCACAATGCTGCCCAACGGTGAGATCGTCCGCGACGTGCTGTTGGGTGAGGCTGGAATTGCGAGACATTTGAGACTAGGTAAGATTCACCACTTCAAAACAAGAACTCCTGAGAAAAAAGGATAAAGAGGAAAGATTTGGATCCGAGTTGATCTTGAGCCAGGAACTGTCGTTGTGGATATGTCCTCCTCGTCACCCTTCGACACCCGTTCTCTCAACGAGGAACTTAAAGCCATCGGGCTACCCCTCATCGACGCGCCGATCACACAAACTCATCTCCACGCTATTCGCACAGGCGATGCTACCTTCATGTTGGGCTGCGATTCACCCGAAGCAATAGATCGGGCCATGCCCTTGTTCGAAGCCATGGGAAAGTATATATTTCCCATGGGTAGTTCCGGCTCTGGGCATGCGATGAAGACTCTAAACAACTATGTTTCGGTGGGGAGCATCATCGCGTTGTGCGATAGCTTGGTTGCGGGGCAGAAATTCGGGCTCGATCCGGCGACTATGATTGATGTGCTAAATGTTGGGACGGGGAGGAACTTCTCGACGGCGTACTCGATGCGGGACGAGGTATGCTTGTTTTCCCCTGTTGAGAGATTGGCGACCTCGGGAAGCTGATTGGAGAGAAGGGACTTACGAGGAGGTATCAATCGGGGTATCAACTTGCACTGCTGATCAAGGATATGAAAATCACGAGAGATGTGATCTCGTCGACGGGCTTTGAGACGGATCTACCGCAATTGGCAATCGGATATCTTGAAGATGCACTTGTGGGCTTGAAAGGTGACGCTGATCATACGGAGTGCTTGAAGGGGTGGGAAAAGAGAGCTGGAGTCGAGTTGAGAAAAAGTGGACAGCCGACAGAGAAGATTGTGGAGGAGGAGAGAGGGTTTAATTGAAGTTACTCTCTCTCTCTCTCTCTTTCCAAAACCCCCAATTAACGTTCGTTTCTCTTTCTCCGGTTCAAGAGCTCTCGTTTGCTGTCGAATTGATTCCTTAGTTCCAGAGCTCTTTGCTACATTGCGATGCTTCATCGTTGGGATAAAAACTATGCGCACGGCTCCTTTTCTCCACCTATTGCTGTAAACTTTTCTTAGTACAATTTTCTGCTTGGTCACCTACAATTCTCTTACTAATCCTGCGAAATCGTCGCAAAACGGAAGTTTGTTCTTGCTCTCTCGGCTGTAGATCTCCCTGGAATCAAACCTGTAAACGGAGCATATTGCGCGATGTAAAATCAGCTCGATCTCATCAGACACTCTCTATTTTCCATCTCTCTGAGAAATCTTCTGATTTTCCACATTCTTGATAGCTTCCCGAACCACCTCCAATATTGATGGTTACGAGTCACGTGACTCAGTCGCCAAAAAAAAAAGGGGGGAACTAGGACCACAGCATTATCCCCGACACCATGCATAACCACGCCCGGAAAAGTGAAATCAACCTCGCAAGAAGCCCAGGCTCGTCATCTGCAAATATAGACCACGGATCAATGGGCCGAGACTCGCGGGTCTCTGGAAAATGAGGCTGGTCCTGCCGGCGCGTAATGGTTGGCTAAGATGCACATTGCTTGCCTGCGAGGCAGTTAAGGCAAACGGTTCGCATATTTGCAAACCGGGCGTGGCCATGCAAAGCAAGTGAGGCGAGCGTGATCAGGAATTCTGCTGCACCAGTCCTGCAGATCCTGATGACGCAAATGTGACAATTTTTCTGGGTTCTGGGCCTGGGTGGTCGCCTTGCTGGATCTTGTGGTTTTCGTTCATTGCGGTGGAAGAAAGAATGACCTTACTTAAGCCATGAACCTCCCCAAGCAAGATGAGGCACTCCCACGGGATCTTGAGGTGTGGGGGCTCTACTTTGAGATTTCAGGAGAGGTAACCCCTTTTCTTTTTCCGGGGGAACTTTTTCTCCTTCCGTCCTGGAACTTTGAGATCGTGAGGGTGTGTAGCCCCCTGGGCTCGGTACAGGTAACCATCCATCACATGGCGTCCGCGCCCATCTTATAGACATGGATTAACCCTCTTTAAACGTGGTAACGGGTATTCAGAGGCCACACATGTACAGCACATGTCTCTCGGGAGAAAGATAAGGGCGAGGCTATGAGTGATAGGATTGGAAGAGCTGGAGGATCAAGCTCGGCAAAGCAAAAGCCTCTCCGGAAAATTTCGGTGGCCACCTCTCGTCGCCCCGAATATCCTTTGGCTATTGAACTGAGAGAGAATCCGTGATGGCCAGAGTAACAGAATCAATCAAATGACGACACCTGTGACTGTTACCGTGACCGTGAGTGTGTGACGAGGATTGTTCGCCCCGTGATATATCACCCAATCAAGCATACTTGATCGTAGTGATACCAGTCATTGAAACTGCCCCACATAGGCTTTGGGCCCCGACCCCCAGACCATATATACTGATAGCCCGCCCAAAGGGGTGGCCATCGTTCTGGCCTCCTCGGATCAAATTACCAAAGCTGGCGGATAGCGATGACGAAGTTGGAACACTGGATGAACTCACGCCCCGCCCATCCTGCGCCCTCTTCAGAAACAGCATGTCTCCTAGCGGCGACGATCCAAATCCGTGGTACTTTGGGAACGAAATGACGATAAACGGGTGTCAAGGCTGGAGATCCTCGGCTTCAGCCTCGCCGGCCAACGACAGCACCAAACCGGGCAAGCCGCGTACAAGTGACAGGCAGCCAGTCCCCGAGGATCCAAACGCCACAACGGGCACCAACTGGTGAGTGATCGCCCAGCCTGTCTTTGGAACGTTGATCTGACTCTCCCAGTCACGCACCAACGCGAAAACATAGAAAAAGCTCGGGGGCCCCAACCGACACTCGGAACACTTCCCAAGGTCTGAGAGCGGAGACACTCGATAATGGGCAGTATATGTGGTGCAACGGATCTTCCCCCCAGGCGCCCTCTTCGGAATCGTCACGTGGATACTTGGGGGGAAGTGTCTCTGGACAAGTCATCCGAGGGGAAAACGTTCCCCGCTCATGCCCTCGGCTCGATAATACTCTACTGGCAGAGTATTATTCAAGCAGAACCTCTTGCTTGCCTGACGTGCGAACCCAGGAACAAGATTTGACATCAGGGAGCAACCCGGAAAACGTGACTTCTCACCAAGGAACCAATAATTCGCCAGGATCAATGGATCAACAAGGACCGAATGTACAACGTAGATTGCCCAAACAACAGAACGCACCGGACATGAAAGACCCCGCTGCGGAATATCGACAGCTCGATATAGATCAGGACCCGGAAGAAAATGCTGACGCCGACAAAGAACTGGCCTAGGACCCGAAGCGCACGGAAAAATTTGTCGTGAGAACTGGGTCAGAGACATGTTTCTGCTCTCTAAGGTTCCTCGATCAACAGGATGAAAACATTCATTTCGATGTATGAATTTTGGATGGATTATTTGTAGGATGGTTGTTGGGAAATCGGTATTTCGGGGGTCCTATGAAGTCTGGTGGAAAAACGGAACATTGGACTTCGAGAACACTGGAGGATTTTGTTGTATATCCTTTACTTTCTTTGTGTACGTTCTTCTGGCTCATTCGTTCACTCCTGTAATTGGATCCACGGGGTTGCTTGTGTTTTTGTTTGTTTGTTCGTCGGTCGGGGCTTTCGAAAATATCTATGAATCGTTGGCTATCTCGAGAAACTTTGTTTGCCGTGTGTGATGTCTGCCCAACGCAGCCGACCCACAGTTTTGATGCTACCGGGCCGGAGGGATGACTTGAGGGGACCCAAAGAATTGATGTTGCAAGACCACGATTCATAACTTCGATCCACGGTTGTCCTTCCTGAGTTTTGGGTGATATCTGGAGAGTCTAAATCGTGAACCAAGTTGGGCAGCAACATCGGTACAGAGATTCCTTGCCTCAGTTTGTGAGATGTGCCAGCACACTTCGAGTACATTGACGTTTGATCGCGACTGGCCAGATTTCAAGGCGCAGTATTAGTGGTGTAGGTTCATAGCGAATGGAAGAACTTCCCCGCCCTATAGTGTCATCTGACTTCCACTGACTTCCACTCGTGAAACCACCAATCGGCAATTAACAGGGCAGGAGGTTGGCATAAAAGCGTTGAGATATACCTAGATTGCGTATCACAGGTCCGCCCCAAGCAAATGTATAAGTAGGTCAGAGACTCTTCCAATACCCAACTTTGGAAATTTTCGTGAAACAATCGGCCGCCACCACGCCAATGACCACTACGCAGTCGTCGTCTCCGGCATCGCCCGTAGAATGGGGAATGTTGTATCACGACTTTCATGCACAACTATTCGCCAGCCGGTACCGTACAACGATTAAAGTCTGGATCGAAGGTCAATATGTACTACCACATTCTGAAGCGTTATCAGTATCGGTGGTCTGATTTTCAATGACTGCTGTCTGTAATGGCATGATCAAGATGAAAGCGTCCTAGATTCAAGTTCTACACCCGCCATTCTGCAGCAAGGATATAGGGCACCGTTGAGGCTGGTCGAATGCCGTGCGTTCTTGGCAATGGGGGACCCACCAGATTTGCAGTGGGCCTCGAATTACGGGTGGGAAAAGTTTTCCCGTGAACGAACTTGTGGCTTGACATGCCAGCCAGAGGAGTCATTCATTGATTTCAGGTGCGTCCGTCGTGCTCTTACCTGCATGCTTCTGCCATGAGCCGTTGAACTATTGCCAGCTCGCAGTATTTCAGGCAATCTGAGGCCCTTCTGGCCTCGGGATGTGAATTCGGTGGTACGTCCAACCGAATGAAATAAAAGCCTAAATCTGCTTGAATGAGATGCAGCTGGTACTCCAGTGCGCTTCAACAAGGCAGCGAATATGAGTTGAGATTGCACCCTTAAGGTCCATGTTGAATGTTCAAAGCCCCATGAGCGAATATGACGGACCGAGCCAATCGCAAAGAAGAAACCTCCATTTGCCCTTCAGCAATACGATCGACATCTGGAGGAGACAGTGCTGGCGAGAACAGTGGCGCTGGCAGTGGAAGTATTGACGAATGGCAAAAGATTTCACCAGCTGGAAGCGTATGTCGTGGGAAGTAAGTTGCTGAATGAGCTCGCGGTTCGAAGCTTGACTAATCTCCATCGCAGCTTCCAACATCTCACGTTTGAGAACCTCTCGCATCAAGCTGATGGGCCTGGTCAGCTGGAATCATGGGAAAACGGCCAACAGAGACATGAGTTCATTGCGTATCGGCTGGAGAGACGGGGCGATTCTCGCATACGATGACTCTGAGGCGCTCTTCCGTACGAAGCTGTGTATAATGTCAGTCTAAATGGTGCCAATGAATAGGTGAGGAGTGTGTCGTTGCTTTTGCTGCGTTAAACTCACCGGAGTCATTTCTTTGCGCGCGAAGGGGTTCAGTCCATCGGGGTACAGATCGATGTTGAAAGAGATGAACAGATGGAGAGAGAAATGTATAGGTAGAAGAAATGGAATCTGCAAGGGGAATATAAATTATAATGTTGCGATGTTCCGCATTCGGACTTCTCCACCCCTCGATCCTGCCTTTTTGCTCAGCCGAGCTGCAGACAGCCGAGATCGCACGAACCACTTCGTGGAGATCTTGGATTCGAACAAACAAGACCAGGACTAAATCCCTCTCTCAGTTGACAATCGCCTCTCAAACGGCTCACCAAAAGAAGACAAATATGCTATGGCTATGTTCATGAGTCCATTATGTGCGCTAGTGACACTACGCAAATAGTACTTACTAAGACAATGCTATTCGCTTTCGTTCTGCAACCTTTTGCGCACCAAGCCTCGCCCCAGAGGCCTTCCCATAAAAGCAAATAGCTACGGATTTAGTGTATCCATACCAGTCATTCCCTAATATGTGATGAGAAAGTATGCACCTGCAAAGCCACTTGTACGCCCATCCATAAACACCGAACTTCCCATTCCTATGCAAACTCTCAGGTGCAATCAACGGAACCCCACAGGTCTCTTCTGCTTCTTCGACTTGGACTTTTTCTCTTTCTTTGTCCTCTTCCCTTTTTTCGTCTCAAGAACCTTGACCTTCGGCGCAATCTTGGCCGGGATATCAGACATATCATCGTCATCGGAGGATACTCGCTCCTCCACCTCGATTTGTTTTTGCCTATGGCCATTCGTAAGACCATTGACCTTTGGTGGCTCCTTCTCAAATGGCACTGGCGAAGCCACCTTCTTCCTGTGATCTGATTGTACGGGAGTATCACTTCCTACGTCTTCTTGGAATCCGTGGAAGTCGGTCTCCGCGTCCGAGCCTTGATTCTCAACCTCATTATACAAGCCATTCGTAGTAGGTTCTCCATCCGCAATAGGCTCTTCATCTGCAGAGATGAGGCGCGCTGCATCCAGATCAACGCTCTCATTGTCATGATGATTTGTATTCTCTTCTTCGTTCTCGATTTCGCTGAAATCAGCACTCTCTTGGTCGTCATGGATGGCCTTGTCTGCCTCGTCGTCAAAAGAAGAGTCGTCATCCTCAGCGGCAGGGCCTCCGGGAGCAGTATATGTGTCATGATTATCCACATCCATTGCATCCGCATCGGCCTCAAGGTTATGGTTTCCAGAAAGCTCATCTTCATTCTCAGACGGTGTCTCTTCGTCCGCAAGCAGCTCTTCTTCATCGGCCCCAGAGACCTCTGGGACAATTGTTGTATCGTGCCTATCCAAATCCATCTCGTCCTCGTCAGCTTCAAGGTCTTCATTTACTGATGGCTCTTCCCCGTTTTCGGACAATTCTGAATTGACAGGTGGCTCTTCCTCATCCGCAGATTGTTCTTCTTCGTTCTCGATCGGTTTTCCATTCGCAATTGGCTCTTCATATTGAAGTTCTTCGTCCAAAATTGATTCCTCTACATGGACTGCCATGTCTTCGTTCGCGGACTGTTCTTCCTCGATCACTGGCCGCCCTTTTTCATCCACAGCTGGTTGCTCGTCGACTTCTATGGCGTCGTTCGAAGACTGTTCCTCATCACTCGCAGGCCGCCCTTCCTCATCGCTCTCAACGCCTCGCTCCTCGCTCGGAAAACGCTTGCCCAAAGAAGGATCGTGTTTCGCTTTGGCAGCCCGTACTGCATATGGCTGTTCATTCCGGGGTTGCTCTTCCTCGTCATTCTCAACGACTCGCTCGTCACTCCGAAAGGGATTACTCTTCGATTTGGTAGCCTCTTTTGCAGCAGCACGTCGCGCCCTTGAATTACCAGTCTTGAGAGTCTCCAACGCGGTATGGACATCGCTGACCTCCGAGTCACGTTGATCATCTCTCTCTTGACTTTGACCCTGGCTTTGACCAATGCTCTTCATACGCTCTCGCAGTTTCCGCTTGTTCTTTGTAACAGAGCTACCCGCCTGATTGCCCTCAGCTTGCAGGCTCGAGGACGTCTTTCTGCGCTTGGAGTTCGACGTGGACGGCTGTTCGTCTCTTGGAGTTGCCCAGATATCATCTTCCTCGTTGTCTTTGTCCACCACGTATTTCTCACTCAACCTCGTCTTTCGCTTCGGTTTTGTTATGGTGTTTGGACCTTCGCTATTGCCATCCGAAGAAGACTCAACCTCGACTTCATCTTTGCTTTTGTTCTTCTTCTTCTTTGACAAAACCTTTTGAGAAGACCTGAAACGCTCGAAATCGTCATCAAATCCGGGGGGTTCGGACGGAACGGATGCCTCAAAAGCGTCGATGAGAACGTCGACAATGTCTTGCAGCGCCATGTCTTCGTTGTCCTCGATGTGCTGACGCATTTGACGAAAGGCAACCCTCATTGCCATCTTACGTGGCTTGCCAGGGACATCTTCCTGCACACGTTTCCAGGGAATCTTGCCTTCTCGACCTGCACCGCTTTCCCGGACAGAGTAAAGAAGCAGAAGTTTCTCTTTAGCTTTCATTTTGCGCGCGACATGCTCTGCTTCCTCAATTCTCCACGTCTCGCTGATGGGCTTAGCCAAGACTGGATCATCGACAACAACTTCCTCTCGATCCTTGATCTTCTTCCATTTATTGATGCATTGAAGTCGACTCCTGGTGTGGTCCATCTTTTGGCTGACGACATTCCAATCAACCAGACTGTCGTCAGATTTGGCCTTATCACGGGGATCCGTAGAGACTCGTTTCATCTCACGAACCATCTCGATACACTCTTGAACCACCTCCTTGAACCGCTCTTCCTCTTCCTTATCCCACGCGTCTTTCCGCATATTATCACCGCAAACAAGATAATTCCTCCACCGATCTCGGCAATCTTCCGGAAATCGGTGCACCGTCTCGCCGATTTGCTTCCACTTGTTAGGATGCTTCTCGTATGCCTCGCGAAGTTCTTGATCTTGTTCATCAGTCCATGAACCTCGAGCTTCGAAGTTGTGGAACTTCCGTCGGCACAGTTGCTGGATTTGGCGGCGAGGTATATTCGGGACCTCTTCATAGATGTGTTTCCACAGCCCTAAATCATCTGTTTTGGCGCCCTTTTGAATCAAATCGTTGATCTCAACTTGAGTTAAATCGTTCTGATAACTGTAGGTTTCCACGGCAGTGGTAATAGCCTCGATCTCCCCGATCGAAAGTCGACCTCTACCAGTAGTTGCAGGAGCTCTGGGCTGAGAAGTTTTGCTGGCCGACTTTGGCGTTTTTGAGTTTCGAGGTCCCTTCTTTTGAGGCGTCTTGGGATTTGCCTCATAATCGCCGACTGGAAGGCGACGCTTCTTTTTCCGTTCACTAGATTTGGGAACGGCAGGTTCTGGTACATATTCATCATCGTCAGAGTCATCGTCAGCCAGAGGGTCAACAGGTGGTCTTTGATCAGAAGGCGGCAGGATCGATGCTCTTGGTCCGTTGATAGGTGTAAACATTGGTGTTGCCCTGCGTTGAGGCTCCGAGGATACAGAGAAACCAAAGGACATCAATTCAGGTGCACCCGCAGCTCTGTCTTTCTGCGTCTTCCGCTTTTTGCTGGTACTGACGCCGATATCTGACGCCTTCCGCTTTCCCAAAGCTTTCTGCGATGGCTTTTTCGGTGTTGTCTCTAGTTCCTCTTCGGGATCAGCGGAGACTCTTCGATCGACACCCTTCTGGAGTTGGGCCACCGCTTCTTCTTGTGCATTTAAACTGGTTTGGTGATGGTCCATGTGTGCTGGGGTGAGGGGTCTGTGAAGAGCTGCAGCTGAATCGTTGTCGTCCTCCATAGCGGCGGTGGCAATGACGGCCTCAATTGACTTGTGTGGAGACATTTTAGCTTTCTTTTTCGCTCGTCTCAGCTTATTTGGCAATCCAACAAGGTCTGCAGGAACAAATTCCTCTCCATCCTCTGCAATCACATCCTGGGTCGGTACGTGTTGCACAGGATTATTCTTGCTCCTGAGTTGTGTCGGCTCATCCTCGTTGGCGCCTTCCTCCATAAGAGCACCGCGCGAATTTCTTGATCTTGTATTCTTGCCTTTATTCTCTGCCGTCTTGAACTCAACCAGCATAGAAACATCTTCCTCTGGCACAGCCCCCTCAAGCTCAATCGGCGTATCTGAATCTCCCGATTTCCGCTTCCGCTTCTTAGTCGTACCATTCGGTCCTCCCCTCTTCTTCGACTTCTCTGTATATTCGTGAACGTCGAGATTGGCGCCCATGGTCGCATTCATAGCTTCATGCACAGTTTCGACGAGTTCCGGCACCTCCTCGTCGACATCACCATTCGCACCCTCCCCACCCAATTGCTCTTCGCCCTGTTCCTCCGACTCCTTCAACAAATCCTTGGATCTTCGTACCCTCCCTCCCTTCTTCTTGCCTTTCTTCCCTTTCTTTCCCGCCTTCGCTGTTCCGCTCACAGCCCGCTCATCCCCGCCTTCATCGACGCCCTCTCCATTCCCCTCGCCCTCCTCCTGCGCCTTCGCAATTGCAATCATATCTTCCATACCCATATCAACATTGCCCGTTGCCTCATGCTCTTCATGCGCATCTGCAGTTCGCCACAGTTAGCCATGTTGCACAAGATCCCAATCCACCGCGTGCAGATCCCCGCCGAATGTCCATCCCAAAAGTAAACATTGAACATACCAGGAGCTTCGTTCTCTTCAGCTTCCTGCTTGATAGTGGGCTGACTGCTTGGCCAAATGATGCCCATGAAGCGCCGCATCATCGCGCATCCCTGGTCGCATTGAAGGTGAGGAGTTGAATCGCGCAATTCACGTCGCGTCGCGATATTTTGAGCTTGGAGCTCCACGATAAGCGCACGTACCAGTGTCACGTGATGAGAGAGGAAAGGGGGGTTCCTACTACGAGTACTGTAGAAGCTACGAATGTAGAATGTTTTAGAGAGAAGAGAAATCGATGAGTTAGATGGGCCAGACGGGGCCGCTTTTCGGTGTTGAAATATCGAGCATGATGTTTTTGAAAGGTTTTATAAATTCGCAGCAAGCTCTCACTTGTCAATTCTCAGGGGTAGATATTGGAATCACATCGCCAACCAAAATCATTCAAGTTTTTGAATTTTCACTTCATTTTCATTATTAACTAGTACACAAGGTTTATATACAGAGTATACCGTAACCGTCCTCGATACGCCATTTTCTCCTGCCTTGTTCTGTTCATCCATTGATCCGTTCACGCTCAATAACCTCATTTCCCCTTTGCACACCATAATCCAAGCCAGCAATTACAACCCGCCCCTCTCTCATCCCTAATCCTCTTCCCGGCCATTGCTACCACCCTTAAGCAGCATCCACAACGTCCCTCCCCTCTGCCGCTCCAGCTCCTTCTCTCGCTGACTCTCCCTCTCCTTGGGTGTCCACAAGAAGGAATTATTCCTGTTCTTCCGTCCCTCCGGCATCTTCGGGGGCTTGGGCGTCGCTCTCGGCTGCTCGAACTCTCTTCCATATTCGCTCCTCGCTTGGGGCAGGATCCGGACTCTTTTTTGGGCTAGTCGGGGTTGAGATTTCTCTTCTTCGATGAGACTTGAATCCACATCCTCGTCCTCGGTCGATCCTCGAGGCAACAAGCTCACATCACTATCATACACACTCCCGTAGACGCTTTCGATGCCTCTCACCGTTCCTTGCACGGTAGAAACAGCTCGCAGACTCAAATCTCCCCTCAAGCTCGGGGCGGGGCCTTCCTCCTTAACAGCCTCCATCTTCTCGACCCTCTTCATCGCCTTTAACATTTTCCTCGGCACCTTCCGATCAACACTTTTCCCCGTCGGCGGATCAAGATACCAGTCCCCCTTCTTCGCCCTCGCACTCTCCATCAGATATTTGCGAGTATAATCTTTGCTCAGCTCCGTCTCAAGCTGTTCTTCCCATTCCGGAAGCGCAACCAGTCTCGGACTGGAAATAGCTGCTGTTGTGATGCCACCACTTGTCTTTACTTCATCGGTGGATTTCTTCTTGACAAGTTTGGCTAGCTTCTTGTGGTCTTTGTTGGAGCAGTGCAGGTCGCCCATCGATTTCGACGCTCTTAACGTGCTTTGTGGACCGAATTCCTTCTCTTCGAGAAAGGGGGTTTCATCTCCGAGGTCAGAGGGAGAAGGACAGTCTTCCTCGCCATCGCCCTCAAGCACCACAATAGTGGGCTTTTCATCTGCGGCAATAATCGCCTTGATCTCCTCAACCAGCGGCCCCAAGCGCTCTTCCGTGGTAGTGCGTATCAGCGCATTCATCTCAGCCTCCTTCCCGCCATCGTTCGGCTTACTCCTCCCCTGCCCCATCACCCTCCCCATAAACCTTTCCTTCGCTCTCCTCTTCGGCTCCTCAATCCCAACCTGCTCCCTCATAACCGCTGCCAGACTCTCTTCGGGCCTTTCAAACTCCTGCCCCACATACTTCCCTTGCCCGAACCTCCCGCCCTTCTCTTTCATTTTATCCCATCCATCCCTCTCCTCTTCCTCCCCCTCCTTCTTCCACTTCTTCTTCTTTGGCGGTATTACCTCTCGTCTCATCAAGCCCACTGTGCCGGGGTCATACCTGGGAAATTCGCCAAAGCGTGGGGAATCAAGGTCTCGCGGAGTTCGCGGGATACTTTGGTCTTTGATCATGTAGCTCGGCTTCCAGCCTTCGATTTCGACTTCGAGTTTCCCGCGCTGGATGAGCTCGCCTTCGGACATCTCGTCTTCCGAGTCTTTCTTGATAACTGGAGAGGTTTCGTCATCTGAGTCAACTATCGCCGAGGCTGCAGAAGATTTCATGTTAAACTTTGCTCTCAAAGATTCGCCAAAGCTGCGCTGGGCCTTCAAAACCGGCGCAGGCCGCTCATCTTCAATTTTGGCTTTCGGAACAGCTTCCATCGATTTCGAGGTCTTGAGTATAGGTCTGAGTGGTTTCTGCGTACTCGATATCCCCAGCGCATCAAACTCGGGGACGGCTACTTCTTGCTTGGCATCCTCGCTCTTCCTCAGAAACAACGAGCTGAAACTCGGTCTCTTCCTCAGTGATCTTTTGATGACAGGTGGTTCTACGTACGGCTTGCTAAGGAACGCACCGCCATCAGAAGGAAGCGGATTCTTCGGTCCATTTCCCCTCGAAACTGGCAGCGGAATTGAAGACGGGGCCGGCTTTCTCGGGGAAATGTATCCCAGAGAGGATGGAGCTGGAGGTGGCTTCTTTGGCGGATTCGGTCCAAGCGGTGAAGGTTCCAGCTTCTTCAGGCCGAGAGAAAGCGGTGGTGGCATGGACGGACTATCCATGTGCGCATCATAAAAACTGATAGTCCTCGATGGCGTCAACTCAGCAAGCGGAGCGGGAACAGTCTTTCCTTTTCCCCTTCCACTGAAAGTGGATGAGCGATCGCGAGGTGCAGTCGCAGTCGCAAAGTCGATCACCTGTGGGCTTAGCTTGATGGTCGATGATCGCCACCGTTGATCTGCAGGCGCGAAGTCCCGTACTATTGTGCTGCCCATGTCCATGAGCCGAGATGCTTTCTCTCCATGCGAGGCTGTAGGTCGTCGTAGCTCGGGCCTGCCTTTCGCCTGCCTTAATGTCTGGTTTACAGGCAAAAATTCCACTCTTGGGCTTGCTATGCGTTGAGAGGTTGGTTCTCCAGGGAAGGTCGACGATCGGTTCGCACGAGCAGGACCGAATTCCACTTTTGGGCTCTGCACTCGAGAGGTTGACTCTCCAGGGAGAGTCGAAGATCGATTCGCTCGCGCAGGAGAAAGCGCAAATTCCACCCTCGGGGTTCGTGGCCCTTGAGAAGCCTTCTCGCCATGCGAGGTTGTCGGACGACTCAACTCCGGTCTGCTCTTTTTCCCCTTCAACATTTTTGTCTCTTCCGCCTTCGGAGTCTTCTCTCCATGAGAAGTAGTAGGCCGCCGTAACTGAGGGAGGCTTTTCTTCCCCTTCAACAACCCTGCTAATTTTGGCTTCTCCTCATTCGCAGTCCATGGCCCCTCGGAATCCTTGCCATCTCCCTTTGGCGATTTCTTCTCTTGGGCAGAGGTCGAGGGTCGATCAATCAGATCAATACCGCCTTGGCTTTGCCTCCTCCTCAACGTCTTCCTCTTATCTTTAAGTACGATCGTGCTGGAGAAAGCCTCACTTTGCGCTGCAGGTGAGTCAGGTACCACGAACGGCATAACAGGTTTCGAGACTGCGCGTTGTCGACTGCGGATTGAGTCCGTGTCGAGTCTTGGCAGTGGTGGCATGGGCTTTTGAAAGGAAGCAGAGACATCGTTGGCAGCGTAGATAGATTGTCTCGCTGATGAGGCGGTGCTTGAGAAGGAAGTTGATGGGTTGGTTGCGTCGAAGGAACTCGTCGGGGTTATGCCTTGAGTGTTGACCAAAGTCGATGAGCTTGAGGCTGATTCGAAAGACGTATTTTGTGGTAGACTTGGGCGCTCGAAAGTCGACGCAGTGTTATTCGTATTCGTTCTTGAGCGGCTGTGTGTTCGGAATGACAGATTACTAAAGCTCAATCCTCGCATCATGGTTCGCGATCGTGTTGAAGGGCCTTGGAACGATGAATCGAAACTGGCTTCTGTAGTGTCGCCGAGGGAGGCGGTACTCAAGTTTGATGGCGGCCGATCTATCAGGCCAAGGGGAGACGAAAATGTGTAGTCGCCACCAACGAACATGTCAATGCCCAGGTTGATAGCTACTTCTGCTTGCTTGATCATTTGCTCAGCCAGCTCCATATAGTGCGTCAGATTGTCCCAGGTATTTCCCCATCTATGTCTGTTGTCACTCCCCTGCAGCTTCTGTTCAAAAGCTTTCATAACCGAAGGGCCGTTCGCCTCAACCGCAGTAATGTATTGGTAGAAGGAGCTGCGGTATTGGTGCAGGACCTTTGGTTGGATTCGGTCATTTGGCAACTCCTTTACGGCAGGAGGGAAGAGTGTGTTTAGCATTGCGAGTACATTAGGTTTGTAGAAGGGCGTGGATTTAAGTTCAGCAACCATTGTCTTTGCAAAGTCAGCTTGCTGTGCAATCCCAAGGATTGTTCTTGACTTACCCATATCCGGATATCAATGAAGATATTTGCATATCCTTCTTCAATGATCAATTCGTATTTCTGCACCAGCTCAATCCACCGCAAAGCATCGGGATTGTCTGCCAGCACCGATTTCCAGTTTCGCAACGAGATATCGAGGCGCTCCGCAGCATGGCGTAACTTGTCGCGTCTGGTGAACTCCAAATCGCGTAGATAATCAAGAGCAGTCAAGGAGTGTCCGAAATCTACGTTTTCGTACTTTTGTGGGAAGACTCGTCTGACTGTATTTAAGATGACAAGAATAGGTAGGCGTTTCTGGCTTTTGTCCGGTATGCCAAAGCTAGCAAAGTCTATATCGAGCAGTGCTTCATTTCCAAGGTCCATAAAACGGTCACCAGGAGCATGATCCGGGCTGGCCTTCGGTTCGGGTGGACCTTCGGACGGGTTTCGCAGCTTTGCTATCGTGGTGTCATTGATTGAGGGCGAGATCTTATCGAGAGACGAAAAGAACTCCGTGATGAGCTTTCCTTGGGTCTCATGTTTCCAGTAACCGTTGACGCTCTTGAGCGTTGGGAGCTTTTGACCTGCACATGAATGTCAGCGATCTGTTCCTGGAAGGTGACGCCGTGACCGGCTTTCATCGGATGTACCGGTGTTAAAGGAGAACATGATGCGGAGTGGAAGCTCGCATGGTATTGTTCTTCCGATGAGATGATAGATGATCCACGGTGGGGACGCCTCTGAATCTTTGTAAGTTGATGGTGTTGAAGACGTGGTAGAGGTGGTAGGTGACGAGGAGTTTGTAGTATCAGAGCCGGCCATTGAAGGCGAGCTCGAGCTTATCGACATTGTGGCCACAGCTGTTTATGGTAAGTTAACATAGTCTAATTCACTTTTCCCCTTATCGTAGATTGCGGCACCAAGTTTTGCACATCTGAAAAGACCAGTATCTCCGACGATCACAACTCCTCAAGATGGAAGCTGTCCCAGGAGATCTCTTCTTTCCCGCTCCTTCAAAATGGGTATGGATCTAAGTGTAGAGTTACACAAAGATCTGGACCTCTGCAATCGCTTTGCAGGACAAGTCTGGTCGACAAGGGAGCCCAAAGCTGGCCAAAGCGTACCCAGCCCACTCCAACTACCTTCGGATCTGCAAAGTAAAGGGGCCTCCTCAGAAAGATATATATCACAAATCTGCCACTTGGTATGCACCTTAACCGTCGTTGAACGTGTTTTGCACAGACGGAAACAAACGCTTGGGGAGCAGGTCTGACCGTCTGGGGATCCTTTCAACTGCAAAGTTCAGATAAAGTCGACATGCGGAGAAGAAGTAACGCCAACAAGGAAGTCAAAAAATGCACAAGAAGTGAAATGTTGATGGCGGCAAAAATCCCCCGTCTAGTGTCCCTACACTGGTGGGTTCCATCTCAGTAATATCATCGTTCCACGGCACTCCACTCCACTCTGACAGACTAAAGAGGAAGAAGCCTGCAGAAGGAGAGATCGGGTGGTTTGCCATAGCTTGCCCTTGTCAAAGACATCTGATAGGTCAGTTGCCATCTTTTTGAAGAGGTTGCATTAACGTAATGCGTTAACAGGGTAATAGGCGGATGAGCCCAGAAGGGGTCTTTCTGGTACCGGCCCAATCCATCGATGGCATCTGACGTTGAACGGACCCTTCCTGGGAGGCAACCGTGCATCCTTCCCGAAGTTTGGCGGAGGTGGGCGCATTCATCCCGATTCAGAGATCCTGAGGGGTACTGCTCACAATGACAGAATCTGACAGCAGCAAGCAACAGTCCTGTACATGCAGGGAACAAGTTCCCGGAAGTCGTCCCAAAAGAACGCCTGAGAATAGCTTTCTAGACTCGAAGTCTATCTATGCTATTTCGTAGAGGGTGGGCATCAAACCGAGCAGAAACATGTTTCTCACCCGAGTCTGTGTCTGAGCGGCCTCAGCCTTGCCGTCCAAGCGCGAGGTTGTCTTGCTGCCATGCGGTGCACCATTTATTGGCGGGGCAATCAGGAAGGGCCCAAGCAACCCGGTTTCCACATCTCGTGGAGGCGTAGGGAGGTGTAGGGAGGCGTTTGGTACTGGTACTGGTACTCTCGGAAGCCCAACGGGAGAGATGATCGGGTGGAGGCTGCCGGCTGCAGCACGCCGGGCTCTCCTGGTCTTCGTCCTCTACCTCACCCGCTCGCCCACGCCGGGCGAAGCGATATAGATCTCGATTTCGTAGCCGGCTGCTGTCTCGACGCTGGATCGCTGGTAGTATGGGCATCTTTGCGGATAGGATCTGCCCCTGGCACAATTTATTCTGCGACGGGCTCGATGCTGGGTATTTCCCCACAGTCCGCATTTGGCTGGGCCAGACGCTGCAGATACTGCAGATAGCACCACATCTAATTAAAGCTTCCACGAAGCTGGTGAAGGGAGCGCAGTATGGACATGGGCAAGATAGCAGGAGGCCATTCCACATATGCATCTCGGATAATCAGGACAATCAATTGTCGCTGTGCATACCCGACTGTCACGAATCGTTTGCATGGCGATAGGGAGAAAGACCCGAAGTATTGACGTCTGCAGCGCGCCGTCAGATCTATTCCAGGAACATGCTGTATCATGGAGATCAGGTACGAAAATGGGAGGCTGACGAAGGTTGATGTGAGGTTGGAATTCTGAGGGCGTTGGTGATCTCCACGCTTCACTGCGGTGACTGGTTCCGCCCCTGAACGCAGATCACTATTGGACGCCAACGCCTCAAACCACAGCAATCGCTGACAACAAGCGCGACAGCATGATTTTAAAGGTTCATCTGAACGTCTAGAAGAGAATATTTATCCTGTGGCTTCCTATCAATATGACGGTTGCGGTTTATGTGAGCGGAAGAGGACGTTGCTACGGAGTGACTGCCTCGGCCTCATGGAATGACGGATCTAGACTGCCAAGGAGCTGAGCAGTGGATTTCCGTTTGTCGACACCAAAGCAAGAAATGAGTTTTGACAATTGCCTCAACACACCACTTCGTCTCGACTCCCTCGAGTCTAATCTCAATCCCCCCCATATCACAGACGATGAGGCCGGCCCTACGCCCTCGGCACACCTCACGATTTCTCCCCGCGCGTCGAGTTCGTGCGACGCGCTCCACGTGGAGATCATATGGACTCGAACACCAGAGAAGGCTATCCACGAGCCAACCTGGACGAGGATCTGGAGGACCCGGAGAAGTCGGGGATTCGCGTGAGTCGATCATACCTCTCTGTTATGCCTTACTCGACACCCACTATGTCAATACCTTCCTGCTGCTCACCGCCAAAACCGCTAGTAGGCAAAGTGGGTGTCATGTATCAGAACCTGCAGGCCCCAGTTTTACGTTAGCAATATCTCCTTCTCGAACACCAGAGCCTGACAATGTATCTTCGGCCTGTGGCGGTCTCAGCCCCGGTGGCGTCCAGGTTGCGGAACCTTGACAGCCACATTGTCAGGCAGGCGTCGCGATGTCTCATTTGATATCACGTGATATATCTGATTTGGAGTCTTCCATCTGCAAGCAGGTTTATTTCGAAACAATTACTAATGAAATATAGATGAAAACAAGTCTTCTGATGGGTCCAACGAGAAATCGAGATTCCATCCAAATTATACCCAAAATGACTCTCCCCTCTCCTCCAAAATGCTCGAAGCGGCAGCAACCGCACTTGCCAGCATCGTCGTCCTTGGAACCGGCTTTGGACTGGGCGGCTTCCTCTACCACAAATTCTACAAATGGCTCGTCCTCTACAAAATGGAGCGAGCCTTCAAACCCGGTGATCCCGTGCTAGAGCTCGCAGCAATCGGCAAGCAAATTCCCACCTCCATCGCCTCAACCCAAGGTCCGGACTCTGAAGAAGACCACTGGATCCTACGAGACGAGCAATCCAAAATCGACGCTATTGTCAACGGCACCGATCGCGGACACTACCATTTACTTATTGGCGAAAAGGGAACTGGGAAATCAAGCATGCTCCTCGACGCCATGCACAAGGTTAATGGTGAAGGAGTAAGCATGTTCGAAGCACATGCCGACCTCGAAATCTTCCGCATCCGGCTTGGGAAAGCGCTAGATTTCGAGTTTCACGAAGATTACATCGGCTCGTACTTCTCTGAGCGAGGTCCCAGAGACACCACTGCATTGCTGGACATCGAGCGCGCATTCAACAAGCTCGAAAAAGTCGCCCTAAAACGACGTCGAACGGTGGGTCGACCCCTAATCCTAATAATCAACTGTGTTCACCTCCTCCGCGACGACGACGACGGCCAAGATCTGATTGAACTTTTGCAACAACGGGCAGAGCAATGGGCTGCCGCAAACCTCGTGACCATGGTCTTCAACTCAGATGATTACTGGGTCTACGAGCGTCTCAAAAAGCTAGCTACACGCATGGAAGTGACATCCATCACCGACCTGCCTCGGTCGCAAGCCATCGCCGCCCTCTCAAAATACCGACAAAAATATTTCCGCGAGGCTCCCAACCTGGACATTCTCTCCGAAGTATATGATCGTGTCGGCGGCCGTTTAACGTTTTTAAACAGAGTAGCGAAGTCACCTGATATGCTGAAGACGTGCGATAATATCATCGACGTGGAACGGCGCTGGTTCTTAAACCAGTGTTGGATTCTAGGAATGGAGATGGACGACGATGTCATGGATCAGCAGAAATATGCCGTTCGCCTCGCCCACCCCTCTCCCTCTCTTCCCTTCTCCGCCCTTGCTCAATTATCCCCTTCTCTTACTGACTTCAACATGCCAGTCCGCAGCAATGGTCCTAGCCGCCGCCCTCGTAGCCGCTGAATCCACCCAATCCGCCTCTCACGACGACGGCTCGCACAACATCCCCCAAATCCCACTACACATCGCACGCCAGATCATGACCCGAGCGGACTTCATAAAATCTTATGACCACATAAACCTCTTCACAATAACCTCCACAGCATTCGTGCGCGCCGACAGCGTCCCGATGCAGCGCGCTTTCCGCTCCATCTGTAATGAACCAGGGTTCGATGAGCATCTAGAGAAGACATTGCAAAGGATTGGGGATATTGAGAGTTTAGGGAGGACGAGGGAGGTTGTTGCTAAGGATTTGGTGCTTGGTGGGAAGTACAAGATCCTGTTGAAGGACGGGGAGAGGAGGGGAGAGAAGGTTACCGAGGTTGTGCTTGAGGAGAAGGAGAAAGAGGACGATGATTAAAATCTGGGAGAGGATGTGGGGGCATGAGTGCTGATGAAAGGGCGTGGTGTTTAGAATATGGAGGGGAAATGTGAAATGAGATTTGTTGACAGATGGATAGATGGATGTGTATATGCATTGGATGAGTGATTGTAAACTCTGTAGGAATATTTAAATATGTATTTGTATATGTATAAAGTAGCAAACAACGCCAAGCGCTCTTCCGATGCTTTGTGCATGGCGGATGCGAGCCAATTTATGCTCTTTTGTTACCCATTACGGGCCCCATTAGCTCCTCCATGCCTTCCAGCGTGAGGAGCGAAGTCACTCATCTGTTCCCATAATATTGTATAGCTCATATTACCTTTCGCAGATGTCTTATTCCCAAGTACGGCATTTCAACCAGACCGCCTCTCACGGTAGACACAAAAAGAGATGCAAATTCTCACTGTTCTCAGTTGACGCTAGACAATAAGATAATCGAAATTTTGAGAACAGAAAACGTGGGTCTTCTAGACCTTCCTAGATTTTTGAAGTACTTTTTTCTTCTTCAAATTTATGAGATAGAATTGTGTCACTGGACTTGGTACTGTACATTTGGTAGCTTTGCCTTTCTAGCGCAAGCCCGCTTGAGAAACAATCCAAAAGATTGAGCAGAAGCGGCGTCTTCCAGATAATCATGTACACCATCAGTATGCGACTGGTTCATATCCCTACCGACCGATGACTTAGAAGAAGACGATAACCAGCCATCGCAGTTTAGCGATCCCGACATCGATAACGGAGGAAGGAAAGAGGTGGTTAATACGAGGTTGAGTGCGATCGACATTGCAATCAATGCGGGGGAGGGCAAGCAGGTACCGATTCCAGACGGAGGGGATTCCGTTCTTGGAGTCGGAACATCGCACGTCGGAGCACATCCCACGATTGCATCCGCATGAACTCAGTCCACGACACGTCCTAAGAGCTCCAAGAGGTTAGCGGAATCGGCTTCTCAGCGGGCTGCCTCTCCAGCTCTCCCATGAACTCATCCATGATGCCCCCAGCCTTCTCAAGCAGCCTGCTCCCCGCATCCGGGATCCTCATATCCTCCGCCGCCTGTTGGGTTCCCATCGCAGCCTGCACCACGTATATTCCCACGAACGGCAGCTGACTCTCATCCTCAATCCGCAGCGCGCCAGGGAACTTCCTCAGATCCGCATCTAATTCTCGCTTCAAGCGGCGCAGCAAGCCGATGCTCTGGTCGTGCAGCCGGAAGTAGTTGACCTCCAGCTTCTTCAATTCTGTGGGAATGGCAAAACGGAGGGCTTCGAGGACTTCGACGGGCATGAGCCGTTTGGTCTTTGCCCATGAACGATGAAAGCGCTTCGAATCTACGCTCTGGGATTGCTCGTTGAGGAGTTTCTCGATGTTGTGCACGGTCAAAGACATGGTTCCGCCGCGTCGAAGTTCCTCTTTGAATATCTCGTTCATGGCAGACGTGTCTTTGAGGCCTCGGGGACCCTTTTTAGATACGACTAGGTTGCGTTTCCGTTGACTGCGGGCAAAGTTCTCGACAGACACTCCGAGAGTGAGACAGATTTGCTTGAAGCAGTCGACAAGTGTTGTTGGCTTTTCGCCTACGAAAATCCTATCCTCTCCGTGGATCGCTATCACTTGGTCCATCAATGGCCATGGACCGATAGGGTTGGACTTTTGTCTGAGAGAGTTGTAGAATTGAGCTGGGTAGATTGCTGTCCCCATCGCGTTGGCCAGAGTCACTCCGAATTCTTCCATCTCTAGCATGATCGCGAAGGCTGTGACTCCACATAAGATGGGATGGCGCTTATAGAGGTAGAACTGCTCGCTATCTGGAGGTGGAGGTTGATTTGTAGCTCTCAGTTGGTCCCTCTTGTGAGGCAGAATGGCGTCGCTGAGCACGCACTGATCGATCTCCTTGACAAAAATTTGAAAGACCTTTTCGTTATGTTCCGGCCACGTGTCTGGCTTGACGAGCCCTCGAGAGAGCTCGAAATAATGACCCATTGTTTCCTTAGCACGGGTAGCAACGGCTCTCATGACAACTGGATTTCCGTATACTTCCATTCGCAGAATGTGGTGGATATCCAAAAAGACGGTGGTCGCGAATGTAAGCCAGACGGGGATTTCCTTGGTCAAGGCCATCTTGCACAGCCCTCGGGTGAGTTCATCCGTGGCGACGAGATGAAGTTTGTATTTTGCGACGAAACAAAAGTCTGGCAAGAGCTCCATAAGAAGGATGAGGTCCTCACGGTTCTTCTGCAGGGAATCCAGCGAGTTGCGATCTTGCAGAGGATTGTAGGTACCAAAATGGCCTCGTTTCACCAAAGGGACTTTTCTGGGGCCAAGAATATCGCAAAAGCTGTCCAAAATGCTATGTACTGGTGCGAACATCCACTGAGCGACGTCGTCGTCGATCTCGACTTCGTCCTCCCTTGGGTCAGTCCCTTGGGCTTTGGTGAATTGATTCATGATCGTCAACAGGACATCTTGATAATCACGATATTGCGGGTAGGCCGCCAAGATTTCGTCTTGGGTACGAATAGCGAGTTGAAAAGTCTGTTTGCAAGAAACCGGAGTCAGTATACTTCAATCAGGTGTTTTTCGGAGTAGAAGACTCCAGCTGCTGGTGGGAATTACTAGTAGAATGTCCAAAGAGCGTTAAAACTTCGAGGACTTGAGACTTACTATATTCGTAGTCACCGAGGCAGTAATAAGGTCAATCTTCTGCTTCTTGTACTCGGCCCAAATACTTGAGACATAGGAGCGAAGACGATCGAGATCATCAAACAGACAGAATATCGCGAAAAGCCTCTCTTCCTCCAAATCTGCCTTCTCTTTGTTCGACTCAATTTCATAGATGACTTCTCTTGTCGATGGAGAAGATGGTGGGGCATCTGGGGTTTCGCCGTCTGATTCCGCCAATTCTTCCACTTCAAGTGCTGCGAATCGGTTCTCGAGAATCTCCAAAATACTCAAAGAAGGAGCCCTAATTGCTTCTTCTTTAGGTTCGCCCCCAGCAGAGACAACAAAGCGGGGTTGGAGGGCCATCACAGCCTCTTCGATTAAAGAAGTAAAATAAGAATGCTGCTCATTTTCTTCGACTGTGGAGTGGTCCCCATCGGTTTTGGAGGCAAAGTAAGCGGTACAGCGTTTGCGTGCGGCTATTGCGCGAAGTGCAGCCCGAAGGACCTCAGATGGAACTGTAATCAGGGGGTTTTTCGAGTTCACGATGGAATTCGCAAGGGCAAGAAGTTCTTTGGGGCTGACCAGTTGAGGTTGCGATTGGTCGATCGTGGATGAAGATGGCCCTGAATGCTGTCAGCGTTTCACCCATCACTATGCTGGTGATGGGTGGAATTCGGTTCGCTAATCATCGTGGAAAGTGTACCATTGTTGGCAGCTTCCTTGGCCTGCTTGCGTGCCTTTCCTTTCAGACGAGGAGCCGTCTTTGTAGGCGTCTCATTCTGGGTCGATTTTGTGAGGTGATATCCGCACTTTGCGCCATTATCGCAAAGCCATTTTGTGAAGATGGACGTGTCCTCCTTGTACTTTCGATAAGTACTTACGAGAAATCCTGGCAACATGGCGCTGAACAGATCAGTAACCTGGTTGGCACTGAGGCCCTGCCAAACAGAATGTCCGATTGTTTTGTAGATTAAGGGATTCAAGCGTGGGAAACCAGGTAGAACTTCAGCAAAGCTTAAGGATACTACGGAGCGGCCAGAGTTGAGAGCTTGTGTTCCAACCACCAGGCTTTGGTGCGTGACTGTTTGTTTCTGGTGTTCTGGGGAGAAGGAAGACGCTGAAAGAGGAGGCCCTGACCGTAGTCTGTTTGTGGACTAGCTTCACGCTAAGATAGGATAGGGCAGGCGCCATCCGCCCCCAAATTTTGAGTCTCGCTTACCCCCTTTCCTTTCCTTCCCTTATCAGCATTTTCAACTTTTCAATTTCATCATCTCGGAGACATACTTGCATCAACATCCACGCATATTCGCAAACTCGCAAACTCGCTCCTATCGAATAACAATTCAGAGAGCATTGCAGGTCCAAAGACGGGGGAATCAGCAAGCACGTGCAGCGAAAAACTTTACCCCGCTCTCGCCGTCAAGTGATGGGCTCCTTTCCCATTTTGAAGATTCTGAAGTTCGGCGTCTTGACCCAAAAAAATTTCTTATACAACCCCCACTGCGATTCATTCCGACGGTGCTTTCGATATTTTTGGAAGACACCTCGACTTTGAATCGGCCGATTGGCTGGAGAGATGCTCTTGCAAACGCGGTGCCCCCAGCGAATCCTCAGGCGATGAGAAGTCCAGGATTGGCGCGGATATCTATTTCTTTAACTAATAAGTCATGGTTCTGGAGCGCTATTGTGGTGTGGTGGTGTTGGATTATCCTGGTACGCCGGCGGCTACTCATTTGTGACGCCGTGTCGACTGCGTATTTGACCATTGCATGAAGTGTTATCGGTGACGAGTATTTTGGGTGCTCCAATTGAGATGCAAAAGTTTGTGAAGAGGGGAAAACGGCTAGGATGGAGAAGGAAGGGAAGAAACAACGAACAATGCACCCGGCCATTGAAGTCGGCACATTCAGTCCAATTGATTGATACCTTCCACATACACACTTACAGGCCAGCTCCTTCTGACTGTATTGACGGATTTCCACCCGTTCTTTCTCCCCTTCTCTCCACTTCTACCGCAAAATAGCTCACCGTCCATCTCTCCACTGTCCAAGTTCAAAATTCCGCACTAGGACACTTAATAAACTTTTAGTTTCTCGAAGCCTTAAGAAAAGGAATACAGATAGTTTATATCCTTATAAATAGAGCTATCTTTTAAAGGCAGTAAGAGAAGCCGTTAGAAGCCAGGTAATTGGCAAAGGAGGGTCTGAATGCAGACCGTGGGCCTCGCCAAATTCTCGCTTCACTCTCCTCTCCCCCCTTTCCCCCGCAGTCTCATCTGACAACAGCTCTTAAAAAGATTACGCAACGCATCTTTGTCCCACAGAACTCTCAATTACATCCTCAGAACACGTATCTGAAATCGGGATTCTCCTTGTCCGTTAGATCATCGAACGCGAACGTATGCGCAATCTTCTCATCACTTGCCGCCACTCCGGTTTCCGTTGCCAACGCTGCGGCAGCCTCAGCACGCTTTGCTTTGTTTCGCCGAGTGAGCAGGACGCGGAGGATGGCCAACACGATGTTGAAGAGCACGTAGAGGCAAAAGTGAGCCGTAAATCCTTTTCTGTATCTTGGTGCATCTTTTGCTTGGAAGATCTAATAACTCGTCAGCAACTGGCATGAGACTTTCAAGAAGTAGGGCAAACTTACTTGCGGAGCCGCCATATTTCCTGCTGCCCAGGCTACGAAAGTTATGGCTAGAGTAGTCGACTTCTTCGTTTGGCCGGCTACATTCCGAGAGATCAGCGCAAAGATCAGGTTACCTTCGGCCAGATAGAACTGCGTGAAGTAAAAGGCGATTAACAGGCCGACTCTTGTGTGGTGGGTCGGAGGAATTGAGTAGATGACCGCAGTGCCGATGATTGCGGGTCTGGAAAGTCAGCACATTCGTGAGCGTCAGATCCAAGGAGCGGAATCTTACATGGTCCATGCATGCATCACCCAGACTGTTTGTCCCGTCGTCTGAGCCAACGTCGCGCTGCCAATCATGACGATAATTGTCACTGCGCCTTGAGCGATGTTGAGCAGTTGCGTCTGCAGTACCGAGAATCCAAACGATGCGATAATCAGGTTGGAAAAAACACCCAGACCGCCAATGACCAGAGTCGAAGTGATTTGCAGCATGACGTAGCACCAGATTACTGGATCCTTGATGGTCTCTAGCATCTGGTATGTCTTATACGTCTTATTCTGGATACCGGTCTCATTAGCTCGCACTCGCTCGATCATCATGCGCTTCTCGTCTTCGGAGAAACAGCGCGCTTTCATGGGAGAGTCTGGCAGCCACCACCCAATGAAGAGCGCCCAGGCACAGGTCGCGCAGCCCAAGACGAGGAAGAGGAGTTGCCACGAATAGAGGGCATGATGTGTGTAGTGGCTTGCGCCCCATGCCACAATACCTCCAACCTGTTAAAGTTAGCAAAGTCATCCTCGATATTGGAAAATATATCACCATGAGTTGAACTCCAGTCATGCAATACCAAAGGGAGGTAAGCACAGACTGCTCCCGCTTAGTGTACCACATTGTGGTCCTTGGAACGTCAGTCAGCCGAGTTCTGAACCGGAACAAGGATAGGAGGAGCATCGTACATGATGATGAAGGATGGCTGCACACAAGATTCGAAAATTCCAAGCAGGAAACGAACGACCATTAGTGACTTGAAGTCTTTGGCAGCTGCGGAGCAAGCAATGACCACGCCCCAGCAAAATACATTTGCAGATAAGTATTTGGCAACCGGAAGCTTCTGGAGTAGCATGTTCGTTGGGTACTCTCCGACTAGAATTCCCATGTAGAGGATTGTGCCCAGCCAACTGCACAGGTCAGCAAAGTCGTGCTGCGGTCAACATGGAGCCGAACTACTTACCTGTAATCTTGACCAACGAGATGCGCATCCTTCCTTATTCCCATGATTGAGGAGAAACCAAGAGTCCCCTTGTCAAGGGACTGGCAGAAATAGGTCCCGAGCATGCATGCGAGGATTCGTCTGTTGATTGTCCAGAACAGCTTCTGGCCGGTTGCGTCGTCGATGAACGCCCCTGATGCATCGGTGTATGCTGCTATCTACGACACTTCAACACCCTGTTTACGATAAACGGAAACTATGGGACCAGGAACTAACCTCCACATCTTTGTCGATATGACTTGGTGGAATTGGGGGCACATAGGGCTGGATGTCATCTTGGTGATGGATCTCTGATGCGGTTTCTGAACCCATATCGAACCGTTTTGTAGGCTATTCAATGATGTCCGAGTCGAGAATCGAAATCATGAGATCTGGCTACTGGATTCAGAAGAATATCCCAGGATGAACACCAAGTTATATGAGGAAGCTGTCCGGGTCGGAATAGCTGGCGGACTGGGCATCGCTCGCACACCACACTTCAGTGGCCGAGTTGAAAATCAATGGTTCCCGTTCCGTTCCCCAGTTCCCCAGACTGAACAGTGAAGGACTGTGGATGAGGAGACGGTCAGCAAAGCCTGCAGGCCGTGGCATTGGTTCACAGGAACCCCTGTCCGGACGAAGTCCGAGAGATCCTCCGCCGGCCGGGAGGCGGAAATAACCAAGGTTAATCCTCGCGGTAGACAGAAAAACGGCACTAAATTATCAATCTCCCCAACCAAGCTGAACATTAAAGGAGACAAATTTTAAATGTTCCAGAACCTCATAGACATTAGATGGAAGTAGAAGGAAAGCACCTGAAATAGCCCAAGGTGACTTGGGACTCTGAGAATTTAGTGCTGCCTTTTGGGTCCACCCCCAGGGGGTGTCCATTTTGAGCATGGCGCTTCCCCACCTTACGGAGGGTAATCTTGAAGGCAGGGGGTTACCCCGCAGTGCAGAGCCAGGCCCTGCCCTACGCCACCTTGTCATGCGCGAGCTCTAAAGTGAAGCTTGTGTTTGGCTTCAGAACTTCTTGCTTCTCACTCATCTTATTGGGAACAGCCCAAGGTGCACGCTTCCTGCTCACATTCTCCGCCAGTTGTAAACGGAGCCTGTCCTCAAGCATCGTCGCAATGAAGACTAATACCGATGACTCAATGCGCCATCATGCCGAGGATGAGAATGCGCGTGGGAAAGGGAACAAAGCAGACACGGAGGATGACGGCCCAGCGTAAGTTTCCTCGGATTTCAGGACGCCCAGAGGCTGACCAAACCCTGAGATGCCAATCCTGTCGAAAGAAAAAGGCAAAATGTTCGAGAAAACAGCCCTGCTCGCATTGTGTCCGGTTCAGTAGGGTCCGTCAGCATCCAGGCAGAGTTGCTCTGATCGCTTCCAGATATTGATTGCGTGTATGATGATCACAAAGCCAAACCAGGATTACGAACAGGTGCAATAGAGAACCTAAGCCAAAGAGTCGGTAAGTAATATTACTTCCCTCCAGCCCAAGATAACATTTGACATGGTTGGGCAGTCGCCTTAGAAAACATGTTTCTTGGACAAGGAGTTTTATGGCAGCAAGTTTGGAATTGCCTCAACGCAGTCCAAGCACACACACCGTCGTCGGAATGCGGTATCGGGGGCGGAAGTGACTCCTTGAAAGAATGCACGGGTCGACTACGAGCGACTCTGTCAACTCTGTCAACGGACCCTAATTCAACAGGATACGTACCGCCATTGCAAAGTCCGCTCAAGCGGCGGCGGAAAGACGATGTAGAAGAACAACCCCGGAAAGCACCAGCTTTCCACTCAGAGACTGAATATGAGCTCCCTCCAGAAGATCTCATTGACTCGTTGGTTGAAATATACTTCGCGAACATACATCCGTGGATCCCAATCCTTCATGTGAGGCAGTTCCGCAAACGAATGGCCGTGCCTTCCCAACGGACGAAGCTCACGTCGATTTTTCATGCCATTGTATCGCTCTGTGTTCGATTCTCTTCCGATTCCAGACTCAGCAATGCTGATATCAGGAACACTTACGCGAAGCGAAGTAGGCAGACTGTCATTTTGCAGAGTATGGAATCATTCTCCGTCGAGAACTTGCAAGCACTTGTGATATGTGCATTTGATACGGTAGGACCCACCAAGCGTGCAACAATCTATCTAACAAGACTTCAGATTGGTAGCGGACGCGGACCATCCGCCTGGTCCATCGTTGGAAGTATGACGAGGACGGTCGAGCAGCTGCAGCTGAGCGTGGAAGACGAAGATCAACCTCGTGCAGCAGAACTGCTCATCAAACGTATGGCATTTCTACCTCCGGCCACGACATGGATCGAACGAGAGGAACGACGCCGCGTCTTCTGGAATGTATTTCTTATGGATCGCTTTTGCAGCATTGCGACTGGGTGGAACTTTTCCCTCACCAGTGCCGATGTCAAGCGACGGTTGCCATGTGAGGGGGCCTTGTGGGAAGAAGGCAAAGCTCTACAAACACCAACGCCATATTTCGGTATCGCGGACAAATCTTCTGGTGGAGGTGCTTTGCCAACTCGAAGACCGGAACTTGACGATCAAGCTTCACTAGGAGGCTTCGCATTCTCAATCGAAGCTTTGGAAAGTTTGAGTCTCGTGACCACTTTCTTCTTGAGACACGAACTAGACGTTTCCAAGGTCCAAGATGTACAGATGTGGCTGATGAGATTTAAAGAGCTTGATTTGAGACTTGTGCAGTGAGTTTAACGAGATATAATTTGGATTTAAGGCTTACAAGGCTCGTAGATGGAAAATATTCCTGCCTGAACAATGGCGAGAAGCATGTGCACGAAACGTTGACGGGATCATGGATCCGAATCTGACGCTTGCACACATAACGCACAACACTGCTGTGGGCCTACTGCACCAAGGAATTGCGTACCCTTCGCCTGAGTGGCAAGTATGCCCTATTCGATTACCTTCTGTCTCCAGCGCAGAGACATGCATGACAGCAGCAAAAGAAGTTGCAATCATCGCAGAAGAATACCTCCAAGACTCAATAATACCTACGAGCCCCCAATTTGCGTTCTGTCTCTTTATCTGCGGACGCATGCTTCTCGCACATGCACTCCACTACAACACTTCTCTCCCTACAGAAGTCAATTCCCTTATCAACAGCCTCCAAGAGCTCTCTCGAAGGTGGAACGGGCCCCACATCAGCGAAAACCATAGCAACGGGTCACCTAATCTTGCGTCCAAGTTTGCCGCAAGACTTGCCCAAGCTCGGGATCAAGGCCCACATGCGCTGGATATTCGTCAATCTGCCTATTCCGACGAACAAAGTCTCTCCCAAGAAGCTCCTCCCGCCTTACAATCACGCAACAATAACTTCCACAACAATCAAGGTAATTTATCCAACGATACTCGTCACACAGCGACAAACACCAATGACATCACACACGGTTCCCTCGTGAACGGGCAGCGGGTCAACGGTGATAGCGGCGCAGTTCTAGCAGATCAAGAAGGCTCACCAGATAGTATCTCGTTAGCATTCCCACCGCTGCCGCTTGCATTTCAACCACACTGTGCCAACGGCGTGCCCACGCGGATCTCCTCTCCGATTTCCAACCTGGCATACCCGATTCCAGGGAACGGTGAATACGGGTCAACCAACACATTCGCCGATTCAAACAATGGAGGGTATGACTTGTCCGGCAATGGCTTTGATGACTTGAACTCATTCTTTGACTATTCTTTCTTGCCGATGCAGAGGATAAGTGTGTTTTCTGGAGCAAGTGAGAAGCCGACGGAGCAGGAGCATTAATCTACTCTCGCTTAATCCCAGGGGCTGCGACCCCAACAACGGCAATCGGGCAGCGTCCTTTCTGACGTCGCATTCAAGCATAGCTAAATCAGAGGGCAAGAGAATTTCATTTATGTAAATATAATCTGTAAGTCTAAACACCCAATCAAAAATTTCCATTTCCCAGAATCTCCCCACCGATGCCCATATCTAACAACTTATTCCCGCAAAGCAGAAAGTAATAATCGGCATACACCAACCCATGCATCGCCCACCGTCTCGGCGCAAACTCATAGTTATTGATCGTTGCACCGGCCAGCACCGTTTCCAGACCATCTCCCATATCGACCTCCAGCTCGCCCGCCTCTGCTGACTCTCCGAGTTCCGCAGACGGGATTGTGACCTGCGAAGTGTGGAATGAGGCCTTAGGGCTTAAGCACCGCTCACAGACAGCTGTCAAGATGCGTAGGGCGCCATCTAGGTAAATACTTGGCTCGCTGCGTGCCATCACCGCTTCGTGCAGGAGCAGCATTCCGTGGCACGCTATGACCGCTGCGCTCGTATCAGTCGGGGTCCTCTCATCCCTTGGGCAGGTGAAATCCCAGGGTGGGATGCCACTCTCCGGCAGGTGAGCAAGGAAGTAGTCTGCGCAATTCCGAGCTGTGGTGAGAAATATCGGGTCCCGGGTCCAGAGGTACGTCTGCGCAAAGCCGGTGATAGCCCATGCTTGGCCGCGCGACCAGCACGAGGCGTCCGAGTACCCTTGGTTCGTCAACTTGGCTTTGACTGCTCCGGTGTGCTGGTCAAAGTTCACGACGTGGATGGTGGAGGAGTCGGGTCGGATGTGGTGGAGGCGGGTTGTGTGGGCGTGCGCGGTTGCTATGTCTCTCAGCTGGGGACTGCGGAGCTCTGCTGCCGCCCAGAAGAGGAGGTCAAGGTTTAGCATGTTGTCCTTGAAATCCATATCAGCGCATGGTTTCTAATCCCAAAACATCACCTTTAACTATAAATGGAGGTAGTTCAGAACTTACAATAATCACCAAAAAGTCCGACTTAGGATCACTAAACTCATACCGCTTCGTGATACACGTATCCCACGAGCGCAGACATCTCGTCGTGGCATTATACCGAGTAGCCAGCGTCTGTGCGGCTGTGATCAAGGTTTGGTGTGCTCGTTGGTCCCCTTCCAGTTCCCAGGCTTTGCGTGCCCAGGGCGAGATCATGAAGCCGAGGTCGTGCGTGCCTCTTAGACGGGCGTTCTGATGTAGGTTTGTCGTCCACCAGTTGCAAGCAAATCTAGCCCAAATTATCAGTATCAATGTCATATATAGGCACATTTCCTACGAAAGAGGGAATAACAGAGGAAAGGAGGGACGCATAGAAGTGAGGACTGTACCTCTGCTGCAAAATATGCAGCCCCATCGACTCCATTGCTAGTGGATATTTCCTCTCCCTCTCTAACAGCAAATACAAACTCCCAGGAAAGAAACCAGAGGTCCAGAACTCGAGGTCTCGATAAATGTATTCGTTGGAGCCAGGTTTCGTATATTCGGGGTAGAGAGTTGGGGGGCTTGACTATGGATGAATTGTGGATGTTAGCGGACATAGCTGAGGGGAAAGGGGCGAATTGAGGTTGTTCGCAGCGGAGCAGGCAGACGCACTTTGTTTAACGCTCGTTGAGCGATGCCCCAAATTTTTGCAGTGGTGGAAGGGGAGTAAAGGGCTGAGAGGGATGGGTTTGGAGGGAGAGATTTGGTGGTGGCGCGGAAGGTGGAGGGTGATTTTGCAAGATCAATGGTTCCTGTGTCCACGTTGCCATTTTTGCAAATCTGGAGGAGGGAGTCAGAGCACAATAATCTTTGATTGAGGATATGGAGAGAAGATGAAGAGATACCGGAAAAGAGACGTCAAATGGCTCATCTGTTTGAATCCTACTTCTCTTTTTTGAGGAGTGCATATTTCCTTTTTCTAGCAAAGAGTTGAAATAAAAATATTTGAAAACGACACAATCAAAAAGCGAGAGCAATTTAATTCAAAGTAAAGAGGAAGATGGAACAAGTTGCCCAAGAGATGGACATGGAGAGCGAGGTGGTACAGCGTCATTAGCCTCACCGAGCGCTGAACCGGAACCGGAACCAGATTCCCTTGCGCCAATCTGCAGTACCTATCCCAGACGGACCTCCCAGAGACTGAGAGTTTGTAGACTGACAAGGCGGAGGTAATTCCAACGCCACGTTGAAACATCTCACAAGTAACCGGCAGGGGGATTTCTGCCCGACCGGGATGCGGAGCATGTCTCGGGCACTCCGCCGGAGTCTTGGCCAAGCCACGGCCGTTGCGTGTGGTATCAAGCGCTCGCGTTGAAGAGGAGTCTGGCAGTATAAATCCGGATACGGCTGTATCGAAGATTAAAATTCAGTGTAATAGCGGGGTAAACAAAGATTTTTGTCATATCCAGCTCTTAGGGAGCATCCCATCCTTTTCGATCTCTTGCTTCTTTCAAGAGCTCGCAGTGGACAGAAAAAGTGGCACACATTTCAATGCCCCAAGTCTAAGTCCAACATTAAGCTGGACGTTGGAGCAGGAATGGACTTGGGGGACGAAACATTTAAAGATTCCTAAGACACCAAGACATTTGAAAGGACCGCCTTTGAATGTACGAGTGTGCTCAAGGGCACATTTTGTGGACAGTGGGAAGATACCTAAAATAATCCATCTTGAACCGGGACAATCAGTGCCACTTTTCCTGCCCACCACGTGAATAGCTTTAGGTTTCCATTCCGGAATTCACTGTTGTTCATGGACTGTAAGGCAGAGTGAATAATTGTATTAATTCAGGCACAAGTAACGCAGAAACCCAACCCCGTCTCCGCCTGGTGACAACCTCCCTAAGCAACTGCTGGATAACGTGCTCTCCAATTTGGCGAATATGAACTAGCAATAGAACCCCTCCCTTGAAGGCGTGGCTTTGAGAGAATCCCAGACCACGGGTAGGAGCAGTAAGTCACATTTCACCTAGCAAACGCTATTGCCTCGTGTCACAATAGTATTGTAACCGCCATACGCGAATATTTGAGTACCAGCATAGCGGCTGTTAGGCGTACAACCGTTTACAATAGCTTGAGCCATGTCTCCACATCAGGGGGTGGAACGGCGAGCTCGTTAGAATTCCGGCGGAGGAAGGGTTGGCCGAGACCGTGTACGCAGAGTGCAACTGAAAGAAAAATGTGGTATCGAAACGATGAGGGGCATTCATGGGATGCTCACATCATTGCAGAGCTATATTTCAGATGAGTAATTTGGGGAAGTTAGAGTTGCTAATGCAGGAACAGATCCCGCAGGTGCGTGGGCCTGCGTCGATGAACATCCATTCATTGATACTATTGAGATAGTCAATGCTGTACCCGGTTTGGCCAACAATTGCCGGAAACCAAGGTTGATCCTGGATGGGGACGCTGATAGGAGGTCCGGAATTGAGAATAGAGATTTCAAATTTCCCAGGGGCTACTCATTTGCCATGATTGCAAACTCACTATGGTACGAGTCTACAAGTTGAGTGGATCAACATGTGTCTTACTCTTGAACTCGAAGTCGGGATATTGTTTCTTGAGCTGACCCCAGGTTGACTGTTGTTTTCCAAATTAGAGGTGAACTCAGTGCAGGAGAATTGAGTGAATTCTTACCTGTAAGGTGCCATTCATCTCCATATGCTGGCAGTGAACCTGCCCTGACTACTTGAGTGGCTGGGCCGGATGTGGCAGGGGCGAAGCATCAGTACGGATGACGCGGAGAGTCAGGCCAGTAGAGTGGGCGGAGAGGGCCTGTCGTGTAATGAACCCATGCCCTACGAACACTATAGCAACTTGACCACAAGATAAATAAGAGCAAGCACACGGAATTACATCCTTTGCATAGCGCTACTTCCATTCAAATAATCGTGATCTCTTGATATTGCTCATCACCAAATATACTCTCCTGCGTGGAGTCAAGGTTGAAAAGCCCAACACGTTGAAATACCCCCTCACCAACCTCTTCCAGTATTAGTCCCACAGGTACACCATAATTGACTGTGTTCTTCTGCGTACTATTCATAACCTTAAGCAGCCGCACATTCTCACCAGACGATGAAGGATGCCGACAATCGAGTGAACAGTCACCAACTTCCTCATTATTGATCTTCACACGATTATCCCATGCCCCGCCCGTCTCACCATCAAGAACAAGCCTAAATTTGTCCCCTCTAATCTCCCCAGTCCGAAAAATTGTTGCCTGCTTCAAAAGTCCTGATACCTTGAGCTTCGCAGGAGCACTCATCTCTGGTGGAGTGAAACCGGATGTCCTCGGGTCAACCTCTATTATACGAAGGCTCTGCCCCTCGCTATCCCCCGATAGCTCACTGGAATAGTATGATACACCGCCGTTGTATGCAGCCCATGACCAGGAGGGAGCTTGGCGTAATCCTCCCTTCGATACCCTTGGGTAGCCTTGTGACATGTTTATGATATTTGGTTGCCACAATAAGCCCCTGACCAGATCATTCAGCCAAAGGCCGAACAGGTAATTGTCTTTGAGTAAAGCTCCTATTTCGACCGCAAGACCAGATATGGCAGGGAATTTATCCGACTCAAACGTGAGTTGGCGTCCCGAGAACATTGTCACCAGCGTATACCAAAGATTGTACGCTGAGCGAGCAGCAGCCTCATAACCGTTAACTTCCTTCATCGATGAGATCTGCTTAGTGAGCCCAAGTAGGTGTTGGAATTCAAGGGAAGCCATCATTGTATCCAGCTCCCCTGGCATATCTCGTGTAATGTCCCCTTCTTCTGAGCTATCGGTGGTGCAGCATTCAAAGTATATTTTCTCGGTTGTGAAATGAATGACGCGCCTCGAAAGTAATCGTTCCTGGAGGGTCCAGCCACGCATGTTCCATGGTGACATCCCAATGTCTTGGAACCATCCTCCGCCCCCAGCTCGTGATTGCGGTCGGATACAATACTGTCCAAGCGGGGAGCCATTTACAGAATGGAGTGGCATTTGAACAGATGCCCTTACTCCGCGGACGAGAAACCCTGAGTTGCTGGAGGATGATGATGTGGCGGCAATGACGAAATGAGCCGTACCGTATATACGACCCATTTTTCTAATCTCCACCTTCCAGTCATCTTCACTATCTTGGATAATACAGACGGAATCAATCCACAAGTACCTCAGACCCAGTGCTCGCGTGACAATGATTGCGTCTCGGAAATTCTGCGGAAGTTCAGATATCGGCATTCCCTCTAAACTATGTTCTATATTAGACAATAATGTCTTATATTGGTCTTTTGACGAAGGCCCCCAACAATGGCTAAGCGCTGCATAAACCCCAGTGATACCGTGAGTAATGTACAAGCGTGGATCACACGATCCATCAGGTGGTCCAACGTCAATAACACGAGTAGGTAGGTATGGCGGGTCCTTCTCCAGGCGGCATCTTTCGTGCAATTCCTTGCATTCTTCCATCCAGTCGGTAATACGCTGCAAGTTTCGAGGATCAAGGGCTGTTGGGAGTGGCTGAGGCTGCTTGATCTGGCTCGTGGCAGGGCTATCTGGAAGAAGGGGTCAGAATAGGCCTAAACTTAAGCGGGAAGCTGGTTATACCATTACAACAATAAAGGTTAAAGTAGATCGTAGTAAGAGATGAGGAATCATAAGCGCTATCTATTGGGCGGATTGAAAATTGCAAGGTCGTCATTCCCCTTCTACCTCCCACGGAAGTGATTTTGGCTCCGTATATCTGAACAATACTTTCGAATGGCTTCTTACCATCGGTAGATCTGGCGAACGGGTCACCGTATGAGCAGTGTGATTGGCACGAAGCTCGCAGAAGTCCACAAAAGGCACAGCCATCTTTGGTCGAGGCTTTAAGCTGGGGGAAATCAGGGAATGTGTCAAGCCGCTCGTAGTCAATGGAAAGGTCACCACCGGTTTTCAGGAAGGCTTCAGAGTGATCAACTGTGAGAATTAAACAGTATTTGCATGGGTTGTTGAAACAAAAAGAAGTCGCCATCTTTAATGCAAATTGTTTGCCGTGATTTTCCTTAGTGGAAAGTCAAAAATCCCAATTTATATGTGTGCTTTGTCACGTGGTCGACTTGTAACCGAGATCCCATCCGTTGACTTAAATAGTCGGACTTGACGTGGCGCTAAAGGGGCCCTTTAGCGCGACGTCAAGTCCGACTATTGAACCTCGTTTCGATATTTGCCGGCAACTAGGGAAAGACTAAAACGACCCCCCCAGGGTGTCGATTGGGGGCCACTAACCCAAAGTAGAGGCGCTCGGACAGGAACACCAAAACTCTTGCTTTTTCTTTAATTTAATACAATCTTAAGGAATTAATATAATTTAATAATCGTTTTATTTACTTATAGCCCTAATTAAGGGCTATTTAAATATAAGCTTTTTATAAGCTTTGGATTAGTAATAGCTCCTTAACTTAAGATTTTTGAAGAGCTTAGGTAGCCAATCACAAGTTTATCAACACCCCTAATCGACAGCCAGGGGGGGGGTTGTTTTAGTTTTTCCCGTCAAGAGCGATAACTTCAGCAAAGCCATGGTTCGGGGTTAGTGGTTATACGCGACGAGCCGAGGAGAGGAGACGGGGCGCGGGAAGCCTTGCGACCAGGCCAGCAAATACCAAAGATCTTTGTCAAGAGAGCCATGGCGATGTAGCCTGAAAAGGATCTACGGCCGATCAAGAATTTGGATGTGAAAATGAAAGATGGTTTTTGAAAGGTTGGGAGGGGCCGGTTTCTGCCACCGATCGCCATGCCAAGATGCAAAGTCCTTGCATCATGCAGTGCTGCGCCACGTCCTGAAAATATCCTCATTGAGTTAACTCGGCCCTTCTTCATGTCCGTCTTACTTGTTTATTCCTCGATTGAGCTAGGACAGTATGTATCTAGACGTCAAGTCAAAGGCGCATCAGCTGGTATATTTACTAAACCCCAATCACCTTCCCCATCTTCCGATAAGACATAATTACCACGACAGAGGAGAAAGCCAAAATGTCTCAACAACCGGCACCAGCTGGGTCGATGAGGATTTCAACCGCCGTTCCATTCGAGCAATTACGCTCACTTCTAGCCTCACCAGCAACAACCTCACCCGTTACAAAAGCCCAAGATCTCATCCAAATACTACCCCCAAGCAAAGTGTGCACAGTATGCTTGAACTTCGACCCATACCTGGCCTCCAAAAAAGGCGATTCGGATCAGCACAAACCATGGGCTGAAACAGAGTACAGAATTCCTGCCGGGACACCAGTCGGGAAAATCACCATCGAAAAGTCGAAATATCTAATTGATGCGGTGAAAGGTGGTTGCTTTTACTGTTCTATGGTCCAATCTGCAGTCGGGGCTGTATGTCCTGGGTGGGAGAAGGAAGGGTCATACATTCATATCTTTCTTGCGCTTAACTTGCCCGTGGTTGTGCGGTTAGAGTTTGGAGTTATTTCCACTTTGCCTATTGGCAGGGAAGCTGCAGAGGGCTTGTTCCGGGTCGAGTTACCGGTTGACCATGATTTAAATTTTGTTATTACGGTTGGTTCTGCTTCGGACACTTCGAAATCTGCTGTAGATGTTGAGATTTATCGACCTCGACTCGCTGCCGATCAGTCCACTATTGGTGGTATGTTGTCTAATTAAAATGGGAGCGAGGTTCAAGACAAGAGATTGCTAACGGGGATGCCTAGATATTGCCCTCTCAGCAGTTGTCCCTTACTTGGGCTTTGCAGAAGATATACCGAGACGTGTTGGCGATAAAAGATGCCTAACCTTCATACAAGGTCAATTGTCCCGCTGTCTCAACGAACACAACTGTTGGGCTCGTAAATCTTTGCCTTTCCTTCCAGATCGCGTCATCTGGATCGAAGCCAACAATCCAAGTCGTATTCAGCTCATAGAGCCAAAAAGCGTTCGTGCTATATATCTTGCACTCAGTTATTGCTGGGGATCTGTGAACTCAGATACTTACTTAACAGACGCGTCCACATATGAGGCAAGGAAGGCTGGAATGCGGTTGGACGACTTACCGCCTCTTTTTCAGGACATTATTGAGTGTGCTCGTGCGCTTGGTATTGAATATATCTGGATCGATCGATTGTGCATCATCCAGCAAGATGATGACGATTTCAATAAGCAGGCTCCAAAAATGGGAGAGATATACGGAAATGCCACTGTGACCATAGCAGCCGCTTCTGCTAGTTCCGAAATGGATCGTATCTTGGTGGAGCGAGATCGCAAATGGTCCCCTTTCGACATAAGCATGACTGTCAATGGCATTGGGGCTTTGAAACTTCAATGTCGGAGGCGATCACACCCTTTAGGGAAGGAGGACACGGGAGGCGATTATGGCAAAGTGTCTACCAGGGCATGGATATGGCAAGAACGTCTCCTTGCTGAAAGAACGATGTTTTTTACTCCCTCTGCCTTGAAGTTTGAATGCCATTGCCATTCTGTTTGGGAAGGATTCGATCAGGGGGTCACAGGCCACTCATGGTCCGCGCAACTGGAAATCATATCACACAGCTCATGGACATCGTTGGTGGAGGAATTTACGAGAAGAGACATCACTCGACCTTCAGACCGGCTCCCAGCCATGGATTCTGTCATGAAGCGCATTCAAAAAAGTACTGGTTGGACGCCTCTTTGGGGTTTGTGGGAAGACATGCTCGTGGAAAGTCTGGGCTGGGAAGCACAGCTCCCAGAACGCCATGGAATGCATTCATGCCGCATGAACCCTGGCCATTACGCTCCGACCTGGAGCTGGGCAAGCGTTGATGGCCCAATTTCGTACATCTCTACTAAACCTTCGAACGTTAGCTCCCAAATCGACCCCTTCACCTATGACCTAGATTGTCGAAAGGTCAAGGCTACTCCTCCGGGTTCGATCACAGTGGCTAGCTACCTCGTTCCAATCGAGCTCAATGTTATAGTAGAGCGTAATGAGCCCTCCGAAGGAAACTCGATCGAACATGAAGAATTTACGTATGATTATGTGGTGAAAGGCTCAAATAGAGTCGGCCCAGAAGATGCTACACTTAAACCCGATGTTGTCCTGAAACCGTGGAGCGGTAAGATCAGTGGACAGCTGATATCGACTGTTGTACGAGTTCCATATGGAGAGACTCCTCCAAAGACATCTTGGACTGGTACCTGCCACTGCTTATTAGTCGGCAAGACGAAAAGACGATGCCTTGTTCTCTATCTGGGCCGCTCGCTGGAGAATCCAGGTGCTTGGGAACGAATTGGAATGGTGGATGGGATATCACCCACTATCTTCTCGATGTCTCAAAGGCAGATAATCGACATTTTTTAATTCCTCGCTAATTTTGGAGGTATGCCTTTGAACCCACAAGTCCAAATACTACCACAAATGACTTAGACCTTCGTGGTTACACAAGCACGGCCGCCGAGGACGTGAAACTGACAATGCCAGCATACATAACATTCCACTCTCCCCTCGGCCATCCCCATCCATTTCTCGCCTCAGAACTGCGAAAAATACTCTTCGACACGTCCACTATTGTCCTATCCAACAAACTCACGCGACATCGATCCCAAGCCAACAATGTCATGGACGTTCCCTCGTGGCCGCCTTTCTCGGGAACATGTAAAACGACACCCCCCACCCCCGGGTGTCGATTGGGGGTCAGGGTGTTTTGGGACCTTATAGCAGTCACAGGGTTTGGCGCTCACGAGTGGCCATTAGTATAATTGCAGACAACGATCCTCACTTTCCCCCTCTTTGCATTTCCTATTCACTAGCTCTTCCAGTTTCTCCACTTTTGTTCACATTTTCAATACAACATGAACACGTCCCTCCTCGTTGGCTCCGATTTAGAAATACACGCTTGCATCTGTCGTGCAACTTCACTTCGGATGTCGCTTGCGCCTGATTGGTACCATTAATACGAGACGAGGCCGAAGTGCTGCAGTAGATCGTTAATTCTCCTCACGTGGGTCGAACATAGGGATGGCAAAATTATATAATTTAGGACTTCAATATGGAGAATGCGGCTCTAACTCGTAAGTCTTGGCAGTTGCTGTAACAGCCTGGGTCTGGAGCCATGTTTGCTTGAATGGAAAGGTAGTGGCATAGCAACGGGAGGGCGATGTAAGTAGACGGCTTTATAGGCTTTACATGCTGACGGATAGCGCAATGGCCCTATAGATATCGCTAGAGAGGACAGCACTTTAGGCTATCAAACCCCTAAGCCTGGTTGCTCTGCCATGTCTCTATGGCGTCCTGAGGCCTAGCACTCACCCCTGCCAATTGCAAGACTTATGGTCATGTCCTTCGTACGTAACGCAATAAAATCCGCTAGACATGATTATACTATTATTATTTCCCTATAAACTTGGATAGGGGGCTCTGGCTAATAGGAGCTCCGAGTAAGAATATCAGAATTTTTGCCTTAAATTATGCTTGGTTTGTACTTGACTTATTCTTAAATTATGCTTGTGTTATGTTTAGAACGTATATAATTTTACGCATTGAGTTATGCGCTACGTATTTGGCGACTTGATTATTATATAATTTCGCTGGACTTGATTATTATACAACTAGCCATCGTGCTAATTCTGGGAGCTCTAGGTCTTATCTCTACTAATACTGGGACCTTAATGGGCTAGGGGCATGGCGTTACGCGCCTTCGGCGCGCAACGGCGTGCGGAGCATATAGGTATACCTTAAGCGTGCTTGTCGTAATCGAGGCTCCTTGTGTAATGCTAGAAGAGCTGGTAGACAATTCTGAAAATGCAGCCAAGGATATCGAACTACTCCTTATTGCAGCAGCCGTACGCGTATATTGAGGATATACTTTTTTAAGCGATTATGGGGCAAGAGAGGGACATGCTTCTTGCTCACCTTTTGTATGCGTACCGGGGCTAAAGAATAGCCGAAAAAGAAAGCCTTACCTAATAATAAAATTACAAAAATTAGCTTGCTAAGTGCGGAGGAAGGGGGCTAGAAGGGAATTAAATTCTCAAATACATAAGTATCTGTTCTAGGGTCTATCCAGAGAGGGTATTTATGCGTTCTAATCAGAGTTGGCCCCCTGTCATTTCCCCTTTTTGGCCTATACCCATGTTTCAGGAATGCTACGCGAGCAAAACAGGGGTGTTGCAGGGGTTGACAGGGTCACACTGTTTTTCTTTCCAACAGACATAGTTCTAAGTCGCCACATAACACAGGTCTCCCAAACTAATGGATCCACTCGGCCCGAATATTAATACCGAGAGATTGAAATGATGATGCTAATCGGGAGTGTGTATATGTATGTCTGATACTAGGTTAAAGTATTTATTGAAGTTGCAGCAGCTTGATATTTTTATGATTTACAGCCGTCCAGTGAGGACCCTGAACTGTTCGATCACAGGTAAGGGGAGACAATGTATCAGACACGGGATGGTCTTGGGAATCCCTCTATATCCTGCCTGGGAAGAAGTCATTGTCCCCCCCCCCATTTCTTCGACAGTCTTTTGTTCAAATTGCTGCCCGTCTGTATTTAACCCCCTTGACTGCTGCATAGAAACTACCGACTACATTCACCGAATTGTTTCATTTGAGCCTGCTTAGCTTCACGCGTTTAGGTACCGAGCTTATTAAGCTATATACATCCGATAAAAGTAAAGAACGCAGTTCTTAATTATATAACTTTTTGTCGGACTATGCGTAGGGGCGATTCAGCACCCGAAACGAAAATTTAGCTCAGATGTCCGGCCACACCTCATTTCTCCTCTTCATCTTATTATATTACAACATAACCAACATTGACTGCAACATTAACTTACCTTCTTTTGACTTTCAATCATGGGTATCAAGATCGATTTTCAAGATGAAGCCCCACTGCCATGTTTGAGTAATGAACAACAGGAGAAGGTTCGCACGCAATACCCACCGAATAAAAGCCACGCTAACCACCACCAGCACAAGTCTTCCCTCTACCACCTCAACACACTTTACCTTTTCTCCAAAGCCAACATAAAATGTGTGACGGTCCCACAAACTCTCTTTGCCCTCTCTACCGCGCTCTCAGGCCCTCTTCTCACAACAAACTCCACACCTTCTCTCCTCTCAACCCTCTCTCATCTCCCAATCCTCCTTCTCTGGATTAGCATCAACCTCCTAATCTGCGATATCTCGAACCAGCGCCTCCCCTCCTCAATCATCGAAGACTCTTTAAAATAAATCATGGCGCCCTATTCCCTCCGGCCGGATAACGCCCGACTCAGCAAGACGCCTCCTGTTCGCCATCCTTCCACTCTCCCTTATTCTCTCAGAATATCTCGGCAACTCCCAAGAAACGCTTTCAATCGTGGTCTTGGCATGGGTCTACAACGATCTCGGCGCTGCGAACGAGAATTTTCACCTCAGGAACCTCACCAACGCATTGGGTATTGCAGCCTTCAACGCTGGCTCCATCGTCGCTCTTACTGGTGCTTCTGGACTGAATAACATGGGATATGGATGGCTGTGTATCCTCACTGCCGCAATTTGCTCCACGATCTCAATCCTCGACCTGCCAGATATAGCTGGGGACTCGGCTCGCGGACGGAGGACGATGCCGATTGTCTATGGACATGAAGTCGCACGCTGGCGACTCGCTGTCCCGATTGCGTTGTGGTCTGCTGTCTGTCCTCTGTTTTTGGGTGTGGGGGTTGCGGGATACGTGTTCAGCGTGTGCTTGGGGTTGGGATTGTCGCGTCATCTGTTGGTTTTCAGGACGCAGAAGAAGGATGAGCTTAGTGAGAAGTTGTGGTGTGTATGGTGTATGATGCTCTATTGCTTGCCATTATTTACCGGTGGGATTACTGTTATTTGAATCTTTTATGGCGTTGTGATATAAAGGTTGGATGTGTGGCGGTGATCAGAGTTGGTAACAATTATAGAATTAGAAAAGCAGGAATACAACATGAGAAATAAAAGATAACGAGTTTGCTTTTAATACAGATCTGTAAATGAAAGTGCTCGTTTATTAATATTTCAGCCTCTCTAGCAGGGCTGAAGCGCGAGGTTGAGTGTGTCTATTAAAAGTATTCCCCCTATGTACTAAAATAAGGAATTCTTCTCCACTCAACTTGCAAACTCTGTTTGTAAGTTAGAACATGGCTAAACTAACCCTCCATATGGTGTAGAGATTAAACTAGCCAAAAAGCACACAAGCTTCAACATTAACGTCCGCAATTGATGTTGAACTAACAGGAAACCCCCGCTTCCCCTACTTTGTACGTACCTGGTTTCGCCCACTTCACAGGGGAGGTAGAAAGGTTTCTCCTGAAAAACTCAGTTCGTCTTGGTTTCCTTACACCCTACCCCTGCTCCTCGGAGTTTGGGAAGTTGGCAAGGTTTTTGCCTTTTGCTTCTTTTATTTAGCGTGTCGCGTACAAAGCCAAAGCAGCGACATACTCGTGGTGAGGATATATTCTTGGCAGAGAACTAGACAGAGCGCTAGTTCTGGGAGTTCTAAAGCTTATTTCTCTACTAATATTAGGACCTTAATAGGCTAGGGGCACGGTATACAGGGCATAACTACATACAAAGCACATTTATATTCTCTACTAATACGAGGACCTTAATAGGCTAGGGGCACGGCGTTCAGCGCCTTTGGCGCCTTACAGGAACGTATATATACGTATATCTTAAGTACAGGAAGCATACGTATATTCTTGAGGATATATTTCCTAAGCTATTATAAGTAAGGGATAGAGGGACGTATGTCTTGCCCACCTTTTGTATACGTACCGGGGGCTAAAGAATAGCCGAAAAAGAAAGCCTTACCTTATAATAAAATTACAAAAATTAGCTTGCTAAGTGCGGAGGAAGGGGGCTAGAAGAGAATTAAATTCTCAATTACATAAGCACCCGTTCTAGGGTTTACCCAAAGAGGGTGCTTATGTATTCTAATCAGAGTTAGCCTCCTGTCATTTCCCCTTTGGGCGTACACCCATGTTTTAGGAATGCTACGCGAGCAAAACAGGGATGTTACAGGGATTGGCAGGGGCACACTGTTATCGTATCTATTATGCCAGGGGGTTCCCGCTAAAACGCCACGCCTCAATCTCATTGGTAGCGATATCATTTTGTGGCACAGAACACATTATGTAACGAGTAAGCAAGGAGCTCCAAATCATCAATATCCTGAACATCAGATTCATGCTCCACGCGTCATTCCAACAGCACAACTCTCGATGTTGATTAGCCACCCCCATCCTCGTCAGAGACCGACGGCCTCACGAGCATCTAAACATCAAAGGTCCCAATGAAAGTCCCCTCTCCCCGCCAAATTGTGACCTCTCCCGCCAGCCGCGCGCTAGTTGCAACGGCGATCGCCTGGCTCGTCGCCTTCATTTACTGTCACGGGCGCTACTGGCGCGATCCGCACTCCGCCTTCTTCCAATCTGAGACCGTCTACGAACAGCACTACTCCAAATACCGAGCCTCGCAAGCGCAAGCCTTCATCGAGCACGCTACGACAGACACAAAATTAGGGAAGGTGAAGGGGACACCGGAGATATGTGCAGCGTTTGTAACGGTTAAGAGGGAGACGACGCAGTATGTTGATAATGCGGTTGCGTCTGTGATGGAGGGGTTAGCGGTTGGAGAGAGGGAGAAGCTGCTCTTGTACGTGCTGTTCGCGGACACGGAGCCAGGGATGCATCCAAGTTGGAAGCAACCGTGGTTGGAGAACTCGGTTGATTTGGCAGTGGGGTACAATGTTAGTGAAGGTGTGATGAAAGATCTGAAGGAATGGGAGGAGAAGAAGGAATGGCATAAGAAGGGCCTGTTGTACGTATATTGCTCTCCCAATTCGTCCGGTTCTGCATGCTGATGTCTCTTCGTCCACAGTGACTATCTTTACGCCCTCGAATTCTGCCAGAACACCGATGCCCCGTACACCGTCATGTTCGAAGACGACATCATCATTGCCGCGGGTTGGATGGCCAAAGTCCGCCAATCACTCGACCAAATCAAGACAGGCGCAGTCACCAACCCCTCCCTCCGAGACTGGCTGTACCTGCGACTCTTCTACACAGAAACCGCCTTAAGCTGGGAAACCAAGGCTGACTACTGGTACGGGCACATGGCATACACCTTCCTCCTCGCCTCATTCTTTGGCGCAAGTCTCCTAATAGCACTTCGGCTCCTCGTCCCCCGAACACAGCGCTATCTCGACGACCCTACCATTTTTGTACTGTCAGCGATCACGATCCCCGCTTTCGTCGTCCTCGCCTTTATGATAGGCAAATACTCACTCTTCCCGCTCCGTGGCGTGGTAACGATGAATGTGCACGGCTGCTGCACGCAAGCTCTCTTATTCCCTAAGGAACAAATCCCAGCGTTGATAGAGCATTTGAGGGGCATCGGAGCTGGACAAACGGACATGATGATTGAGGAGTATGCCGACCATACGGGGAAGCAGAGGCTAGCGATGGGAAAGCAGGTTGTGCAGCATGTCGGGCTGGAGAGCTCGAGAGGCAATAACTTTGTTAATGGACAGAGTACTTTCGCATTTTGGTTTGAAGAGTATGATAGCAGAAGGTTGGAGAGGGAGCATGACGAATTATTAAGGATGGGGTTTGATTGATTGGCCATTATCTGATATCCTCGGTGTATATTGTATAACAGGGAAATATCTTCTTGCTGGTCATGATAGGCATGCGAAAAGGTGCTAGGTTTGTACGGGAAGACGTGATGAAATATTCCTCGGTTACATTCGACGCCTCACTTTGAGGACGGAATCCGAGAGAAATTTCCAGCTTCTCCTTAAGCAACAAGCGTTGCAGACACTTTCTTATCTGCTGCAAGGTCATTTATCCCTTCACGTCTGTCCCGGCCAGTCAGTCAGTCTCGGAGAATTTCTTGCTCTTCAAACGTTTTCACTGCGCGTTGCTAAATAAGGATTCACTGGCACAAGTAATCACACGAATTACACTCGTACAAGATTGTTGGGGAATCCTGGGGAGGTTCCATTCCCCCCTTGCAGTCATCATCTCATATCTCTCTGCTGCTATAATACCAGGTCGGACGTACCAGCCACCAGCCCAAAAACAAATCAAGTGAGAAGGAAAACAGCTCACTCGACCGCAAGGTGATGAGTCGCGTAATAAGCATCCGCAGAGACGAAACCAATGAACATGACCAAGAACACAAGCCCAAAACCCAATCCCACCCAGTCTTTATGCATATTAGCCTTTACTCTCGTCCACAGAGATCTCCTCGTCCCATCAATTTCTGTTCTACCCCAAAAATCTCTTGTCCGAATGGCGTTGTTGTCCTCAGGACCAGCCTCAAGATCGACATTCTCAAAGGCTCGCATCTCGATATCTCTGCCTCGGTTGTGGTGCATGGTCCGCACGGAGGGTAGATCTTTGTTGAGATTAGGAGCACGGAGGATGGCACGGGGAGGCGTTGACGGGCTGCTGTCAGGATTCTCGTATTCTGGATGCAGCTCCCGTCGAATGTACGAATCGTTTCTTCTTGCGGCACGCGGTGGTGGGTTTGAAAGGCCAGACAGAGGAGGTGGGGTAGATTTTCGTCTTCCGCGCTTGTCCCAGTAGTTCGAGACCGAATCAGACGGCGCCACGGGTTGCTGATCTTTCGCTCTCGGTCGATATGTCTCAGAGGACAGCTGTTCCAAAGGACTGGGAATGGGGAAACCGTCGTCTCTTGCACCGTAGCCGAAGTTACCTTGGTTTTGATAGCTCGCGATGCCCTCCGAATTATCAGTTGGTTGCCTACCCTTACCCTTGCCTCTTCTCGTATTCTTTGGAGAGATGTCTGAAGATCCTATCTCGCTTTCCTCAGAATTGAGTATGGGAGGGCCGTTGCGAAAGCCGCATGAAAGGCAGTAGCCGCCGAGGATGGGCTGGCCGTTTAGGCACTGTGGGCACTGCGAAACGGGACGGCCTATTCTCGTCTCTCTGTCTTTTCCCGTGCCCTTACCCACGAACGGGTTTGTGAAGTTAACCATTGGTGCTGTGATCTTTGGTTGTTTCGGATGGAGTGAGGGTCTAGTAGATTTCTGGGTTGGAAGAAATGCGTGATGCTGTAATGGACTGAGAGAGTTTCTGAAAGTAGAGGAGAGCTTTCAGCTATGGAAATGGTTTCGCTTTTAAAGGTACCGTTGGGTCGCTGAACGGTGTTTGTTCTTTGATGCAAATAAGTTGTTCTCGATGTTTCTTGGTTATGAGAGCAGAACATTCTTCGGATTGGTTCTCTAACACATGAGGACACTGTCAGGACAAGGACTTGAACAATGCCCTTGTATTTGCTTTGCGGCTCCAATAAAATTTGTTCTATTTCGAACAAAGATATGTATAAATTTATTCTTAAATTTAAGAAAGAAAATTCAATTAGAGTGTTCATGTTCGCACAAAGCAATTGTTGGGTACCTAGCGGCCAAGCTCGCTAAAGCTCCCTTTTAGCGACACATCGCTTGTTCAGGGGCGAGATCGCTCTCGAAGACACTAAAATTGCAGTGCTTTCAACGTGGATGGTTGCCTTAGCGAGACTCACCTAGCTCTACTTATCACTCCTCGCATACCATCAATTGGTAACCATCCTCGCTCCCAATTATTTTCCAACAAGTATTCCACGCCAAACTACTTGTATCTGCCTCGTGTGAGCTAAAATTGCAGTGCAGGCTGCCCGAGGAAACGGGGAACATAGCTGGACCCAGTCCTATCGCACATGTCCATTGGGCAGGCTGTAGCCGCAGCTATTTCTCACCTGTGAAGAACGCACGGTGAGCACTGTTATCCCAAGAACGAACTGTGGGGAAAGAGGGGTTTGGTTCACGTGATCTAAGGGTATTCTGAGGACCGGGCAAAGGATTACGTCTGAAGAACTTCCATGATTAAATTACTGGAGAAAACAATTTGGTCCTGGAATATGTCAAAAAGTGGATTTCGTCCGAGATTCAAAGTTCTTAAGCGATCAAGTCTTGAAACTCTCAACCATCTCTTCTCGAAAAAAAAAGTGTCCGATCACTTCAACCATATTCACTTTACAAAGAATAAAAACTTCTCACGAAGCAAAACGAAAATCAAGCCTAAATCTTGTATTAGTACCTCTGATCTCATTGACATCGAAGGAGAGCACCTACCGTTTATTCCCCTTGTCCTTCGTTGTGGCAAGGTAATTCAGCTTCTGCTCCCTCGTCATAGAATCCCAGACGCGATCTCGCTGACTGATTTTTTATTAGCCTCTTCCATTCCCCGCATTAATGAGAGAAATCCTACTTATTCTTCAAAGTATAATAAACCTTCGCCCCGATGAACAAGCAAACGTTATACGCCGCAAGACCAAGCAGCACCTTATTGCCCGTGTAGTAGAGCGGCTTATCCTTGTTCTGGTAGATCTGAGTTGAGATAATGTTGCTGGTCTGCACGGCCATGTTGTACAGACTCGAGCCAACGGTCCTCGTCCTGACCGTTCCGGCGTTACGACTCGTGATAGCCACTGCCAGCTATTAGCATCACCTCCAAAGTCAAATCACTCCCCTACAACGTCCTTGACCCACAATCAGTAAAGAGAATCAGAAGAGTACTTACCCAAAATAGCTTGCACATAAGGATACCCAACAACCAGCGAACTAATCGCATACCTCACCCAATTGCTGTGCGGAAACTTCTGCGGCAAGGTCTCGAGCGCAATCAACAATGGGATTACCCATACTTGGCTCATCAGTCCTACCAGGAACCTTTGGTTGATTTTCTCGGAGATACAGGTCCAGAACTGCAATTGGAGGATGAAGAGGACGGATGAGGGGATCACGAGGAGGTTGGTGTTGAAAGTTGAGAAACCGAGAGCTTTGAGGGTCAGGGTTAGGTAGTTCATTGGTGGTGTCTGAGGGCGGGGGTTAGCGAGAGGGGAAAAGGCGAGTGACCGGGGAAAGTTACCATGGGGATTGTCCATGTTAGGCCAATAAGGTAGATTGGCCACCTGTCGATATTAGATGAACATTTCAGAGAAGCTAGCTGATGGCAACGACTTACATATCGTAATCGGAAAGACTGGCCCATAACAAACCCGGAGTAATTGCTTGTCTCTGGATCTGCATCAGCGGTTGTGCTTCTAGGGAGAGGAAATGTGACAGACGTTATGCATAGTCGACTTCCCTGGGTCATCGCGCAAGATACGCGTAACCATGATCACTTCCTCTCTCTCTGTAAACCATCCTCTCTTACCACGCAAGTATCCTTTGAGTCCATGGCTCTTCGTCTGAGTCGGAGATGGAGGAAGATAGAACCATGCCAGAATACCGAGCAAAGCAGTAAGACCGCCTTCGATTGCAAAGAGGTATCTCCATCCTTCACCTCTCAAGCCGGAGTGCCCACGTAGGTGCAGAATTCCATAAGCGAGGAAGGAGGAGACGATATTGGTACTCATGTAGGAAGTCCAGAACCATGCGAGGCGAGCAGGCAGTTCTTTGTTCTTGTAGAAATAGCTCAGGTAGAGGATAACCTATCGCTGTGAGTAATCTTGATGGTGTATATTCTAATTATGGAGAGGCCTTACATCAGGGATAAACCCTCTTGAAGATCAGTGAGTCAGTTTGGAAGTTTTGAGAGCAGGTTCCGCGGTGAGGTTGTACTTACCCCTCAAGAAGTCCAAGCAAGAATCGGGTAATGTAGAAGGTATTGCGACCTGTAATGAGACACTGACAGATGGCGACTATGCTCCACAAAACCATTTGAATGCTGCACGTCTCATGTTAGTGCACACCCAGCTTCATAATTCCGAGCTCACTTACGGAATCCAGTTGTCAGGCCCAACTTTCTTGCTAATGAGCTGAGAAGGAAGTTCTGCTGTGAGGAACGAGACATAAAAGATTGTCATGCTATTGTTATAATCATTTGTATTCATTTTGAGATTATCTGTTGCACATTCCATTAGTGGCCCTGCGAGAAACTGCGGAATTTCTTTAAGACTGACTCAGCATATTATCAGATAGGGCTTGTGAAATGTTTCCTCGATCTAGCTGCAGTGCGAAGAAGAAGGTGCAAGCCGGGAGACAGATCCTCCAGTCAAGCTATCAAAAGATTATTAAGTATATTCGGTATACTACATGTTTACCTTCGATGACTTACAGTTCTCACCAGTGCTTTCTCTTCCACAGCAGTCCATGTAGCATTGGGGTCAAACCGATGAGCGCCCTCATACTTTTCAATCGGCTGATAGAACTGCGCAGCACCGGAATCATCAAAGACACTCCCATGAATGTTGTGTAGTGTCGATGTCTCAATGTCTTCGGTCGACGCAGTGTTGGACGTCGCTACCGAATCGGGATCCACGGGTGCGAAACTGATGTCTTTTCCGCCAAGCTTCCACCAGGGGCGATGGGTGGTCTTGGAAGTGGTAATGGCATATATTGCCCCCGGCTTTCCGAGGAGCCCAGGGTCGGAGAGCTTCTCGTCGGCTGCGGACATGTTGGCCAAGCTGCTCGGAGGTAATGGAGTGCTTCAATTTGTTCTTGGCGTGCCAGTGTAAACAAGTTGCAAGACACTCTCGAAATTCCGACGACTGCATGACCAGCTTCTCCGCGGGTACAACCATTTTAATATCCCCCAAGGAAGAGTGGGGAAGATCTTGCCCCTGGAACCATTTCCAGATCGTTGGGTGGAGGAACGATGCTTGCGAATTTCATCATTTGCAAGCGCGATCACGAATACTTAGATCCATGTGCAGCTCACACAACAACCAATAACACTACAAGGATACAAGAAATCGTGGGGAATCCTCATCACTCAATTTACGGCGCAATGACGAATGGATAAGAAATGCGAAATTGATTCGTGAGATTACAGATGAGGACAGAAAGGGCAAATGGTTCTTGAAGGAGCTCGCTCCGGCGTGGATAACAAGTCAGGTAATACTTCCCCAGACCTCAAGTAACCATGACTTTTGGGCAAGAATTTGACATGCAAACCCATTTTGAGTTCCTCTTGGCAGTCTCGTCATCTTGGGTTCCCAATCGGATCACATCCTTCGCGCCAACGTTGTGAAATCCTTCTCGACTTCGGACCCGAGATCCACCCACTTGGTCTTGGGACGTGATCTATTCGGGGGACAGATTGGCAACCGAATGCAGTCCGCCAGGATCCTACAAGCATGTAGGTGGTCTGCATTCGGTCCATAGCCACGAAAGAGATTGGACCGGTTTTAGCCTGCAGTTCAGTTAACCTGTTCTCGAATCACAGCTATTGAGATCGGCTTTTCCCAAAGAGCATGGATTTCAGGCGATAAATGCGACCTGTTGGTACCTGGAAAGGATTTCCCTAGGTGTACAAATCTGTCACTGGAAGCTGCTCACCAGGGTCTTCGGTGCAGTAGATGATTCGCATATGAAAAGATGGTCAACTTTGACTTACATCGCAACTGGCTCAAGCCCGGACCTCACTTGGGACCAGCTCTTTTCAAGTGAAATTAATTTATATCTGTGTACAGTTTATTTATCATTACTTCCTCTTCACTCTCTTAATTCCCCAGCGACATCCCAGCGGCAGTAGCAACAAACGTCGCCGCTTCTGTTGCATTCATTGAGTACGTAAGATGTGCAAGCAATATGAGGTCCCCATGCTGGCAGATATTATCGTCTGGATGGCAGATGACCTTTGTCCTCGAGGAAGCAGCACCAGTCACAGCTTGCCCGAAATCTGGGTCCCCGAAGATCACAACGGAGCTGACTTTTGCCATCGTGCTTGCGGGTAGCAGCTTCGCGGCATTGTGGACGAGCTGTCCGCCTTGGGAGTATCCGCTCATGACAACTTTGGTGTTGGGACATGTCTTCAGTGTATTCATTATCATGGTTGCCCTGAGATGTATCAGTTACGTTCGAAAAAGGAGGTATTCGAAAGACTTACATCGTCTGACTACCCGTCGCATCTCCGCCCTGCAAGAATCCCTCAATACTAGCTGGATACTCCACGCCCTGAACCTCCATTGACTTGGCACCGATGATAGAGGTTATCGCATCAAAGAACGGTGGACCAGTAACGAGTCCAACGTTCCCAGGTTCTGTTGTCCCGCGAGCGAATACCACTCTCATGTCTTTGTATCCGGAGACCCCGTTCTCGGTTACGTCGACGTTCAGAGTTTTGGTGAGAACGCCTTCGAAGTCGGTCAGAACGCCGGAAATGGCGGTGACGCTTTGTCCAATGATAGGAACCATGCCGAGTCCAGCGAGGAGCCCGTTGATAAGATTTGAGGCGTCTGCTATTTGCGCGGCTGTGGAGGCGGCGGCGGCGGCTACCATGGTTGTATTGCTTGCTTGTGCATCTTGGGGGACTGGAGCTGCATAGACGCAACTGAAGATGGTGATGGCAGTAAATGATACTAAACTGGTATGCATCTTGATCGAAGATTGGTTTCGAGCTCGTGTGTAATAGAGTTGATGTTGTGATGATGCTGAAAGTATCGAGCAGACGCGGTCTAGATATATTATTTCTTGGAGGATCATGAAGGGTCAATAGTGGTCTACTACATCATACAGAGTCAGAGGATTGATGTAACCACTGCATATTCGCTCTCGTATGAATATTCCCAGGCACACTAGAAAGGAAATCTAATCTCGCCAAATGAGATAATGTATTTCAGCGTCTTCCTTCGATCTCGAGAGTGAGTGGCGTCTAAGCGGCTCACAGAGAGACGATCTCGCCTGAGAATGTCGATACACATTTCTCGTGATTGACGGGAGAGTACCCAGACAGATGATTAAATCTGACGATTTGGCTCTGTGCGGAGCCAACCGGGAAGCAAGATAGCTACGGGGGCAAGGCATCAGATACATCACTGTTTCTGGAGCAACTAGGATGTACTCGGCGATGCTAGATACAAGTGTCGTAATTCTGAATTGAACACGGATAGCCATGTCTTCTGCAAAGGAGAGGGCATCAGCCAATGTCACGAAGACTTCATGGAGCTGTACATGACCTTTCCTGGCTGAGAATGTGCTGAGACAACAAACCAAGCTGGAAAATGGATGGTTTCGTCCATAGCCTGAAACTATATGATCATGAATAAATCAGATTGGTCAAGCATTTCGCATCAAGATCGACCTGAAACGAAGCGAGGCTAACTCTCACGTGATCGTGCTCCCAACCTCGAGACTTTGTCGTTTGTTAAACGAGAACCATGCAAGATTGAGGTTGATAATTGGACACCGATGTTGACTGCCTGGAAAAGCTGGAGGCTGCCACTTGGCGCCGTACACATGCTATTATCCAGTGGCGGCCTCAAGTCGACATCTTCGTCCACTGCTCTCACCGCTAGATATGACGGCCGAGCATGGATTGTATAAAGAGATCTAAAACTCATTCCCACCCAAGACTTCTCTCTCAATTAATGACGTGAAATTGTGCTCTTGGCGAGCCTATCTTCATCAGAAGTACCGTGGGTTGCGAGATGCTCAGCGATGCCAAGAGAGAGCGTGAGATCAGATGGATTCTCACCGATCACGCCCTTCAGAGTCATCAGGTTCGAGGACATTACTCAGCTTATGTCTATTCGGGGATAGTGGGCTTGGAGTCGATATTCGCGTTCGCTTCGGCAAGTGTTGCATGCCTTGCGACGAGATACTGGGCAAGATGCAGAAATCTCCTCTTGCGAAATCGAGCCGTGACATTTGTAACTCCTCGAAGTGCCGAGGAACATTTTTACACCGATTAATTCAAACCCAAAGGGGCAGAGACATTGTTCGAAGTTGGATCGCTTGGCCTCACATCAGATCCTCTTAAGCTTGGAAGATATTGGTTTGGTCCTCCCATACGATAATCGATCAATTCGCAGTTTTAAGTCTTGGATTAAAAGACTGCAGAGTACAGATAGTTTCATTAGAGGGTATACAATAACGCAGCGAAACCAGATAATGCACTCATTAACACAAACAAGTCCACCCCAATATTTCCGCTTGCACTCTTCGTCGGCGAGGGGGTGCTTCCAGTGGTCGTGGAGGTAGAGGTCGATGATCCAGAAACAGATGTCGATGTCGACATTGTTAACGCCGATATAGTCGATCTTGGCTTGGTCGTCGTAGTTGCCGACTTCGTCACTGATGTACTCTTCGGGGTTGAACTGGATGTGTCTGGTCCTCCATCGTCGGAGCCCGGGCTGGTTGCGTTCCTATACTTCCAGTATTGTTCGAGCAGATAATCCCAGCTCCTGTATGTAGTTCCCGGACAAGCTAGCCAACCACTGTAGGTGTTGTGAAAGTCCTCGATAGTCGTTGCGTTCCTTGTTTCAGAATAGAACTTCTGGCTGCACTGTTTAGAACAACTGTATGCAGAACATGGCGTGCTGTCAGGGTCATTATCCATATCGTCCTCGAGCTCATATTGCGTCCACTTCCCCGTATCTCCAGTGAAGCTAAAGGTATCGCTGTAAGTTATGTCCGAGTCGTCTCCCCGGGCGCCGAACTCTTGTGTGGCGATAGCATAAAAGCCTGGTCCGGAAGGTCCAACGGAGGCAGGGATTTGGACGGTGAACTCTGTGATGCTGATAGCGGAGGAGTTGATGAGGTAGCAGACAGGTTCAAGGGTCCATTTTATGTTTCCTGGAGGTGATATTGCGAGGTAGACGCGGTATTCGGTGAAATGAGGGTCTGAAGATGCAGATTTTTCGGGGTCAGGGTTGACGGACACCACGAAGTCCGTCTCAGCTTTGACGGACGAGGGAGCATTGAGGCTATCGATTGCAGCTGCACATGGAAAGTTGGATAGGAGCAGCGCTGTGATGGTAACGAGTATAGGATGCATATTGAAGGTAGCACTAGAAGACTGCTGAGAGAAGAAGAGAATGAGTGACTCCGTGTGAGCGCTGAGGAAAGACAGACAGACAGACAGGAAAGCTGAGGACTACTCAGAGAAATGGGGAACCTCATGATGGAGCGGTCAAGAGAAGGAGATGAGTGTTGGCTTGGCAATTGAGGCACGGAAGAAAATGACACGATAATCCTGCTTTTGGACGCGCCGAGATTGCAAAAGTTGTCAGCCTTGGCGATTTGGCGCTAGACCGAAAAAGGACCCTGAGATCCAGAGAATAAATAGGCAGAAGTGAACCATGTTCCAGGTCAACCGATCGACCGGGTGAAAATACATTTCACGTAACAACAGAGAGATTTCTAGAATTAGAAATGTGGTATTTTCTAGAACAGAAGCGTGAAGCTCGTAGAAGCTTGGGAGCAAGGCTAAATACTCCTTAGCGCGATAATTAAGCGAAATGCGTGCCTGAGGCTTAAGCAATTTTCCCCCCTCACAACTCACCCCTCTAAGCACGTGACCAGGACCCCCTTTTCCCAAGGTTTCGGTTGACTTTGCCGAGACCAGGACCGCAACGTCTAGGACGAAACCATGCGACTTTGTCTTTAATCATAGATAATGTGTTATCTCATGCTCCCACTAGCTTGGTAGCCTAATGACACATCAATATGTACTTTTGCAGTACATTTCCTTCATCCTTCCGTGATTCTGTTTCGGCAATCCGGGTCTGTTTCTTTCCTTGGGCTCTACATCCATATTCTATTCGTCAAAACCCGCCCAAAAAGGAGGACAAGTATATTCTACTAATTCGAAAGAAATTGGTTTGCCCTCGATTTCTTTGTTCCATTCTGGTAATCCGAAGCCCGTGTGCTTCGTCTGAAGCCATGGCACGTAAAAGGGAGCACTACCTCACCGCCAAATGAATATCTTGAAACTCACAGTTAATACAAAGAAAGATCAGAATATATATCCCGATTCTGAGACCCTCGACTTGGATTAACAGATAGAATTATATGGACTCACAAGCTCAGCAACACTACCTTCGCAACTCCACATTCCAGCAGGCTAGCCGGCACATCTTGCCTCTCGCCTACGATCCAGTGCCCGAACCAAATCTTCTAGTTCTGCAATCTGATTATGATTATGTCATCAAAATCTGACATTCAGAACGCTTCAGAACACAAACCCAAAACGCCGCCTCTCTGCTCTAACTGTGGACTTCGTCACACGGACCCTTGCTAATTCACGCACCTCCCTCGCCCGGATGAGGACTGAAGCAATGATAGACGATATGGAAAGGCTCGAGTCACTTATAGTAGGCTTATCATCAGTGAGGGCTTGTAGATATCTTGGATTTTCAGGAGAGTAGGACGAAGACTTGAGGATTAGGGGCATAGGAAAGGTCGAGGAACAGAGCCGGCGCGAGGGTTGTTTGGACAGCCACTGAGATCGTAATCGGACTACTGATATTGGATGTTCATACCGGGTTTGATTGCGGTAGATATCATTCTTTTGCAATCTTTTGATTCCTCTGCTTTTTGCAGCCTGCCTTTGTCGTTTGCTCCTCCTCTGTACTTCCAGTCTGGTTGGGGATTGGAGACTGTGATCGGTGCCCGGGGGTCGAGCGTTCGGCGTCTCGATTCGAAGTTCTTGAAGTTCCCGTGTTTGGACTCCAGGATGAAAGGCGTCGGAGGCACTTCCTCTAGCACTCGTGCAGAATTTGATCGAAGGTCGCTCAGGCAAACTTGGTCGGCACGTCGAGCTCGACGTCGCGGAAATCGTCCTGCAGGCTCTACTTTTGCCCGTGCAATTCATCGTGAGAAGGTTTATGATAGGTGCTGAAAATCCACAGCTTTCGTTAAATTTTGAATCCTTGGGATATGCACAATTGTGAGAACCTCTGCACTAGCGTCTAGAACGAAGTCCTCTTTTGCTTGCTCCTTGTTGGGCGTTCGCCCACAATTCGTTTATCGATGCTCATATCCTTTCATTGCTATATATCAAAGCTTATTTATAAGATCGATGTCGCCACCAGTCATGTAGCGTGCGTAAATTCTCCAAATAGATCCCGTAGACCCCAGTCGTCCGACTCCATCCAGGGCGTCCAGTGATATCTTATGGTGTGATGACAATCTGTGTTAAGGACATAGTAGTGGCACGAGGCACTTGGGTTCTCCGTGTCGAAAGAACAGATCCAATCTAGGGGGCTGGTGCTCGAAGGGAAAGAACCAAAATAACTTCGACTCAATCGAAATTCCTTCATTAGATCCGGACGGGAGGTATCGAATTACCCAATGGATGTCTACATATGTCCGCCTATCTTCTCGGAATCAATACCTCTAGCTTGACAAAACATGACAACTAGATCCGCAACAGTTGTGAGCAAAGAGACGGATACTTCGAGAGAATTGTGACCTTCGGCTGCCAGTGTTAATTCCACCCTCTGAGCGTCCCTGTCTGTGTCATATTTCTGTTTGTGCCGGAGAAAATCCAACTTTGTCTGGGAAGACATGACCGGTTTGTGATATAGTTCGGGTTTCGTCCATTGTGACAGTTCGTAATCGATATTATCTGTCAAACGCGCGGCCCAGCAGAAAGGGGTTTGGTTCCAGAGCCACTTAGAAGAGGTCCAGAGTTCAATTTCGCGTTCTAAATTAGGAAATACCTCCCAAAGAACAGGGTGTAGCTCTTCTTCAGGTGGGAAGAGCTGATATGCGGGAGTATCAATTACGTCCGACCATTCGAGAAAGACAAGATCGGCACAATCGTCATCTTCGTGTTGGGGTGATACCATTGTCAGGTTCCGCACGTTGCCAAAGTAGCTCAAGACGGCATTGATCCACTCCGAAGCCAGTCTTCCCGCGGGATACTCCCCACTGTGTATTGCGAGATTCTGGACCTTCTTGACATCTTCACCAAACTCCTCCGGGAAGAATTTGAAAATCACGTCGCCATCACTATTGAGATGGTATCCCCAGTCCAGGTACAGAGTATCGAGTTCAAAGTTGAACCAGGTTGTTGGAATTCCGGAGTCGGTTCCAAATGACTTTGTGTATATCTTCTCCTTCGCCACTAGATACGATTCTCTGCATACGGAGAATAATGGTGGTATGCTTCGTGTTCTCAATCCCTACGGAGGATATGGCCCTATGTCAAAGCAAACCTCTTCAGGCTGGTGATCCAGGTCAAAGAAGCCCATACTTTCTGGGCCTTCAACAGTTGTCTCCGACCAAACCCGCGAGCATGTGTGTTTCTCCTTCATAATAAATTCGAGGTATACAATTCGTGGAGAGGCAGCACTTTCCCAAATTATTCGCCGGATCTCGGGGGGCAGAGAGGAGAATTGAGGAAATGACGTTGTTGCCATTGGCAGAGCTTCAAGGGATGAGTCCGTGGACATGTCTTCAGTAATGAAAGCCAATTGATGTGTCGTTTCGAGGGCGAGTCATTGCACAATGGCAAATTCGGTACTGGACTGCAAATAAGAATGAGTTTAGCAGCTCTGGCTGATAATGCAATGCATTTTACCTGCCTATTGAGGCGTCCTGGGGGGGTGTGAGGTAAGGAGGGAAAAGAGACAAAGGTCGAAGACGCGTTTCGCGTCTAGTGATAGCGCGATGGGTTTAGGAAAAGCGATTCTGCACGTGAGACGCGCCTTTTATGGGCTTCCATGAGTCGAGCTTCTCTCTTCCATCTACTCCTTCCAATGTAGCAAACACCTAGGTAGTATCTTTAGATGTCCAGTTATAACATCATCATGAAAGGAGTTCACAGGTTGTAGATGGAGCGCCCCGTTGAAACTCTCGTACCAGCTACACGTGCCACACCCCATTTCGCTTCTCACTCATCCCCAAGCGTCCAGAGCACGCTCAGAAAACCACAACCCCCCCCCCCAAAAAAAAGGTTCAGAGTCCCATTCCACAGACGGAAAGCATCTTCTACGTCTTATTTATACCCATGGCCAACCATCTTCCTTGTACCCAATGCCAATTGGAGAAATCAGGAGACAGCCAGCAACCTGCAAGTTCCTTGATTGGCTGGGCTAAGAAACCCGAGGCCCCGGACTCAGGAGTATCGGCGCTGAACTGAGTACAGATCCAACTTTCGACGTTGAATTTACTGTACCGAATTCTCTCTCACTCCAGACTCCCATTCGCAAATGCACGCTACCCCCCAACGCCTCGAAATTCTTCTATCCCATCGCAATTCAATTTTTATACCTAGCCACTCCTCTTCGCCCCATTCGCCTGTTCATCCAAGACCCCCTTCTCACGCGAGCTTCCCAGCGTCTCCTGTTCCTTGTCCCTACTCTTCACCCAGCCCTCCAAAATCCTGCCCACCTCCCGAAACCTCACCGGCTTCGTCATGAAAATGTCCACGCCCGCCTCAAACGCCATCTCCTGATCCTTCCGACTGCTAAAGCCCGTGAGTGCGATGATCAAGCTCGGAGCATTGAGCTTCAATCTCGGGGCCTGGAGATGCAGATCTATCGCGCTCGGCTCGAATGCTGATGGCGAATTGCTGTTTGAGTTAGAGGAGGCTTTTGAGGTGGAGGAGGAGGTGGAGGAGATGGAGAGGTTTTGGTTGTGGGAGAAAGGGGTAGCGGGACCGTGGAAGGGGAACGAGGTTGAATTGGCATTGGATGTGAGGGAAGAGAGGTAGGGGGATTGGATGAGGTTCTGGTGGTCGTATGCGAGCTGGCGCTCGATTTCGACGCTGCGGATGTGCCGCGTTGATTCGTAGCCTGTCATTATTGGCATAGAGACATCTGGGTTTCGCGATTAGGTGTCTGTTAGATTTGGGGATGAAGAGGGAGGCATACCCATGAAGATGACATCGAAACCTTCCGGCCTCCTTTGGAAGGCCTGTAGAGCTAATAGCCCGTTCTCAGCTTTCTCAAAGTCCCATTTGTTCTTTTTCATGTATGTTGCTAGGAGCATCATGTTGACGGGATTGTCCTGGGGGGTCAGTAGTGTACAGTTCCAGGTGTGATCGCCACTCACCTCGACCAAGAGCATCTTTGGTGTCCGCACTGGGCTCACCACCTCGTTTGAAAGCGATCTAATTCTGGGATCGATCTTCTCAGCGGAGTTTATCAGGCTGAGAGAATTGACCGAACTCGGTTCCGTGCTAAAGTTGGTTGGCGAACTCCGTGTGAAATCATCCAGCTTCTGCGAAGAGTGAGAAGCGTTGGAGGCGATGGAGGTACTGGAGATGCCCCGCTTCGCCATCGAGGGTCGCCGCGAGGTGTTAGTTATTGCACTTCTCGTATGCGATGCCGGTAAACTGATGATATTAATGGCAGTTGGCGAGAACCCGATAGATGACTGCAAATCACCGATCAGCCTGGCATTGCTACTAGTACCTGCAGTCACCAGCGTGGCATCTTTTGACGAGACCACTCCGTCATGCGGCCCTTGGAGACTTACCTTGTCTTCTGGTGTCGCTATTGGTGAGGCATCTTCAGCATCCAAGCAATTTAACAATGCCTTTGCTAGACGGTGAGGCCCGCATGGTTTGCTGGCGAATTCAAGTGTCTGTCCCATCCCGAGTCTACCAGAAGATATGTTTCTTCTGGCGCCGTTGCTGCAGAGGATTATTAGAGACCGGAAGCTGCTTTCTGCGACTGTTGAATGCCGGAAGATCGACTCGTCTGAGATCACGATATCAGGCGTCTTTCCTGCAGGAACGATTTCAAGTCCGAACCATTCCGTGACGTATTTCTCGATTGATGCCTTCAAGCCAGCCAGAGCCGTTAATTGAAGGGGAGGATGGCTTCCCAAGGTATCGTCAAACCCGCGAATGGTAACGGTTCGACCTTTAGCACGACGGCGCACAGCCTCGACAGGCTCTTCAAGTTTGATACGTGAATCTCGTTTGTTATGCACAGCTTCTTGATCTGGATGGCAATTCTCCAGCGGCAAACTCAATCTAATTTCCGTACCCTTGCCCAGGTCACTTCGAATGTCGATTCTTCCTCCCGATAAGTCCACAATTTGCTTTACAATGCTCATACCTAGACCTGTCCCTGGAGCAGTAACATCCTCCTGGATTTAATTAGCATTCTCGAGAACAATCCACCAGCTTTAGGTTGGAATTCAGATTTCAAACCTGTGTGAAAGGCATGAACACTTTCGTCTTTAGGAAATCACTGGACATTCCTCGCCCTGTGTCAGATATGGTCAAGGTCACCATCGTTCTTTCAGTTGGATTGTTGTCAATAGCAGAAACCACGGAAGAAATAGCTCGCGCCTCCAGCTTGATTCTGATATAGCCAGAGTGAGTGTACTTCAACGCGTTGCCGAAGATGTTCATTGTTAGACGTCTCCAGGTTCCTGGAACAGTCGGGAATTTCCACGAGTCCCTGAAGTCTATATCGATAATTACCATGAGTAGCTCATTACTCACACCAAACTGAAGTCCATCGGGCAAGTCTGTCTCCTTCGGTGACGAAGGAACAGCCCTCCGACTCTTGGTAGTATCCGCAAGACCTTGCGAGGACAGGCCATTGAACTCAAAGCCAGCATGCACGCCCTCGAGAACTTCTTCGATCACGGCTGAAATATCAAGATCCGAGACAACACCCATCGGCTGAACTGTCTCCTGTCCAAACTTCTTGATCTTTGAGAAATCTAGCACATGCTCAATGGTGTCCAGTAGAGTGCGACCACAGATGTCCACCGTGTCGACTAAGTTTCTCTGGAATCCATCTAGGGCAGTGTCTGCCAGGAATTCCACACTTGCAAGAATACCATGGAGTGGGCTTCTCAGCTCGTGACTGACATTGCTGATGAAGTCACCCTTTGCATTATCTGCACTCAGAGTGTTGAGTCGGCTGACTTCCGACATGACACTGTGGCCGAAAGCAATGAGGTACGATAAATGGTTGTCGGTGGAGAATATGCGAGTTGCCGAGGTGGACCAAGCGAAGGATCCGATGAAGCAGCCTGATGTTGAATCATAGAGAGGAACGAAGAAGATCTGCCTCGATCCTGGAAAGGCAATTAGCAGTCGGAGAATCTCCGCTCTTTTCCGTGCCGTATGGCGGACTTGCTTCTCGTCCGCCGCTGATGTGATGGTTGCCTGAGACCCATCATCGGCAGTAGCCTCTGGAAGAGGCGCAATTGGTCCATCCTGATTGAAAACGAACAGCTCGCCTTGCGGATACCGTCTCACCAGAGAGGTCAAGAGACTCTGGTCAATGGCAGTGAAGTTGGTTATTTGGCTGTTGGTCTGATTGTTCCAGGAGGACGAGTTGAGAGTTGAATACCCCAGTATTTCTGATTTGAGCCCCATTGATGTTGCGATGCTGGATGATGCTCGTGACCCTGAGAGACTTGTACGGCTAGAAGGACGTGACTGGTGGTGACTTGCCGGTAAGACATGGGGACTAGGGCCAGGTCGAGCGTCCGGGTGTTCATCGTCCTCGCTCTCATTTGAGCTTTCTGACTCTTGGTTACCGGAGCGTCGAGTGTCTGTCTCGAGTGTACTGCGGCCTTGATAAAATTTGAATGGGGCATCGAAGAAGACTGCCCCATCCACCTCCATTCCCTCTCTGACTAGATTAGACGCGCGAGAAAAGGTAGTGTGCAGGAGGTTAGCGAAACCACTGTTTATAAATTCGGTGTCTCGGCCCCCAGTCAGAGCAGCAGCGGCGTCCTCGACTCCGTCGAAGACTGACTTGAGCGGAACCTGCGGGACCTCTTCAGATGAGCTCCATGGGGAGTTGTTGAAATTGTATCTGGGGTTAAGATTCGTGCCTGTATGTTGCAGCGGTGACTGCCCGTGATTCGCCTCCAGGTCTGGTGATAGATGGTGCTCAGGGGAGCCCAGCTCCTTCTTCCCGTTGACATAGCTGCCAGCGCCATCGTTTTTGTTGCTCTCCCAGTGAAATCCAATCCCCGCCCCGGCTGGAAGATTGTATCTCTTGAGACGCTGCCAATCGCCATTCATTGTGCCATCCCCCTCGATGAATGCGTGCAGAGCTTGGCTCATCATCGTTACCCTGACAATATCTTCTTTTGCTCTGATGTTTTCCAAGTGATCCATGACAGTAGCAGCCATCTTGGTCAAGAATTGAGCTTGCTCGAGACTGAAATCGGTGCGGGCTCTGTCGTCGACAACGTAAACACAACCAATATTGATTCCCTTCTTGTTCGTCAAGGCGACACCACAGTAGAACCTCAGATAAGGCGGTCCCCTCACGCAATCAAGCTTGCTCATCTTCTCATCGAGCCGTAGATCAGGGACTAAGAACCACGGAGTCATCTCCGCCGTTGTATCTTGGTTTGGTACCAAGCGCAAAGTCTGCTCGCACAGCGATTTCTCCCGCGGTACTCTCGCTCCACTGATGGATAGCCACGCATTTTGTGCCGGCCCCTCATCGTCAATAAGGCTCAGTGTGCTTGTGGACTCGGCCAGGAAGTATTCGTTCTCGTGGTCAATGAGGGAAACAATGGCTCGCTGGGAGGCCAAGCGAAGGGCGATGAGCTGCGTGAAGGCAGTAAGGGCAGTATCGGAGAAGGACTGCTGGGTGGTAAAGTTGTCTGCGTGTGGGAGGACATGGTTCGCGAAGTCTCGCTCGAGACTGGGAGGAGCGGTCTTGGGGATAGCTGCTGGATCCTTCGGTTGGTAGTACCTATATCACATAAGCTCCTGCCGCCAAACGCACCCCCGAGGGGACGAACCTGTAGACCTCTCTCGCTCGAAAGGTCTCTGCCGACGTCATGTTGGAAGGCGGGGCTGCTCCGTGATTGTGATTATCTGCCAGCCATCTTGATGCTGACGGTCTGTAGACTGACCAAGTATAGGTGGAGGAGGGCTTGGCCGCAGATCAGGACTGTCTTGGGTGTTGGCACTACTCCTGAAGCTCCTAGGAAAAAGGGTTGCGGTGGGACGTTACGCGAACGTACGATTCTCGAAGCGAGAGACTGTTGGGGGGGAGGCCTCGGCAGGAGAGAAGGGAGGGAATCTGGATGGGAATCTCGCAAGAACAGCGAACAAAACGGCCAGAGCTAGTATGTGCAGGTGTAGATGCAAGGAGGTGCTCTTGGGATCAAGGGCTCTTGAGTGTTGATGCCAAGATGCGCATTCGCGCTATCATGAGCGGAAGAGGGAGGAGATAAAGAGGCCCTGCGACTCGTGCGCATGTCAGTACCAGTGCCAGTGCCAGTGCCAAAGCCTCAAATCGAGATGCGATTGTGGTGTGGCAATTGTGGCACTTGTGGGAATGCGGGTATGGATCTCGATGCGTCTGCTTCCACGTTCCCTGTTCTCGAGAGTCCAAGAGCCCACCGCCCAGTCCAGAGCGCGCAGAGCAAGAGACACCGGCTTGAACGGGGGGGGCCAGCGGATAGAGGAGTCGAGGACGCAGTCGTGATTGCAAGGGTTCTCGCCAATATCCCATCAAAGATCAGGAATCCAGAATTTCAGGGTCCTGCAGGGTCCAACGCTTGCAGGTTGTGGCTAATCACCATCCCCGCCTCCCCATGCCGTGGCTGGGTCTCGACATCTGGGCCGCAATAGCCAAGCAGAAAATCGGAGAAGCAAGCAGCCACAAAGCGAGTACGATAGCCCCTGTCTATAACGCTGAGGACTCGATTCTCGTAAGAGAGCCGGAGAGAGCCTCAAAGAGGTTCCTTCAGTGTAATCTTACTTTAGAGCCGTGTTTCCTGTGAGCGGTGTGGGAAACGCTCATGCTGAAACAGCAAGGACAATTGATTGGATAGCAATTGGAAGAAGGAACTAAATTGTCGCTTCACTTGGGCAAAGTCATGCTATCTAGGAGTCGGGCAACAATCAGCTGGTCTTTAAATGGCCCGCTTCTGCTGATTGGATGCACATCTCCTGTGACAAGATTGGTATATTTTACATCAAAAATATCTGTCCCAGCCAGGAATTGTATAATATACATGCGGAGAAAATATCGCTGTCCCACTCCTCAGAGCCCGTTCGGGCTCTAATAAGGCACCGGACATCCACTCGCCGGGTAATTACAAGAACTATTCATCCCACCACCCGTGATGCTCACATCAGTGAACATAAAATTGCTGCAGCTTCCACTGCCACAGAGAACATAGTAGTCTCTCGCACTTGCCGTCGCCGTGCCGGTGAGGTTCTGGAACAGAAGGTTGGAGATGATGACTCCGTTCGAGGGGGTGCCCTTCGGTCCGCCGTTCAGGTAGTCCTGCTGTACATCGATGCCGTAGATGGAGATGTTGCTGACGAAGATGTTGCTGTATGTGATGTTGGAGATGAAGCCTGTAGTGTTGAAGTTCGACTTGATGCGTGCGCCGTTTTGGGAGTTGAGGATTTGGCTGTTGGTGAACTGCGGATTGTCAGTATTCTGTTTGGATGGAAGAGGAAGAGGCACGGACAAGGATGTTGGTAACGTTGTTGTTGCTCTTGCCTCCAACTGAGCCAATGCTCAGACCATGTCCTCCTGAGCAGTACATATTTGACACCGTGACATTGTTTCCACTTGAGATGGCCACGCAGTCATCCTGGTTGTAGACTATGCTATCGGTGATGACGAAGTTGCTGCTACTGCCAAGGTCAAAGCCATCCGAGTTGTGGGCAGCTGGAAGGCCTTTACTTCTAGCGTTCGGCGCATCTCCTGCGGAGTTGTCCAGAAACAGATTCTGCATGGTCGTATTGGAGCAACCGGAGATGCTGAAAAGATGTGAAGGCCAGTTTTGAATGTGGAGGTTCTGGATCTTTGATCCGGCTGTCATCTTGCTGACGACAATAAAGTGATCGGGTCTGGAGATGTTAGCAAGGAGATGTCAAGAGTAGCCTGAAGACTCACTTTGGAACTCCCCCATTGGATCCTTGGCCATCCCAATAAGCTTGTCCATTCCCATCGATGATTGCCCCTGGCGCTGAGGTAATAGTAACATTCGCCCCACCGAATATCATTGGGTTGAAGCCGCTTGAATTAGTGAACGCAAACGTCGTCTTGCCGGCAAAAGTAACCACCGAGTTGGCTTTCAATTTCGAAAGGTCGATGGAGCTATCTGTCGGAGCAGCGATGTCCTGTAGCGTGATGGCGCTGCAGGATGCCACAGCCGGAGCAATTTGCGAGTAAGCCGTGCAGGTACAGGTTGTTGTAGGCGAACTGGCAACCGTCAAGCCACCGCCTGAGCCAGAGCTGCTTGACATGGTCGAGATTGTTGGGGAGGCAGGGCTGGAGGATGTGGAGCTGCTAGATGGACTTGGTGCCGCAGTAAAGAGGCACGAGCAGGCGGTGGAGACCTTTGATACTTTGTTTGAGCAGTGAGTGGCGTATGCTGGGAGTGCAGCTGTAGCAGTTACAGCTGCAGTCGTGAACGTAGCACAGAAAGTGGCGGCATTCGCAGAAGATGCAATGAAGGCCTTTAAGCACTTGTCATGGCTGCAGTCTCGTCGATCAAGCTGAACTCCAGCCAGGGCAGCTGTGATAAATGAAGAAAGTATAATGATTGAACGCATCATGGCTGCAATTGAGATCCCAAGACCGAACCCTTCTTCGGAGTATGAGATAGGACGATATTGAAGACGTTGGAGAGTTGAAACTTATATGGAGAGGAGAAACAATAAGAAGGAAGTCCAGCCACTCACATGGAGGCCGTCGCTAAACAACTCGTGCCTTTTTCGGGAAAACTATACATGAGGATCATGCTCCGGGATAAAAATGAAACCCTAAACCATGGTGGAGGTCCTCCGGCTTTGGGAAGTCTCGTGGTGTCGTGTCCGACAATTGGCCCGTTTCTTCTCCGCATTCAATTTGCAGAAAGGAGCGGGCGCTCCCCATACTGGAAAGCGCGCTAATGCAGGTCCAGAAGAGACTTCATTCCCAGAACACTGGGAGAGGTAATATATCTGCGATGGGGCGGGAAAAAATTATCCACGAGTCGAATTGCGCGAAATGGAACGCTAGAATTGGACGAAAACGGGATGAAACTTTGAGCAGATCTTCATCTTGAGTAGGGGAGATGAGCACAGAGGCCAAGGCTCAGTCGATGGTGCACTCGGATGAAGAGATCAATGAAAAGATGAGTGAGGTGAGGTTTCGTTTTGAGTGAGGAGGCCGGAGGTTACCCGGACGCACGTGGAGGTTTCGAAGCGAAGCAATGTTTTGAGCTAAGGGTAGCGAGTCCAGTCACGTGATGACTCAGAGAGAAAAGTCGTTCTGGCTTCACGACCAATTGCTGCGCTTTATCAACTCCAACACCACCTGCTCGTTTCATGCATGTGGCCTGCACTTGAGGGCAACAGGCCTCTCGCCTGGAATGGATGCTGGTCGAGTCAGTGGGAATCTGACAGCCTCAAGCAAACACACGATGCACACCGAACACGTACGGCTACACTGTCATTGGCGTCCCGCCTCTTCAACTGCAAACACGACTTCCCGGGTGCCACCTCCGTATTTGAGATGGGATATTTCTACCAACCGCCTCCCACGTACTCTCGATATTTGAGTCTCGAATTCCCTCATGTCTCACAACTCCATCAACTGTCATCGCGGAACCAAAGGATTTCAGTGCGGAACGTCGGCTGCACCTCAGCTGTTGGGCACATGCAGCATCCTTTCAGCTCTCGAATAGTACCCGCTGCACCGGTGCCACTCGCTCCAGGCTGCCGCACCTCGTCAACACCGGGATCCTGGCCAAAGTTGGCTCCCTCGCCGATCTCGCGATCCCTTGCTTCTGCCTGAAGCCGTGGTCTCACACCATGGCTGCGCCATTTCTTCCTTCCTTGTCAACTGTCAGGCGATCCGCGCTCTACCCACGAGCTATTCTCAGGGAGCAAATCAGTGTTCGCCGTGGCGGGCAGTGAGGATTCTCAAGTGGTTTTGTCCCATGCTAGGTCACGATGAACCCCTGTAGCGGTCGCTGTGTTGCATAATCTCCACTGTTTGGGACGATGGAGCGAGGAAAGCTATAAGGGAAGGGTTCTCCAGCCCAGGAGCATGAGAGATGCTTTCCGCGCTCGACGACTGCGCAGGACGGGTCTTTTCACAACGCTCGCCAGACGACTTCTGCCTTGCCCGGCACCCTCTGGCACCCTCTCGCATTTTTCGAGCTATTTATGCACTCCCACCCAGTCCAACCAATGGCGTCCTCGGACTGCATTCGAAGGATTGGCTACAGCCAAAGATTCCCGCGACCCCTCATTGGCTAATCCCAGCTCACACACAACTCTACACCGAACTGCTCGACACGCACGCTCAGCACGAGTGCCAAGCGAAGGGAAATCATGAGCCCGGAGGGAGTTGGGAGTGCAAGATATGGATTCGGGCACCGCAATATGGCGGTACCATGCATTGCCTGTGGAGACCGTGATCAGCTCGATCAGTTTCCTCGCTCCCGCAGGTGTGCCATATTGTCGGCGATACTGTAAGTCCTTCCTCACGTGGGGTCGTGGGAGAGTCCTGAGGTGGGTGGATCTCGTCTCTCGCAGCACCCCGTCCAAGCTTTTGCTTGATTCCCCTCCTCCCTCACCAATTTCTCTCTCTCTACTTTCCACTCCCACATCTGCCACACCGTTGGAGTACATCATTTCAATCGATCCTCATCGTCCAGGACCTTTCATGCAACACTACTCGCGTCTCAAAATGTACGTCCTACCTTACCCCAGGAATCTTCCCCATGCTGACCTCGTTGCCTAGTCTTCGCTCTCCACCATGGCTTCACCCCAGATCGTTGGGCAATTCGCCAAGATGACCACGAACGAATACAGCCCGAGTGAACACACAAAGCAGGGCAATGAGGTTCTCGAGTCTTCACCCAAAGGCAACCCCCGAGCTTCGCCCGCTACGGGCATCGAGACCAATTTCGACGACAGCGGCATCTGCGATTGCGAGGATGAGACAGATGTCCGCAAACATGACTACACGGATTGGATTCTGTTCCCTGGACAGTATCCGCTCGTCGAAACCGACAACTTCTTCGCAGATCTCGAGTCTTCGACAAACGTCAATCGTGAGGGGGAAAGTGCTTCGAGTGTTGAGCGAGAAGCAGCCTCCCGCTCACAGAATCGTCCCCGCACATTCTACGATCCCGTTCATGACGCCGCTCGTGTGGCGATTGATCAATCTGTCTATGAGGCAATCAACGACTACAACACTCGTTCGCAACCAGATTATTCTCGTCCTACTTACGACGCACCAATTCTGAATCCCTTTCAGAGATGGTACAGTTCAAACGAGAAGCACGAGGCGCTTGCTTATCGTCTCTCGCAATCGCAACCCTCAAATTCTCCCCGTATTCAGCATTCTAGGCAGCCGTCACAACTTTCGGGTCATGATTCTCGATCTCGTTAACACAATTTCTTTTGGGCTCATCAGTTATGGTTTAACGGCGTTCTTCATGCAGTCATTGCATACTCATACTGAAGCTTCAGGTGCATAATGGCGTTGGCAGCAGTCGCGGGGACTGAAGTTCATATTCGTATTTCAAAATTAGTTCATGCCCTCTCCGCCATAGCAAAATTGATACCATTTTCTTCACTCTTCTCTCCACATAGTGACTCTCATCCCTACTTTCACAATTCCCGCTGAATTCGAAACATAATGTCAAAAGAACAAAGTTCCCTATCAATCAATCAACCCCGTTTTACCCTTCCACATCGTCATTCGCCATTCGCTATTCGCCGTCGCCACAGCTTGCTCGATTGATCCCCACCATCCTTGTCAGCTGTCAACCCACCCAAGCTCCCGGTCCCGTCGCTCGCCCAATACTCAAAAATTTAAGCTTTTGGAACACGACGGCGATCATCCAAATGCATCACCACCGCCACTGTCGGAACATTCTGCACAGCCACGATCATCGTCTGGTAGGCTACCTGAGTGAGAGATGGACTGACAGTAATGAAGATAGATTAAATGATTTAAATGATTTCTGAGCGTTCATGCGCGAGGGATGGAACAGAAAAAGGTAAGAAGGGGTCGGTGGGAAAGAATAGGGGTTCCAGCTTCCTGTGAACGGAAAAATGCTCTTGAGCTCCCATCGCTCAATCCAACCTACCATAAGCACATCCTCACAGTACGTCTCTCCGTCTTTTCCCTTCCCTCTCACCTCACCACCCGTCGCATAATCTCACCTGACCCCGCCTCTCCCCACATCCCCCCCAAAACCCAGCACATCTAAAAATAGCCCAGAGTTTCCCGATCGCGGCAAACGCAAACCTGGCTCACGCAAAATTTAAAATCCGGGCGTTTCCTTTTCGAACCACGCTCCGCACCCTACTTGTCGAATCACATCCAGATAACGCGTAATGCTCTCCCATTAAGCACACACACAAATGTATCTCACCGCTGCCAACCATGCACTAAATTCCAACCAGATGCAATAGAACTAGACTCTTATTATTCACATCTTGCTGACTGAATATACATCAGCCTGATTGATGGGAGACCCAGCCTCTGCCTCTTGTAGCCCAATCCCCATTGCTTCGGGCAAGCACAGCAAGGGTTGGTCTGGTAAATCGATCTAGCAGTTAATATATCTAGAGTTTTGCTACAAAAGGTTTTTGCTTCCTTCCTGGATTGCTGGGCCGAGGTGGAAGGGGAAGTGGAGGGTCTGGTGATCAGCTCTTATGCTAGCATTATTTGCCTGAAGCTGCAGGAAAGCCAAGACAGCAGGCAGCATAGAGGTGCTGTTAAGTGAAGTGCCTGCGTTTAATATGTTCATGCATTTTAAGATGTGCAACAAACGGTCCATTTGCTCTCTGTTGAGGCTGGCCGTATTCTCCGCCAATGGAAGGGAAAGGATGGTATGGGTTGACCCTCCAAAACTTAAGGCTAGATCTAGAGACTAGATCTCTCCCGCCTACGAGATGAGAAGCAGGCTAGCTCTGAGCTTTCTAGATTGCAGTACAATAAGCGTGCAGAAATCTCGAGATTTGCAACAAATGCTTCGTTCTCTTTTCTGGCACTATGGTAACGTTATCCAATGGGCATGCATTCCCTCTCCTCCGGTGAGCAGCCACTCCGAACCTTCAACCAAATCGGGAAGCATACACCGTCACGATGTCCCCAGGTTCCTTCCTCCCTTACTTGCACGGACAGAAGTTCAATATACGGAGATTCCTCCTCTTTTTTTGCTTCCCCTCTTATCCAATGATCACTCACCTGCAGATCTTATCTCGTATCTTGCAATCCACCTGCAGCTGCACCTGCATTCTCGTGGGAATCTGGATAACGACGTAGTATGGCAGCGCCCACCCCCCCGGGATTCACGCCGTGAAACCAAAGCCACTAACATCAAGCAAGCCCGGCACTCCTCTTCAAATCTCCTCAGAAGACCAGTTTAATATATTCCCACATTTGCAACAAAGACTCTTGCATTTTCCTTCACGTCTCTCTCTGCATCCAATTGCAGGTTGCGGTTTGAAATGAAGGTATGGAAAGCACGCGATGACAAAAATCCTGCATGTTCTTCGTCAGCAATGGGAGACCTGTTCCAGCCTCACTGCAACATCGGAACACGCCAATCTGTACTAGAGGCCGACATTTAATATATCATGCAGAAATCAGACTTGCAACAAAGACTTCTTTCCAAGTGCAGTTTATCTGTCGATCAAATGTCGTGCGGGGTGAGGAAATGACAAGGAGCGTGTTGGGGCCTTAATACCACCCTCTTATCTCCCAAACCCCATCCACAACTTCATCTCCAACCCCAGATTAATCTATCATGCATTTCTACGACAAGCAACAAAGCTCTCTTTCTCTCTTCACTTTATCACTCCATAAAATTCCATGCCCACACTATGAAAAACTCATGTTCGACGTCCGCGAATCAAAGCCGAGGCCTGAACATTTATCACCACACTCTTATTTCCCACTTCCCAGCTGCTCTAGAATTTAAACATGCCGTGCAGAAACTCGACTTGTAACAACTCTGTCTTTCTTTCCCTATTCAAACGCCTCCGAGAATCGAAAGCCGTCTCGGGAAACCCATGTGGAAACGAATCATCGAAAATTTGAAATTGCGTTCGTTTCCCCCAGCGCCAGCTCAGATCAGGAGGAGGCGGAACGTTACCGCACCGTCGCTAAACGCTCCTCCCTTTTCGGGCTCGCTCCCCGCTTCCCCACCGCCACCTCCTCCGAAAATAATCTAATCAAATTAAGGAGACGAAATTGCTTCCCAGCCTCGCCTACCTCCCAAAGTTACAAATGAGATGTCCTAAGAATGACTAAGACATATGAGGGAGACCCTAGTATTTAATATAATGGCCTTTTTTTGCGAGTTGCAATGAATGGAGAGTTTTGCGGGGGGTAGGCGCTTGAGCTAATTTCCGCTCGGTCATTGGTGGGTTCTGGACGTGGCCTCAATAACAGCGGAGTAATATACATCAGCCAAATTCCCCGTAACATTGCGTGCATGGTTCTGATAATGATATAAACTTAGGTTGAAAGTGAGCTTTGTTGTAGAAATGCAGGATAGATTAATCTGGGGTTGGGGTTGGGGTTGGAGCTGAGTAATAAGAAGGGTGGTGATATGCCGAGCACGTGATGGTATTCAGGGGTCTCGCTTACCCTCGCATGACAAAGGACTTGAGCAGAGGGGTATCGTTGCGCGATGAGGGGGCAAGCGGTCCCGGCGAATCGTCATGTGTGGCCATGGCTGGAGTTATGTGTAGGTGAGATAGACCTTGCTTGTTAAAGGATGGTGATGATGGATCTTGGGCGATTCTGGATTTTTGAAGGGACAGCTAGAATGGTGTAAATAAGGAGATTTGTTGGCGAGATCAGAGTCGGTCCACTATCTTCTTTAACCTTGTCACTCTGTCTTTCTTTCCTTGTGGAAAAAAATGTTTTCCAATTCCAGGTCTCCCTCTAGGCCCAAGCCGCTTCTGCAATCACAAGATCCCATGCACCGCCATCACCCCTTCAAGAGATGGGGTTGCCTCTAAAATCTTCCCGTTAGAGTCTAGTAGCAAAATTTCTCTTCCATTCATACACTCTCATAAAATCTTCTTCATCCCCGGCACGTAACCTACCAAGCCCCTCGCAACCGCAAATGCTACACTAGCATTCATACACCCCACAACGGTCGTGAAGACAAGTGGCCCTACAAATAGGCTCCACCACACCGCATTCGATCCACACCAGCCGTTCTCCCCACATAATAACCCATCAACACCCACCTCAATACCCACACTAACCAAAGGATGCAGCAAATAACTTCCATAGCTGAACCTCGGTTGCCACAACCAGCTCGTCGCAGGTCGATCGTAATGATTTTGGAAGTAAAACATGACAGACGGCCCAAGGACGATAAACGAAAATTCGTTCCAGAACGCGTAGGTGAGAGCTGAGGGGCTTAAGCCACCTGCTGTGGGGTTGGAGGAGGGATCGAGGGGGTGCCCTGAGCAGCGGGCCCAGAGCTTTGGGATGATGCCGCAGAGGGGAAGCGTAAGGAAGGAGATTGCCAATGCGCGACGTAGAGGGATCGCTGTGCGGTTTTCTTTTGCCTTCGGTTGGATCCTCTGTGTAATTACTTCTGTTCCCAGGGCCGAGGTGGAAGTAATATCCGGGGCGAAGGGGAGAGGACGATCAAAAGGCCCAGCGAACCTCTCTTCTCCCTGCCCCAGAGAGAGAACCCCCATCGTGTACGCAAAAACATATTGCGGTAAATAGGCAACCTGGATACACAATGGATCAAGCACGATGCCGACTGGATACCAGATCCTAACGAAAAAAGAGATTGCAGCCACGAGGAGCCAGCCCCAGGCCCTGAAAGATCTGTAAATCACTTCTGCCCAACTACTGCTCCTTTCTCTTTCCTCGTCATCCTTCAACTCAATCCTCGCCTTTCGAGACCGGAAAACGGATAATGAAAACGCGGAAACGCAATCAAAAATCAATAAAACAGCACAATACCAAACCACCCCTTTAACCCCTCTCAATCCCCTCCAATACCCCACCAACTGCCTCCAGTTCGCCTCAGCCTCTCCCACCTCATTCTCATCCGATTTCCTCACCATAATAGCCAGTCCCCACACCAATGGATTCAGAAGAACCGTGTAGACCACCGTTGGGATGCCTAATCTCACCACCTTCCTCCTCACGAATTGAAAGGGTGGTGAGCGAGAAAGGGAGTGAGCGGACATGCGGCCTGAGATCCAGAAGAAGAGGCCCATACCGCAGCTTTGGGCTACCGCTTCGAAGGGGAGGAGCACTGGTGACGCGGTGGCAGGGAAGCAGGAAGAGTGGAAGGGCCAGAGGCCGTGGCCGCCATAGGCTATGGTAGTGTGGTGGATTATGACGGAGAATATGAGGAAGCTGCGGAGGTTGTCGAGGTCGTGACGTCTGATGAACTTGGCGGAGGTGATGGGAAGGGGCTCCATTGCGAATTCATGTATTGGAATTTTTGTATTTGTAAGTGAAGGGCAATAATCGATGCCGTCGATTGACCTTGGTGTTGGTGAGAGAGACTGAGATGTCAGAGGTTGGCGGTTATATGAACTCATGTTGGCATGCGCCAGTGCTGATACGGCTGTGTGTCCCAGTTCTGGGTTCTGTAAGCGGGGAAACATCTTCCCGTTGTCGGGACCCCCCGATTTGACCGAGCTGAAAAGCTGGGTAAATGCATTTCTTAGCGTTCGAAGCAATGCGAGTTGTGAATATCGTGTACAATGTCGAAAACATACAGCTTTCTTAGCTCAAATGCTGCACTTGTTCAATATGCAGATTTTGAGTCGAGACTGGCAGGGACTGCAGAAGAAGTAGGTTAGAGGATTGGAACCCTCTCGTTTCCTATTCCCTTGCAGAGTCCCGTTCACGAGGAGAAATTTGGATGGAAGACAGGTCCATTCATGAGTAATCCAAGAGAAGAATACCTCAACAGGATTCAATCACTATCTGAAGCCAGTAAGAGGTTGTTTCCTAAATGCCCCACGTTTCGACGAATTCGGTATCAAAAGACCCAGAATCTACGGCCATTTGAGTCCTGCGAGGGAGGCAATCATCATCCCATTCAAAACACTCACCATACTTATTTACTTCCCAGAGGTCATCTGCATCTCCCATATCAGCATCAAGTGTGGGTTCCGAGTATCGCTGATCTTCATTCGAGGCTAAGGAGGCAGCAGCAGCTGGCTGTCGACGATTGCCAGGCTGGGTTGTGTCTGCAACCAGATCTGGATATTTTGAAATTTCCTGTGCCTGTGCCTGTGTAGGCAATTGACAATTGCTCTCTTGATTTATCTCGCGATTATCAAAATGAGGTTTTAGAACGGCAGTGGTGCTCGCTTCTACAGAGTTTTCAAAAATGGTGTCGGATGACGACCTTGAAAGTCCTAACCCTTCATTTGCTTGTGGGTACTGGGAACTTGACGATCCTTCCGCAGCAGTCCCTCTCGGAGCAGGCGGATCTTGTAGAACACTTGGCATGTTTGCTGACCACCGCTCGAAAATCTGTTGAAGGCCCTCTTGAATTGCTGCATGGAGCAATGCTGCTGCATCATCCTCCACATTTGCCATGACAGAGACATCGAGTCCGCTCGATCTTATTGCCTCCCAAATAATACTCGACCCTTCAACGTACATCAGGTCTTGAAAAGCCTCCAGCTCTTCCGTCAATTCAACGTTCATGTACGCGGATTTTGGTCTTGGGTTGTGGCCAGGAAAAAGGATATCGAAGACGTTAAACCACTGATCCGATGGAGACATCTTTGAAGGTGCTCTTTGTCCTAACTGTGACTTCTGTGCCCTTGTAATTCCTTCGTGAACAATGGTGTTCTGGACCAGACACGAAGATGCCCTGATATGTTCGTCGCGGTCATCTTCGACGTCGAAAGCGCATGCGCAGCGAGGACAGTAAATTGGCAGTTGGTGGAATCGGGAAAGATGCTGCTTCACGTCTCGAATCCGCTTCAATACGTAGGAATAGCAACTTCGGTACTTGAGTGGGTTCTTCTTCGCGAATGGGCAGGCGAATGAAGTGTGATTTCCGGACGCTTTTTTCGAGGTTCGCGACCGCTTGGCTGGAAGCTCTTCATCATCCTCGCTCTCTCTCGGTTCTTCACTGCCACCCCCTTTTCCACGAGTTCTCTTCTGCCGTGTTGTGGGAACCTGATTTGTTCCACATGATGACTTTGGTGGATTTTTGGCTGTTGTGTTGTCAGAGCCGGTTTGCTGGGACTGCTTTGAATTCTCAAATGCCAAGAGTCCTTCTTGAACAACAATGGGCTTGACAAACATAAATGGGTGGTTTTGGCTCAGCAATGGAATGTTGGAGTAATCAGACATCCAAGCAGACTCAGACTCAGTTGATTCGCAATCTGAGAGATCGGGATCGATTGAAGATATCCGAGAGTCGATACTAATAGAGACCTCTTCTAAGGAACCTACTGCTCGTGAGGAGGGTGGCTTGGCGCTGGCTATTGCGCGGTTGTTTGCGTCCTTGGCTTCCTCCAGTTCATTTGGAAACTGCTCAGTTCCGGTCTTGTTCTCTATTGAACTAGTATTCAAGGGAAAGGAGCTGCTCGTTTCGTGGACTGTAGGAATGCATCCAGTCAGCTGTGGGACCGGAAAGAGTCGATCTTTGTCAAGTAATGGTCCTGTTAAGACAACATTGGCATGGCTTCTCGAGGTCATTATCGACGGCGCTGACTGCGAAGATACCGCGACCCATTTAGCAATGGTATCACTCCATTTAGAAATGGTATCGGTGGCCATCAATTTTGGCGTACAGGACGAGTCACCTTGACCGAAGACCTGCGGTGCCGCCACGGTGGCCTCCTCTTTCACCTCTTGTTGATAATAATAGTTACTAATGCCCTGCCTCAAGTGATCCACGTTTTTGACTCCATAAGGACCTAAAGAATTTTTGAATTGTTGGCAAGGATTTTTCAGACCAATGGTACCAGTCGGTTCGAGGTGGTGAACGAGAGCATCGAGTTGGGAGAATTGATCTCCACAAAAGCATTCGAAAGATTGATGTCGACTGATGCTCCCATGTTTGGAAGATATTGCTCTCTGGTTCGCCGTTAAATCGTCAACAATATACATCAGGACCATTTGACGCATGCCTCTCGACGTATTTGGCCATCAGACGCAAGTCTTTGAGTCTCCATGCCCACGTCGTCTCCTCCTTTATTCATCTCAGAGCCGTGTGTAAAGTCCATGCGACCAGAACTCAACCCTGCATTTTGGTAAAGTGGTGCTGATGTTGATGATGAGACTGAATGCTGGGTTCCGTAAAATGGACTTGCGAAAGGGTATGCGTGTTCGGGGTATCGTTCGTAACCTGTAGAAAAGTGAGCTAGCGTGTATGACGAAACAGGGGGCTGTGAGGCATACTATCTCGCCCCTCCCTCTTTTTCAAACTACTATCGCTCTCTTCGGCACACTCAATCCCACAAAATGCAGAAGGGCCAGCCTCGCCAATCCCCCCAGCAGAGATTGAGTCAGCGCGCCTTCGAGGAACTGCTGGAGTTTTCATGTTGTGCCCGATGAGGTTACCAAGATGAAAATAACTTGTATAATGATGAAGATGGGATTGTTTCAATCAGGACGAAATAGTTGAAGTCGTGGGAAGGAGGGCACAAATGTGCTCTCGACGTTTCAGTGACATGCATGCAAGCCGCATAAGATCTGTCCAATCACTAATTCTCGGAGCCTCATCCCTGGACACATTAGTGCTCAGGGCGATAAACTTCAAGTTTGCGCTTGCTTTAGTTCGAGGAACCGACTGTAAGTGAGGAGTTGTAACAACAGTGCTCCATGCCTATTTTCAACAGCTTTGGGGGAAGCACTTAAACATGGAGGGAGCTGGGCCTTACAAATGGTACCCCCCCCCCCCCCCCAAAAAGCGCAAACTATAATTGCATTGTCACCTTTACACACCTGCTCAAGCAATTCAACCCTTTCCGATCTCGACTAATTCTCAGGAACTTTCTCAATGTCTAAAAGATCGGCTCCTTCACCCACCGTCGCTGATGACGGCCAGTAAGCCACTGCCGCCCAAGCAAAACAATATACAGACTGATATAGATTGAGAAATACCAAGTCAAAAGAGCCTTCGAAACCTCTGAAATCCTATCTGGAGAGCAAACCAGACACAGACCCTCCGGGAGCAGCAATTGCCGCTGGCCAAACTAAAAGCCAGAACCCGGGTTCCAAAGATATGAGCGACAAGCTCCGTGAATGGGACGCTCTCTGGGATGAAGCGGCGAAGCATTGAGGATGAGGCTTCTCGGACTGTGAGGGTCGGTTATGAAATTCCCCCCCACAAGGGACATTGATACAATGAAGTGATTTCGGCGATGCGCGGGCGGTAGAGATTTGGCAGAGAACACATCAACTGTAGAAGGAGAATCGGCAGGAATAATTTTGTACGAGAATCGTATTCATTTGCAGTTGGAAAGTACGCTTGGGTGCAGAATCTCTCTAGGTTAAGACAATTGACGCAAGCACCGGGAAATTTTTGGTTGCTCTCAAGAAGTTCTACAGACTGCAGTGAAACGACCTAAGCCTACATCGTGCTAAGGGAAAATGATGTCGCGAGAGAGCCACAGACAAGGGGTGAAAGCCAATTAAAAAGTCGTATTGTTTGCTTTCTGGTCTGTGCCAGCGCGGAACACCCCTGCCTCGCTACATTATTTTTCCCTCCCACGGTGTGGACGCACCGGCCTGTATTAACCATTCCGTCACTCAAACTAGACATAGAGCCTCAGACCTAGCTATCGCATGACTTGACTGCAAGAGGGCTGATTGTAGGTCTGAGTCCTGGAAGTACTGGGATACAGAAAAAGCATGTGAGGAAAGCAAAATCCTTCATTCTGTTTTTCTTTTCCTCTCCGCACCCACAGACCCTCCACACTTTCCAGGGTTCCTAAATCACCCCACATCTCATCCCCTCGTCTTGTCCTGATCATGCCTGCAGCCATGTTTGCATTAAACATATTTCCAAGGATATTGTTCTGCACCTCTCAAGCCTTATCATATATCTACAACAATGCAAACAAAAAGTGGGCAGTTAGCGTAATCGCGACTCCTATGGCTACGTTTTCGAAACGCTTTGCGAATCGGAACGGATGAGCGTTTCTTTCCACCTTCTGAGGAAGATCTAGATCGACAGTGAGTTCGTCTCGTCGTTTGCATCCCGTTGACGATCTTCTTCAGAAGGGGTAAGTGGTGGTGCATCCACGGGAGGGTGACCCCCGGGCCCGGTTTCGATGCATTGGCTGACAGGTGCCACCGAACTTTCTTCTCCAGGCACCACTTCGGCATTGCAGAGCAGATCTTATGGAAGGTTGTCGTCAGCATGTGCCCCTCGCATGGGATGCCTGGCTTACATTCCTCGTCCAGTCGTCGGATTTCACTCAGCCGCCTCGGGTACAGTCAAGTCTGGATATAATCAGATTGGATATAAGCCTGCGCTGGGAAAAAGCTTCAAACCTCCGGTTCGGAATTTTTCTACAGCCAATATCCTCCCTCGGTATTAATTATGCCTGAATATATGCTTGGATTCGGGGCTTTCCGCCACGTGCTTATATCCAGGTTTTGCTGTCCCTCCGGATATCCCTTGGCGAGCTGATAACAATGGGCTAAGGCGGGATACCGTGCAGCCACACGTCACAGACTCCCGTTTGCTAGTGAAGGTCCCATGCCGCTGCTTGATAAAAGTGCAGATCTTCCTTCGAGGTGCATCTTTAGCTCTCTGCTCCTCGTTGAGACGCTCCCAAAATCAACCTCAAGGCGTGATTCTCCTAGAAATCAAGCCAAGATGGTTCACATCAACCCCCTTGGACGCAATTGGGGATTGCTGGTCAACTGGGATGATCTCGGGAAAATTTACGCTAGCTTTGCCATATCATGGACCGTCATCTTGTATTCGGGAGTTGCATGGCTTGTCGCCCATCGAAACCACCCATATCTCAAGATGCGGAATATTCCGCTTGCAGTTGCGGCAACCAGCTTCCTTCATCTGTATCTGGTCAAGATCATGCTGGCGTACACAATCAACGGACATTTTCTGTGCTCGGTTGAGTTCTGGATAATGAGCATCTACCTCCCGTTCGGTATTGCTCTTTTCCAAGCCAATCAGGTACAGCTGTTGAGTATCAGTATTCAGCAACGGAAGCTGCTGGATGGAGACAGAAGGTCAATTCGAGGACCTCCACGAGTCTGGGGTCTTCGGTCCAGATGGCGGAGTCTCTCTGCGCTCAAAAAGACCTACGTCTTCATTGGCATAGGAATGCTGCTCCAGGTGGCTAGCTCATTTCCAGTATTCATGACGGTGTATCTGACAGACTTCAGGTCGTGGTAACAACGGCCATCTTTGCAACAAACCACAAACTACAAGGTCACTGGGGAAAGATACCGAAAGCACAAGGGCAAGCGGCCTGCCGAAAAGGACCCGAATGGGTCCCATCAGCGTTCTGGCAGATGTTCTGGTCTTGCGTATATGGCCCATACCTCCTCTATAAGATCCGAGATGTCCGAGATACACATCTGTGGCGTCTTCAAACCACCCTTTGCGTGATATCGGGGTGAGCGCATTTCCACAATCCCACGACAGAAACTCCACTGACTTTACAGGATTCCCGGTTCTCCAATCTGGCTTACATCAGTCTTCTCTCCCAAATTCGCGCCCATCAATAGATACTTCGTGCCGCCTATGTGGCTCGCCCCAGGCATAACCGTCATGCAGGCTTGCACAATATTCTTCCCAATCTACTCCACCTACCGCTCCAACCACCTCTCTAAAACCACCCTCTCGGCCATCCAATCCTGGGAAGAAGGCTCTCGCTTGTGCCCCGACTCCACCACACTGGGCTCAAACTCAACACATACGCACTCCACTCCCACCATTCATCAAAATTCCTCCTTTAGGACCGAGAAGTCGCAGCACAGAGACAACGAAATGTACGAGATGACCATCACGGCGCTGGAGAACGCCATCGCCATGAACCCGTTACCGCTCCTCCAGTTCGCAGCCACGAAAGATTTCACAGCCGAGAACATCATCTTTCTCATTCAAGTCAGAGACTGGAAAACGTTGTGGGCTGCTACGCCATCACCACCTGCGTTTCATTCAAGAGCTTTACTTTTCAATAAAGCGGTTGAGATATATGCGCAGAGCGTGCACGAAAAGCTCGCTATGTTTCCTATTAATATTGAAGGAGGAATTCGCAGTCGCCTTGATGCGATCTTCGAACCTGCTGTGAAGAACTTGAGGGAAGGGAATCGGGAGATATTCGATCCGTACAATGAGATCACACCGTTTGCTGGGGATGAAGGGGAGTTGCCGCTCAGTCCCATGAGTCCTGGAAGTCCTGGAAGTCCTATGAGAACGAGTTGGCCACTGTCATCAGCTCCTTCGACGCCAAAATCAGCCTTTAGTGGTGAAGTGGGGGAATTTGTCAGGAACATGGATGACATTCCTCGGGAGTTCGATGAGAAGGTCTTTGATGCCGCGGAGAAGAGCATCAAGTATCTTGTTGTTACGAATACATGGAGAAAGATGATTAATGAGATGAAGGGGAATTCTAGGACTTCGCACGAGAGTATGCCATGATGATGGTACGAATAGAATGATATTGATTTAGTGTTCGCAGAGTAGGGTGGGGGTGTTTGGACAACGGATGATATCCATATCGGTGTGTATAGTATATTCAGGAGTTTTATGGTGTGTGCTTGGATTGAGAACGACTTATGGGCGGAAAAGGTATTCTTATGATCGGAGTTGGGGCAGGTCTGCAGGGGTAAGGGTGGGTGAAGGCGTTCTAGTGCCAAATGCTGGAGGGTGGAATCGCAACACCCTCCGTACCCTCTCATTGAGACAAATTAACTCTTGTACATGTTTCAATCTCTCAATATTTGTTCCTTTCGATACGTGTCCACCCTCTTGTCAAGCAGCGAATACTTCAAGAAATGGGTTCCTCGACCTTGATTTCCCAGGTAAGACATCTCCCGGCCCGCTTTGACCTCGTCACTGAGCGCTCAGCAGTATAACCCAATTAAACAACAATTTTTGTCCTGCAGTAGAACTTGAGTTATTAACTTTGCTTCAAACCGCGGTCGACATTGAGTTAGGACGCAGAGAGGTACCTCTCCGTTCACTGAGACTCAGGAGGAGATATTTATCATCATTGAGATTAAAGTCCTGGAGATGCAGGCGACACATACCCAGTTGTTGGGAAAGGGGGTCGAGCACGTGATCTACGCCCCTGAGCGATTTTCTCGGCTTGCACTGCCAGCCCAACTTGCCCTTAAAATCCGAACTCTCTTTCGGCAATAACTTCCCCTCCTTCTTATGGTAAATGAGGGCATTCCCAGTTCTTGACACGGCCGTGCACGCACAGACACAACATGAGGCACGTTTCGCCACCGTCACCTCCTGCCCCCGTTTCAGATCGCGAACGGCGATTCGACCACAGATCTCCGACTGGAAGTCTGATGCTCACTAGATAAGTCCCGGGTTTGCGTGTTTGGAGGTATAAATCCATCTCATCTCCTTGTCGTTCTCATCTGAACTTTTCTCTCGGCATTAATATTTCTCTCCGAGCCTCACCTCACCCACCTCACATTATTGTATTAGGGGAAGGGAGGCAGCGTTCAAAATGGGCCTCACATCCCGCCGCGTGCAACGCCTCGCCACCTTCGCCATCCGGCCGCTCCTCGCTGCAGTCGTTTTCACACTCGCTCTTCGCTACTTCACCTCTTCCTCCTCCCCACAGCCCAAGAAGCCGAAAGACACACACCCCCACCTCACCAAACACCTCATCATAGCCAGCACCCGCTCCTCAAACCTAACCTGGCTATACCCCTCTCTCCGCACCACCCACTGGACACCACACATCTACGTAACCGACGACCCGCACGCGCTCACCGTGCCAAAGAACAAGGGGAACGAAGCAATGGTCTATCTAACTTATGTCATTGACAATTATCACAACCTGCCTGATGTGATGTTCTTCCATCATGACCATCACCAAGCTTGGCATCAGATGTTCTCTTCTTCGTACGAGCTCGCGCACCTGAATCTCGATACGATTTTAAAGCAGGGGTACGTGAGTCCGCGCTGTCTCCCGGGCTGCGAGAATGTATTTGAACTCCCCGGCAACGTGGCGCCAATGTCAGATCTCCGGACCGCATCAATAGATGTCCTTATTTCAACGCTATTGAATGAGTTCTTGAGAGACGAGAACCGGAACCGGGTTGGGCTGCCGGAGAAGATTGCTGCGCCTTGTTGCGCGCAGTTTGCGGTTTCTAGGGAGGCGGTCAGGAGGAGGGGGTTGGAGACTTGGGTGGGGCTCAGGGAGTGGTTGCTCGAGACCGGGGTTGAGGGGAGGCAGGCGGGGAGGGTGTTGGAGTGGACTTGGCATTTGTGGTTTGGGATGGAGGCTGTGCAGTAAGTGGATTAAGATGGAGAGAGGAGAGGAGGAGAGAAGGCTAATGTGATGCAGTTGTCCGGGTGAGGCGAAGTGTCTTTGTGATGTTTATGGGGTTGGAGATTGCTCGCAAAGTTGATCCGGAAGACTTGGGCTGAGTAATTGCTGGATTGGCGGAAGTGATGGCTTCGGCGAGAGGAGTGTGTTGCTCATGAGTCGTGGGGATTGAATGGGGTGTTCTTCAGCTGAGGGCTTGCGGGGATGGATGAATAAATGCTGGCAGAGCTGAAGTACAGAGTGCTCGTGAAGTTTTGATACTGAAGGTTTGAGCCGAAGTGCTGGGCTAGCCTTGCTGGAGCGTTGTTTTCACGGTGAGGGTATTGGATGTTTTGCATAGCCTTGGGAGTTCTGCGTTAAAGAATAATTTCATTTGCTGCCAAGACCTGACTTACCATCGTTCGTTCCTTTCCGATTACCCAAATCAGAGAATCGGAGCTGCTTTCGCCCCTTATGCCCTGGCCAGCGCAACTGTATTGGCATCTTTGAGGTGAGCTTACGATCCCTCGCGACTTCTTCAACTGATCGTGACAGACTTCTCCTCTCCAGCTGAGGAACTTCTGTTGAGGAACAACTCAAATCATCAACATCACCAACAAACATCAACAAATATCAGCCAACACCAACAAGCATCCCCGACAATATCGATACATCACCATGCACTGCAATAAACCACTCGTAGAGAGCGTTCGGCGCCATTTCAGGAGGACAAGACCAGAACTCCCAGGACTCCCAGAAGTTCCAAAAGTTGTAGAAGCCCCAGAGGTCAATCCCTATCTCGGCACAGCTTGTGGATTCCACCGCGAGGATTCCCAAAAGTGTGGTCTGCTGCTCTCGAAGCATTTCTAGGGAGTACAAGAGCATGCGTCTTCCATTCTTGATACCAGAGCAGTCCTGACAACTGCCCAGTATTCCACCGTTCATACTAAGCGTTGGAGCCCTACCAAAAGAGCTTCTTGACAAAGTTTTTGATTACCTGCTACCGCCGCGCCTCAGAGGTAAGAGAAATTGCAGAAAGCTCTGGCTCGACTCAATGAATCGCATCCTATTTCGTGACTGGATCCCCTCCTCTCGCACCACCCTGCCCGGCCTCCGAATTGGCAAAGGCAAAATAACGCAATTCTGCTTCATTCAAGGCACTGCCGAGAAACTCTATCGAATATCGCGGGGAGGAACTTTCAGTTTAAGAATGTTGGAGGGGAAGACTCCCCCTGAGGTAGCTCGAAAGCTGCTCGATTTGTTCCTTACCTTCGTCGGAAAGAACCTTGTTTTGCAATTGACCTGCTGCGAATCGAAGAGAAAACGGCCTGTTGGTGTGTGTCAAGCAGCCCCACAACTTTGAAGGGCCAAGCTAACACCGCACAGTCATCTCGTAGCTGGCTGGCCTCTCTTGCTCCACTGTTGCAGCATATCCAATACCTTTCTCTCAATTTAGCTGTCACGAAATCCCGCCCATTCAGCTTTACCCTGGAGTCCGTTCGTTTATGCCACTACATTAGTCAAGAGTTGCCGAACTTGAAATGGGTGTTGTTCTACTTACACATTGCGAAAGAACAGATTGAGCTTGCAGTCAATTCTACTGGAGATCAGGGTTGGGTCTGGACTTGTCGGGAAGTGGCAGACGGAGCGATGATGGAAAAGACGAGAGTTTTCCTGGCGATCGTTCCGGAGGCCCAAAAACTTGGTTGGTTCAACATGAAACATCTCCAATCAGCCAAAAGAACTTGGGAAATTTTCATGACCCTGAGAGAGTTGCATGGAGACAAATATTGGAGGGACAATTTGGTGGGCATTGAATGGGAACTCCAGCGGCTGCTCGAGGCAGGTGCAGAGAAATCACCTGAAGCCTGGACTTCAAGCTCAGAATGAGCATGGTTGACTAGTGGAGAGATGCATGATGGAAACACAGAACTATTCCGAACAAGGCTAATTCTTACGTGTCAGTAAGGCATAGAGAAACATTTCAATCCTGCCTTCTGCAAAACTATCCTACAGTCTTGATTCCACCCCAGCGTCCTCAGCCTTAACCTCAACCAGCAGTTTTCCTTTCACTGTCAGCTTCTCATTCTAGAATCTTCACAACGAGACATACCTGTATTGATACCATTGTACAAATCCATCAGCGCTTGCTCAGCAGCCTTCAACCCACCCTTAACAATTGTCTCTTTTCGCTGGAGCTTGCCTTCTGCCAGCCATTGAGTAAGTTGCTCTTTGGCAGCCGGGTATTCCTTCGCGTAGTCAAAGACGAGGAACCCTTGCATCTTGATCCGCATAGCAATAACCATCGAGATATTCTGTCTTCCATCAGCCTCTTCCCCATTCCTCGCCTTAAACCAGAGAAAAAAAACCATACCTTCGGCCCAACAGGCTTCGCATTATTATACTGACTGATAGCACCACACATCACAAACCTCGCATGCGGCTTCGCCCTACTCAGAGCCGCCTCCAGAATCTCCCCTCCCACATTATCAAAGAAAACATCAATCAGCCCCTTCGTCGCCTCCTTGAACTTCTCCCTGAACTCCGGATCTTTGTAATTGAGCGCCTCATCACAACCCAGCTCTTTCAACCACGCTACTTTGTCATCACTTCCCGCCAATCCCAGGACTGTGGCCCCTTTGATCTTTGCGATTTGGCAGGCGACGGATCCCGTGGCTCCTGCGGCGCCAGACACGGCGACGAAATCCCCGGGTTGGATTCTGCCGATGTCTGTCATACCGAAGTAGGCTGTGAGGCCGGTGCCGCCGAGGACGCCGAGCGCGTCGGTCACTTTTCCGTGGGGAGGCACTTCGAGCAGGGAGACGGCTTTGGCGTCTTGGATCGAGAGCTCGGTCCAGCCTGGGCTACATGTAACGTAGTTCCCGGGGGTGAAGGAGGGGGATTTGGAGGCGACGATCTTGCCGATTACGAAGCCGCGCATGAGCTCGCCGATTTGAACGGGGGGCACGTAGGAGCGTGTATCTGTTGATGTTAGCCATTTGTCACGTGAGAGGGTTCGATGCGGCTTGGTAGGGGTTGAGAGGAGGAGAAAGGGGGAGGTACCGTTGAGCCATCCTCGCATTGCGGGGTCGAGAGACAAGTAGAGGGTCTCGACGAGAACTTGTCCATCTTTCAGGTCAGCCTCTGAGATCATCCTGTTCTGCTTCAGCGTGAAGGTCTCGCCGGGGACGATAGTGGCCTTTGGGCGTTGAGCCAGGACGACGGATGTGTATGTTGATTGAGACATGATGTTGTGCTTTCTCTTGACTTGATTCCCCATCTCTACTTCTCCTGGGGCTCTCTGGTTATATACCTCTCAAACGGGGATGTGGCAGCTTTGAGATGACATGCAGGAGAGGCGGCACGGGAAAAGCGATTACAAACAGGAAGACGGCCGCAAGAGTAAAGATTGGGATGATCCTATAGATGGTGAGGCGTCTCAGCCGTTGCTGAATTGCGTATTGGTTGTCAATCCTTCATGCTGTGGAACTTTTCATGTCGTAACAAGCAAGAGGGGAATGACTCGTGGGCCGAGGTTACGGTCCACGTCCGAATCAGGATACAGAACCGAAGCCAGTGGCCATTCTGATAGAGATTTTGCTACCAAAACAAGGCTCACCGGTGCAATTGAGAGCCGGTGCTTTGTAATGTTTGAAGTCTGGCTAGGATAGCAGTTTCGAACTTTTAAAAGATGGCTCTCTAGGATCTTTCGACCCGGTCAAATTCTAGCTCCCTACTGAGGCCCACAGCTAGCTAGCGGACAAATCCGAGAAGCGAAAAGTGATTTTCTGATTTTCTGATTTTCGCACTGGCGCCCCGCCCCCCCCCCCCCCTCCTCCCCAAGGCAGAATTCCTAATTAGGGGTATAGCACCCACACGTGACTTTCGGCTTGGATAACGCAATAATAGTAAGGCTGCTTGCTTGTCTAATTAACGAAGTGAGAGCCCATACTACCGTGTGAAATCGTGCCAAAATTAGGCCGGGTAGTATAATATAAAATTGAGTATTTATTACAAATTACTATGGTCAGGTGATTACAGGCTATAAGCCCTTCTAGGATAACGCTATTAACAGGGTCTAATGACTTCCTTAATATTCCCGAGGTTAGAAATAAGAAAATTAAACTATTAAAATAACTAAGAAGCCGGCTAATTACTTTTTTTTGGCAATTAATTAACAAAATTATATAGGAGTAATATTACTCGAGTTTTTTAGTACTTATATTACTAGAAAGTATATTATAATAGTAAAGTATACCCTGAACTTAACCCCTATTAAAATAACTTAGTAGATTTTATTAAAATAATACTATAACTTTTAATAAATCTATTACCATATTACGAAGCTATTACTAAATAGGCTCATATAAATATTAATTAAGAAGAAATTGCAAATAGATTAAAAGATTTATATAGAATCTCAGTTAATTCATATACGGTCTAATAGTAACTATAAGAATAAAATATCCAAATATATACTTAAATAGTAAATATACCTTTTCTTTATATATAGATTATAATCCTATATTATCTGGAAGATATAGATAAGGAAATACTTAAGGATCTTGAGGATTATAGTTATATAGCTTTAATTACTAGAGTCGTCCGTATATATAAGAAGCTTAGTCTTATTTGCCATATAACTATAATAGACAGGCAAGCGGCGGACGAGTAACTATTTATAATACTATAGAATAAGCTAAATAATAGGCGGGTTACAGGTTATAGACGGCGGTATTTATATATATACTTCCGTTAATAAGGTTTACTAGTAACCCGGTTAGTCTTTCTATACTTTACTATTTTGCCCTAGCTTAGAAGATTAGAGCCTTATTTACTAATATATTTTATTATCTATAAGGAGAGCTTATATATAATATTATAATTCCTGGATCCCAAGGCAATTATACTACGAATATAATAGATATAGTCTAAGAAGGGAGAATATATTATACCTGGGCCAGACTAGATTTAGTTAATTAATAGATATAATAAACTATTACTATTTGGGATCGAGATATATACTTATATTAATACTTATTTACATAATATTATCTAGGTATATATTAGAATCTCTAATTAGACTATCTATTTGGTTATATAATAATATCTTTAGATTTATACTCAAATAGGCTACTATCCTTACTTCTTTAGGGCTAATCGAGGCTCTAAACTCTCCCTTATTACCGAAGTATATTTTATATTCTCGTAAATAGCCAATCCATTAGTTATATATATAGAGAACTACTTTATTTCTAGGAAAAGTACCGAGAATTAGTAGGTTAAATCCTGGTAGCAGGAGCTTTAGAAGAGCTAGCTATACTAGTAGTATATAAGTAATTCCGTTTCCCTATATCTGCCCCTTATTCTTTCTATTATTAGAAGAAAGTATTAGATACCAATAATTATACCGCTTTTTATTAAGGCTATTAGGTCTAGTATTATAGTACCGGATTATATAACTAATTCTAATTAGTATATATAGAACTACTTTTAGGAACTAGCCTATACCGGGGATTATAATTACTAATACCTATAGGATCGGATTACTCTACTAGTACTTTATATATAGCGAATCCAAAATAAGATATATAGGTTTATAGACTTATAGAATATCTATAAGATTAGAAAAGACAGATCTAGGCCTAATATAGTAGCCGGTAAGCTATTTAGACTATATATAAGGCCCCCAGGCAAGGTATAGTACTAGGGTCGCCCTATAGATATAGAGCTTTATAATATAATCCTTAATAATTACTTAGTTTGGGATAAGTAATATAACCTTATATAGCTCTATACGAATAGTTTACTTATATACTAATATAGATATTAACGAGTTTCTGCCGAGAGAAATACTAGAGTAATACTATTAGAAGCTTATATCTTATAGTATAAATATAGCCAATATTTATATAGGAGATACTAATAGAAATAGTAACTAACTATATATTTAAGCTTACTACTAGCTCCAATATATAGTCCGGATATATATAGCCTCAGGGCAGCTACTAATATTAAGAGAGTCCGAGAAGCTAACTAGTAAATATAATATTACTATTATATAGAATGGAATTCTTAAGTAAGTTATCCTAATAAATATAAAATATATAAATAATATATAGGCCAGAAAGATACCCGTATAGTTTCTAATAGTCCAGGACTTTATCCAGGAATAGCCCTTTATTAGTAATACTTCTAATAATATAGGGTAGTTAAATGAGCTAGTTACGAAGTAACTAGATATATTAAGATAGGTATTATTTATTATTAAATATATTATTTTCGAAACCCCCTTCTTACTTTTAAGAGTAGTACTAATAGAATTATTAAGTTTATCTACTATATAAATATTCTATATTCTCAAATTCTTATCTCTCAAAATAGTACTATTATTTCTCAAAACCTGCTCTAATACTATATATCTTGCGGCCAAATACTAGTATAATAATATCTAATATTATAAGTTCTATTAATTTACTAATAATAAATATAATATAGAAGCCGCTGCTTTACTTGCCCAGAGTAGTAATACTAGTAGACTTGAACCTTATAGCTCTAGAATTCCGTCCGTATCTATTTCCCTCTTTATACCTGAAATACTTTAAATCCCTAGCTCTTCTTAGTATCCTTATCCCGTATCTTTTCTTCCAGGAATATCTACTATACCTATTCCTCTAGTTACTATTACTATATAGCCGCCAGGTACTAGTTCTACTCTATCCCAGGCTTCTCCTACTCTAATGGCCCTATAACTACTTCCTTCCGTATTCCCTTTTATTATAAGCTATATTACTCGACCTAATTACTCTTCTAGTAATACTTATACTACTATATAAGCTTAACGGGCTATAAATACGAGAGTTACTCAGGCCGCTACCCAGGCTATAGCTCCTTATACCAGTAATAGGCTACCTAAAGTCTTTTAAGATCTTATAAATCAAAATATGGCCGGATCTAGTCTTATGAAATTATAGACCGTGGTTTTATAGCTAGTTCTCTATAAGTAGATATTTAATAATATAAAGAATTAGAGAGCTAAATAAAGAACTATCTAACTTTCTAAAGAAGTTAATAGTAAGTTTTCTTCTATTTCTTTTACTAGATTCTCTATACGAATTCTAATAGATATTTTTTAATAAGTGGCTTTTGATTTAAAATAAATAATCGAGTTTTTTCTATTCTTTCTAATATAGTTTCTTAGTAACTACTCTCTTACTTCTCTCTTTATATTAGCGGACCTATCTACTATTATTAATTTATTAATAATACGAATAAATTAGTATTCTATACTAGTCCTAATAGTAAAAGAGCCCAGGAACTTACGGTCTTACCAGGTTCTATTTAAACTATCTTTAATCTTTCCTACTATAGTATATATCTGGGTCCTAAGGGCATCTGGATAATTTTCCTTATTTTATACCAGGATAAGACTTTATATAAAGATATTTGTCTTAAAATTGCTTATAAAGAGCTAGAAAATACTTAGAAAGAAACTCTATATAAAGATCTTTGTCTTAAAGTTACTTATAAAGAACTAGAAAATATTTAGAAGATATAGTAACTTGAAAAGATTAAATAATAGATTAAGGAGGCCCAGAGAGCCCAGGAGAGTATTACCCGCTAGTATAGGTATAAGACTTTAAGAGTAAGGAGGGATCTAATAAACTAGTAGGCAAATAAAAATATATATATAATTCTTTTTTTTAATTCTGGCTTCTACTTTTTATTTCTTCTATAGACCCTTTTTTGTTTTTAGGTTTAATTAACTTATATATACTAGGATTCTTCTCTACTTACCGACTTCTAGGAGCCATAAGATAATACGGAAAGTATTACTAAAAGTACTACCAAAGCTAATTCTAATAATAATAATAATAATAATAATAATAGTAGGTTATTAGATTCTTCTTTAATTTTACTATTCTCTCCTCTAGTAGAGGGAACTATAGTTAATCTTATAAACCATATAAGTATTACTCTATAGTAATGGGTATATTAGAGATATAAATATACTATTTCTTTTTCTTATTAGATATAGAGAATTAACGGGTATAATATCTTTAGCTTTATAGGTAAAACCCAAGGTATCCGGGCTACTACTAGTACTCTACTTATTACCCCGAACGGAAGTCTAACTATTATTATTAAACTTCCTAGGCTAATTAACCTTACTTTTCCTAAATAAACCTATTATATAAGATCTAATAAATTATATATAAATATCTGCCGAGATTAAGGTAATTAAGAAAAAATAGACCTAATATCTAATATACTTTTTCCTATATCTTGTAATTAGCTTAGTATTATTTTGGGTCTTATTTCCTTATAAATATATATATACTTGGAATTTATAATTAATACTTTAAAATAATACTCTTTAATTAGTTCTTATATAATTTAAAAGTTAGGCTACTAAATTTAATGCTTTTATAATACTCAAATTTACCTAAGTTTATAAAGTCTTATAATTATTAGGGCCTTTATAATTCTTTGCCTTTTGAGTTTAATATTCAAATAGTATTATATATTCTGCCTTTAGTATAGAAGAGGCTCCTAAAAGTCTAGGGTTATAAAAGGATTTTTATATTAAGAATATATTAAGGATATATTATATTATAATAATAAAATTATAGGCATTTATATATGAATATATAATATATTAGACTAGCTATACTAAAAACCATACTATATCTATATATAAAGTTACTAATTACTTTATATTAATACCGGACCCGTATAGTTATATAACTCTATATAATTAGCTAGCTATAGAAAAGTCCCAAAGCCTGAAACTTATAAAGAGTCTTAAGGGCTTTAGGGCTTCCGGACTATTACTAGTATCCGGTACTCTTTGGGAAAAGAGTATAATATATTCTATAATAGGTAACCTATTATAGACTATTCAATTTTCAAGTTAAGCGGGAAATCTAAGGACCGGGCTTATAATTCAAGTCTTATTAAGGTTATTAAAGTCTTTACTAGCTAGTACTATAGATTTAATAAAAATATTACGGGAATCCTATAGGTTCTATTCTAATCTATCTAGAAAGTATATATAGTATATCTCCTTATTCATTCTAATATTTATATATGATTTCTGAGAGCCGAACTATTACCTAAGAGGAAAGTAAGAAGGCTAAACTAATACTTTTAAAAACCAAGGCCTTAATAAGTCTATCTAGAAAAGCTTACTAATTCTTCTAAAGATAATCCAAGAAAAGTTTGAGTTTATTATATATTATAACTTATATAACCAGGAATAAGAACTACTCTAATAGGCCAGAAAGAGTTTCTTATATAGCTCACTCGTATAACCAGGGACAGGGACTTGAGTTTATTATATGAAATTACTTATATATAAAGATTCTTATTATAAACTCCTTATTTGAATTAATTAGTTAAACCTATTTTTAATACTAAGTCTTTATTAAGGTAACTTCCCGCTCCTAGAGGCTTTAGATAAAGTAGCTAATAAGTTTCTTAGCTATTAGCCAAGACTTATTAGCTAGAAAATCTATAAGTAGTAAATAAGATTATAAAGCAGAACTCTCCTAACTATAATACTAAGACATTTTACTATAGTATAAAGCAATTAGATATAGAAGCCCTATTAAATATAATATATCTCAAATTATAAGTTTATAAGATAGGTATAGGGAGTCTTAGTACTTAACTAGTATTATAGTCTAGCCCGAAGGCGCCTATTATCCTTTATACCTAATTTAATAGAAATAAGAAATACCTATACTTTAACTCAAGGAATAATTAGGACTTTTATATAGACTTAGGGCAGCGGTTTGCTCTATAGAGAGAGAATAGACCAGAAATACCTATACTATATTAATCTTTAGGAAGGGTTATAGTAAATACTATAATTCCTGAAATACTCTTAAGAAAGCTTTCCCGAACCAAAGTAGGCTAGTTTATAATCCCGAAAGATCTATAGGAGTCTTATATACCCGAGAGTATAAATACTTAAGGTAAATACTATTTGAGTCCTAACCTATAATAAAAGAAAAATAAAGTATATAAAACAAAATATATAAAGCAAAAATAAAATAAAATACCCGGATATTTAATAAATAGAAAGCCTAACTATAGGCTATAAGAACTAGTACTAACTAGATATATATACGGTAATATTAAAGGAAAAATAAGGCAAGGGAAACTAAAAAGTAAGTTAGTATATATTCCGTAAAAGCAAACGGGAAGATATCTAAATAGCCTAAAGGCGAGAAGTATATATTAAAGAAGTCGAGATTAGAGAAAAAAGGGCTATTTCCTATAAAAATAAGTTAGTATATATTCTAAAATAAAGAATAGGAGTACTTAGTAGTAGCCCGAAGGCTTTTATAAGTATTAAAGAAGAGGAAGAGGTATTAAAGTTCGGAGGAATCTAAATAGAAGTTAGCCTCTTTTTTGGAAGTTCGAGAAAAAGTACTCCCAAAGGGCCCAAAGATATAAAAGGTATTAGAAAAGGGAAAAAGAAGATATTAGAGAAAAGAAAGAGGAATCTAAAATTTAGCTTTCTAAGAAATAAGTAGGTTAAAGACTTATAGTATAGGAGTTCTGGATAAAAGTAACCCGGAAGTAATAGTTAGGTACTAGCTTTTAGTATTATTAGTAGAAATATTAAAGGAGAAGGGGTTTAGAGAAAGGGTTTAGAGAAGTTTAGAGAAGGAAAAAAAGGTTATAAGGCAGTCAGATACTAGTTCTTGGTATTAATAGAAGAAGTATTAAAGAAAGAGGAATTCGGAAAAGGAATTCGGAAAAGGGATTTAGAAAAGGAATAAGAAGGGGTAAGGAGGAAGAGAGGAAGGTTATAAGGTAGTTAGATACTAGCTCTTAGTATTAATAGAGGTATTAATAAAGATATTAATAAAGGTATTAATAGAGAAGGTATTAGTAGAGGGCAGAAGCTCTTGGTATTAATAGTAAAGTCGAAAAAATATAGAAAAAGAATAGAGGTTTTAGAGCAAAGATAGAATAGAGTTATAGTTTTATAGAAAATAAAGTTACTAGTATAGGATAGTTATATTATTATATAATTCTATATTTACTTTTACTATTTATTAAGGATATATATCTCTTAAGAGAAAGTATTATTTAGAATTCTTAAGTCTCTCTAATTTAATAACTATATATTTGAAAAATAAGAAATAAATATAATTATATATACTAGAATAAGGGAATTCTTCTTATCTAAAAATTATAATTATAGTATTACTAAATATAGAAATATAGAAGTTTATATAATAAGCTATATATAGAGATTTAAGAAGATTTAAATTACCTCGAATTATTTATAATTAGTAAAGTAAATTAGCTAACTATATAAGTTAAGTATAGTTTAATTATTATTAGTATACCTTAGCTTTTATAAGTTAGTAAAAGAAAGAATATTTATATCTTTATCTTTATAACTATAATACCTAAAATTATAATTTTTTTAATATTTAAATATACTTAACCTAGAGCTATTAAATACTAATATTTCCATTTTCAGGCATTATTTATTATAAATTTATTCGGATTTAAATAATTATATTAAATATATATCTTTATATCCCAAAGGTAAATAATAAAGATATAGCTATACTAGCTTTAACCTTAGCCTTAACCTTAACCTTAATTTCCTTCCGAAAACAACTTCGATTCCGATATATAATACTATTATTAAAGCTTTCCTTTATTAAAGATATATTAAATATGGCTTTAGGCAGCGGCTCTAGTAAAGGCAAAAGCAGTAGAAAAGGCAATAAAGCTATAAATAAGCAGAAAGATAATATTTATAATATATCCTCTAATAATCCAGACTTAGTCTATAATATTCTCTCCCGTTAATATATTTAACTAATAAACCCCTTTACTCCTCGATTTCCTCCTTATATATAATCTTCTCCTCCTCCTCTATAATAATACTTTAATCTCCTTATACTACCCAATAATACTACTAAAGTAATAAAGTGAATTAATAATAAGGCTAAAGTTAGAGAGATAAAGCTATACTAGGGCAGGGAGCTAAAGGGATTAGAGAAAGGCAAGGCAAATCTAGAGGCAAGCTTAGTATATACTTATAGAACCGAATTCTCTTAAGCTTATACTACTTATAGTAATAAGAAGAGACCGAGGGGCCCTTTTAAATACTATATAGTTATAGAAGGGGTGTGGAGTGATTTTTTTTTTTCATGTCATATATGCGGAATAAGAGCTGATGAGGATTGGGGGGGAATCGAACGCACCAGGCATTCCGTTTAGGGTACCTAATGCTCTATATAGAGGTAGAGGGAATGAGAGATATAGGAGGCATGATGGATATAATGAGCTTAATAGATATAGAGGAAGCAGGGGAAGAGGAGATCATAGGAATGGGAGGAGACGATATTGGAGGAAGGGATAACGGAAGACTGGAATATAGATAGAAATATGAGCGAAAGATATAGAATATCCGCCAGCTCCGAAACCATATTTCCCAAAACGTCTATGCCTCGCTCCGAAAGGTCTGAATCATCCTAATCATAATTCAATTATCTTTCATATCTGAAATGATAATAATAATGGGGGGGTGGGCGCGAAAATCAGAAAATCAGAAAATCAGAAAATCACTTTTCGCTTCTCGGATTTGTCCGCTAGCCCGCTAATGGCCTCAGTACTCCCGGTCCCGCCTTAAGACGCCGAGGCATCAGAGGGTCCGATTCCCCGCGCGCCTCAAAATCAAATCCCCGATTGCTCTTTAACGCCAGCACACTAGGTTCCCGAAAAGATAACATCAATTAATGCTCAGTCTATAGGATTACCGTCGATAAAATTGCAAAATCTTAATTGTAACTGTTATCGAAGTTAATATAAAAAACATTGATTTTCGGCCCGGATTTCGGTGTATCACGACTAACCGGAGGCGCGTGTCCCCGATCCTCCCCCTTGTGCGCCCGCTTCGTCCGCTGCGGTGTGGGTGCCCGATTTGTAATTTATCAAACCCTAGCCTCACGACACAAATTGAAACTACATTTCAACGTTCAAGATGATCTATTGCGCAAGGCCAGTGGTGAATCGCCTACCTCCACTTAAGATCGGGGACTTCTACTCCTGGCTGGGATCAGCCCCTGCAGTCTCAACCCAAGCCCAAGATGATGCACATCTGACGAAGAGCTCTCGTCTCCTCAGCCTCGTTGACTTGACTCTCCACTCATTCGAAATCGGATCTTCTCCGCCCTACATCGCATCTCCCATGTTTGGGCCGAAAAGGTGTCTGTCGATCGGGCTCATTTTGATTCCTCTCTAGGCGGCCGAGCAGTGAGGAAAAGCCTTGTCTGTGAGGTTCCCAGCAGTGAATTATTGCTGGGTGGACAACTTCTGCATCCTTCAAGATAATGAGAGCGACAAGTTCGAGCAAATCCCTCTCATGGCAGATGCCTATCGAAATGCGGACGAAGTCTTGATCATACATGCTTGTGAGCTTGGCCTCACTCAAGATAAACTCGACGAAGCGACATCGGAAGTGGAAGAAGCTCTGGAGCTGTATAGACTCGGTATTCCGTTTTATGATGAGCGATGTCGACCCTGGAGAGACGGTGAAAGATACACGAGAATCGTGAGAGCGATGGAACCCCTCGCCCGCTTCGCCAAGTCAGACTGGTGCACTCGCGTATGGACTTTGCAAGAATTCAAATTCGCTCGTACAATCGTTTGGATTGGGGCTAATTCGATACCTCTCACCTGCGAGGAGATCTTGTTTGGGGCCATTCCACCCATGTGTGAGTGGTGGAGGTTGAATAAACTTGTACGTTCTCCAGAGGTCGATCGGCTCTACACCTTATTTGTTTGCATGGCCGCCATGCGAATCCCTTGTTACGAACCCACCGGCGTGATGGTGAGCGCTGCGAGACGCATTCATCAATTCCCGTTGACGAGTTATATGGCGCCATGGCTGCCTCTGGGGTTCAAATAACTCCTCTGCCGGATGAAACTATAGAGGAAGCATGGTCGAGATGGTGCGAGGCGGCAATTTCTAGCGGACACATTCGATGGCTGATGTTTCCACCCAAAGCAACAACCCTATTCCTTGACACTGCCAAAGCCTACTCTAACTGCTTATTCGAGTCTGCGAGCACACGACATCTTGTAGCTCTTAATTTGGGGTCGCCTACGGTGGTTCCGTACGCACCGCCAACAATCTCAGCCGGAACTGTGAGACTTGCTGCAAAATCCACTAGTCGCTGTAGACTAATTCTAAAGCTTGGCTCCCTGTACCGGCTTGGTGAACAATACTTTCCGATAATCTCTTTAATTCTCTTCTCGAAGGGAGACGGGCACCTAGCTGTACGTATCGCGGAATCTTTTAGATCGGGGCAGTTTTCAGCAACCCAAATCCACGCCATTGGACAGGTATTTGTGAACAGTTACGAGTCCGCTTTGTGCTAGTCCAATGGAAACAGGCGTGCTCCGTATCAAGCTGTGGTGTCATCAGCCATTGAGGGAAAATCATTCCTCGCCTTCGCAGACTACGTTAGTTGTGGGCCCATGCGCGTTAACTATGGATCCATCGCGTATCTCGCACTTATAGAGGCCGAAGGACAGATATCATATCTGGTGCTCGTGGCGCTTGGTGATCGGGTACCAACTGGTCCTCTTTTCGCGCTCGATGTTAATGCACGAACAATCTATAATAAAACTATCTTCTTGATCGCAGAGGCAGCACATGAAGATATGTAAAGGAACCAACAGGATCCGGACTTCAACATGGGTGATTGTGTCCTTCACAAGATCGGCGTCACCATTCCGCATGAAGTGAGTATCGATGGCTCTTTCCTCCCATTCAACCTGGGAGGCTCACGGTGCCCTGTCTGTCAATCTGAAGGACGACAAGTATAAGAAAGAAGACTCGGCGAAAAGCAAAACGGCCGCCAAGATGAGACAACGTTGGTATGCTCAGGGCAAAAGCAAAGGGAGGCACCAAAAAGCGAATCTGAGGGCGAATAGGAAATGAATATACTCCCTTGGTCTGATTGAGCCAGCCTCAAACCAACCAGCAATCTTGAAGTGTTCAGCCGCCTAGAACCTCTGTCTTTGCGTGGCTCTTGCTCTCTCTATGCATAGAACAAGGTATCTAGGAGTCTGAATGGCTTGGAACTTTCCATAAATGCCAAAGGCAAGTATCCAGAGCAAGCTGTATTCCAAGGCAAAGGGCTTGTAACAACATCCCTGGGCTTAGCACACCTATCTTGTATTATTATACATCGGCGTAAATCTCATAGGCAGAGATGAGCCGATGTAAGTCATTCAGTTCCTGAGGTTGAGACATGAGGGATCGTTCTATCTGGACAGGTCTGGGAAGCCATTTCGGAGGTGGTTGCGTCCCCTTTGAGCAGGAACATTGATCCTAGACCTGCCTTGGATAATTAGTAATGGCTTGCAGAAGATGTTGAAACAAATCTCCTGGAAGAGCAAAGCACGATCCATGCCCAATAGTCAACACGGCCAACGCGATTGCAGCCATACAACCATCAATTGCAAGACCTATCGCGCTCGCCATTTGGAGATATCGCCATCACAACATCGCTATATTTTCCTGTGGCTCTCAAAACTTGGTTAAGAATGGCAGACCCGTTCGGAGCAAATGCTAGAGCTTCTTGTTGATAGGAGAGTCGGAGACTGGAGGTCGCGCTGCGATCAGAGACGATCAGCTCGAATCTGTTATTGATCATCAAGTTGTTGCAAGTTCCTTTCCCGCCAATATCAACAGAAGTTGGAACCCTCACTCTCATTGGCGAGTCGATTGAATACATATAGCACTATCGAATGCTGGAATGTTGTGCTGCATGATGTTGTGAGACGCGTCCACTGCCGAGGTTGAGAAGTTTTTAAAGCTCAGGGCACTCACGCGCTAGCGCTAGCCACAGGCAACCCCTGAGCAACCCTCGCTTAATGAAATTCAGGGGTACCATCTCTCAACACTCGCTGTAGGGGGAAAGGCGCTACAGACGATGCAAGTCATGGATCCGCTACACCCACGGATGAAATGGGGAGGAGCTTAATATGTCTCTCTCTGACTTGGAATCCGATTCTGATGATGAGCCTCTTCCTGGAGACGATAACTGTGTCTCTAATGAGTAAATGACTCGCCAACGAAGTACACATCGCGTGAAGCAGCCTGTTGCCGGAGGATGTCTTCGCAATCCGTAGTCGAAAACTGAAGAATAAATATAAAATATGGTTATAGCAAAAGCAGCTTCCCAAGGAATGGAGGTAGTACCTAGGGCACTTGAGCTTTCCGTGATTGTGAGAGAATTGATGGATCTTCAAGTAACTGATGAAAAACTTATTGTCATGGCCCATGGGTGTCTCTGGCAGAACACGGAAAGCGGCACTAGGTCCCATCAGAATGCGGAACAGAAACTCCAGCTCGAATAAAACACACGACGAAAGAATGTGACTGTTGTCCAACGAATTATAGAGTCTTTTCATGTTTCTCGATCCGCGTCGTAAGAATGCGTAAAGCAAGACCTAACATTTATTAACACAATTCAAGTAACAAAGCAGACGAATAGTATAAACAAATTCTTTATCGCCCGGAAATATTTCTATTCTTAGTAATGGCAGTAAAATACTTATCGTAAGCAAACAATGAACTCAGCATTAAGACAGGTATCCTCGACAGAACAGAGAAATTCCATGAATGTCAAATAGATAGACTTGCTAGGTTAAAGAATTATTCATTAAACCTTCACTCAAACACTTCACAACGCTACAATTGCAAAACCTCCAAACCTCGACTCAAACTCGGAAGCTTGATTACTCAGTAATTCACAATGCTGACCCACTGCACGTCACGCGTTCAGTTCTACCACGAGTGTGGCCACGTGGAAGAGCTTTCCACCGCCCATCGAAGACAATGCAAGGCATACCTTTCCCAATTATATCCTACGCACATTCCATCTCCCGATATCTATTGGGAGCCCCCCTTGTTGGCTCGACAGAATGGGTCGACTTGCAAGAGAAGAACCACGACAGTCTACTATGACGGCACCAATTTATGCAAACACTGCAAGGAAAGCCCAGAAGCAGCGTCCACAGCACCATTGCCCGAATCTGTTCTTCAAGAGAGCAGACTGCTGTGGCGGAGACTTCATCTGGAGTCTATGCAGGCTAGGGATGAAACTGTTATAGCTTTCACGGGACTCAAGAAAGAAAGAGAGGCGCGTGGAAGGGCGCGGGAGTGGGATATGACACCAGAGGAGAGACGAGAAGAATGGCTCAAGGATTTTGCAGCCTACAGGGCCAAAGAAGAACGAAAAGGAACGCCGATGAGTGAGCGCTTGTTTGTGAAAGAACTCCCTGACCATCTCTGGGGTATCGATTGGAACAAGTCTTACGTTGACTGGGATAGCACAGGAATCTTCCGTCTCGTCAATGCCGACGAGGTTGCGAAGAACGGTATGTGTGGAGTGTGTGAGGAGCCTCTCAATGTGGAGTCCGCTCGAAAACTTCCCTGTGGTCATGCCTTCCACAAGGACTGCTGTGTCCCATTTCTCGAGGACGATTATGATGGCTGTGATTCTCATTGTCCGGACAAAGAAGACGGGTGCAAGGGCGAGTGGACAGTCAAAACAATGCCCTCCTTCCACTGGGATTCTGTTTACCCAAAACACAAAGCCCACTTGGGCACCGCTGCTTGGGACAATGCTGGGCTTGACCGTTTTAGACGCTTCAAGACATGGATTCGATGCATGTCTGAAAGTTAGGGGTGGCGGTCTAGATATCAATGGGAGGATGATTGTGCTGAATATTTCTCCGACTTGGACTCCGATACTGATAATGAGTCCCTCCGTGAAGAGGGCGACCGCGTTCTGCAATGAGTAAGTTGCCCGGCTTCGCTCGCTGAGGCACACACCCACTCATTCTCCCACCGATACTGGAACATCGATCACTGAAGCCGCTCAAGCGAGCCTAATCTTGCCTTCAACCAGATTTCCAATCTTCACTTCATTAATAAATAACATTCCCGCTTTACCACCAAAATTGTACTGAACTACGTATTTGCTTCCTACTTCGTGCATATGACTAATTGTGAGAACTTCAGGTAAAATAACACACGTGCAGGGGTGCAATCACAGTAATGAGGGTATTTCTAGACAAATACTTGGATTCAAGTACTCAATCTAATCCCAAGTTAATGCAAGCAAACTGGAAGTTCAGTCGAGACCTAATCTCCACTAACCCTATCTCCAGACTCAAGACTCCAAGTGCAGATCCCTCACAAGTATCAGACATCCATGCTCCAAGAAAGTAAGATTACCACTCTAAATGCCAACACCTTTCACCTCTGAAATTCATTTACCCTTCCGACCGTTCGCCTTCAACACCCTCCTCATCCCCACAATAGCCCTCTGCATCTCCAGCGCCACTTCCTCAGGCTTCGCCAAACACGCCCTCATCAATCCTTTCTCCCCTTCCTCTTTCAACCTCTCCTCCCCCTCTCTATTTACCTCTCCACCCGCTTCTTTCTCAGAAACAAGCTCCAACGCCCCAACCAGCGCCTCCAACCCCCTCTCAACAGTACAAGCAACCTTCACGGTCCCCAACACAGCACCCGCACTCTGCGGGTTCTTCTTCTCCACCTTAAAACTCGGTAACGAGAAATCATCTGCAACTGCAGGTTGAGGGTCAGTGGATCTGGCTAGGGTAGGGAGTTGGGCGGAGATGTTTACTGAGATGGCGGATTCGAGGGTGGAGAGGTGGTTGCGGATTTGGGTTAGGGAGATTTTGAGGGCGTGGAGGTTGGGGAGTTGGCTGTCTTCCGGGAGCTGAGGGGTTTGAACGCGTTGGGACGTGGATTCTGCTGTGTCGTTCTTAGGTCTTAACGGCATTGAAACGAAAGAGAAGCTGGTGCTGTTTGTGAGAGCGTCGGCAAGTAAGTAGTGGTGATTCGATGAGTTTGTGCTGGATTCGGGGGCCGAAGTTGAAGGTTGCCATGACTCTTGTTCGGGATGAGCGTCTCGTTTCAGTTCCTGGAGAAGTAGATCTCGGTGTGGGTTTGCTGTTGAGATGATCGAGCGAGTGCTTACCTCGACTTGATTTCTGATCGTCCCTCCAAGATGTAGTAGCTGGTTGACATCGTCTCCGATTTTCTGTATACTATTAAGAGCACGTCCACGTTCTTAGGAAGGGGGGAATTATACCTCGACATCTTCATCAACTCTTCCGCTCGGAAATCTGAGAAATGGCAACGGCAGACCGGTTTCTCTTCTTTTCTTCTTCGTCTTCTCGCCGCCAGCTACAAGTACCAAAGCACTCTGCTCTAGGAATCCCAGCGGAGTAGATGGATGAGATGTCTGTATATCATAGTTAGAATTTCGCGTCACCAATCTTTATTTTTGAAAGTGATAGATCGACTTACAGCTGGCTCGTATGCTGAATCTGAAAGCACTTCCTCGCTGCTTAAGGAGAACGTCATTTCGTGACTTCAGCCTTGTGTATTGGGTTGCCAGTTCTTGAGTGTCAATATGAAGGCACAGCGTTCAATGACCGATGATGTTGTTGCTTGGGAAGAAGTTTCCAGGATGACGCTCGATCATATAAAGTGAATGCCATCATGACGTGCTCTTGGCAAGAGCCGAGCGAGAATCATGAACGTAAACTTGAAGATTTAAAACTGCTAAACGTTGTAAGGCATTATTCCAGTCAACATGGAAATTCACTTCAGGAAGTGATTGTGCTAACTTTTCCTTCCCTTGCCTTCGACAGGCCTGATCCGAAACCTAACAAAGAAAGCAACACAACGCAGCAATCTCAACGATGGCTTCCTCGCTCGAGATGAACGACATTGCGAACGAGGTTATTAGTCAAGCGTTGACTGCTGAAGCAAAATCTGACAAAGGTGAGTTCGTGAGCCCCTGTCTCCTAAGCCTGTCTAACGCCTCTTTCCAAGGTGTCGAGAAAGCGATGTGAAGATGCAACTCATGGGCATACCGGCTGACCTCCACCTCGAGCTCTTCAAATAGTTGTCTCCCATCACCTCAGCTTGCCTTAGCCTCACATGCAAGGCATTCCGCAGTATCCACTAGTCTCTCCACGGAACTCAGGAACGCAGGGCACGAGAAGAAGAGGAACGTTGGCAGAGAGAGGCCTAGCTGCAGCGGGATCGCCGAGCTATGGCGGAATATTGGGAGCGAGTCAAGGCAGCTAGACGGCTGGGAAGCTGCATAGAGACGTGAACCAGAAAGGTCTCTTCTTGTATAAATATTGAGTGATCGTTTGGCAAACGATAGATGCGTTACCCAGCAGCACGCGAGCAGAATAACGCGGTGTTCCTAAAAGCGAAACGTGTCAAATCCAGTGCAGACTGATCATTGTATCTGTATATCCACTGCCGCAGTGACCATAATGCCATCCCCGGGTAGGATGAGTTGTCCAAGTGCTCCTGTGGGTGGTAGCAGGCCAAATGATCAAAGGTTTGAGATGCCGACTATCTGCAGAGATACACTCTATTGAAGTGATCAAGGTTCGTTCTACACATGCCCCTCTATGTGTCTTCAACTCATGCCTGCCTGCGAGGACCTTGAGTGAGTTGAGGACACTGGAAAGAATACCCGCCTCATCCACACTATATGTATTTTCGGCGAGAACTACAGGGCTCGCCAGCTCCTTTCCAATGACGGCGAACGAGTCGATAACTTTATTATATATATGACGATTATGCCTATCCCAATCCATTGCTTTCACTTGCATAGCTTTAAGCTCTGGGTGGCGTTTACAGAAGGCCTGTGGCCAATTCTTTCCAGGAGGTTTGATATCGTTGCGATTAGTCGCGGGAATCTGGAGAATGGAGGAACGGTGAAGCTCAGTAGCATGATAACATGTACTAGACTCCTTGCAAATTTGACTGGAATTTGATACCCGTTAGCTGACATTCGAAGAAGATAACTTACTAGGGCTTTCTCTTCTTGTGGGCTAAGGCGTTGCTGCATGGTTGCCCGCTCTGGAATTGATATTTGTCCATGATCGCGATGCCAAAACGTTGTCGCAGGAACTCTACTTAGTTCGCACAGAGCAGTATAAGTGTTCTCTGGAGAGTATCTAATCCTTTCGAGAATGACTTTCGCCAGGTCCCGGTTGCGGCCGTCATAACGCTTTGCTGCGTGCAGATGATGACGATCTCAAGTCCAGCCTTCCCAATTCGCATTGAGGGCACCCGCCTTCATGTCACGTAACGGATCTACAGTATTCTTAGAATTAGCTTATCAATGGCATGCAGCCCAAGCCTTAGCCTTAAACTTTTTATTAACCTCTTCAAACCAGACGAGTCTCCACCAACTTGCAATTCCTTGCTGGATCATATAGCTCCTTAACTAAACACCCCCAACTACGGCTCTTGCTATATTGAATTCCATACGTACAAACCGATTAATGCTCAGGCTCAGATGCGGCTTTTAAAGCTGGAAGAAACGGGCGAAATTAGCCTTACGAAAGATATTACCTACCCCATAGCGCCTTATGTGATACTCTCACACACCTGGGGAGAAGATGGCGAAGAGGTCGACTTTGGGGACCTGATGGGTGGCTCTGGGAAGACGAAAGACGGATACAAAAAGCTTTATTTCTGCGGAGAGTAAGCTGCTCGCAATGGCCTATAATATTTCTGGGTGGACACTTGCTGTATTAATAAAACGAATAGTACTGAGCTTTCGGAGGCCATTAACTCCATGTTCCGCTAGTATTGCAATGCGGCAAGGTGCTACGTATATCTGACAAATGTTTTAACGAATGATTGAACTGGCCTATCTCCTGAGCCATGGGAAGCACCTTTTCGGAATAGTCGGTGGTTTACTCGTGGTTGGATACTTTAAGAGCTTATTGCCCCGCCATTAGTTAAATTTTTCTGCCCGAATGGGAAACGACTTGGTGATAAGAAATTATTAGAGTAATAGCTTTACAAAATAACGGGGATTCCGGTTTCCGTTCTTCGAAGTAGTAGCCCTCTTTCTGATTTTAGCTTCGACGAGCGAGTATTATGGGTACGAAATCGAGATACTAAGCGTAAAGAAGACCTTGCTTATTCCCTGCTAGGTATCTTCGATATCTCAATGCCGGTTATCTATGGCGAAGGGAAGGAGAATGCGTTCCGGAGGCTGAAACGCGAATGGAAATATTGACTCGACGAACTTTTATAGGCTATCTTGAATTATGCGAAGCGGCTAGGCATATTATAGCAGACGCTTGAGGGGCACAGCCGTGGGGTCTGCTGGGTAGCCTTCTCGCCAGACTCGAGACTACTAGCATTAGCGTCCCGTGACAAAACGGTACGGCTCTGGGATACGGCTACCGGTATGCTGCAGCGGACGCTCGAGGGGCACAGCGGTGGGGTCTGGTCAGTAGTCTTCTCGCCGGACTCGAGGCTACTAGCGTCAGCGTCCCAAGACAAAACGGTGCGGCTCTGGGATACGGCTACCGGTGCACTATAGCGGACGCTCGAGGGGTATAGCGGTATAGTCTGGTCAGTAGCCTTCTCGCTGGACTCGAGGCTACTAGTATTAGCGTCCCAAGACAAGACAGTGCGACTCTGGGGTGCAGCCACCGGTGCGCTGTAGTAAACACTCGAGGGGCATAGCGGCCTGGTTTGTTGGGTGGCCTTCTCGCCGGACTCGAGGCTACTAGTATTAGCGTCTCACGATAAGACAGTACGGCTCTGGGATATAACTACTGGTGTGCTATAGCAAATGCTCAAGGGGCACAGCAGTGTAGTCATCTCGGTAGCCTTCTCGCCAGACTCGAGGCTACTAGCGTTAGCGTCCCGTGACAAGACAGTACGGCTCTGGAATGCGGCTACCGGTACGTTATAGCAAATACTTGAGGGGCATAGTAACGAGGTTAGCTCGGTGGCCTTCTCGCCAGACTCGAGGTTACTAGCGTCAGTGTTATTCGATAAGATAATACAGCTCTGGAATACGGCCACTGGTATACTATAGCAGACGCTCGAGGGGCACGGTGACGGGGTCTGGTCAGTGGCTTTCTCGCCAGACTCGAGGCTGCTAGCGTCAGCGTCCGGTGACAAGATAGTGCGTCTCTGGGGTTCGGCTACTCGTATAATATAGTAGAATATCATAGTTGACAACTACCTCTCGACTATTGCTTGATATTACATATAGCAGGAAGATGGCCAGGTCGTATTATATAATATTACTTTGATTTAATGAGAAATATAAACATTTTAGTGAAACTCAACGCCATTGAAAATCATGTGATCTAAAGCCCTCTGATTAGTACGTAGGAAAAATATTGTCCGTTAACCAGTTCCCCCTAGTAAAGACTTAATATCTTGAGCTTAAATAAAGAAACGACGTTTTATTCCTCCGTCTGCTGAGACATTGCCACATTAGCGGCCGTATATGAATATCCCTAATTTGGATTATGTTTTGGCCGAATTAGGGATATTCATATACGGCCGCTAATGTGGCAATGTCTTAGCGGACGAAGGGATACATCTAGGGGAGTGGTTATTCTAAGTATTGTAAATTTTTGGAATTCATAGGATATTGCTCAAGTTTTGTAACAGCGTGATATTCAAGATAATAGAAGAAGTCAGTTTAGGAGAGACCAAAGATAAAGTACAACGATATATTCCTACGCTAAGTTTTCCTTGAGAGAAATGCTCAATATACAAGAGGTAAAGGAGTCGAATGGATCCTATAGCGGAATTGGCTTTAAAGTCATTTCTCACCGAGGTATTTATTTTTTTCATCAGGGTGACAGGGATCACGCTTCGGTCTGCAGGGATTTTCGCTTCACAAGGGACGTCTCTTAGGTGATATCAGTCAGCCAAGATGAGAGCTTCGCTGAAGTAATCACGTGTGTGGGCACTCACTGCAACCATCAGCACACGGCAAACGCTCATGCTCCTCGGCAGTCTCCTCATTAGAATCCTTATCCAAGTCCGAGAACTCCACCTCTTCTCCCTCAGGATCCTGCTCACGGACCCATCGGATCCACGATCTGAATCGTCGGAAGCGATCAGGACCAGAACTACATCCATTGTCCTCATCAGGCAGCTCCCATTTGGGATACGTATGAACCTCCCAAGCTTCCTTGCAGTTTGGATAATGCGGGTTCAGGGCATTCCAATCCATCAATTTGGAAATGCAGACCTGATGAAAGACATGTCCACATGGTAATTTCTTTCCCGAGTGAGGACCAAAGGAGACACCAGTAACGCACACGTCACAAAGTGCGCAAATCGGCCGGTTGATAAGCTCCCCGGCATCAGCCTCTCGCAGAAGTCCAGAGCCATACCATTCTATAGGCGCGTACTTACCTAATTTGTTGATGAAATGCGGACGCTCGATGACGAAAATTCGGTCCTTGAGAGAAATGCCTTTCTTCACTTCTCTCTCACGGAAGCGAGCGAGCTCGGTGATTCATTCCCACTGTCTCTCCCATGGATCGAGGTCTTTGTCCGCAGCATCTCGCTCCTGTCGAGCTTTGAAACGGCGGTCAGCCATCTCCTTGCAGATGTTCTGCACCTCTTTCTGGTAATTTGACCAGCGGGTGCGGCGCTCCCCGAGGAGGGGCTGAGAAATTGGCGCGATAGACGAGGTCGACTTGTCAAGGCAGCGAGAGCAGGTGGAGTGGCTGATTGTGACGACCAACTCGAGTTTCTTGCAGTGTCGGGTCTCTGGCTGAGTCTGTTCCAGTGGGAAGTCTACCGGTGGGATATTGGGTGGCAAGGAGTGGCAATGCACAGCTTTGCACTGTTTTCGGTGCTTAACGGGACGCTCCTCGACATGTCCGCAGATGTAGTAGAAAGTCACCCACGTTTTGCATGCGGACTCCATTTTGAGTGTGTCTCGGATGATGTTGTTGGGCAGTTAGCACGTTCAGTTCTCGATAAGTTGGCCTCTGTGATGAGCTGAGTTGATCGAAATCTGGACTGTGCAATGGCTGAATGAGTAGAAGCTGATGAAGAGATGCTGACGAGGTCGATCCTTCGAGTCTATTTAATGCTATCATTGCTATGGTGTTCTGCTGTTCTATCGAAACAAGGAAAGGCACCATGACTTGACTCCAATACAGTTTTTCCCTTGGTTGTGAGACTTCTGTTCCCTGGGCGAGAATCAAATGCTTAGTGGGATGCGAAAGGGTGATTACACTCCCAGAGAGGTCGTTCGACGACGCGAAACGTTGAGACGATTGTTCAGAGGGTCCAGTGCCACCCAAACAAAGGCTTAAAGGTCGGCTACAAAGAGGACAAAGATTGGACTTTTCATCTCTAGTAAGCGAGATTGTGAATGTTCTCAGCTGGATTTTAGGAGATGGCCAGGCGAAGGTTCCCCAAACACATTAAATGAATGTACGGGATGCGGTTAGCTAAATGAGAAGGAAGACTTGGCTTTGGAGTCGTGAGACTGCTGAAATCGCAAGCAGACGTGATGCGAAAGAATGATAAAACGAATGAAGGACAGAAGGGGATCAGTCCTCTCAAATAAATCCCTGTTGAATCGGGAACATGCAATAGCCTCACACGTGACTGTAAAATCATCTATTTCACACAGCAAACAATTCAGATCATCAAGACCGCATCGATTAACTACAAGTTCCCATTAAATAACAATGACCGGCATCAAATCACATGCAACAAGCCAAAAAAATTATCGGGGTACCGTGTCATCCAAAGCCGGCTCCACCTCCCAACCAATCAACCAATCAACCACTCACTCACCCATCCACTTCCCATCGAACCCCTCAAACTAATTCTCCTCTCCACTCATAATCACAATCTCCACACTAAAGACCGACTCATAGATATACGCCTCGAGCTTCGTCGCGCGGTACATGTAATGCGTGTGGCTGTATTTCCTAAGCAGCAGGGGCCGGATAGCTCTGCTGTTGCGGGACCTGGTTCAGTTCGACGGGTTGGGTGGTGACAACGGTGTTGTTTTTCTCGGTGTCGGCAGGTGCGCGGTTGCCTCCGAAGCCTGCGGAACCGTGTGCCAGGCGGTGTTGGTGGAGGAAGATGCCTGCCAGGAAAATGCACCATTAGCTTCTGCGGACAAAGGGAGAGGGTGAGAGTGAGAGGGATAGGGGCGCACGCACCAAATGAGATGAGCGTAGCGATGAAGAGAGCCCAGTTGATGGCCCCCAGTGCGGCGCCTGCTTTGGTGGCTCCGATGGCGGCGTTCCAGTTCCCGGGCAGTAAGGTATCGAGTCCGAAATCGCCTACAATGCTCCAGCCAGCTGCTTCTTCGGCGAGAAGCGCGAATGTTGTGAGCCAGAAAATGTTGGTCGTGATTTCGAGGCCGAGGTGAGCCCAGTAGTTATACGCTTCCGGGAAGAACAGAGGAGCGGCGAGGATCTGGATCTCGAAGTCAGTGGAATTGATCGGCGAACGGGTTTGAGGGATTGCTACGCACATATCCGAAGAAAATCAAGGTCCATGCGAAGACGAAAAAGTTCATGCCTGGCGCGTTATGTTAATTAATATTCTCTCGCCCTGTTCGTTTTTACTCACCATATCCGGGAAACTGAAGTAATCGTCAGCAGAGTTACTTCTAGGAGAAATGTCAGGAGAAACCTACAAAGGCGGCGCCAAACACCGAGGAAGCGAATGCAGAGAGGGCCGTGACGAGAAGTGCCAAGAGCTATAATATATGTTAGCTCTGAGTAGGTGCGGGCCATTTCTGAAGCAAGCAAGCAGTGGCATACAAATTGGAAAGCGCGAATAATCGCCATCCAGAACGGGACTGCGGGTATGTGATCCCTTCCAGCGTCTCCATTGCGAGCCAAGACGTTGTCGTGCATGTCGACCATATTGAATTTTGTCGTAGGCGCGACGTTTATGGTGAGTTGTTGATATTTGAACGAGATTTAATATCGAGGTTTTGACTGAACTGAACAAACGGGAAGAACAAGACAGAAGAAACCAGACCGGAGGAAGCTAGGGGAGCTTAACAACAAACTGATGGCTTGCGACGGAGCAGCCTCTCCCCAAGGCTCTCTTTGTGACAACTGGGGTCTCGAATAAAGTAAAACACCTGCAGCCCTTACAGCAAGGGTTCATCACGCTTTCTGGGGCTCATGCTTGCCAGAAATTTCCCAATTCTGCAGCGAGCCTTGACGTTATTGGAGAGCTGAGGCTCTCAAGTTTCTCAACGCCAATGAGTCAACAGGTTTATGCCGATCAAAGTCGCGGGCTGCGCGGGCTGAAGTCGTGGCGCTCCTGGCAAAGATTTGAGGCTCTGTGGCTTGAAGTAAAGCGGGGGCTGACCCTGGCTAGTGCAACCCTTGACGCACATTCAATAGAATGCAAAGCATGCGAGACCCGTTCACAAAAATAGCCACCTGATATTGAGTGATAATTCTGATTGGTGCGGATGGCGGGGGTCTTCCTTCATCCGCCACTCCTCGTTGGCGGAGAAGCTCCAAAGTCTATGCGACCCATGTCTACCAAGCGTCTAATGTTAAAATAACCTTTGGATTATTGGTCGCACAGAAACGTCAAGCGTGCTTATTGGAGAACTTTTCTCAGCCCTGGGCATTGGGCGTGGTCGGATGCACTTGCGTTCAACGTCCCTGCCTGACTCCTGAAATAAAATCACAAAGATACGAGGTGACTTGGCCGGTCCATTTTTTCGAGAAACGCTAGCCGTGATTCGTCGATTCGTTCCAGATAATGTGACCTGGAGTGCTTCTTCACAACAAACAAAAATAGCTGCTGGGGGCCGAAATAAGGGACGATCGACTTCGACCGCCTTGCTAAGAAGCGACAGAGCACGCGCACTGTTCACTAGCGTACTTGGTATGATTCCTCGCTCGATGTCTTCACCGCACGGCAAAGATGGCACTGCTGCATGTCAACGGTGGGTTGGCTGTCGACATCTCCGGCGGAAAATCAGATGGCCCCGTGAGACATGAGAGGATGGCACTCAGATGTCTCAATCCAGCTTGGAGGGAGACCGCGGTGGTGCCATTCAGTCCTCTGCCACGCGGTTACTGAAGGAGAATGCGCAACATTCCTTAGCCTCAGCCTACCGCCGAAGGCAAGTTGTCGGACGTGCCCAACGAGGTCATCCGCCAAGACGCAGAGACATTCAGCTCAGGTGTGGCATCCGGACCCCGCAAACTTAAAGGCTGATTATCGAATTTCCGACTCGTTTGAGAATCTTGTGAGGCAGACTGATGGATCTGAAACTTGGGCGAGGCTGAGTTGAGAACCGAGCAAACCGCTTCGGCACATCGGCAAGCCGGTTCGCTCAAGAAGTGACGAGCTTGCTCGATAGTTTCGGTCAGAGGAGAGCAGAGGGGCGCATATCGAACGGAGATTGAGAAGGAGCGCTGGTTGCTCATTGTGAGTTACTTCTTCGGACTGAATCGTGATGATCAAGAGAGGAGATTGAGATGTCGTTTGGGGAGTTTTCCATTTCTGGGCCTCGCATGCTAAGATTTTAGCGTCCTCCAAGCGAGAATTAGCGCCGGCATCATGTCAAGGCTGCAAAATGTGGGGAGATCGGACCTGCATCCACCAACCGCCCAATGCTCCCTCCAATGACACCTCTGCAGACGAGTGAGCTCCAGCTCTTTCTCTTCGATGGGATATTGACAGTCTTTATATTGAAATTCCGAATCTTGACGGTTGGGGTTCAGAAGATCTTTGATGATCGAGTGATTTCGGCTTTCCTCCTGTTGCATCGGAGCCATTGATAACACCTGGTAGCCATAAACATGATGCAACCCGTCTTGCTATCCATTCAGAGGGATCTCCAATATAAGGAGTATTGATACTCTGCATGCCGTTCGACCTTTGACACCGCATGTATTTGCATGCAGGATTCTGCCATCCGCAGCGAGCAGAAAACACTCCCAGGCTATTACGGGATAGACATCCCGGTGGGCACCAACGATGGCAAAGGCCAGAGTAGGGGCAGAAAGATAATGTATTCCTATGGGGGGCAGCTGGCTAAAGTAATCCTTCCTTCCCTAGCGGCTGCTGACATAACACAGACGTGGGACGATACAACAGGGTTGGACGTGGGGAATGGACATCCAGATGGTTGATATGTCCCTCGATCCACTTTATTATTCTTGAATGCAAAACCACGCAAGGGTGTCTTCAGTCCTGCCATCCAAAACACTGATATACGTGCATCAGCAGAGGTCATGAAAAGCAAGTCGGAGATGATTCTAGATACAAAATGTTAGCTTTGACCGAACGGACTCAACGGTACAGATACATGCCACTACACCTTGTCACAAATAACCTCAGGCTTCACTCAGAGACGCGTTCCATTGTGAAGACCTTCTTGGACTGTTTGCTGCCACTGGCGTTGAGGCACTCTATACCGTGCCTTGGATTCTTCCAGCAATCCAAGATGCGGTTTTCTAACCAGTTAACGATGTTGACCAGGAATAATTACATGGTATAAATGTTTTCAGCAGAGACAGAACCGAAATCCTACTACCGCATTACTTCTGGCAATTTATTCTGGCACACTTCGATAGCTCAAGAGTCTGGGAAGTGATCTGAGTTATTCGGAGCATAACCTACCGTTCCAGAGGAGCAACAAGATTTTTGAGGAAACGAATCGACAATCGGGAAATGAATCGCTGGCGGATGCCATGGTGTGGAGTGGCGAATAGGAGAAAAGATATGTTGATTGGGCCTTGCGGCTTCGGAGAAGGTGAGAATGTCCTCAGCACGCCCATTGGCAGACGAAGTCTCGCCTTGATGATATCGGCGACAGAACACCTCAGCAAAAGGCTAATGGGACTAGTTGGGAAGCACTTAAATAAGTGCTTTGCAAGACATTTCTTGTCATTGATGACACGACGGAGCCAAGTGTCTCTGCTCGAAAGTTCTCCAGCCGGGGACTGACGGCGGGCTGGGAACGGGAGAGCATACATACCCGGGTGATAAAGCTGGACCCCATATCCGATTCAAGTCGAATTCATTGTTGAGGAGATCAAAGTCCAAGTGGGCCTGCCAATCTTTCAGAAAGCAGTCACATTTCAGCGTCAAACCCCCTTTATCCAAGCGACTCGCTGATCTCTGGCTACCGAGACACTCTCAGTCCGTGTCTTATCATATTGAAGAAATTTCATACCTCCAAGTACCCCGATGCGAGAGATGAGCCATTTTGGAAGCCGAGTTGTTGCAAGAAGAGGTTCCACAGGGACCCCAGCTCATATGATCGCACCTTCTGGATATTTCCCATCATGTTAATGGGGTCCACGGGCTGTATCGAACTAGAAACGAAGCAATACACTGCTAATTATAGGACAATGTTCACCTCTGAACCCTCATTGTCTAAGATCGCTCAGTTCCTTGGCGGCGAGATCAATGCCCCGGATGAAGCTTGGAAATGTCACTGACTTGGGCGTAGAAAAGTTTGGATGAAATGTCATCCGTCTGACCCTGAGAGCTACCTTCTACGCTCATCTGCTTGCAGCATGTGATTATGTCTCTGCAGAACTCTGAGCATTAATACTGGCTTCTCTCTTCTGGTCGACGCGTCCGTTTCATCCAGCAAAAGGCTCACCATATTATGGCGAAGATTTCGATCCTAGCGTCGCAACCACAACTCTCAAAATCAGGTTCCTGAAGTCTGTCATCCATATCTCTATTTGAGCGATGAAGAGGCAACAAGCAATGCCACATTCAAATCGGGCCGGAAGTTCTGTTTGTTCACTTTCTCGATACTGTAGCCGGGCCTTGGCCTCGGTTTCAGCCTCCATTGGCAGCACTTGGCCTGCAGCGATCGCCTTGGCCTCAACCACCTCAACTCAAGAAACTCTCTCACTCCCAACCAACGCCAGCGAGTCAAGAAAATTCGATGAAAGAGCGCGCAGTAGTTTTGAGTCAAGATAAGCTCAATCGGGTGAGATCGTCGCGGTACTTGAGCGCCAGTACCGCAGCCTCGACCTTGGCTGAGTTTGGTGTTTATTGAGGTGATGCGGAAACTGTATTGACGCACCGTGGAGCATGTTGGAACGAGTGATTCACAGCCTCGCGAGAAATAAAGTTTTTAGGCAAGTAGCGGTCAGCACATTCACGTTCTCCACTCGCACTCTCCGGAGTCCGTCTGCTGGCGTCGTGTATACCGCTCCCACACATCTCGAATCATTAAGTTGCGGGATTCTCTTTATTCGAGTGCATCTTTCGGTCAAATTATGAACTATCGTTTAACGGGATTTCCTTCTCAACATGACGGGAAAATTCTCTGAGAAGGACCCTGAGCGGTGTAACCACTATGCTCGATTTATGCAGCACCTTAACATTGCTGAGGCAAACACAGTATTCTGGCTATTGTTCGTCATCGTAAGTATCTTCCGAAATTGAACCCCCTCTCCATAATTGAAAGAGATCTTCAAAATGGACCCAGGAAAGGAGGACTCACGACTAACACTATTCAGGTCTTGGTTTTAATGTGCATCAGTTCACTACAATATCACAAGTGCGTCTCGCAGATTTCAGTTGGTTCCTATAACTCCCTAGAGTGTCTCAATGCCGCTGGACAACCACAATTAATAGTCTTCCAGATCTATCGCCCTCGGTGCCCGCCTCAACGCCCGCCTTAATGGCCTTGAAAGAGCAATCTCCGAAGAAGAGGCTAGACAAGAAAAGAAAAAGGTCAAGCGCCTTCGAAAGCACCAACTTTCCATCGCCTCCCTATGTCTCGTTCTCGCGGCAACAGGCACAGTCTTCGAATGCTTCGCAATACTAAACATCCAGTACTGCGATGGAGAAGACCTCACGCAACTTTACTGGGGCTTCTGGACGCTCCTTTCAGTCGGTAGCAACATAGCTATTCTCGGCGTCATGGTCCATCTCTGGATCGTCCTCGGTGACCACGAGACACCCAGTTGGGCCGTCGCTTTGGGCACGCCTGTCCTAGTATTCGCTTCACTAGGCTTCGTCTTCCATTCCATCGGGGCACAGACCTGGGATCGGTGCCGAGGAAAGCGCGTTCAGGAAGGAGAGAATCCGGAGGAGGTCAACGAGACGGATGTGGAGAAGTGTGATAGAGTGAGATCCATGAGCCAGGCGTGAGCCATTCCGCCTTCCATGCGCCACGAGTATCAGCTAAACGTATCAACCAGGCCGACCATCGTCTCCAACACGAGAGCTGCGTCGGGAGACGGCGAACCAGGACCATCGACGTTCTGGTCACGCGACCTGCATTCCCTGCTACATCCGCCGCCAGCGAGCAGCAGAGATTTAGAAATAGACATTCATAGAATGGATTGATTGGATTGGATTTGCGTGGCGTTTGTTATAGACAGGCAGATGGGGTATAGAGCTAAATCAGCTAGATAGATAGACTTAGACCGCCCATTCACGAATTCATGACTTTCCACCTCTCCCTGCTCCCTCCCCCCTCCACTTACTTATGTACACCCCCCTTCCCCCATATCCTACATAACCACATTCCTCACCGCACTCTCCATCCAAAGCTTCGTATACAACCGATGCGCAAACTCCACATGGCTCGGCATCGGCGGCGCTGTCGCCGTCCCCAAACCTTTGTAAAAAATACTCTTCAGTCTAAACTCCGCGACGCCCTCTTCCCTATTTATCTTAACGCCCATCTCGAACAACCCATCGCTATCCCTGACCCCTGTTTTCAGTGGACTATCGCCGCATCGAACGATTATTGATGAGGGCGTCTTGGACACCACTTCGAAGTGGTCGGTGATCTGTGTTCCGACGTCGTACGACGAGGATAGAAGCTCGGGGGTGCTCCAGAGTTGGTGTGCTGTTGTCGTGGAGTTGCGGTACTTTTTCTCGAGGTAGCGGCGTTGGTACGCATAGCCTTTTCAATTCCCAATCAGCATGCATTTCCATCAAAGACGGGGACAGAAGAACGCACCTATCCCACCCCAAACTCCCGCACAAAACGCCTCCACCAACTTCCCCTCGCCCTCTTTCTCAAGCAGTTGCGGTTTTATCTTGCTTAGCTCTACTTTCCTCACACATAGATCTTTCGTTTGTGGGTTCTTGTTGGGATTGTTTCGTAGGTAGGCGGCGGAGGAGAAGATTGGGTCGTCTGCTGCAATTGGGACAAACTTGGAATTCCGTGTCCAGAATGCGAAACTACCAACACCACCAGCGCCCCCGAGGATGAGCGTGTTGAGGGTTTTGCGGATTATCCCCATGATGGATTGAGGTGGGAGGAGGGATGTTGGGAGGATGAATGGGAGAGGTCGGTGTTTGAGCTTGAGTGGCACGTGATAATGCGGGGTCTGACGGGAGTTGAGATGGTGACTCCCTTTTTGGGCGTTTACAAGATAGAATGCCTGGGTTTGATATAGTTTTCTGGAAATCATTTCACCTGAATATCGCGGGAATAATAGGATATCAATCGAAATCTTGTTGTCGGGTTTCTTCTTTAATTCTCGTCCCCGTAGTTTGGCCCCACATTAACTCCTCCAGCTTCTCTTTATGGTCCATCGGAGGTCACAAACCAATTGTTGGTACCATTCATGTCTATGCTTCTTCTGTGTTCCTGCAACACCCGAGTACAGATCGAGCACTGTTTCTTCTAAGTACAGTTGTCCAAAACGCGTTGCCTCGCCTGATCCTCGCTCATCCTCAGACTCATTCTCGAAATCCTGGTCCCTGACTGCATTTGTGTCTGCGGTGCATTTTCTATGCTCGTATCCTCCTGTCCAATCTCGCGTGTGGGTCGGTCGTTGCGTTTGAAGCAGTGGTGCGATTGCCGCTCTCGTTCTAGCCCCTTTCATCTGATGTGCAAGAGTCAAACGAGGCTGAACCCTTGGATTCGAAGATGACCTCCACCATTCAATCCAACTCGCTCCCAATCATATTCCTAAGCTTCGCCCGCCAATCCTTTAACTCAGCGTCTTTCCTCTCAACCAAGCTCGCCAGATTAGCGTTCTCCTCTTTCAATCTTCGATTCTCAGCCTCAAGAAGACTCGACTCCACACGCTGTCTTTTTGCAAATTCAAGCTCCTTGATGCCCAGTTGAATCTGCCCATCTTTGAGCTTCAGCTGTTGCTCCAATGCCTGGATCTTGTCTTGGAGGCCTCCTTCCGCTCTCCCCATATGAGCTGCTTTCTCGAGTTCTCTGTGGATGACAGTCAACGCCTTGTCGACGTCGGCAGAGAAGGTCGAGTACTTGGATTTTTTCAGCGGGGGTGAGTATGAACGCCGCTGACGACTATTGTTGCCTTTGTGAGGAAGTGTTTTTGTTGAATGAGTTCCCGCTGGTTGAGGAGGAGCCTGTGGCTGAAAATTCTGCTCTGGGATGGCTTGACTTTGACCACTGCTGGCAGGTTCCTCTGTGTTTGAAGTGGCTGCTGGTCGTTTGAGAGAACTTACTACAGAGCTGGTAGCACTGATTCCTGGGGTCTTTGGGGTGCTCGCAGGAAGGGACGACCCTTGTGGAGACACAGGTGTGAAGTAATGCGATCTTGGAGAGCTTGGGGGAATGTGCAGCTCTCTATCTACACAGTGCGGGCAGAACCAGAAACCTGGGACCTCACTCGGGGGCAACGATGGTGTCATGCAAGTCGCATGGTAGCAATTATCACACGTTTGGCACTCGAATAGCTCCATTGTGCCGCCACATACGAAACAGAAGTCGTCGTGTTTTCCTATACAATCATCAGTCACGTGGGGATTATGGCAAATAGGGTGAATAAATAAACCACGAACCATCGAAGAAATTCTCCCCACCCTTCCAACCGATAGATTCTGCCTCACGCATCTGTTCAATGGCGTAGTCACTTGGCAAATCCGTAATGTCCATAAACACTGGGTGAAGGAAATCATTTCTAGCCATTTGGGCCTTTGGGAGGTTGTGTTGCTAGGAAGTCTTCTTGATAATGAAGCTCGGGAAGGGCGTCAATGTCTTCCGCTGGCCTCGTCTCTTGTTGACGAGCCTGAACTAACAATGCTCACGGAGGCCAGAATTCAGGGGTTGGTTAACTTTAATCTCAAGGGATGTGATTCCAAAGCTCGTTGCACCGATCTCTTAGATCGGTGGTAGCTCATCATTCACGGTCAACGCTGAGGTAAAGCAACAAGTTGACAGAGAAAGAACAAGTAGGTTGGGGCTTTCTGGTGAAAGCAAGGTTCTGTCAGATGCGGGGCAAGATCTTCAGCTAGTTCGAAAAGGGGGCAATTATGTCAGCATCGAGCTCAATTTCTCTCGTAAGCGATCGACGACCTTCCTTCCTTCCTATCATGAGTCTGGGGACACCAACTTCACCCATCGGCAATTGCTATTGAGAGTCGAAGCACTGATCGAAATATAGGAGTTTCATTTGTCCCTGGCAGCTCGTGAGCATCGAGAGGCCTCAACCTTCTATGTCAAGCGCACCTTGGAAGCTCCGCCATCTCGCGAAGTTTTCTTCCGAGATGAGGTAGGTCTTCAATGGCGGAGGAACTCAATATCAAACCCCGGAGAGATTCATCCTCAACCCAGGTTCAATTTCTAGTCCTTCCATGCAGAAATGCTGACTTCCACGATCGACCCTCAGCTTAGTGTCCACACACAAACATATTGCGGCTAAAGTAGCATGAGTCTCACATCTACAATTTCCGCCCATTCAACCCGACGTATCTCACCCGGCCTTCCTGGCAGGCACTCTCTAACTGCTGGAGTTGAGGATGTTCAGTCACGTGATGAGAGGTCTGTAGGTTCAGAGGTAACTGAGAAGTTTACATCTTCTGCCCATCCTTCTCGTGTGTCCTTGGGCACTCGAACGAAAAGAATGTCCAAGACGAGTGCGGCTAGAGCGAGTCCAATTGCGAGGTATAGAGCGCCGCGATATCCACGAACAATTGCCATCCCATCCTCATTCGTTTCTGATTCGACAGTCCCAGCGAATCCCAACCCAAGACTTGCGCTATACAACAGAAGCAATGAGATTAGAGCAGTGTGGGCTCCGATAAGCTCGATAAGCGACGATTAGATAATCGCGCTAATTTTTCGATAATCGATAATCGACCATCGATTACGATAATTATCGAACTAAGGCCTTGGCAATACTACAGGGCCACTACAGGGCCAATGCGCTATATTTATAGGCCTCATACCACCTTTTCTTTACTATAGCAGAATTCCGATTTAGTAAAGGCGGTATAAGGCCTATAAATATAGCGCATTAGCCCTGTAGTAGCCCTGTAGTACTACCAAGGCCCTGGACCCCAACTATTTTCACCCGGGGTCGATAATTCGCTCGGGATAATGTACTTGTAGAGCGAAAGATCAAGTTAATATTTGGCTAATCATATTTCTAATCATATTTTCATCTGATAATAATGATATGATAATATAAAGATAAATTATCAGATAATATATTATATCTATTATATTAATAACGATTATGATAGTTACGTTACCCCGAGCGAATTACCGACCCGGGCGAAAATAGCTATTAAGGTAACTATTTTCACCCGACCGGTCGGTAACTCGCTCGGGTAGTTATTAAGGTAGCTATTTTCACCCGGGCGGTCGGTAACTCCTCGGGTAGCTATTAAGGTACTATTTTCACCCGGGTCGGTCGGTAACTCGCTCGGGTAGCTATTAAGGTAACTATTTTCACCCGGGCGGTCGGTAACTCGCTCGGGTAGCTATTAAGGTAGCTATTTTCACCCGGGTCGGTCGGTAATTCGCTCGGGTAACTATTAAGGTAACTATTATCACCCAGGGTCCCGGAACCGTTATGATGTCCCGGTGATGTCCCGGTGATGTCCCGGTGATGTCCCGGTTATGCGATATAAATGTCCGGAATCTGGCGGAAATGTCATGATTTAGATAATTATTATCACCCAGGTCCCGAGATAATTATCGATATCGATCGTTTATCGATCGATTAGCCGATAACGATTACTAATCGATAATCCCGATCGATAATTTATCGGAGCCCACACTGGATTAGAGATCCAGCGATCCCCTGCTCACGCCTCTTGACTGAGTTGGTTGCAATTATCTGCGCCGCAGTGTAGATGAAATCCGGACACAACGCCATGAGTATGGTCGCTGGAAATACTTGTGCCCAATATGTTTGCTGAGGAGGCATGGTCGCCAGAATGATGCTAGAAATAGCGACTGCAAGTGCTCCGAATCCTAGAATCCATTGAGCTGCCACTCGGGATATTAGCCAAGCTGCGATTGGTGCTGAGAGGCCGCCAACCAGTCCATGAGGCAAGATGCCAATTCCAAAATGGAAAGGCGACCAGTGACGGACAAGTTGCTGCCATGCGACTAAGTACCAGATAAAAATGCCATAAGATATGATGCTGAAAAGAACGACCAGAATCAGCGGGAGGAAGGATGGAGCCGTCCAAATGCCCAGTGGCATGATAGGCTCACGAGCAAACTTATGTACCCAGAGACCGAATGCGGCAAAGAAAAGGAGCGAGACAAGGAGAAGTGCTATTTAGTATGGAGTCGAACATTCGACAGCTGGCGCTCGACTACGAAGACGTTTAGTCAATTTCAAGTGCTGAGCAACATCTCAGCGGACGGGACACTCAATTCCAGACGAAATTGAACAATATGAGAGCACATATTCCCAAACAAGTTCCAATCCAATCCACGTTTCCGGACTTATCAACCGACGACTCCCGTGGTAATGCCAACCACAAAGCTGTAAAGAGACCGGCCCCAAGAATCGCCCTGGACAAAAGTCAGTACAGATCCGGTCACCAATGGCCGCCAAGTACCAACATTGAAAAGAAAAACCATCTCCATTCCGCGAACTCCATAAAGACCCCCATGAAGAATGCACCAACTGCGCCTCCCATGGGACACCCGAACCCGAAAAAGCCAAGAGCGAAGTTCCTCATCCTGCCAGGAGGGAAAGTTATTCCAATGATGGCGACTATATTCGGCATCACAAACGCGGCACCAACACCGGCAAAAGCTCTCGCGATCGCGAAAGTTACGAGACTCCGGGTGCAGAAGCCATTAATCACCGACCAGAGAACCCACCAGGCTCCTCCGAGGAGCACGATTTTCTTATGTCCGTAAACCGCTCCGATACGACCGCTTATGAGGACAAATGCACCATGGGTGAGCCTGAGACTTGGTCAGTGATGGGATGCTAGGAGGTGGACGGCTGACTGACGGATAGGCGGCTGGGATCCAGGTTGCTGTCGTTGGATCATAAACTCCAAATGACTTTCCAATTTCGAAGGCTCCCCCAAGGCAAGACCCGAAGGAAAGGAACTGAATCAAGCAGTCAGCATGTGTGCAGCCCAGTGGCATGTATGTCTAACCAGCAAGCTGTTGCACAGAATCAAGAGAACTGAAATGCCAATCTTTCGTCCCTTGGTCAGTTTGTCTTCTAGTCCTGATGGCACAGGAGCATCTTTCAACTTCAGTGTCTGTTGACACGGTTTCGTATCTTCGGCACACTTCTCAATATGTTGAGAAATCTCGGAGCTATTTTGTGTTGTTGGGACTGTCATATTGACAACAGGAAATGAGTTATATCTTGGTCTTTGTTTGAGAGTTGCATGAACAAATTTGACAAGTGTCTCTATCTATTTGTATCTGTGACCTGACTCTCATTTTAAGGGTCCATTGATAATCGATCAAGATTTCAGACCAAAATGGAGACATTTTGAGCCTAGTGCTCATCGTGAGACTCTGAACCTTGCATTTGCAGAGAAAGAAGTTGACATGAACTCACGATGCGCTCACGATTGAGCTCATTCCCCATTCTCTTATCGACTGCTTTGAGCTTGCCTGAGTCCGGAGCATAGCTCCACGAAGTCTGCTTATGTCATCCTTGAGCACTTCTTCATCAAGTAAGCATCCCCCTTTCCAAGTATCAGGATCATCTGACCAGTACTTCGATCTCACAACGCTTGGATCTCGCATTCATCTATATTCATTTATCCTGGTCGTTTCAGACTTCGATCGATCGAAATCCATACTCAGACTATCAGTGTGTCAAAGAACTACTCATGCTACTCATGAATATTCATGAGTAGCGTGGGTAGAATGTAAGTAGCGTAATATCCTAAAAATTTGAGTAAAGTAGAGTATATATACTCATGAGCAGTATAAGTAGTTATAACGGCCTGCGACGATTCTGCACTTCCTCGCAGTGCAGGCTGGGAACTAAGGGCTTCCATGCTCTTGGGCTAAGACTGAATCACAATGACTCTTTGAGTCTCGAACCGGCGATTTACCGTACGAAGAGGTTTTCCTCTATCGACTGACGACCTTTCAATCCTACTACCGTATCCTCTCGCGCGTTACGAGCCCTCCGAATATATATATATATATATACAGAGATAGAGGGAACTGGGGAAGCGTTTGGCGGAGCCGCAGGAAGGATAATTTCGTGCCCGAGAACGCTTCGTAGTTATAAGGAGGGAGAGAAGGGCAAGGGAGGGAGGGAGTTGGAATTAGGGGAAGAGGTTAATATTGCGCCTTCGTATGCGCCCGCTATTATAGAAAATGAGCCTGTTGCTCTATTATAGAAGTTATTAAGAAGGCCTTTAACTCGCATTGGGTCATCTGGATTCGTACTCTAAAGCCTTACTAAATTAAGCTAGTTTATTATATATAATAATTATATAATAAACTAGCTTAATTTAGTAAGGCTTTAGAGTAATTCGGGCCTAATACTAGTATACTATCTAATGAAATAATAGTAAGGCTTAATAAATAAAATAAAAATCTTTAAAGTTCTTTAATTACTAGAAAGAAATCTTATTTCAAAATACCTGTAATATATATAGGATTATATATAACCTAAGGGCATATAACAAATCTCGGATATTACAGGTATTAATTAGGGAGATTAATAGCCGTTTAATATTATAATTATATTACTAAATATATATATATATATATTATTAAGAGCTTATATTTAGAGGAGGCTTCTCTGGACCTTATAAAAGAAATAGAAATTAGTTCTATACTAAATATAATACTATAGTTTTATAACTTATTAATTTATTCCATTATTTTATTACTTACTAATAAATACCTTATAATGCCCTTATTATACCCAAACTATATAATAGGCCTAATAATAGTACTTTTAAGATATTATTTTACTATTTTATTTAAAAAGCCAAGGGTTATTTAGAAACAAATTAAAGGAAGTAAAAAAGCAAAAAAAAAAAGAAAAGAAAAAAGAAAAGAAAAAAGAAATTCTAAAGGGAAATTCTAAAGAGAAATTCTAGAGTTTTTTTTATAAATTAAAACTAGTATTTAAGTAGCTTTATATAGATTTCCAATCTAATTTATATAGTACTACTTAATAAGTGCCTCATTTATTTATTAATAATTAAATAAATATTAATTTACTAGATTTTTATAACTTGCACGTGACTACTCTTGAGCAACTCTAGAGTAGTACTTTACTCTACTTTACTCAAGTACCATATTACGCTACTCAAACCCTACTCTACTCTACTCTACTTTAATTAAGACTACTCTAGAGTAGCTTGAGTAGCTTGAGTAGCTTGAGTATTTTCCCCCCACACTGTCAGTGATTCATACTGGGAAATTGATAGACGACTTGATGTGCATAATGACCTACAAACACCTCAATCTCAGGACGCGCTAATTTCTTGTATAGTTTGAAAATTCGCTATCAAACAAACAACGCTAAGATATAATACAAGTGGATTTTAATAAGATACTGGTACAAAGTCGGCCAAGAAGCAGAGGAACTGAAATCGACCGCTTGGGTATTTGTTTCTTGGAGTGCAAAATAGACTCGTGGTAGTGCGTATCCCGTCATCATAGGGAGGGGCTCTAGATGTGATCGTGACCTGTAATAAAGCATCAGCATCGGCGTATTATTCAAAACCAGAAAACAAGTAAACATACGACCAAGACCCTTCCCCCGCTTCGTCATCGACCTAGCCTGATCCTGCTTGATTCTGGCAAGTCTCGCCCTACAATTCGATTAGCACGTCTCCCTTATTAACTAGACACCAGCAGCACTTACTCCTCAGCAGCCTCCCGCTCCAATCTCTTAATGTGCTCCCTCGCTTCTCTGACCGCATGCTTCGCAGCAGCCAAGGCACGATCCGCATCCCGTTCCGCAGCCTCGGCACCCATGACCCTCTCCCTCGCCGCAATAATCGTCGGATCCTCATCTCTTCTGTGCAAGAGGCCGCTTCGCCGATGAGGACTTCCCCCGGAACCTGCTGAGTTCTGCGTTTGTGTCGTATTGCGCGTGTTGGTCGTGTTAGCAGGCGAGACGTCGCGGTTACGGCCGAAGAGGGTGGAGCGGCGCTTGGGTGGGTCAACTTCCTTCTCTTGAGCGGGGACTTCGTCTGCGTGACGCGTAAAGAGAGGCATTCTGTAGATCTTTGGGACTTGGCTGCTGGATTTGGAGGTCTTGGAATTCTGTATCGGGGAATTTTTCAGGGATGAAGAAGGGTTGAAGAGAGAGAAGTTGGAAAGAAGGAACCTGCGGATCGGGATGGAGGAGATATAGATCTGCTTTTGGGGTGCTTGGGGTGTTCAAATGCAGGTTTTGGGAGTGTTCAGAACGATGACGTTGTTGGCAGGGGGTGAAGCGGGAGGATCGACACTCGATAAAATAAGCGAGGTTGGCTCGGGGGTAACACGTGACAGGTTAGCCACATACAAAAACAAACAAGGCCAACAATTCTGGCAATGAGGTATAGTGTAACTGAAGGTTTTCGAGAACATGGTTGGTCTTCACTTCGCTTTTTGGCAGATGAACATGACTAGATACGTACTTGTGACCAATTTCTATCTTATCCAGGTTCGTTTAAGGGTTAGCATGAACCGGAACATTTCAGAAGTGAGACCTCTTCCCTTACGAATGAGGACGATAATCTATTTTAAGATGTTTCGAAGCAAAGCTCCAATCAGATCCAAGTGGTTTGAAAGCCTACTAAAGATACACCCCCCAGCTCGCAGAGGATTCTTCTCATCTAACACCAGCAAAGCAGCCCGTGAACCAAGAGAAGACTTCCATACAAAATATCCAGAACCACAAGGTACCCAACGATCCCAACGGCCACAGCAATCCAAGCCGGGATAAGTAACGCACGGATGACGTCTTTAATAAACCAGACCGGGTGGTAGTTGACGTTCGCATAGGGATTATATCTGTACTGGTACATGATATATTGATCAATCGGCATGCAGATCTCCGGAAGTACAAGATTGCGAAGTATAACAATAGGGAGGCCACTAATAAACCACCGTCCGAGCCGAAATACCCAAAAATTAATATCAGGGAGTCGATAGAATTCGTCACTCCTTTTCTTTTTGGGCTTGTTGTAGGGGTTGAGAAGGTCCATGTAAAACTGCATGTAGGCTAATACCGGAGCTGCGTTTGGAATAATAGTCTGTGTCTTGAACCTTTGGAGGATCGTCTTGAGGTTGATTCCCAGGAGCATGGTGCAGAAGAAGAGAAAGGCGAAGACGATGAAGAAAGATAGGAAGGTCGCTGATTTGGGAAAGACGCTCATGCTATAGAGGGACTTATACCAGTACATTAGCTTGGGAAATGTAGGGGAGAACTGCGAAACATACTGAGGTGGCTGTCAGCGGTAAATATATCGTTGCAAGGTATGCTAAAGTTTTCATACGTTCTCCTTGTTGCAATGCTGTCCGGGCTTCCAGAATTGATGTAACTCCATGCAACTATTGAGATGTTAGTATAAGGCCAAGCCAACATGAGAAGGGGGCTTTTACGGCGTTACGCTGAGAATACAATTAGCACTTCCAGTTCTCTGGGTAGTTTTGAGAGGAGACGACCTACACTCTCTTGCACTTGAACTCTCAGTGCAAGTATTTGTGCATGAAGATCTTTTAGCGCGAAGATCTCTTCTTTCATCCGCTCTAGCCAATGATCAATCCCACGCTTCTCATAAGCATGAGCCTCGCGACAAAGTTTGTCAACAGCATTTACCGCCCTCATCCGTATAAACCTGAGGGTTGAAGCAATGGACTCACTCAACTCATCACACGTCCTGACCGCCCAGTGGTATGAGGTTGATTTTGTGAACTGTTCATCATCAAAGATGCTCTCCGATTGGAAATCTTTAAGCCATTTCCTCATATCCCCATAGATTGTCTCGGCGTTGGTTCGCTGCATGTGCAATGATGAAGTTATTCCACGCACGTATTGAGCAATGGGTGTCAGATACTGCTTCGTTTGATGATCGGAAGCAAATTCTGTTGAGGAGTTGATAGCAAGCACTGCCCACAGAGCGCGAGGAGTTCGCAGTAGGTGGACTTCTTCCTCACATGACTTTGATTCTTCAGGAGTACATAAGGTAAGTAGTACTGAAGACGAAGCTTTGAGGAGAAATATCTCCCTGGAGCCAGCTGGAGTTTTGCGGTGATGAAATGGGAATATGCGAGCACGGTCGAGTTGATCTTCAGTGTTTTCCTGTTCGTCGGTATTGCTTAGGGTTAGGTAGGTAATGTGGCAGGATATAGTGACCCTCTTGTAGCATTTTTGTCGCGACTGCGTGACATATGTAAGCAATGTTCCGTATTCATGAAGAGTTGAACAAAATGTCAAGGGAACGTTGTCTCACAGAATCGATCTCCGGAGGAGATTTCTCTTGCCAGTGGTAAGGAAGTTTGAGTCCGCATTTTAGGCTCAAATGCCTATCGATGAAAGCACGGGCAAAACCGTAGTCTTCATTTTGCAGGCGGATGCAGAATAGATACACAAATAGAAGTGTTATTCTTTCCAGGTACGAAATGTGGCCCTTGACATAGCTTTACCAAATGGGAGTTAGGAACAACAGAGCCGGGAAAAAATGATACGCTCATGGTGATGAAGTCAGCACTTACATAATTCGTCCTTGAGCAAGGCTCAACGAATTTGTACCTTCTATACTCGACGCTTTGCCACCTATTTTATCGTCTCGACTTTTTGTCTTCTGAGAAGTGGGCAAAGGGCTGACTCCTTTGCCCGAAGCCCTCTTTGAAATGTGATGAGCATTCAACACTGAGTCTTTGTTCGGGGCAGGTTCGAACCTTCTTAAAAAACAGATAACTGTCGACATTCCCAGCATCTTCTGCCGGAGGAGGTGGATTATTACCTTCGTTGCTCGAAATATCTCCTATCTCCTGACCGGTTGAATGCGCTATCACGGAGGCTAGTGTGCAGCGATTTTCACCCCAAGATCTGTGCACAACCTTGAGGATAGATTTCAGCGGACCCTCGAAAAGTTTTTCGTCCCAGTTGTGAATGTGCTTGAACGTAGACATGTCTAGGAGAATCTCGTGGAGGATACCTCCGAAGGATCCGCTGGAGAGGCCATAGTGCATCTCAAACTCGAATCGCTCTGGTGCTTCCGATTCCTCGTTGGTTTGTGGTATCACAAGATCGGGACCCGTTGTTGGCTCTATTACATCGAATCTCATTTTCCCCTTCTTGGGTTGGGGTATTTGTTCCTCGACAATAGGGCGGTTTGCTAAGCTTTGGGGCGTCTCCACTGCTTTCTCGACTTTCTCGCACTGCGGCATCTCGTCCCCACGAATCGCCTCTGGATTATGAGAATTTTGAGAAGTACCCCTTGCTTCATCGACCGTGTCGACTTGTGAGATCTCATCCTTGCGAGTCGCCCCTGGCCCTTGAGACTTTTGGGAGAAATCTACTGCCTTTTCAACTCGAAGCGACGAGGTTGGCGAAAGTGTTTTCGCGGTATCTTTTGTCGCTTAACATTGAAAATGGATGTCAGCTCGCAATGGATGAAAGAGATGATGTAGTTCACTCACCCTGTGCTTCATCCCCGTCCGAAGCGTTTGAAGGCTCCATGGGATGAGGCTGCAATCTAATTATGCTCCTTGCCTCGTGAGGGGAAAGGCAGAAAGCGTTGTAAGATAGCTCACAAATTGCACAATATGTATGCCATTCTGCCCTTCAAAGGTTCTTTCGTTCAATCCTAAATTCCAGTGCGATTGTTGATTGGGATGGGGCTTCGTGTGAGGAAACTCCGGACACGTACCTGATGGGATGTGCCGTGTGTTACGCCACCACTCTCGCTTGGAGCAGGACGCCTTGTGGAAAGCCCCTGGCTGTTCCCAATCTAATAATTGGCAAGGCTGAGGTAGTTGTACCTATTTTACTTTCAAAGTTTGCCTCGCAAAAGGACAATCTCAAAACGCCATACACGCGAAGGATTTCGAATGGCTGGACTACTGTAAACGAGCTGAGGCTTTAAGCGACGTACAGGGGAACACGTGACACCCCTTTCTTTCTCGACTCCCCCATCCTAGAGATGCCCTACTTTCATTTATCCCGGCGGCGAGACAAGCATAGTAATTAAATTGAATAGGAGTTTTCTCTCTCGATATCGAGACTGTATAGAAACAATTGACTTAAGGTGGATCCAAGCTGTGGTGAACTTATGTACAAGCGGAAGGCCCGACCCTCTCCAGATATGTCATCTTCATTACTTACTACCATTTATCATTAGACATTATCCATTATTCATATTGTTGTCCACTTCATCAGTCCATCTCTATCAAACGCAAGCAACGGCCACATCATAACTCTTGACATGCGAGACACGCTCATCGATCTATGCTCTCCATTCATCGTCACAACCAGACCATAACACCCACTACCGCTCCCACCAACACACTCCACATCCCAGCACCTCCTCTGCCGATCCTCCCAGCGCCACTACCAGGCCTAATCTGACTCGGCGACACAAGCGGACCTGAGCCAGGAGTTATAATAGCGCCGCCAATCTGAGAAGTTGTGCCCGCGATCACAACCTGCGTGCCTCCCGGCGCCAACGAGACAACTGTTCCCGAGACAGTAATGGCCGAACCGCCAGGGGTCAACGTAGTGCCGGCGATGACGACGAAGCCTGAAGGGTTTACCGAGAGAGTTGTGCCGCCTACTACTGCAGTTGGGGTTGGTGAGGCAGGAGCGGGGCTCGCTGGGTTTTGGTTCTGTGTTTGGTCTGGAGGAGAGTTCGGGCTGGGAGATCCTTGGCCGGGATTAGGTGGTGACGGGCTGCCGTTGATCGGGGCAGTTGGCGTTGAAGACGAGGGTATTGTAACGGGTTCAGGGGTGGTTTTAGGACCTCCAGGGGATGTAAAAGTAGGTGACGGCGATGCAGATGAGGCGGGTGATGTATGCTCTGCAACAGGCGTAGTGATTGGCGAGAAAAACCCTGTCCGTTCTTGCAAAGATATCGGTGGATCAAAGACGCCTTGGAAAGCAACACCACAAGTTGCCCAAGCAGGATCCAGGGCTCTGACCCCGCCTGGCATTTCGAGCTGCGGTGTGCAGAGGTTGGTCTGTGGGCCAAGGAGCGCATCTGTTTTGCACTTCTTGGTACATGTGCATTGACTGAGAGCATGTAAGAGATTTGGAGAGAGATACCGGGGCTGAGGTGGAAGGATTAGAGACTTACCTGCCAAAATCGGCGAAGTCTATGGGTGTCCACGTTTGCTGTAGTTTCGACCAGCGGTGGACTTCAGTGGCGATGCTAGATGTGGATAGCCATGTAGGGTCAAAATACCCCGTGCCCCAGGCATGGGAGTTGCCCACGTCACCGCACCGATCTGCAGCCCAAACATCGGTTATGTAAACCAATACTGTTGGCGAGTGTCTTTGAACATTTAGCAGACGCCAATCGTGTTTAATATGCAATAGCCTTACAATGTGTAATTATCAGGGAGCAGGTAAGCTGTTACGGATGGAGTTGGGTTTGGAGTTGGCCAGTAGAATAGCTGTACTCCACCTGCATAAACAGTGCAGGACCCACAGCATGGCGAAGTGGCTTGGTTGAACCACAGATTTCCGTCGGTTGAAGATGCGGATTTGTGGGACCAGTACTGATTAGTGCATGTGGTGAAAAGACATGCGTCAGTTGCAATCTCACGGAAAGGAGCAGCTGCCTCGTATGAGGGACCCCACAAGTACTCGGTCTCTGATGAGATGGCAGTATAGAGCGACGTAAGGTACGAGTATACTTTGGTGACCACAGCTGGATCGGTTGCAAATGTCAAGGATGGAGCTGCAGCGACTTTTTGGAAGTATGCATCGTCTGTCAACCAATTCTCATACATGGAGAAGAATGACTGTTCGAAGTGTCCGGTGCCCTCTGCTGAATAAATCGACAGCAGTGATGTCCCCAAGTATGTGTCCAAAGGGACAGGGCATGAAGTAATCTATACACTGGTACATCAGGGCGCAAACTCATGGCCAATATGCACAGGGGAATCATACTCACCGAGGCGGGTTGAGTAGTGGTTTTAGTACCTGCTTCTGTAGGTAGTGGAGTCACCGGAGTGGAGGCATTCCTTCCTCGCGGGTCTATTTGAGAAAATCCGGTGAGCAAATCGCAAAAACAAGGAGAACTAGAGTGAATAAACCCACAAACATAAGCTGCTGCATGACTTCTAGTAAATAAGAGTCCGAATACAGTGCAAATGCGAATCGCTTTCGAAGACAACATTTCGAATGTGGAATGCAGGTATTGTTGCCAGTAGGATGATAACGAAGCTTAGCAAAAAAGATTAGATTAGAGAGCGTGGGACTTGGGCCCGGGCCGCTTTTTGAACGAGGTGAGGCTCTCCAGAACTCAGAGTGATGCCCACGGGGTTGGAAGGAAACGCAGCCCGCGCGTAAAGACTGACGACTCCGCCAGAAGGATAGAAAGCCATGTTGCTGCACAGTTCCATTTGTGTGCATGAGGACGACAATAAAGGAATAGTTTCGAGACCAAATTCTGGGAAGCCTGAGGCTGATGTCTCATCCCATCACAACCCCGCAGCTACAACGGCTTGGCATGGTGGGATGAACTAAAAGGCAGAACGATAAGGTACAGGGAGGCTTGATCTGGAGAAGATGTTCTAAACCCCGAATTGTAATTTCGCCGCGGGAGATTCCTCGTAGCTTTGGGAGGCTGGTTGAGCCAAAGAGCGAGACAGAAGAGTTGATCGCGCAGGGCTGGAGGACCTCTGTGTAGGTCCAAGACATCTACAAGTCTTGTCCGAATCCAGTCAAACTATTTGGACGGACCCCCTTATGGCAGAACTCGGCCTCTCTAACGGCGGGGAGGTCTCAAGATTGGCCCACGCTGCAAGCCTAGCACCCAAAGCACATCATTTTGTAGACGGTGTGCCGGCTGAGTAGCGGCAGCGAGAGCTTCGATGACATCCCACGATGCCCGTGACTCAAAGCCCGAAGGTATTGAGTGTGGTTGGACTCCGGTATTGGGCACTTAGTAGGGAAAAAATGGCTTGCCAAGTATTGAATTGGGCCCTTAAGGGCCATGATGTGTGGCGGAATGGCAGTTCCCGGTGATTGTGAACGAATGATGGTTGCTTTTTCTCCTTACCGAGTCGAAGAAATAGCTGGTCGAGGCGGAGACTGCTACCCAAGTTATTTGAGCTTGAAGTACGCGTGAAAATTAAAGTTGACAACCCCACGTTCCTATTTCCTTCTCTCGAGGTAGGAAGGACCAAGGGTGATGATTCAGGGGGGACATTTCCATCACGTGATCTCTCAAGAAGAGCACAACAGGAGCGAATTTCGGAGAGAAGAAGAGATCCAACTTGGCTATCTTGCCGCAGAAAGGTAGCTGCCCTGAATATTGTTGGCACAGCACGTGCAAGTCACCTGACTTTCCAAAGCGAACAGAGCAAACCGAGCAAACCGGAGATTTGGGAAACCAAAGGCGGCGTTACGTAATGTGGAAGCAGACTAGCGCCATCACATGACTATTCACAAACTTTCAGACTCTCCCCTCTCCTCTGCACAAACCACCAACGTCACCGTGAATCGTATCTGCAAGAATGTATCGACTTCGACAGTAGCATCACGTACAACGTGGCAGAGATGATAGGAAGGAGAGTTTCCATCGAGTAACGATCGAGTAATGATCGAGTAAGATAAAGTCCCGGTCGCGCCGCGGCCCTGAAGTTTATCGGCAGCGCTAACCTTAACCTCGAAGGACACACTCAATCGCCGGACATCGCCTGGTTTCAATTCGCTCAACGACCGCCCTCTGCTCTTCTTCCTTCCCACGACAGCGGCGTGCTTATATCATCCCCAGCCAGATCTCGGATGGCATGGCATGGCAATCGATGTTGGGGGGAAATAGCCATGAGTTCCAAGTCGTTGGATTCTCGCTTGGCTCTGGGGCGGCCGACTTTCCCCGAGGTCGTCTCGGCCTCTGCCCGAAGCCGAGACGACCTCGACGTCAGCGCAAGCCTCAGGGACTAAGGCTGGGCTAGAAAGGGGGTTACTTGATCAAACTGGCTATAGGGCCATGAGGTAGGATCTAGGACGCGTCCAGGCGTGGTTCCTGGCGGTGCGGCTCACTACGCAGCGCTGTTCCTTGGCAAGGTTACCGCCAGTTTCCTGGATGGCCTCAGAGATAGGAGATAAGGATGTGGTGGGCTGTTTGGCTGTGCCAGACTGTGGATACGATGCACGCCTGCACCCCACAAAACCCTGGCTCTGTTTGACGACGGTGAGCATATTCCGGCCGTCTTCTTCCTCTATTCACTCTCTCCTTCTCTCTACTCTTCGCCTTCACCTTCAAATTGTGAATTTCTACCACTTTCTCTCCCCAAATATTTTCAGCCTTGACGTCGAGGCTCGCTTCTTGTCATTCCCCACCCCTCTATACCACGATAAGCATATTGCAAGGCAAAAGTGCCTGTTTCTATCCCGGAAACGCCTGACTCCACCCCAATTTACCTCTAGGAACTTACTTTGTGCAAATCCGTCGACAAACGCGCTCACCATGGCTTCCCACGGCATCCCGAACCCTTTCCCCTACCCAACACCCGCTCACACCCCACCGCACGAATCAAACATCCCACTTACCGTCCTGGTGTCCTCGAGAGCCGTCATCTACGACCAAGACAACAATTTGATCGTGTCTCCTGCAACTCTGTCAATTTCTCCCCAGACGGGAACAATCCTGTCGATCCTCCCAACAATTCTTCCTGCCTCGAGTTTCCCTCCGAATACGACCTATATCGATCACAGCCCTCATCTGCTGCTACCAGGTCTGGTCGATGCACACGTACATTTGAACGAGCCGGGCAGAACGGAATGGGAGGGGTTCAATACTGGGACGAGGGCTGCGGCATCTGGCGGAGTGACTACGGTCATTGATATGCCATTGAACGCCATTCCGCCGACTACAACAGTCTCCGGATTGCAGGAAAAAATTAAGGCTGCACAAGGACAATGCTGGGTTGATGTTGGGTTTTATGGAGGGGTGATTCCTGGCAACGCCCATGAATTACTCCCCCTGGTTGAAGCAGGTGTCCGAGGGTTCAAAGGCTTTCTGATCGAAAGTGGAGTAAGTAAACAGCCCGGATCTGCAGAATAGCATTGACATATTCACAGGTTGACGAATTCCCCGCTGTTTCCTCCTCAGACGTAGCACTCGCAATGACAACCCTCGCAAACTCCCCTACAACTCTTATGTTCCACGCCGAAATGATACCCCCGATCACGGACTCTGTAGGCGACGATGTGCAAGTCTCTCAGCCGCCACTGTCCCCCTCCGGTCCTCTAACCTCCTACTCCACCTTTCTGTCCTCCCGGCCCCCAGCATTCGAAACCTACGCCATCGAAGAAGTCCTCTCCCTCGCACACCTCGCCCCAAACCTCCCGCTACACATTGTCCATCTCTCCGCCATCCAAGCCATTCCTCTCCTCCGCGAAGCCCGCGAACGCGGAGTAAAGATAACAGCAGAAACATGCTTCCACTACTTGGCCCTCACCTCCGAAGACGTAGCCGATGGCGACACAAGACATAAATGTTGCCCCCCAATTCGAAACAGCATCAACCGTACCGGTCTCTGGAACGAGCTCTCGCACCCAGATTCAGTCATCCGAACCATCGTCAGCGACCACTCACCCTGTACGCCCGAACTTAAACTCCTCCCTGAACACCTAGGGCATGGATGTGGTGCCAGCCATGCGACAGAGATCGTCGGCGTAAATGGCGAGGTCTTAACGAAGGAGGAAGCTGAAGAAAAAGAGAAAGGCGATTTCTTCGCTAGTTGGGGCGGTATCTCATCCGTTGGCCTCGGTCTCCCAATCTTGTGGACTGAAATCACCTCTCGCTCCTCCACAGCTAAAACTCCCCTTACAATTACAGACGTAGTTCGTCTCTGCGCCGTCAACACCTCAAAACAAGTCGGTCTGTCCCATCGCAAGGGAGCATTGAGACCTGGCTTGGATGCAGATATATGCGTCTTTGACGATCAGGCGGAGTTCACGGTTGGCAGGGAGCAGATGCTTTTTAGGAATAAGGTGAGCCCGTATCAGGGAAAGAAGATGAAGGGAGTTGTGAAGGAGACGTGGGTTCGAGGGCAGCAGGTGTACGAGAGGGGAGGAGAGAATGGTGGATTTGTGGGCAAGGGGGGTGTGCCTGTTGGGAGGTTGTTACATGAGAGGAGGAAGGTTTAGGGGAGGCGGGCTTTTAGTGTGAGGGAGTCATTGGAGGGCATGGGGTGCATATTGAGGGACGAGGGAGGTAATCTAAATTGCATTGGGGGAGCGAATCATTGGATGGGGGCATATGGTGGCATACGATGGAATGGACCATGGACGGTAATTTGCATGATGGGATGGGCGATGGGTATAATGGTTGCCAATGCCATATTCGACGCAGATACTGAATGAATGAATTTCCTTCACGTCTCCGATTCTTCCGAGGCACCCGTTGCACGGGATCTTGTCACGTGTTACACAGTTAGTAAAAGGGGTTTTAGAAAAACCTTCCTTCGTGTTAAAGAACGGAGTAAGAAGTATACAACTTTCGATCAGCGATCCGACTGCAGGCGTGAGCAATCTGCTTTGTGTTAGAGGCAATCTTGTTTGAGAAATGAGATAATTGTGTGCTTTTAAATAAGAAAGACTTGAAGTATTTGGGTTAAAAAGTCGTGGTTATACAAGGGAATAAAGTAAGAGTTAAAGCTTGGAAGTCAAGTAAAAGGATACTTAAAACTATTTAATAATTCTAGTTTTCGCTAAACTAATATAAAAATATAGTTTCTAAGCTAGTTATAAAAAAGTATTTATTCTTAACTCTATTGCAAACCCTAGTTCTGTACCTCATATTTTTCTCCACAATTATCCGACTAAACTGTTGGCTTAGAAACATTCAAAATTTTCCCCAAGAAACTTTACTTTGAGATATATCGTCTAGTTATCTATATTTTGAGTCCTATAATTTTAAAACTCACGTGGAAGTGGCGAGAGCGTACACGTGCCAGAGCCTCGAGAAGTCACGAGTGGAGCGATAAGCGGGGTAAAAGATAACCATAAACTTGGATCCGCAAGTACATCTCAGAAGCGTTGTGAAGCGCCCAGTACTATTACACATAATCGCGATGATTACCTGGTCGCTCGCAATACTAGCTCGTGTACTCTAATTATCGCAACTGGGAAGCACGATTGACGTCAGCGACATGGCAAAAAAAAAAAGCCAGCCAACTCCCACAGCACCTCTGCTCCGCCTAAAAATAGACCTTTGACTTCAAGAGCCTCTCAGGTTCCGCCTACCCCCTCAAAACCCAAAGAAAAGAATGTGAAGAAGGCGAAGAAAGGTCAGAGAGCAGTGTCAATTAAAAACAGAGAACGTGGCAAAAGACAAGACCTGACTGACCCTGAGGCAGAAAATGCCAAAGCATCACAACTAGTAGCGGCTTTCAAGACATCCAAGAAGCCCGAAACCCCTCAAATCCTAGAGAAAATACGACAGTAACTCAGCCCTCGATCCAGAAAGGCAAAGGCGTTGAGACACCAGAAACTCCGAAGCAACCCAATTCGAACGCGATAGCATCAACTTCAACCAATGGAGCGACAGCCGAGCCATCACCAGCTGTTACGACCCTGGCTATTTCGTCAAAATCAAGCATTTCAAGGGGTTCCAGCAGCTCACTGCTATTCAATCGAACCCCAAAGAAGCCACACGATTCGGCGCCAAATACGAAGACAACGGCATAAAGTATCGGGAATACAGGGCATTTTGACCCTCAGCGCTCTACAGGGCGTGAATTTAGGGCAGAAGCTCGCTACAAGCCCCTATAACTCTAGGTAGTGCTCCCTAAATCTACGTAAAGAGGCGCTATAAGATATTCGCATGGGGTAATCGTTCGGCGGTTCCCACCTACAATTCGCCTAGCACGCCTTGTAGGTGAGGGATAGCAATACGCACAGAACAGCAATACGCAAATTTTTTACCCCACTTCCACATATCACTCTACCAAAATCACCAAAATGCCACCCGAACCATATGAAATCGAGGAGCGTATAGCTAAAGCCTCTCATATAATAGATAATAATCCTTACCTGAGAGGTACGAAGGCTGCAAAGTAATTTGGGGCCCTATACGAACGTCTAATAGCTCGTTAATATGGGTATCCACCTAGCTACTTGCAAGAGGGGCAGAATAAAAAGCTCTCCGTATTATAAGATAATGCCCTAAAGAAGTATATTCTTATACTCTAATATTCCGGCCATAGAGCCAATATATACAAGATTCGTATAGTAATAGAAAGGCTCCTTTTTTGGAGCTCTGGGGATCCCAATTCGTTAGTATTAATTTAATAAACTAAAATATAAATCGTCCGGCAAGCCGAATTCCTCAAATTATTATAAGAGAAGCCTTTATCTATAAAGTAATTAGCTATATATATTATAGAGGATATTAAGAGACATTTTCAGGAATTTAATTAATATAAAAGAAGATATAATATAGAGAATTATAATATATTTAACTTTAATAAAAGTGGGTTCCAAATTAGAGTAGTTACTAGTAATCGAGTCTATATTTCCCATAATTACAAAGCTATATATAATACAGATCCAGAGAATCGAGAGCTTGTAATAGTAGTAGCTATAATTAATTATAGAGGAACTAAGGTACCAGAAATAATTATTTTTAAAAGAGTATATTATTTGCAGAAATATTTCAAAAACTAGCTTAACGAGAATATACTCTTTATATTATCTCCTATAGGATTTACTAATTATTAGCTTAAAATATACTATATTAAGTATTTTAATAGATTCTATTTCTCTTCTAGACCCGGCAGATATTATATCTTGATTTTCAATAGCTATAGCTCTTATATTAGTTACGAATTCCTAGACTATTATTAGAAGTATTATATATAACTATTTAAGCTTCTTATATATACTACTTACCTTCTCTAACCTTTTAATATAGCCGTTTTCCAAGCTTTAAAATATTAGTTCTAAGTCGAATTATATAGAGAGATCTGTATAGATATAGAGATAATAGATAAAAAGGTATTTTTTATAATATTCCAGAGGTTTTGGGATAAAGTATTTAATAGCTATATAATTATATGAAATTTCTTTAAGAAAACAGGGCTAATTTCTCTCGAACCAGAAGTAGTACTCTCAAAAATAAAGGAGTATAAGTAACTCTAGAAGCAAATAAGATAATAAGCTCATATACTATCTCTTCTAATTTCTCTAATTTAATAATCTTTACTAATTCTTTTCTTCTCTTCTCTCGTATTTGCTATCCCGCTACTCCGTACTTCTTCTCCTGCCGAGAATTAGGTTAATTAGGCCATGCTATTAATAATTCGCATACGAAAAAAGGGTATTATATATATAAAGGAGCGGATAGAGGTAGTAATAAACGGTATACTAATTATACTATCTGTAAAGTATATATAAGAAAAGATTAAGGATATAGTAGAGCAATTTATACTATCCGGTACTTTAGTAAAGTAAAGAGTCTATAATTTGAGCCTTATAGAGCAAGAAAGGGAGAAGAGAAATAATAGGAATAATAGAAGAATTATTTAAAAGTATAGAGAGATTTATATATATTAAGGGCGAGTAGATATTACGGCAGATAATAAGGATAAGGTCAAAGTAGTTAATATACGGAATGCCTGATTGGCCAAACCATAGAGGAAAAAGTATTGACAGATAATGGTATTATTTCCAGAGGACTATTAGAAGACAAAGGCTTAATGCGCTATACTTTCCATGATTTATGGGAGTGATGCGTGGGGTTTAAGGCAAATAATAGTAGATTTTGGTAAAAAATTTGCGTATTGCTATTCTGTATATATTGCTATCCCTTATTTATAAGGCGTGTTAGGCGAATTATAGGTGGGAACCGCCGAACGATTAAGTAGATCTTCTAGGGTTATAGCGCTATTAGTAGAGCAACTACAGCACTCGGACGCTAAACAAGCAACTATTATAGGCCCCTTTAGCAAAGGCTCACTTGTAAGTACAGGGAAGAAGCCCTGAAAAGGTATGGTAGCCCTTGTCGAAGGCGTAAATGTGCTTTTAGGGGGAGGGCCTGGAAATATAGGGCCTTATAGCGAGTTTGCTACCTTGATCTGTACGCTGGAGAGCCTGAAAGTCTCCCAATGCCCTGTATTCCCGATACTTTATGCCATTGTCTTCGTATTACCCCGAAGATCACTAACATGGATCATGAGATCTTCCGTCTAGCAGCAGCGACGCCAGTGCCAATCTCACCCACGGTCAAAAGACAATTCCACGAATCGCAGCTGCTACTCTACGTGCTAGAAAGGGTCCGAGGAGAGCACAAGAAGCAACAAAACTACTACGGGGAACTCGATCAAGGTGAAACTGAGCTACGGAGATCATTTATGGATAAGCTTGCCTATATCTGTGACTTTAAGAAAGGAGGTTCTACGGCCACTGCCTTGGCATTACAGAAGACTTACCAAGGAGCCACGTTCTGGATCGCTACAAACGAGACCGTTAAACTCAAGGTTATAGAATTCTTGCAGCAAATACTACAGTTACTAAAGAATATGGATAGTAGTTCAAGGAATAATACTAAAACGCAACTATTGGCCCTGGTTATTCCATTTAATAAGGAGAGATTAGATTATTACTGGTCTGCTCTCGAGAAATATCTACCTATATATATGGAGCGGCTAGACGACCTTGAAGGCTCTACTAGTAAGCTCTCTCCAAGATTGACATTATGGTAATTTACTAATCTAGATATCAAGCCGTCCTCAAAAGAGCTAAATGCCCTCAAAGGCTTACTAAGTAGACTACCAAGTTTGTCAAAAACAAGGGTAGACCTAGTACGGGAATGCTTCGAGGCACGAAAGCGAAAATTCTCGGCTTTCGAGACTTTAGTACAGCTCACGGCGAGCGGAAATGCCAATAATAAATTCTTTAATAACATCCGCCACCTTCTCGGCAGATTAGCCAAGCACTTACTCGAGCTCCCGCTTAAATGCACACCTTGCTTAAATGCACGCGCCCTCACTAACTTTATTCCTCACTCTCACCTACTTCTAAATTAAATTATTAATTAACCACAAGACCAATTAGCTTGAAATCAAAAACAGAGATAGATTAATAGCTAATAAATAATATCTCAAATTAATTATACCCCTTCTCAAAAATTACCCGTAGTTTTATCGCATGCCCCCGGGAGCTCTATTTTACCGGTATTTCTAGGACCCCCCTATTAATATTACTATTAATAAAGGAAATAACCTTCTTTTTGAGAACTAGTACCTTTCTAGGTTTCGCAGGAGTCTTAATTCTTACTAGAAGAGCCTTTGGAACCTTCTTTTACTTAGCTTCCTTCTCTTTTTAAGCTTGTAATTTAGCCTTCTCCTTAATTCTTATTTCATTAATATTCTCCCTCCTTACTACTACTTATAGAGCTTTCTCTGCCTTCTTAGCTTCGTTCTTTTGCTTTTTAAGAGCTTAGGCAGCCTTTTTAGTATTAATTCATATCCGTTCAGATTTCGCAAATACCTCCTTTTTAGTAAAAAGCTCCTATATATATCGAATATTATCTATAAAGAAAAGTATTAGCTTTGTATACTTCTTTCCCAAGACATTTAGCCACTTCCCACGAGCCTTACTCTTTTTTTCGTTCTTTAATACCTCAAGTAACCCTTCCTTTATATATCTATTAAGTACGGCTTATATAGCTAGCTTTTTATTAGCTCTAAAGAGCTTTTTAAGCTTTACTTGGAACGGATTTTTGCAAAAGTTAGCTTGGAAGTATTAAATTAATTTCGCAGATTATAGAGTCTTTAATTATTAAATTAATAAAGATATAAGTTAAATGGCCTCTGGGAAAGTAATTAGATAGTAAATAACCTTTAAAATAAAAGCAGAATTATATAGCCAAATACTAGGCTTTGCAAATATCTTCTAAATATTCTTTATAATAAAGGCACTATTTTAGGCTAGATAAAATAGCTTCAGGAATTATTTCTTTTTTATTAATAAATAGCTAAGGCTTTACTCTTGCTATTTATTAAGTTTCTTTAAATATATAAGAAATAAAAGACTAAAAAGTACTATATCCAAAAATTAAAATTAATATATTAAATAAGGAAATAAAATAAGAAATATAATATAAAGATTCTAATACTTATTAATAAATATTATATTTATATAGCTTAAATAGCTATTAATAATTAAAAGGCGCTTTATATAAGGAAAAGAAAGTTATATAACTAGTTTAAAAACTTTAGTAAGCTATTAAAGCCCCTATATATTACTACTTTATCTATTATTTAATATATTAAAAAAAAAGTCGTTTTACTCTTATAAATCTTATATTTAGATATTTCGTAAATTAAATAATTCGCTAATATATAATAGAATTACAGGAATTCTTTTTTTAATTATAGTAATATATACTAAGTAAATAATAAATTCGCAATTTCTATTAGAAATAACTTATTTAATTTTCTTTAATTTATATATTTCTTTAGATATAATTCTTTTTATTACTTATATAACCTTAATTAAAAAGCTCTTTTTATTCCAATTATATATATTATTAGCCATAATATAATTATATTTAATAGTTTAGAATAACTAAAATAAAATATATATTAATAAATAATTATTATAAAATATAATAAAGTAATATAAAAGAATACTTAACTAAATTAAAAAATAACTTATATATAGGGCTATATTTACTCTTAATATATTAATTCTCGATATTATATAAATATAAGCTTTTTAGCTCGCTTTAATACTACTAATAAAATTAAGAAACCCAGTTTTTTCTTATAATATATTTAATTATCTCTTCTATAAAGTTCTTAACTATTTAACTAGTTAGAGAGATTCTGTATTTAGTAAGGCAATTAATTTAATTAATTAGAATATATTTTTAAATATTAGTAAAATATTAGTAAATTTAGAACTAGAATTCTATTCGGGAAGTAGTTTATTCTCTAGTATATCTAGTATAATATAGCAAGTTGTATTTTCCAAAAATTATATTATTTTAGCGGTTTTAAGGTTTTAATTATATAATAAAAGCTATAGTCTTTTATATATAACTTGCAGGAATTATATAAGAAAACTGGTTTTTCTATAGTTCTAAAGAATAATTCCTTCTTAATATTTAATTAATAAAGCTTTTATATACTATATACTATATACTATATACTATTTATACTTTACTATTTATATTTTTAATCTTATTATTTTACTATTAAGTTATGTTTTATACTCTAATATACTTTATATAGGTTTTTGTTTTATTATAGTTTCTCTCTTATACTAGATAATATAGATTATATTAATTTATACTTTTTAGCTATTATAAAAGGAAAACTATAATAAAACAAAAATCTATATAAAGTATACTAGAATATAAAATATAACTTAATAGTAAAATAATAAGATTAAAAGTATAAATAATAAAATATAAATAATATATAGTATATAAAAGCTTAATTAATTAAATATAAAAAAGGAATTATTATTTAGATCTATAGAAAAATTAGCTCTTATATAATACCTACTACCCGCAAGTTATATATAAAAGGCTATGGTTTTTATTATATACTTAAAATATTAAAACTATTGAAATAAAGTAATTTTAATAAAATATAGCTTATTATATTATATCTGATTTTTTATTTATTTATACTTATTTATTAAATATTAAAAACTAATAGAAAATCCCTATTTAAAGTCTAAAATAATAAAATAATTAGAATTTATAAGATATTTATTAGTAAGTAATAAGACAATAGAATAAATTAGTAAGTTATAAAACTATAGTATTAAATTCAATATAGAACTAATCTCTGTCTCTCCTATAAGGTCCAGGTTGCCCCCTCTAAATAGGAGGCCCTAATAATATATATATAATTAGTAATTTATAAGCCTAATACTTATAATATAAATAGTAGTTAGTTATAATATTAAAGGACCTTTAATCTCTCTAATTAATACTTATAATATCCGAGGTTTATTATATATCCTTAAGTTATATATAATTCTATATATATTATAATTATATTTCTTTCCTAAAATCTTATTCCCAAGATCTATTAATCTATCCTAGTAAAATATTTAATCGATTATATATTTAATTAAAGTAAATTTCTAGTATTTTAAAAAATAGGTTTACTAATATAATCTGGGTAATAGATATAAAAATTATCTAATTAGATTAGAATTAAATAAGTAAAAAGGAAAGGTAATTATATTCCAGGTATAGGAACTAGCCGGTAATTATAATTTTATTTGGGATTTGAGTATTTTAATTAGCTCGATCTAAAATACTAAGATACTATTTTATAAAATTAATATTACCTATTAGATCTTATATTAGAATAATCTAAATAGCTATATAGAAAGAATTTAATAAATATTTATATAAGAAACTTATATAAATATTTCTGAGATCCTAGAGATTATTTATAGGCTCCTAAAAGTATATATTAATTAATTATATTCTATAAAAAGACCTTTTTATATTATTATATATTCTTTTCCTTTCTAATAACTATATATATATAATAACTTTTTCTATTATTACCTTCTAGTCTCTTTTTCTATTCTTTTTTAAATCTTCTTTAATTATTTTTAATTAATTCTATAATATCTTCTTCTAGCTTTATTATCTATTTATATAATAATAAGTATAAAGGTAACCTTATAGCCTCCTTTCCTATTACTAGTAAATACTTGAAATATTTCAAGTATTTACTTATTAATCTCTTTATTTTATATACTATAATATCTAGTAAAAAGAATTATAACTATTATAATAAGAGTTCTAAATCTTATATATTAGTAAATTCTTTAGCTTTAATATCTATTAAAGCTAATATAATTTCAGATTCCTTATTATTTATTAGAAGCTTACTAGTCCTAAAAAGATACTATTATAACTTTTAAGAAATTTCTTAAAATATATTCTAAATAGTATTATACTAATAAGAATAATACTATTAATTAGGTTTTTAAAAACTAAAAAAATACTAATAAGCTTTAGAATTCTTCTTTTTATTTTAATAAAATAGATAATAATATTATTTGGGTTAGTATTTCAAAAATAAGTTTTTTCTAATATATTTAGGTATTTACTAATTACTTAAAAAAATATTATAATATCTATTTTTAAGATATTAATCTTATTATTAAGCTTATTATAAAGATTATTAAGTAATTTATTACTAGTATTTCAAATACTAATAATATAATACTTATAGCTATTCGAAATCTAATTTTAGAAGTTCGGACCTTTTATAAGATATATATAGCTATTATAAGTTCCTTACTTACTTCTTTTAATATTCTTAATACTAATATTATTATAATATAATTATATTTTATTAAGAAATAAGTAAATTCCGGAAAGTATTAGCTAATTCTTTACTAAATCCTAAATAGAACTAGTATTTAGTATTCTTCTTTTAGAAATTAGGAATTTATAAGAATTAGAGTTTATTTATTTAAGATATCTATAGCTAGTCTATTTATAATAAATCTTTCTTAATTCTAAATCTTTTTCTAATAATTTAAATAT